TAACTCGTGTGGGTGCTGTGCAAGGGACCCTGCTGAGCCCAAGGCAGAGAGGCTCTAGAAGTCCCCACAGTGACAAGAAACCTTGGGGTGGGGGAGAGATTTGATGCATTTTGCATTTAAGGTGAACCTACCTCCTGTGCAAAACAATTTGCCAACTGTCATTTGAAAGTTGCACTTCTCTGAATTTCGCAATGCAGTTCACCAGTCAATCATGTGCCCAAAAATGTGTATATTAAGGATATGTTTATATTAAAAATGCATTGAATTATTGAAAACAGCATGCAAAAATGCATTATATTGTGGGAAATTGCTTTGCAGAAACAGGTATATTAGGCCAAATGAGGCAGACGTAAAGGTGTGTATATGGGGAGAAATTTGTACCCAACATGCAGCTTCATAGGATGTCCACAAGTTCTAGTGTTATGGGAAAGGGAATATAGTAACACTTTTCTCTATCCACTTTTTCATGCCAGGCAAAACAATTTAAGCTTAAGCCATGTTGCCTCTTGCTCGCCTTTTCTCTAAATTAAAGGTAAAGGTAAAGGGACCCCTGACCATTAGGTCCAGTCATGGCCGACTCTCATTTTATTGGCCGAGGGAGCCGGCGTACAGCTTCCGGGTCATGTGGCCAGCATGACTAAGCCGCTTCTGGCGAACCAGAGCAGCGCTTGGAAATACCATTTACCTTCCCGCCGGAGAGGTACCTCTTTATCTACTTCACTTTGACGTGCTTTCGAACTGCTAGGTTGGCAGGAGCAGGGACCGAGCAATGGGAGCTCACCCCGTTGTGGGAATTCGAACCGCTGACCTTCTGATCGGCAAGTCCTAGGCTCTGTGGTTTAACCCACAGTGCCACCCGCGTCCCTTTCTCTAAATTAAAGAGTCCCAGATCCTGCAATTTTCCTCATAGGGAAGCTGCTCCATCCCTTTGATAATTTTGGTGACACTTTTCTGAACCTTTTTTCCAACTCTATAATACAGTGGTACCTCAAGTTACATACACTTCAGGTTACAGACTCCGCTAACCCAGAAATAGTACCTCGGGTTAAGAACTTTGCTTCAGGATGAGAACAGAAATTGTGCGGTGGCGGCGCGGTGGCAGCAGGAGGCCCCATTAGCTAAAGTGGTGCTTCAGGTTAAGAACAGTTTCAGATTAAGAACGGACCTCCGGATCGAATTAAGTTCTTAACCCGAGGTACCACTGTATGCTTTTTGAGGTAAGGCAACCAGAACTATACACAGTAGAGTGCTCCAAATGCAGTTGCACCATAGATTTGTAGCCAAATGAAAACCAATAATAAAATCAGCTAAATGTGTTAAAAAACCAGTGTGAATGATATCATATGGGCAACCCCTGATTTTTACCCTGCAAAATAAAAATGCCTTTGGTAGCCTTGCTTCCCAAAAGATGGGGTGGGTGTACACACTCACACAGACACACACAGCGCATTTGCAAGACCTCTAAAATAGTGGACAAGATTTAATCCATCTCAAAGCATTGTTTATTTTAAGACTTTGCACTGTATTTTGGTTTTGTTTCTTTTTTAACATGCATCGTAATTTATTACATATTATTTGTAGTTCAATTAGTTTATGTTATTTTATGATTTTTGCATTGTTATGACTTTGGTGGGGGCGTTAGGCTGTATGCCAAGACCCTTCTAATCCCTGGATCCATCAAGGCTTCTAGTTCTTGGAATTTTAGTAGCCTGGGTGATGGGTCAATATAGAGAACAAGGAAAGGGAATCTGTGCAAGATGGCAAATGAGTGGGGCCCCTCCCTCAACCCGCAAATAGTTAGAAAGGCAAAGCCAGAGGAAATGTGGTGTTTGTTGTTCCTATTGTTAAAATAATAATAATGAAGATTACAGTGGTACCTCGGGTTAAGTACTTAATTCGTTCCGGAGGTCCGTTCTTAACCTGGAACTGTTCTTAACCTGAAGCACCACTTTAGCTAATGGGGCCTCCTGCTGCTGCCGTGCCGCTGGAGCACAATTTCTGTTCTCATCCTGAAGCAAAGTTCTTAACCCGAGGTACTATTTCTGGGTTAGCGGAGTCTGTAACCTGAAGCGTATGTAACCTGAAGCGTATATAACCTGAGGTACCACTGTATTTATTAAAAAAAAATAGTAGGTTAGATTCAACTAAGTTGTTGCATTAGCACAGGCATAGGCAAACTCCGGCCCTCCAGATGTTTGGGACTACAATTCCCATCATCCCTAGCTAACAGGACCAGTGGTCAGGGAGGGTGGGAATTGGAGTCCCAAGCATCTGGAGGGCCTGCATTAGCATAAGCCAACATGGTGAGTCCTGCCAGAGCGATAGGACTTACCCCCACCCCCCCGCAATCCTCTTCCCTTGTGCCCTTCCCAAATCTGCTTGGGAGAGTCAGAAGAACCCCTGGAACAGCACATGGGGGCAAAAAGAGGGGAGGTAGTGTTGTCTGGCAAGCAGAAATATCTGCACTGATAGAATGGTACCCTTGGCACAACACTGAATCTCAACCACCACCATTTCCAGAGGTTGTAGCAGGCAGTGGAGGTTTCCTTGGAGGTTTTTAAGCAGATGCTGAATGGTCGTTTGTCAGGGATTCCTTAGCTGTAATTCTTGCGTTGCCTGGGGCGGGGCTAGATGACCTTAGGGTCCCTTCCAATTCTATGAAATGAAAAAACAAATGAGCTAGCATCATCATCACCATCATCATCATTTATTTATACTCCGCCCATCTGGCTGGGTTTCCCCAGCCATTCTGGGAAGCTTCCAACAGAATATTAAAAATAGAAATCAAACATTAAAAACTTCCCTAAACAGGGCTGCCTTCAGATGTCTTCTAAAAGTCAGGTAATTGTTTGTTTCCTTGACATCTGATGGGAGGGCGTTCCACAGGGCAGGCGCCACCCTGGAGCATCGAAGAGTTTGCAGACTCTAGAGTGAAATATGTCCACCCATGTTGGCTGCTGGCTGGGTATTGGGGGCAGAATCGGGTGGCCGCTGGCTTAAGGTGGGCAGTTCCTCTTCCCAATCCAATTCTGCTTGCAGAAATGAAGTCTCTCTCTCTCTCTCTCTCTCTCTCTCTCTCTCTCTCTCTCTCTCACACACACACACACACACACACACACACACCTTGCTTCTCCTGAGCAGCCCTCGCTGGATTTAAGAACCTAAGAAGATCCCTGCTGGATTAGCCAAAAACCCATCTGGTCCAGCATCCTGTTCTCGTAGTGGCTAACCAGATGTCTGTGGGAAACCCGCAAGCAGGACCTGAGTGCAAGACCTCTCTTCCCTCCTGTGGTTTCCAGCAACTGGTGTTCAGAAACATCACTGCCTCCAGCTGTGGAGGAGGAGCATAGCCATCATGGCTAGTAGCGCTCAATAGCCCTTTCCTCCATGAATTTGTCAGTTCTCTTTTAAAGCCATCCAAGTTGACAACCATCACTGCCTCCTACAGAAGTGAGTTCCATAGTTTAACAATGCACTGCTATTTCTTTTTTAAAAAAATGAAATTTATTAAATTTCCACAAATTTCACATATAATTCCAATACATAATATTTTTTTCTTTTGTTTTATCAACTTCCCATGCTGCACCCCACTTTCTCTCTCTTATATTATAATCACGATACAATAAATTTTATATATATATATATATATATATATATATATATATATATATTCAGTTTTACAATTTTATAGTCATCACTATAACATTATCTCAAGAAAAAAGAAAAATATGATTCCCCAAGTCCCCTTCCCCCTGACTTCCCTCATCTTCCCCTTCTGGGTTGTTACATTATTTGTTGTATTCTGCATGTATGTACCTCAGGTTACATACGCTTCAGGTTACAGACTCCCCTAACCCAGAAATAGTACCTCGGGTTAAGAACTTTGCTTCAGGATGAGAACAGAAATTGAGCTCCAGCGGTGCGGCGGCAGTGGGAGGCCCCATTAGCTAAAGTGGTGCTTCAGGTTAAGAACAGTTTCAGGTTAAGAATGAATCTCCGGAACGAATTAAGTACTTAACCCGAGGTACCACTGTATTAAATCTTGTTACATTGTTATCCTCCATATTTAAATTCAATAAAGTGGTGAAGGTTTATTCAAATCCTGCCAATGAGTCCATTTCTTTTTGTTGTTTCTGCAGATAGATTGTAAAAGGTTCCCATTCATTTTTAAAGTCACTGCTGTCTTTTTCATGTAGTTTGTTAACTTTGCTAATTCTGCATAATCCATCAGTTTTTCTTGTCATTGTTCTTTGGTTGGCATTTCTCCAGACTTCCAATTTTGAGCTATTAAAATTCTTGACGCGGTTGTCGCATACATAAATAATTTACATTTCCCTTTCACTAATTCTTGACCTATCGTCCAAGGTCAAGGTTAGGTTAGGAAGCTACAATAATTTCTAATTCTTTCTGTTGCTTATAGTTCAAATCCTGCTCACGGGTTCCTTATACTATAATATTTATTTAAATAATCTGAAAAAGGTTTTCATTCTTCAATGAAACAACCATCATTAAGTTCCCTTATTTTAGCTGGTAACTTTGCTGATTCAGTCCATCACTTTCTTTATTCATTCTTCTTTAGTGGAAACCGCTTCATCCTTCAGTTTCGGGGTTGGGGGTGGGGAGAATCCTTGCTGCTGAAGTTATATACATAAATAACTTAACTATCTTCTTTGGAATTTCTGTCCCTATAACCCCTGGCAGAAAATCTTCTCAGTGTGCTGTTATTTCTTGTGCATCTGCAAGAACAAAAAAAAGCCCCTACTGCTGCCTCCCTCTTGGAAATGTTCCACAGATTGCTGTTCTCGTTCTCATCCCTCTGAGATCTGGTGCTGAAAACTTTCCTGTTGGGACCGAAACAGCAAACACTTCCTTGCCTTCTCTTCCTGACCAGATCCACCCACCTGCAGGACCAGCAAGGGATTGCAGAATCTCTTTTTCACTTCCTCTTCCCTCCCCCACTGGCTAATTTGGACGCTTCTCCAGAGTAAGCAAAATTGGGGCTGGAATTTCGTCACTCCTGAGTGATTCGGCTTCCAAGGAACCCCCATCTGCCTGTATAAAGAGAAGAAGGGGAAACTCATGGAGCTCATTCTGGAGCAACCGAGAGCTTGGACCTTGACTGCTTCTGCACCCTCGGCTTTGAGCAACAAGCCTCCTCTTCCATTCCACGAGCAAAAATGAAGAGCTTCATTGCTGCCTTTGCTTTCCTGCTGACCATCACTGCACTTCTCTTCTCCCAGGCTCAGTCTCATATAGGTAAGTCCCCCTTTCCTTCTTCACAGCATCACTGCCAAAGGCATCTCAAGCCTTGGGGACCACAGTCCACACCACCATCTTATTCCAAGGCCGTCCTGCACTCCTGGCTGCTCCTGCTGCCCCAGGAGCTGGGCCAAGCAGGAGAGGGCTATTGGTGGCCACCAGCCATGGTGGCTACGCTCTGCCTCTGTGGCTGGAGACAGCAACACTTCTGGAGACAAGTTGATGGAACCCATGGGAAGGGAGTGTGCTCGGGTCCCACTTGTGGGCTTCCTATTGGGGCATCTGGTTGGCCATTGTGAGAAGAGGATGCTGGACTAGATGGGCTACTGGCCTGATGCAGCAAGGCACTTCAGATGTTCTTTTAAAACTCCTTCCCACTGGCGCCAATGATGGCCACCAACTTGGAGGACTTTAGAAGAGCATTAGTTCAATTCATGGAGGATAGCATGGCTCCTCTTATATTCTTTAGGGGGAGCACAGTGAAGGAGGGATTGTCCCCTCCCAAAGGGTTTGCTTGGGAGGAGAGCAGGGCCCCACTGCAACCCTCCCCAAGGCACCTCTGTTGGCCAGAGAGAGAGTCCCAGGTTCACTCCCCAACATTTCCAGGTAGGGCTGGGAATGCCCCACATCTGACACCACACCGAGCCACTGCCAGTCATAGCAGACCATAGTGAGCTAGATGGGTTGACTTGCTGAAAGGTAGCTTCTTATGTGCCTATTAAATTAGCCCTCTAAGATTTCAGCACTCATGACTGTGGATAGTTTTAGGGAAAGAACAGTAACTCAGTGCCAGAGCATCTGCTTTGAATGCAGGTCTCGTGTTCAATCCCAGCCACATCTCTAGGTTAGGCTGGGTTAGGCGTGAAATCCCAAACAGCTGCTGCTGCCAGTCTGTGTAGACAATATTGGCTTAGATGGACCAATGGTCAGACTTGGTATAAAGTAGCTTCCTATATTTAATAACAGTCCTTGATTCAGAATCCTTGGGACTAGACTCTTACTTTGGGGGAAGAAGCTCAGTGACAGAGCAACTGCCTTGAATGTAGAAGATCTCAGGTCCAATCCCCTGTGGAGCCAAATCAGGACTGCAGGAAGCAGAAGTCATTTGTTCACTCCCTTCCGCTCTTCTCTCCCACAGACTCAGGCTACTGCTGTAACAAATACGTTACGAAACCCATACCACTTAGACTCTTGGTGTCCTATGACTATGCAAGCAGCAAGTGCTCCCTGCCAGCTGTCGTGTAAGTATGAAAAACTTGGAAAACAATTCGTGGGTGATCAGCCAAGCTACAAATTATTAGCAATAGCTGCAGAGGCCAAAGCCCCTTTGCAATTCCATACCAGATCAGGGGGCTTCAGGGAATCGCCTCTCCGTCCAGGAAGTGACCTGGTGGCCTTAGGGAAGCCTCAGCCCCTGACCCCAACTCTGAGGAGGTGCAGGTGGGAGAGCGAGTCAACAGCTTCCCAGGGGAGGGAGAGGCTCTGGAGGGTGAATGCCAGGGGTGCCCTCCTCTTCCCCACCCCCAGGCCAAAGCCGGGATGCCATTCTCCATGTAGCTCTGGGACAGAGCACCTGTTTGCCTATAGATGGTCCCAGGTACAGTCCCAGGTGGGGCTGGGATATAAAGGTAAAGGGACCCCTGACCATTAGGTCTAGTCGTGACTGACTCTGGGGTTGCGGCGCTCATCTCGCTTTATTGGCTGAGGGAGCCAGCGTACAGCTTCCGGGTCATGCGGCCAGCATGACTAAGCCGCTTCTGGCGAACCAGAGCAGCGCACGGAAACGCCGTTTACCTTCCCGCCGGAGTGGTACCTATTTATCTACTTGCACTTTGACGTGCTTTCGAACTGTTGGGTCGGCAGGAGCAGGGACCAAGCAATGGGAGTTCACCCCGTCGCGGGGATTTGAACCGCTGACCTTCTGATCAGCAAGTTCTAGGCTCTGTGGTTTAACCCACAGCACCACCCGCGTCAGTCCTTCCCAAAACTTCAGAGAGCCACTGCTGCAAGTCATTGTAGACAGTGCAGAGCTTCTGACGCTCTGGCTGGCTGGGCACTAAACAGGCATTTCTCTCTTTGCAGATTTACCACGAAAGCGAATAGGCGGCAGTGTGCAGACCCCAGTGCCGCATGGACCCAGGAACGTATCCAAAGTCTCTCCCAAACATTGACAACACCCAGCAAGGAATGAGAAAACCAAGTGCGCGAAAGCCTTGCCGTGTGCAGAACATGCACAGCCACCCACACCCACCCATGTTACAGTTGCACTTTATTATAATGTATTTTAATTTATTTATGTTAGCATATTTTAAGCAGTTGTGTGTTTTTGTATTATTGTTTTCCACAAGGGAAGTGAGATAGCTCAGAGGTTTTTTCTGTAAAGCATCGTCACAAAGACCTTTCATGATAATAAATATCAGGGCAAAAATGGAAACCTTCTGGGCCTCAGACTGATTCATTCTGCTTCATCCCTCCCCCCCCCCATCCCGCTCTCAAGGGTTCAGCTTCGTTCTGTAGCTTAATTGGGGAGAGGGGAGGAGGCAAGAAAAAGCGGCTCATTGGGTTTCTCTGAGTTTCTCATTCTTTCCAACTTGGAAGTTCCATTTTCTATATTTCTGCATCAATTTTTCTTTTAAAAGCCTGTGCAAAAACCCACATGAATTTCCGCATATATTTCCCCTGGTGTATCCACATTTGTACACAATTTTGCCAAATATATACATTTTGGGCAAGGAATTTTCCCCAATATAATTCTATGTTGTGACATGCACCCCAATTTCTGAGCAGTGAGAGACTCCAGGGTTCCCTGCACTTTCCTGGGGTTCAGCACTTCGCCTGCTGAAAACAACGCCATCATTAAGAAGCAGAGGTTCTCCTGTTAATTAGAGCTTAATTGGAGTAAAGTACAGGTGTGTGCTAGAAGAGATGAGATCACAAACTGTGGAGCAAACCAACTGCAAGGACTTTAAGATTTGTACTTGAGATAAGACTTCATTCGGTGCAAAAGACAGGGGAGGGGAGCCTATGATTTCTTTATTTAAAGTTTTCTTCTCTATATTTATGATTCGGCAACCCTCCTCTGAATGTTAGTTCAGATTATATTTGTACAAGCGGGGATGGAAGAAATTGGATTATAAATATGGAATATGACATCAAATGGAACCATGTGTGTAAAAAAAAGGGGGGAAAGGGAGGGAAGCTCTATTTTGCAAAAGGTTTATGATGGAAACTTAGAGCTGACTCTTCCCCATCTTCTATTATTTATGAAGTGAACTGAATAACGCTAAGAGGGCTTGGATTTTAATTTAATTGGAAGTATAATTGCTCATATATCTTTAGTTGGAAGGAAGGATGAAAGGAGTCTGTGTACTGCCAAGGAACTGATAAGGTTCTTTATTGAGTCATCTGCAGTTCAACAGACCGCTCTCTTTCCAGGCTGAGGAAAAATGGTGACAACAGGTAATATTTACTGGGATAGAGTGACTTTTGCAGTTGTTAAAGTTGCAGATGGAGCGATGGAGAAATTTCTGGAACAGCAATGGGATATCAGTTTCGCCCAAGGCATGAGGGATAACAGCAACAACCAGGGGGAAAGAAAGACATAATATCTTACAAGGACAGGAAGAAACAACATGGACAGAATAATTGCCACACACAGAAAAAATAAGGATATACTGTAGTTTGAGCTCCTCACTTATAGTTTTATAAATCATTTAATGTGTCAACACGAATAGAAGTTATTAATATTGCAGTTGTATGAGGGATTATTATTATGACTGGAATGTAATTGAAATCAATAAGATTTTGGAATGCTGAAATAAAGAAAACCATCAAATCTAGCAAGTGTGGGAGCCACTTTAACTAAATTTTATAATTCGGTGTTTGAATGATTGGTATTAATACTTATATTATAAATTGGTATTGTTATGATGAGGCTATTATTGGACTGTAATTGAAAACTAATAAAAATAATCGCAAAATCTTGGGAGGGGGGTGGAAATCCTTGTTCAAATAGGTTTGACAACAAGAAGGAAATACCGTATTTTTCCGTGTATAAAACTAGGTTTTTTAACAAAAAAATTAGGTTTAAAATTGGGGCTCATCTTATACACAGGAAGTGTTAAGGGGTGTTTTCTTAATTTGGACTCCCCAAAAATAGGGGGCATCTTATACATGGGGGCATCTTATACATGGAAGAATATGGTAACTTTGGGAGGAAACTAGAATTGTCTGGGACTGAATAACTTCAGAAAAGGCTAATGTGAATCTAAGCTGCATCAACAGAAGTATAATTTCCTATCACTCTATTCTGCCTTGGTCAGACCACACCTGATCCCCACCTGTGTCGAGTTCTGAGCACCACAGTTTAAGAAGGATATTGACAAGGTGGGAGGTATGTAGAGAAGGGTGACCAAGATGACTAAGGGCATGGAAACCAAGCATTATGGGGGATGGTTGGGAAAGCTGGGGATGTTCAGCCTGTAGAAGAAGGTTGAGAGGTGACATGAGAGTCTTCTTCAAATATCTGAAGGGCTGTCACCTGAGCAATGGAGCAAGCTTGCTTTCTACTTCCCTGGAGGATACAACTTAAATCAATGGATTCAAATTCAGTTGCTACCCACCCATAACCCTAAAATGGCCTGAACTTTCTCTGGACCTTCTTCCAGTTCTCCTATGTTTGCCCTCACAGGTCCACAGCCCTTCCCTGATGCTTTGGAAGCATCTGAGCTCTTTACCCAGAAATGGGCCTGGCCCAAGAAAACACCCTTGTCAGTCAAAATATGCCATGAATGATGGGCCTCAAGATACGTCCACATCCTATCTTGGGCATCAACCCCTCGCTATCTCCCTTGCTTTTGGGTAGAGTGGAAACTGTTTTGAAATTATCCTTGACAATTTTCCTATAAAAGGAGACCGGGGGGACCTCAAGGTATTGAGAGTCAAAGTGTCCCTGAGTCCTCTCTCCACCTCCGCCTGCCATGAAGTTCTCTGCAACTGCCCTCACCTTCCTCCTACTTGTGCTTGCCTTTGCCCTGGCCGCTGCTAGCCAATGTGAGTCTACCCTTCTCTTCTCTTACATGTTTGTGATTCAGTAGATTTATACCCACTTTTGATTGATTTCAAGACAGCAATGTAATAACAATATAATTACTTGTTTCATACCCTACATGGAGAAACTTTCCGTCATTTGTCCATCTGATGGAGGGAGCCAGAGGGGCCTTCCCCCCAGCTCTGTAGCCCCAGAGCAAGTGGTCCTCAGGACTGAAGTGGTGCAGGAACCAGACTGAGTCTCTCCACTCAGACAGGCCTTGCGCCTCCTCAGTAGGAGGTAATAGCAGGCAAAATCAAGGGCATTTCCAAATGTAGAGCTGAAATGCTGGCTCCCCCAAAAGTGCCAATCTCACCTATGAGAAGGTGCCACAGTGAGACCTCGTGTGACAACTCCTTTGTGTTGCTCAGCAAAAAAGGCACTCCTAAGAAATTCTCACTCAAGTCACAGGCTAGCAATGAAAAGTTTCACAGGGCAAAATTTCCCATATCCTTAGCAATGGGGTGGTGGACAGTTAAAAGGGAGAGCAACCTATATTGAGCCGTCATTCATTTCTCTCTGTCAGGGGAAGACACCAAGGAGGTCCAGGATGAGGCTTGTGATAGTAAGTCTTCCTTGTCCTCTCCCCGCAACCACACTCAAAGAGGAAGCAGGTGACAAATTTGCATGGACCATTCCTTCTCTACTCACTGTCATGGGGGTACTACTTGCACAACAGTTTCAACGAAAGGTGGCCACAATTCTCTCTAAATGAATCTGTAAGGGGCATCAGGAAAGGGGCAAAGAGCAGGCAAGAAAACAAACCCCCTTGTTTTGTGCCACATATCTCTATGGGATCAAATTTCAGCACTTTAGTATTGTAATAGATTTTTTGGGGGGGGGAGACTAAACCTTGGAAATTAATAAATAGTAGGATTTCGATTATTTTGAGCACTGAAGCGAAGATTGGAGTCCAGTGGAAAAGTACAGGCTAAGCTTTCTTTCCAAGCCAGGGCCTTGCATGGAATAGAGGTATTAACATGACAAAAGGGGTTGATGACCCATCTAAGAAGAATCTTGGGCCTGGGCAGGCAGAGGTTGCCATGCTGATGGGGTGTGTGTTTGAGGTGTCAGGAAAAGAGAGTCTTTAGAGCAAGGTGTGCTGGAAGGAAGATGGGGAGGAAAAAGACTGGGATCCATATTGGGCAGGCTGGCTGAAGGCTGGTTAGGAGAGAAGACTTTGACTCCAGGGCTGCACTGCTGTGGGGGACAAGCAGTGGTCTTGAAAGGACCATGCTGTAAGACATTGACTCCCTCCATGCAGACTGAAGGTGCAAATAGGTGAATAAACCATATTTCTTAAAGCTACGGCAGTCTCCGCCGTGTCTCAATTCTCCAAAGGAACGCAGACCCTGGGTGAATGCCTGGAACCCCCTGGAATCTTGCTACCACTTGGTAGAGAGTGGGGGGGTGACACCTGACTTTTTAAACAGTATGAATAGTTGCTGCATTTTTGGCATATGATTGTGATATGGCTATTACAAAAAGAGACCCCAAATCAACTTTAAGCAATAGCTGAGACAAATATTTTTCATTATAGGCAATGCTTTATATCCATCCAATGAAATATTTGCAAAGGAAGATCTCAATTCATTAGCAGTATGAATCATATTTAGGAGGCTTACATAAATTGAAGTAGTATTCGGCAAAGAGATTGTTGATGGTTCTTGGGTCGTGTGTCAATTGACCACTTGCATCTAAGAGAATTGATACAAAAGCAGGTTCTTTGTTTTACTTAGAGCATTAGCTAGTTATTTTGGATTTCTGTTCCTGAATTCATAAAACCTCTGTTTAAGAAATATCATGGACTTGTCAACAGTGTGATTCCAAAGCCTCCAACTCTCTTGGTGGAGAAGAGTTCAGCATATATCTACTAAGATCCTGTCTTCCTGTGCTCCTTCTCTAAGGTCTCAATGTCCAAGTATAGTTGTTGTATCTGGAGGGCAACTTTTCTTTTACGTTTCGCTTGTTCTGTGATGCACACACCACAAACCGTGGCTTTCATAGCATTCCACAGAATCTCATGGGAAACGTGGAAACCAAACCTTATGAGGAACGGTTCAGGGAAGTGGGTATGTTTAGCTTGGAAAAGAGGAGACTGAGAGGAGATACGGTAGCCATCTTCCAATATCTCAAGGGCTGTTACATGGAAGAGGGAACAAGCTTGTTTTCTCCTGCTCTGGAGGGTAGGACTTCAAGTTACAAGAAAAGACATTCCAACTAAGCATCAGGAAGAGCTTTCTGACAGTAAGAGCTGTTCAACAGAGGAACAGTCTCCCTCAGGAGGTTGTGGACTCTCCTTTGTTGGTTTTTAAGCAGAAGTTGGATGGCCATCTGTCATGGATGTTTTAGCAGAGATTCCTGCACTATGGGGGGAGTTGACTAGATGACCCTTGGGGTTCCTTCCAAGTCTCCAATTCTATGATTCTATCTGGAGAGTTGCTCTCATTGAAATAATTTAGGATAGCCTGTTGGATTGCTTCCTTAGAGGGGGAAAGTGGCCACAGTTCTCAAAGCTCAGCTGTCCCTCTGAAGGAGGAAATGTTCACTGAAGGGGGATTTGGGCTTCATTCTCTAAAGCATCAATTCAAGAGGATGGGAAGGGAAGAAGGCTCATTCCAGTCCTCCCTGGAAGCAATCCAACAGGCTATCCTAAATTATTTCAATGAGAGCAACTCTCCAGATAGAATGGAGACCTGGGGTCAGCACAGAAACTCTAGTTCTTCTTTGTGATGAATCTGCAAGAGGAAAAACATCTGCTTTGGGGCAAATTCATCAGAAGCCTGATAAAAGGCAGCTCTCCAGTTGCTTCAGATATTTAATGGGGGGACCAAAGGGACCTCAGCCCCTAGGCGTTGGCTCTTATGCACTCCAGGAACAAAAAGGGAACACTGCCCCCATAATGCTGCGTCATAAAGCACAGCAACGCAGACGTTCTATTTTTGAGCAAGAGAAAGAGTGTGTGTTTGTGCCTAGGAAGGAAGTAGCATCTCTTTCAAGAGACACAAACCACTCCTTCCTTATCCAAATGATTCATGGTGCCGTGACCCCTTGCCTAGCTGAGGTGGCTCTGGGGGTAACCGGGGGACAGTTGAGGCCAGCAGTGAGTGAGACTGAGTCAGGAGGTGTTGTGGCAACCCAGAGGTGGATGCAAGGAACAAGGGGTGGTCCAGCAGATGACAAAAGCCAGCTGCTTCCATAGGAACATAACAGAAGGACGTGAAAAGAGTATGCAGCGCAACCGTCCCGTTTTAAGTGGGACATCCCAGATTGACAGAAGCTGCCCTGGCTTCTGATCCCCATCTTGGGTGTCCCATTTTGGCTCCTGTGCTCTGGCTGTGGAGAAGAAGGTGGCTGTTTCTTTGTCCCACACTGTGGCCCAAGTCAGTTGACTCACACCAGTGCATGGGACCAAAAAAAATGGAAGCAAAACCTACCTTGCCCCCATGCGTCACCACTCTTCCTCCTCCTTCCATCGCAGAACTTGTGGAAGCCGGCTGCTGGAAGTACAGCTCCAGCACCGGCAGAGGAGGAGGAGGTGGAAGTCATGGAGGGGGCAGAGGAGGAGGCGGCAGACAATGGCACAAGGGGGGGGCAGCAGCTGGCAAGCGAAAGAGGAGGCAGGGAGGAGGTGAGTGCGCAGGCAGTGGGGCAGCAGGGGGATGTGTGGAGGTGCCCCAATTTGCCCTCCCAAAATGTTGGAGGGTATGAAAGCCCCTGCTGCATGAGGCCAGCAGCCCATCTAGTCCTGCGTCATGTCCTTACAGTGGCCAACCAGAGGCCTGTGGGAACTTGCCAGCAGGAATCAAGGGGGAAAGCCCTCTCCTCCATAGCTGTCAACTTTCCCCTTTTCTTGCAAGGAATCCTGTTCGGAATAAGGGAATTTCCCTTTAAAAAAAGGGAACCGTTGACAGCTATGCTCTCTTCCAATGTGGTTTCCAGCAACTAGATACATTTCAGTTTAGGTTTAGGCCTGGTTTTGGCACAGAAACTGCTTGGGTCACCCTAAATGATGACCTGTGCCATTACAGCGGTACCTCGGGTTACAGACGCTTCGGGTTACAGACGTTTCAGGTTACAAACGCAGCTAACCCAGAAATAGTACCTCTGGTTAAGAACTTTGCTTCAAGATGAGAACAGAAATCGTGCTCCGGCGGCGCGGTGGCAGCAGGAGGCCCCATTAGCTAAAGTGGTGCTTCAGGTTAAGGACAGTTTCAGGTTAAGAACAGACCTCCAGAACGAATTAAGTTCTTAACCCGAGGTACCACTGTAATTCTCTTTGACCTCTCAGCGACCTGGAGCAGCTGTCCAAGTTAAGAGTGGGTGGCACCCTCACTTAGTTGTAGTTCTTGTATCTTAGCTCATCCTGATGAGGACCCTGAAATGGCCAGCTAAGGTCACTGTCTCACAAAGAAACCTGTCTGACTTGTTCAGCAACTTTCTCTGTTAATCTCCAATGCACTGTGAGTGCCAGACCCCAAGAATTGGAAGCGACTTGGAGCATCATCCAGGTTGACCCCTAAAACCTACAATGTTACTATTATTACTAATATCATTATCAACCCACACTTAACCATAAGGTTAAGGGCATGTTACATCATTAAGGGCAGGTTACATCATTAAAAGGGACGCGGGTGGCACTGTGGGTTAAACCACAGAGCCTAGGACTTGCTGATCAGAAGTTCGGTGGTTTGAATCCCCGCAACGGGGTGAGCTCCCGTTGCTCGGTCCCAGCTCCTGCCAACCTAACAGTTCGAAAGCACGTCAAAGTGCAAGTAGATAAATAGGTCCCGCTCTGGCGGGAAGGTAAACGGCATTTCCGTATGCTGCTCTGGTTCGCCAGAAGCGGCTTAGTCATGCTGGCAACATGACCCAGAAGCTGTATGCCGGCTCCCTCGGCCAGTAAAGCGAGATGAGCGCCACAACTAATGGTCAGAGGTCCCTTTACCTTTATATCATTAAAACACAACCTTAATTTTTTTTTAAGCAACTTACAACTACAGTGGTGCCTCGCAAGACGAAATTAATCCGTTCCGCGAGTATCTTCGTCTAGCGGTTTTTTCGTCTTGCGAAGCAACCCTATTAGCAGATTAGCGCTATTAGCGGTTTAGCGGCTATTAAAGGCTTAGCGGATTAGCGGATTAGCTGCTAAAAGGCTTTTTAAGGCTTAGTGGCTTAGAAAAAGGGGGGGGAGCGAAAAAAAAATCTCAAGACTCGCAAGACATTTTTGTCTTGCGAAGCAAGCCCATAGGGAAATTCGTCCTGCGAAGCGCATTGAAAACGGAAAACCCTTTCGTCTAGCGGGTTTTCCGTCTTGCGAGGCATTCGTCTTGCGGGGCACCACTGTATAAAAATAAGATAGGTCCTAAAACTATGCATTAAAACTATGGGTCCTAAAACTATGCAGTGTTAATGGCAAGGGTAAAGAAGTGGGTCTTCAACATCCTCTGAAAGCTGTACAATGAAGATGCCAGATGCACCTCTGTGGGGAGGGAGTTCCACAACTTAGGGGCTGCCGTAGAGAAGGCCCTGCCACCACTCCAAACCTCTGAGAGTGGAGGAACTACCCCTTTGCCAATTGCAGCACCCAAGTCAGTCTGTAGGGAAGGAGGCAGCTTTTCAAATATTTGAGGACTAAGTCCTTTAGGGCTTTGAACACTAGCATGAGCCCCTTGAAGTGGACCCAGAAACTGGCACCAGTGAAGCTATTTTAGAGCAGGGCTTTGTATGAGATCTAAATAGAACCCCAGCCAGTAAACTGGCTGCTGCACATAGAGCGCATCACAAAAACCCAGCCTGAAAGTTATCAGAGCATGGTCAAGTCATCTCTCTCCAAAACGGTCCTTAGCTGGTGGATGCATTCTACATCTGCTGATGGGACACATAAACCAGCTATCTACTTCTGAAGCATCTGAACTGTTCACCCAGAAATTGGCAAGTTTGGTCAGAAAGTGGATCTGCTGCAGCAGCAGGTTTGGACCACAATACGGCTCTTATGGGCCTCCTTATCAACAAAAGGATGCCACAGATGATAAACTCCTGCCTCTCAATCTTGGGTATCAATCCCTCGCTATCTCCTTCGGCATCAGCTGGGGAGGAAGCTGCAATGCTTCTAACAAAGCCCTTGTCTCATGACATCAGCTCTGCATTCCAGATTTTGGGTAGCCAGAATCCTCTATAAAAAGAAATCTGGGGGAGCCTCAGGTACCCAGGACTGAATAAACGAAGAAGAAGCCTGGAAAGTGTTTTTCCATCTTCACCTGCCATGAAACTCTCTTTGGCTGCTCTCGTCTTCCTCCTCCTTGTGGCCACCTTTGCCCTGGCTGATGCCTCTTCAGGTGAGTCAAGGGTGTCTATCCATCCTCCTTTCCTCTCCTCTCCTGGGGCACAGGCTGTAGGTCAGCGGAAGAGCACCTGCTTTGCTTACCATAGGTTTCAGGTGTGACTCCAGCATTTCCAGGTAAGGCTGGTAAAGGACTCACTACCTGAAGCCCTGGGGAGCAAAAGCTCACCAGTGAATGGTGCTAGTAAGAGAGATGGACCAGGGGCTCTGACTCGGGATAGGGCAGCATCCTGTGTGCCTGAGATTTAGACCCTCTTTTACAGCTGAAAGATGGGCAGGATGGCTTTCATCATTAGGCTGTAATAATTATAGAGAGGGGCTGGTGGGGAGGGGAAGGAGAAAGTTGCTGGAAACCACAGGAGGGGACAGTGCTCTTTTGCTGAAATCCTGCTTGCTGGTTTACCATAGGAACTGTTCCTTCACTGTGCGACCAGGATGCTGGACTAGGTGAACCATTGGCCTGATCCAGCAGGCTACTTTTATTAGAGGGAGACAGACAGACAGATATAGAGAGATTTGTACAATACATAGAGAGTTAAAAAATATTTAAGTGCTTTATAACGGCTTTTAAATAAATTTAACTAGGATAGGGCCTAGCAATGGGTGATGATTCCGTCACATTCCCTCTTTCTTTGTTCCCCATTTTTCCAATTGTCGGGTCTGTTTTCTGCATTTCTACATAGTTTGCCCATTCCCTTATTTAAAAGCTCTCATGAAAATTCACCAGCTTTTTAGAGAAAGCTCCAAATATACACATTTTTGCAAAGTGTGTGCTCCCTAATGGAGCCAGAGGGGGCTTCTCTTTGGTTCTGTGGTGCCAGGGTGACGGGTTCTCAGAGCTGAAGTGGCACAGGCCCCAGAGTGAGTCTGCCCACCCAGACTGGTCTCTGGATCTCCTCACAAGGAGATACACAAGGTGTACAGTGGTACCTCGGGTTACATACGCTTCAGGTTACATACGCTTCAGGTTACACACTCTGCTAACCCAGAAATAGTGCTTCAGGTTAAGAACTTTGCTTCAGGATAAAAACAGAAATCGGGCTCCAGTGGCGTGGCGGCAGCGGGAGGCCCCATTAGCTAAAGTGGTGCTTCAGGTTTAAGAACAGTTTCAGGTTAAGAATGGACCTCTGGAATGAATTAAGTACTTAACCTGAGGTACCACTGTATTGAATTTGCAACCTTCTAAAAATAAAAAATTAAAATTAAAAAAGGAAAAAAGAAATGTCTCACCCAAGTCACAGGCTAGCAATGAAAGTTTCACAGGGCAAAGAATCCTGTATCCTTGGCAATGGGATGCTGGATGGTTGAAAGGGAGAGCAACTTATATTGAGCCGCCATTCATTTCTCTCCATCAGGAGAAGACACCAAGGAGACCCAGGATGAGGCTAGTGATGGTAAGTCTTCCTTGTCCTCCCTCCTCAACTATACTCAAAGAGGAAGCTGGTGCCAGATTCACATGGGCAGTTCCTTCTCTACTCTGTCCTAAGGATGCTGTTCAGACAGCCGTTTCATAGAATCATAAAACTGTAAAGTTGGAATGCACCCAAAGGTCCTCTAGGCCATCCAACGTCTGCTTAGAAAGCACCACTTCCAAGGGAACCTGTTCCACTGTTGAATGACTCCTACCCTCAGAAAGTTCTTCTTAACATTGAGTCGGAATCTCCTTTCTTGTTTTTTGAATTCATTGGTTTGGGTCCTCCCCTCTGGCGCAGCAGGAAAAGAAAGCTTGCTCCATCTTCCATGTGACAGTCCTATCACCATATTTCAGGGCCACAGTTTTTAAGGCTGCCCCTGCTGCCCTAGGCTGAGCCTGTTGTGTGGGAGGCAACATCCATTGCAGGGAGATTCAGGCTCCTTTCCATGAAGCATCAGTTCAGGTGGATGGGGAGTGAAGGAGGTCTATTCCAGCCCTCCCCAGTGAACCTCCCTTGATCGGAAGGAGAATGAACACTTCCCCTCTCAAGGAGAGGCTGGGGCCTCCCAGAGCCTCTGTGAAAACTATCCCCCTTTCACATTCCATGGTACAGAAGCCACTAAACTGTTCCAATCCTCACCTCTCCTTCACAGGCTCAAGTCACTGCTGCGTGAAATATAACAGGAAACCCATTCCACTCAAGCTCTTGGTTAGCTATGAGTATGCAGGCAGTACCTGCCCCCTGCCGGCTATCATGTAAGTGGCAACAAGTTTATTTTTTATTTTTTTAAAAGCAGCAACAACCAGAAACATCTGAACGTTCTGCATGTTCCAAAGTAACAAAGGGTTTTCTTTGTTTTCAATTGTTTAGCTCGTCGCTGAGTTGCAGCCAACTTCCTGTACTTGGCTAATGATTTGTACAAATCCACTAGCAATTCTCTTGAGTTAAGGTCCACCCAGGTCACATCCACCCCATTCATTGAAAAGACATTGGTGCCACTTAAAGAATCTTGAGAAGTTTAGTTTATCCCTTGCAGAACTACAGTTCCCAGGACACGTAAGAAAGCACAACTCCTGGGATTCCTTGGGGCAGAGCCAAAACTGTGAAAGTGGTATTAAGAGTGCTTTAAGGGTATGATGTGTGTGAGAGCAGAGTCATTCCTAAGTCTTCTAGTTGTCAGAAGGTCCCTAGATGGAATCTCCTCTCTGCCCTGGGCTGGACAAGTTGCCTTAAGCCCCTCAACTCTGATTGGATTATGTTAACCATATTTATGTTATAACTCTCTATGGAGCTCAAGGTGGTGTATATGTGGCTCTCCTGTCCCCATATCATCTTCACAACAATCCTGTGAGGTAGGTTAGGCTGAGAGACTATACTGGACCCAAGATAACTCATAGAGCTTCATGTTATGTGGGTATTTGAACCCTTGACCCCGGGTCCTAGAAGGTGAATGTCAGGACCAGATGTCAGCACCACCCCAGTCAATCCCAAGTCAGAGAACAACCTTTTGCCCGGCCTTGACCAACTTGGAACTAAACAGATATTTCACCTTTTGCAGATTCATCACAAAGGGGAATAAAAGGATCTGCACTAACCCTGATGATAAGTGGGTCAAGGATCTCATCCGCAAACTGCCCCCACCATAGAGACAACGTCCCTCCCCTTCCTTCTCCACAGGAAGAAAAGAGTGTCCAGGGCTCAAGTTGCTTTGAATGCTGGAAAAAAACAGCAGTGCAAAAAGTGAAGCAATATGATTAAAGGGAGTGATACTGATCATGTGCTGAATGCCTCTCATTTATAGCCTCGCAACTGAAAATGTACATTCCCAACCCTTTTGTCCTGGCCAAAGATAGAGGTGGAGGGCTGGGCTGGGCTGGGGGTGGGTGGCTCTCAACATTTCACCTCATATCTCATATTGAACAGGGGCAGCCAATATGGTATCCTACAGAAGTTATTGGACTACAACTCCCATCATCCACCTTGACCATTGACCATGATGGCTAGAAGTTGATGGGAGTTGTAGTCTGACAACAGCTGCCTTTCCTTTCCAAGGAAAGCTGGGAATCTGGCCAGTAGGTGGTGGAACTGGGCACAGGAGGCAGGGCTAGGACCTAGGTAAAATCCAGCTGCCAAGGCAACATGACTACCCAAACCTGGAATGGTATTCCCTTCTTCATGGGCCCAGGACTGCAGCCCCCTCCTCAAATCTGGCCAGGCTAGCATGGGTGGAAGGGGGAGCTCACTTTTTCACCCAGGTGCTCCCAGTCTATACATATTAGGATGTTTCTAGTCGTCAGCAAAATTCCAACCAGTCCTGAATGGGCAGGGCAGAGGAGGCGTTCAGTCCTCCATCTCTCAAAGCTCGGTGGGGTGGGGTGGGGTCTGATAGCAGACAACTCTCCCATCCCGGAGAAGGAGCCTTCAAATGATTTATACCTTCTGATGCTGAGCAGAGTCACAAAAGTTTGTGGCACGTGTGCGTGTGTAAACTTCTGCTTTATTCTGGTGTTTAGGATATGTGTTTCTGTGTAGTGCACCCCTCCCACTCCTCTCCCAGCTCTCAGAGCTGATTGCAACTATTTGAATCACTCCCCCTGCCCCTGAATAGCCAGAAACAGGGGAGGCAACAGCAGAGGAGGGGGTTATTGCTGCCATGCCCAGCTCACAGGCTTTCCAGAAGCCAATGGTTGAGACTTGTGTTCTGGTCTAAGTGAGACCCCCTATGGCCTGATCCAGCAGGCAAGTTCTTCTTACATTCACACTGTAAAACAGGAGTTGGATATTCTCAAGGAGGAGCCCCTGCCCTAACCTTCGCTACTGCATCCTGGACCAGCCAAAGTTTCTGGACACCCTTCAGAAGGCAGCCCCATGTGGGCCATATTGCAGGAATGCAAATGTGGGCTTTGCCGGGACCAGTTCTGGCTTTCCCAGGCACAGGAGCTGAGCAGAGCCCCTCAACCCAGCAGACCTGCTGGATCCTGAGCTGTAAACGAGTTTCAGCAAGAAAATTCTGTCTATCCCTTAAGCTACATGTTGGCATCCATCTGCCTTGGGAGATAATGGAGGAGTGAGCCTTTTCGGGGTGAGGTCAAGCTGTTGGAAGGTTGCAGCACCTGCTGTGGCTGTAGAGACCGATGCGGGAGAGACATGCTTTGTTGCAGCTGGGGCAGATGTAGAGTTAAAGTTCTTCTTTTGCTACAGGAGGTGATCAGCACCACAGAGCCAGTTGACAGCTGGGTGCTTCTCAAGCAGAGAAGACACTCATTTGGAGGGGTGGGGTGGGGAGGTCCAAGGGGTCCCTACAGCTTTGGCAGGGAGAATGCAAATCCAGGCCTGATAAACAAGATAGTCAAAAAGGAGGTCCAGGTGGGCTTTTGGTGGAGCTAGCAGACAGGAACTGGCCTCTGCCAGCACCAGGCAGTGATGGAAGAAGGTCTCCACTTTGGACAGTGTAGCCTTTTTTCTTTTAAAGGAGTCCTTAAGGTCATGGCTCCATTACACCCACAGCCTGGTTGCTACCCATCCATAACCCTAAAATGGGTTGTTTTTCTCAGGAGCTTGTTCCGGCTGCCCTTTGCTTGCTTATTGCCCTGATGGTCTCCAACCCTCCCCTGATGTTTTTGAAGCATCCAAGTTCTTTGTGGGTTTTCTCAGAAAGTGGATCTGCTGCTGCAGCAAAGTTGGTGCACGATAAGGCTCTTATCAACCCTTTTCTCAATCAAAAGGAGCCACAGATTATGGGCCTCGTGATCGGCCCATACACTACCTCTCTATCTTGGACATCAGCCCCTCGGTATCTTCATCGCTATCAGAGGGAGCGGAAACTTGTCTATAAAAAGAGACCAGGGGATCCTCAAGGTACTGAGCATTGAAGGAGCCGAGGAAGGAACCTGGAGGGTCTTGAGTCCTCCCTCCATCTCCACCTGCCATGAAGCTCTCTTCAACTTCCTTCAGTTTCCTCTTCCTTGCGGCCCCCTTTGCCCTGGCTGCTGTTTGCCCATGTGAGTCTGCCCTTTTCTTCTATCCCTTATTTTGAAAATAGGAGGAGGAGGAGGAGGAGGAGGAGGAGGAGGAGGAGGAGGAGGACAGCACAGGCTGCAGAACAGCAGTAGGGCACCTGCTTTGCTTGCCATAGTTTTCAGGTGTGACTCCAGCATTCCAGGTGGGGCTGGTAAAGGAAGCCCTGGACAGCAAATGCTCATCAATGCATGATGATAGTAAGAGAGACAGACCAAGGCTTTGACTCACAGAGGGCTTCCCTTTGGTTATGTAGCCCCAGGGCAACTGGTCCTCAGTGCCACTGTGTGCAGGCACCAGAGTGAGTCCGTTCGCCCAGACTGGCCTCTGGATCTTAGCAGGAGTGGAGGGGACTGGTGGGGAAATCGCAGGGATTTCCAAAGACAGAGCTGAAATGTTGGCCCACAAAAAGGCACTTGTCTCACCCAGAGAAAGCTGCCACAGGATTTCCTTGTTTTGCTTGGTGAAAAAGCCACCCTAAGAAAGTCTCACCCAAGTCATAAAGGTAAAGGTAAAGGGACCCCTGACCATTAGGTCCAGTCGCGGACGACTCTGGGGTTGCGGCGCTCATCTCGCTTTATTGGCCAGTGACCTGGTGGCCTTAGGGAAGCCTCAGCCCCCAACCCCAACTCTGATGAGATGCAGGTGGGAGAGCAAGTCAACAGCTTCCCAGGAGAGGGAGAGGCTCTGGAGGGTGAACGCCAGGGTGCCCTCCTCTTTCCCACCCCCAGGCCAAAGCCGGGATGCCTTTCTCCATGTAGCTCTGGGACAGAGCACCTGTTTGCCTATAGATGGTCCCAGGTACAGTCCCAGGTGGGGCTGGGATATAAAAGTAAAGAGACCCCTGACCATTAGGTCCAGTCGTGACCGACTCTGGGGTTGCGGCGCTCATCTCGCTTTATTGGCTGAGGGAGCCGGCGTACAGCTTCCAGGTCATGTGGCCAGCATGACTAAGCCGCTTCTGGCGAACCAGAGCAGCGCACGGAAACGCTGTTTACCTTCCCGCCAGAGCGGTACCTATTTATCTACTTGCACTTTGACTTGCTTTTGAACTGCTAGGTTGGCAGGATCAGGGACCGAGCAATGGGAGTTCACCCCGTCGTGGGGATTTGAACCGCCAACCTTCTGATCGGCAAGTCCTAGGCTCTGTGGTTTAACCCACAGCGCCACCCGCATCCCCACCCAAGTCAAAGGCTAGCAACAAAAGTTTCATGGGGAAAGATTCCCATATCTATGGCTGTGGAACAGTGGACAGTTCATAGAGAGAGGAACCCATAATGACCCTCATTTGCTTTCTCTCTTTCAGTGGAACCTGCTAAGGAGACTCAGGATGTGGCTCATAAGAGTAAGTCTTCCTTGTTGCTGCCTCCTCAACTATACTCAAAGGGGGAGCTGGTGCCAGACACACATAAGCAGTTCCTTCCCTAATCTCTGTCCCAAGGATGTTCTTCACACGACCATTTTGGGCAACGTTGGCCACAGTTCTCAAGGGCTGTCCCTTTCTGAGCTTGTTGTGATGGAGGCAATGTCCACCAAAGGGGGCTTCAGACTCCTTCCCATGAAGCATCCATTCAGGTGGGTGGGAGGAAGGTCCATCCCAGCCCTTTCCAGGGACCTTTCCTGGATCAGAGGAAAGTCACTTCCCCCCTCCAGAAGAGCAGCAGACTGGGACCTCCAGAGCCTCTGGGGGGCATCATCTCCCATTCCTCTTCCACACTACAGAAGCCACTAAATTATTCCATTCCCTCCCTCTTCTTAGGAGCCAACTGCTGCCTTAATTACGTAAATAGACCAATTCCATGCAAGGCCATAAAATACTACGAAAGGGCATCCAGCACATGTGCCAAGCCGGCTGTCATGTAAGTAGCAACCAACTTCATTTAGATGGAGGGGAGCACAACTCTGCATGTTGAAAGTATCAAACGCTCAGGGCTGTTTGTTTCAAAGCCTTGGACTGGTCCTTGACTTGCAGCAGATTTGTGCAGATCCAGCATACCAGCAACTCCCCCAAGTTAAACTGCAACAGATCACATCCACAGCTTACACTGAAAGTGCCATTTCATAGACTCATAGAATTGCAGAGTTGGTAGGGCTTCTGAGGATCATCTACTTCAACCCCCTGCAATGCAAGAATATGCAGGTGTCCCTTACGGGGATCAAACCTGCAACCTTGGTGTTATTAGCACCCCACTCTAAGCAACAAAAGAACCTTGAAAAGTGTAGTTTAGGTGACACAGAGCTACAGTTCCCAGCACCCCAGGGAAACCACAGTTCCCAGGATTCTTTGCAGGGAGAGCCACAAGGACTGTGAATGTGGCATTAGGGGGCCAAGGAAATCCCTAAGTCTTGTAGTTGTCAGGAGGTCCCTGGCTGGAATCTCCTCTCTGCCCTGAACTGGCCATGTGGCCTTTGGGAAACGTCAGCCCCCAGCTCAGCATTTATATCTCTCCATGGAGCTCAAGGTGGTATACGTGGCTCTCCCTCTTCTATATCATCCTCACCACAACCCTGTGAGGTGAGTTAAGTTGAGAGACTAGGACTAGCCCAAAGTCACCCAATTTAATGACTGAGTGGGGATTTGACCCTTGATCTCCTGGGCCTTAGAGGGTAAATGCAGGGCTGGATTTAGGTTTGATGAGGCTCTAAGCTACTGAAGGTAATGGGGCCCTTTATATGTCCAGCTGTATCAACAACAAATTGTCGCTGTTTTCTGTGTTGAATATATGCTATATGGTAATTTATGGACCTAAAAGGTATCTAAAGCCATTTGCACATAACAAAATATGTATTTTATCAAAGTAATTGTTGAACTGAAATACAATTAAGAAGTAGTATATTAATAGTGGGGGCGCAAGAGAGTGGAGCCCTAAGCTATAGCTTGTTTAGCTTATACGTAAATCCGGCACTGGGTAAATGTCAGAATCGGCTCTCTTCCCTGCAACCCAGCCACACCCCATCAGTCCTGAGCTGTGGAACTTCCAAAGCAGAGAACTGCCTTTTGCTCGGCTTTGACTGGGCACTAAGCAGGCCGTTCCTTTTTCATAGAGTCTACCTGAAGAAGAAGAACAGAAAGCTATGTGTTGACCCCAGCAAAGAATGGGTCCAGAAGATCTTGAAGTGTTTTCCACCACCATCATAGAGACAACATCCCTCCTGCTCCTTGCTCCCTCCTCCTTCTCGTCAGGAAGAGAACTGGAACCAAGTTTCAAGCTGTTTTGAATGCCAGAAAATCAGGCTTCTGCAATATGATTAAAGGGAGTAGTTCTGAGCATGTGCAGAGTGTCTTTCTTTTAAAATTGCATATTTGAGTGTTTAGATTGCAAGTGTGGGGGGGTGGGTGCTTAAGGGTCAGCTGGAGTCATGGCCCTTTTGAGTTTTGTCCTGGACAGAGGCAGAGTGGAGGGCTAGCCGGGGGGGGGGGGGGCTCAGCATTTTCAGCCCAGGCAGCGACAGGGAGAGAAGCTCCCCCAGCTGGAAATCCTTCTGCAGCACACTCTGTTAAAAAGCTCAAGATCCCTAGATCCTTTTCATTGGGAGAGGTGTGGGTTTTTTTAATGCAAACTCATATTTTTATTTTTGCATGAAATAAGATCTGAGCCAGAGACAGGGGTGCCAACTTGAATAAAGTATTGGGAGGGGGAGCAGGTAAGCCCTGCCCCACATAACTGATCACATGACATGTCACACACACACACACACACACAGTTTGAATGGCAATGTTCATCAACTTGAGTGGAGCTCTAATATTTTATTGAGGGGTGTGGCTGAAGGGACTTTGGCCCCTAGGATTTGGCTCCTATGGCCAGGAGGATCTTGCTGCTACCTTCAGACAGGTGTGTCACTATAGCCTCTATTTCTATGGTTAAAAGCACCCTCTAACTGTCAATCATCTCCATGATGTCACTCATTGGCTAAAAACAGCGATAGACAGGTGCAGACTCATATCACACAATCAATTGGATAGCGTCTTAACATTTTGAGCAAGGGCAGCCAATGTGATGCCCGCTGGATGCAGGCGGTGCTGTGGTGCAAACCACTGAGCCTCTTGGGCTTGCTGATCAGAAGGTCAGCGGTCTGAATCCCCGCGATGGGGTGAGCTCCCGTTGCTCTGTCCCAGTTCCTGCCAACCTAGCAGTTCAAAAGCATGCCAGTGCAAGTAGATAAATAGGTACCGCTCCGGCGGGAAGGTAAATGGCGTTTCTGTGCGTTCTGGTTTCCGTCATGGTGTTCCTTTGCGCCAGGAAGCTGTTGAACTACACCTCCCATCATCCATCCTGACCATTTGTCAGAGCTGGTAAATGTCGGTTCTTTATCTCCCCCTGCCTGGCCACCAACCTGGATGGCTTTAAAATAGGATTAGACATATTCATAGAAAGTAGTGCTCCCCAGGGGGTACTCAAGGGTACACAGTACCGGCACCTCTTCTTGCTGATAAAAAGTATGGCACTTACTGTAACAACTTCATTGTGAGTACCGGCACCTATTGCTCCAGGAAAAAAGCACTGATGGAGAGGGTGATTGATGGCTGCTAGTCATGATATGTTATACTCCAGACTATTATGTTATACTCCCTCTGCCCCTGAATAACCAGAAACAAGGGGAACAACAGCAGAGGAGGAGTGGTGTTGGCCCAATGTGCTGCTCTTGGGTTTCCCAGAAGTATCTGGTTGCACAAATTGAGCTGGTGGCCCTCCATCACTACATTTTCCTGGAGGAACATGCTCCCTACTTTAACTGTGCTCCTCTATCATTCTCCACTCCACATTTTTCTAAACTCAAAAGCAATGTTGCAGCCTTTCCTTCGCATCCTGTCTCTGTTTCATGGGGTGCTGGTCCCTTGCCACCTCCTCACTGAGGAGCTGCGTAGGCAGAAACTGACCTCCTTCTCATGAAATTTCCTTCCTGGAAATGGACTTAATCTTTCAATTGCACCCAGCTTCCCTTTTCCATTAACAGCAGACACGTTTGCCACTATGGTATCATCTCCTCAATTCTGGAGATGGAAATTACATAATCACAGATCACTGAGTTCATGGAAACTCGCCTTGATGAAACTGAACCAAACCCAGTAAACAAAAGAAAAGAAAATGGAAACCAGTTTATGAAGGTCGAAAGCAAGGAGGGTTACAATGAAGAGGCTTCAAAAGACTTTTCTCCATGAACCACTTGAAGATTGCAGAGGGCACTACAAGCTGTCATGGCGATTGCAGTGCTCTGTACTAGATGCTTTCTGGCTTCTTAAATTTATTGCCTTGTGTTTTATTTAATTTTATTTTTGCTGATTCATCCCGTCATTTTGTTCTCCACACCCAAATATTTTATTGTTTTTATTTATGCAAGAAGCAACCATCAACATTCAACAGTTCCCACCCCACAGAAGGATCAGGTGCCTATTTAATTACACTTACCTTTTTTTAAAAAAAAAAATAAACCTGAAATGACTTTAAAGATATCATTCCACAAGTTGCTATATGTCTTCAGAGGCTTTTAACTGTATTAAAGTATGGAACTCACTTCCACCAGAGGTGGTCATGGCCACCAGCTTGGATGGCTATTAAAGAGGATTAGACAAATTCATGGAGGAGGAGAGGGCTATCGATGGCCACTAGATGTACTCTTCTTCCTCAGTTGGAGGGAGCAATGCTTCTGAATACCAGTAGATGGAAATCACAGGCGGGAAGAGATGCTTTTGTGCTTGAAACCTGCTTGCTGGTTTCACTCAAACCTTCCGAGAGATCAGGACTCGATGGGCCACTGGCCTGATCCTGCAGGCTTTTCTTATGTTCCTGCATGAGAGTAACACCAAGTCTCCCCACCTGTGATTCCCAGCACCTGGTATTCAAAGACATTCTGCTCTGATTGGGGAGACACAAACATCTACTAGCCCTTGTGACTAGTAGCCATAGCTAACATCCCCACCCCACCGCCAGGCATTGGTCTAATCCTCTTTTAAAGTCATCCAAGTTGGCCATCATTACCTCATTACCAACAAGTTGCTGCCACAGCCGTACGACGTCCATGGCCAGTGTAGGGAGGGCCAAAAGAATGGACACAGGAGACTGATACAGTATTAGGTTGAATTAGGCCACAACTTTATTGATTACAGGGAAGAGTCAGTTTGGGAAAGCGTTGGGCATGTATACAACCCTCTGCAGTGCAGAAATCACAACGAAGGAATATTTTCCGTGCACAAACTGTTGCACTTGTATTACCCTGCTCACCATTTTTCTAAACGCAAAAGCCCCAAGTGTTGCATCCTGCCTCTATATCGTGGGATGTGGGTTGCTTGCCATCCCCCAGTGTGGGGCTGTTTGTGTGGAAACTGCTGACCTTCTCATGAAAGGTTCTTCCTATGAAATGTGCCTCATCCTACATCAGCCGCCTTCAATCGCTACATCTTTTGATTGTGCCCAGCTTCCCCTTTCTGCTACCCATGAAATGATTTACCCCCATGACATCATCTCCTCAGTTCTGGAGAAGCTCTGTGTGTGTCCTCTCTGTGCCACACCTTGTGACTTCCGCCAAAATACTATATAAGAAAAGACCTGGAGGAGCATTAGGTACTGAGCAGCTGAGAAAGCCTTTTGGTCAGTCCTCAAATCTGCTCCTCATCACTAGACAACATGAAGATCTCTTTGGCTGCCATAACTGCTCTCCTTGCTGTGGTCTTGTTCTCTGTGGCCACTGCTGCCCCAGGTAAGTCAATTCAACTCCTTATCTCTCCACGTGATTCTCCTAGGAGATTTGGGACACTCACAGGGGCTTGTGGTGACTTTTCTTGGTCCTTGATGGGCTTGGGGATGCTCTAAGATGAGGTACACTTGTGAGTGTAGTACAGGAGCTTGTTCTTTGGGGATAAAGCACTTTGAAATGGGGAGACATGGTGAGGGGCATCAGTCTCTTCATCTAAAAAGAATTAAAAAGTTTCATGGAGAGCAATGTCTGCTGTGACCCTCTTCAGCTGACCTGGAAACCTACTGGAGTTGTCAGTGCTTGTTCCGTGGCATTGATTGACCTGTGTTTGGACATTAGCTGGAATAAGGAGATAAGAATGCAAGAAGAGCCATGCAGTCCAGAACCCTGTTCTCACAGTAGCCAACCTGATGCCACAATGGGAAACCCACAAAAGCAACTCTTCCCTCCTGTGGTTTCTGGCAACTGATTACTGCCTCCAACTGCAGAGGCAGATCATAGCCACCCTGGCTATTAACCATCAATAACCCTGTCCTCCATGGATTAACCTAATCCTCTTTTAAAGCCATACAAGTTGGTGGCCATCACTAGGGTGGGCCATCTCAGGCATGTTCCAACCAGTTTGTTGGAGAGGTGGCCCAGTGCCATACTTAATGGGGAGGTGTTTTTGGTTGAGCACACCCCCTTGATGCAATTCATTAACCCAACGTGGAAACATCTTATCTTAGATGGTGGGAAAGAAAAGACATAGACACATCCATGCAGCAGGTGGAGGGGGGGAGGAAAAGGTTGTTCCAACAGTATTTATAACAGTATTTATATTTGCATTTATAGCAGTAAGTTCTGTTGTCAACCACCCCAGGACCTTATATGGATAGGGTAAGAAATCTTAGAAATGAAATGAAAAAGTTTGAGGCATGGCAGCTACATGGAACCCACATGTTAGGAGGGCCATGCTTCTCTCCCTCCCCCCCCCCCCCATTTCATCCCTATGAGATCCTCTTCATTTCACTGGGGCTTCGTCAGGAGACCTTCCTTGGAAATTATGCCCCATCAAGCCCAGACCCATCTGTGGCCCACCATGCAGAGTGTGGCCTCTGTGTCTCGTGGTTGGGTTGCCCATGACAGCTTTTCAATAGAAGTGGGGAACTTTTTTCAGACCGAGAGCCACATTCCCTTCTTGGGGGGGTTCACATACCCAAAGGTAGTGAGTATGGCCAGAAGGAAAGTGGGGAGGAGGGGAAGCACGGAATGTGCCTCTCAGATTCGTACAGCAAAATATATCCCAGCCACACACAGAAAACCAGGGTTTCCCCCTACACACACCTCCAGTCTCCAATTCTCTTCGCCTTCCTCGATCCTAGCACATGAATCATCAGCCAGGTCCAGGGAGAATTCTGAGGGCCACATACTCACGATGGGCCACATTCAGAAGGAGGTGCCTAACTGCTGCCAATAAATATAAGGGATAGAGAAAGGAAGAGGATTGCAGTCCCGTCCCGTCAAGTGGATGATGGTGCCTCTGGTGATAGCTACTTTGCATTTAATACATTTACTAATTTTAGTCAACAAATCACAGTACCTGGGTTTGATGGGCTCAGGGGTGCTCCAAAATGAGGCACCTTGAGAGAGTCTGTGTAGCACAGCAGTTAAACGCAAGAGCAAGACTTGTTTTGTTTTCTGCACAATGGAAATTGGGTATAGACAGGATAAAGGGCACCACACTTTTTATTAAAAGGAATTTAAAAAGCAACACTTTATTCAGAGAAATGTGTGGCAGTGATCTTGTCTAGTAGACTTCAAAGCCTACCAGAGCTGGCAGTGCTTGCTCCTTGGCCTTGATAGGCTAGGGTTGGGCACTCGAGGAAGGTGGAGAGCAGGGAGAGAGTTCTGAGGGCCAGAGGGAGAGTCCTGAAGGGCCACATTCAGCCAAGCCTGAAGTCCCCCACTCCTGCTTTTAAATGCATGAGCCTCTATGGACAGGTAAGATGGGGGTAACCCTCCGGTCAACTGGAATGATGGTGTCTCTGGTGATAGCCACTTGGTTTTTAATGAATTTAGGAAATAAATAACAATACCTGCTTTCCCCACCTCTTATAGCTGAGGCAGAAGCAACTCCCTGCTGCACACAGAATTCCGAGAACGCATTCCTAAAGGCTAGTGTGAAGGATTATTTCTACACCAGCAACAGATGTTCTCTGCCTTCCATAGTGTAAGTTTCAGAGGCCGGGCAAGAGCCCAAAGAACAGTGGGTGAACGTGGTTCAAAGGATGAAGGGTGAAAGATGATGATGACAAAAGGTTCCAGCATTTGGGGGGGCTATTTTGAGTTTGGGGGAGACAGTGCTAGAGGAGGAAGACACACTGACAAAATCATGAGTAGGTCTGAGAGATACGGAGGAATTGTCACAGGAATTGTCACCAGGGAGCCAAGATGGGTTGTGTCTTCCCACAAGGGATGGTAAAAACTCTCCAGTTCAGCTTCTGAGCCTTAAGTTCAGGTCAGTCAATTTTTCAGAGGTATGCATATATATATATGCATATATATATATATAGCATGTGAATTTTTAGACAAATGTTGCATATTACAATCCATGCATTTATGGAAGCAATAAGTTGTACTTTTGTACATTATCACCATTAACACAGACATATTTGTGTGTATGGTTTCGTGGGAGAACTGGATTGCAAAATTCAGAGAGGTGCACATTTTGAAGGAGAGGTGCAATTCAGTGGGTGTTTTGGTTGGGAATTTGGTGGGGCTTTTATTACATTGTGAATAGGAGAAATTTCTCCCTCCTCTCTACACCCTGTGAAGGGTGGGCCTGGCGCCTTTTAACGTGGGAGGCACGTTTCTCTGCCTGTTTCTCCAGATTCAAGAGAAGAGGGGTCCTCACACAAATGGAGAATTCAAAGAGCATACTCAGTGACACATTAATGATGTCTGTTTCTTTCCCTGACAGGTTTATATTCAATAGTGGGACGTCAGCCTGTGCTGACTCAAATGCTCAGTGGGCCAAGGATCTTGTGGCATATCTAGGCAGTGCTATGAATACCACAGCCATTCCTGCCACTACCACCAGCGCATAGACCTCATGAGGAAAACGCAGCCTGAATCTCAGCAAGCCCTTTGCCCCTTCAATGGGCCTCCTCTCTCTCTTTCCCCACCTCGAATTCTGGCCCCTTCATGGCTGAACAGATTTTTCATCCAAGGGATTCTCTGCCAATCAAGCAGACAACCTGACTTCTGGGAAAGGCTCTCCCAGAAAGTGTTCCCTGAAGTCAGCAAGTGTCCCTTTCTTAGCTGCTGGAATGATATAATTTACACTATTTGAGGGTTCTTTTGTTCACATAAAAAAACATCCATTTCCAAGCAGCTTTGCCAAACCTGGATCGAGTTCATCCATTTTGTTGAATTGTTTTTAGCTTCAAAAGCGCAATTAATTGGCCTTGTTTTGAATTCCATTGTGGTATTATCTTACTTGGTGGGGTCATGCAAACAGCTATTCTGAACTATGCTTTTTGGAGGGGTGGGGAGGGGATGTTGGGTATGAGGTTAATGGAGCCAAGGGGGCAGAGGCCCCAAATGGGTTGGAAACCAGTGAGTTAGTGTCCTCACTGTGGAAGTGTAGGGCAGACCTCTGTTCTCAAACACACATTTTCAGGAAGGAGGGAGCTTGGAAAACTGAGGCCAACAGCCCTGACAGTAAATGAGGTTCTAACCAGGTGCTGAGCTTAACATCAGGCCAATGGCTCATCTATCCCAGCATCCTGTTCTCACAGTGGCCAACCAGATGCCCCCAATAGGAAACCCACAAGCAGGACCTGATCACAAGAGCAACTTTCTCCTCCATTCATTTTCTCAATCATCATTTAAAGCCATCCAAGTTGGCTGCCATCACAGCCTCCCATGGGGGAAGAGCTCCATAGATGAATACTGCCTGGAGGATTTCTTTACTGGGATGTAATCCATTGGAACAGTCAAGTACAACATTCCTTATTTCCCTAGAGTGGGCACAGGCAGGGGGATGTTACTCCAGTCAGTGTAACTTCCTCTTCCACTGGTCTGGAGCATCCTCTCCCTGCATGTGATCTGGCAGATGGACGTGGCCCTGGCTGACTCCATAAAAGAGCTGAGTCACACAGCCATTTTCTCTCTATTGGCTTTCTCTTGCTGCTCTCTTGCTGCCATGCTGCTCTCCTGCAGCTATTTTGTTCTCTTAATGTAATTTTGCTGTCTGCTGGCTCTCAGCCAGCAGGACCTGAGCTCAATCTCCATATGAGATGAACTGATGAACTCACAGTTTGTCACATAACTGCTAGTTAAAGTCTGCCTTTCAGGGATCAAATCGTGAACTGAAATGTGAGTAAACTTCTGGTTACTTTATGCCTTTATTCTTTTAAGAGGGATAAAAGGGGACAGCAGGAATAATCCATCTGGGCAAGCCAGATTGGGTTACTTAACCAAAGAGATTCAAACGAATCTGCAAACTGGCTTCCTGCTATATTGAGGGGAATCTGCTCTGCTACATCACTCACTAGCGTGAGTGAAGGAAAGATAATACTTATTCAATATATCCTTTCCTACTATCCTCAACATTCCCACAAGAGGAGCAGATCATACCTTGACACACACACAGTCTGACAACAAAGAACTGCAAACCAGCAAGAGCCACACAGTCCTGAGTGAGAAGGTAGAGTGGTTTTATTTGATCCGTGTGCTGAGAGGGTTGCAGAAATTCAGCAGGAAGGACAGAGGGTGAGAAAAGGACCCTTTCCAAGTACAGATACCAAAAAGGCAGAGAAGGTGTTCATTTGACAGGACTCCATTTGTCAGAGGATTATTTTTTATATATATAATAGAAAAACACACAATTCCACACCAAAATGTACACCGCTTCTGGGGGGAGGACACGAGTCTTTATTCCCTCCTCCCGTGTTGATTGTCCATGTAAGAAATTCAGAGCTGTACATAGATGCAGACTGTAAGACTTCAAAACGCCCCCTGAAACCCTCCTGTCTCTTTGCACAAAGAGGTCACCCAGGACTTCACATCTGTGGCAGGACAAGAATCCTCAGAGTCAGGGCTAGGAAGAACCTTGCCATCCCAAGACCACCATTCCTTGGCGCACCAGCTCTTGAAAGCATTGGAGGGGTCATAATCTTCTGGTGCTTGCAACTTCATCACCCAGCCTGAGTTTTATCAAGAACTACAGCTGTGTTTGACTGTCCAGACTGGTTTCCATTTGCTTAGGTGATCTCACCCCTCTGCCTTTCATGGCAGAAGTTCAATAGGCATAGAGGGAACTTCTCTATGGTCATCAGCTGTGTCCTAAGAGGCTGCTGATGCTGCATTTTGCAACCCAAAGTTCAAGCAGTTCAGAGTTTGAAATGCGATCCTTTGAGATAATCACTGGACAATCTGTCCCCAGCTCCAAGCTCAGGGCTGGGATCTGAAGGAGACACCGCTGCAGTGTTGCTGCAGGGGGTTGCACCAGATGACTTCTTACTCAGCAATCCTATGATTCCAGCCAGTTTGAAACTGGTTCAGGGATGCTGCTTTCCCACTGGAGCAATTATTAGTCAAAAACTTTCACAGAAACACAACCCTACCCCTGGAGTTTTTCAGCCTGGAGCACTAAAAGCTTTGAAATGGGTCTGCAGTACCTTCCAAGTTACGAGACCACCGCTGACTCACTCCAAATCATGGTATCACATCAGTAGGAGGGATTTTTTTTTTAAAGAGGAAGTTGAAAGTGTTTTGGGTGACCTCGCTTTCTAAGACTTTTGAAACAAACTCCACAGAGAGAAGGTTCAGGAGCTGAGGAGGGAAGCCCAGCTCTCTCACCCCTCAGGACCAGCAGACCTAACCATCGCCTGAGCGCCTCTTGAGAATGAAAGCTCAAGATCTGGGTGATGAGTACAAGTCCCACTCCCCACTTTCTTTCTGACAGGACAGCAAACAAAGCAGATCAAGTGCGAAAATGTGAACCTGTGCTGTGCAACGTCAGCAGTGAAAGTCGTGCAAAAGGCCCCCATGGGATAATATACACTGCACACACAGGGCACGCCATTTGGCACCCCATCCTGTTCCCCTATGTAAATATTTCTCTCTTTCCACACCTTGACTTAGTGAAACTGGACTACTCAGCTGCCATGGAGCTCCCCTATCCCCCAAAAAGCCATGGGTTTGCACCCAAGAGCTGGGAAAGAGAATGTGAGTGTGTTGGATATGGTGTGTGTGTGTTGGCGGTGTTGGCGTGTATGGTGTATGGTTGTGGTGTGTGTGTGTGTGTGTGTGTGTGTGTGTTTAGGACATCAGACTTGGAAGCGCAGGTGTGAGCAAGTCCTTGCCTTTTCTGTTTGAAATCCACACTGAACACTGAACAGGCGACACATGCACTTCCCACCCACCCCTTTGACTTGGAAACACTTGCCACAACCGACCACGTTCCACAAGACACAACGGCAGCGCGCACAATTTTGACACACACACACACAGGGTGGCAGCAGCACTGAGGGGTGCTTTGGAGATCCCAATGGGGGCGAAGGAGAGAAGAAGAAGAAGGGGCACATAACACACTCCTAACGATATTTGGTTCATCAAATGGACCGCTCCAGTGTGGGGTTTATTGTCCACAAAACCACAAGCCACCAACACGCCCAACCGTGTGGCAGGAGAAAGCAGGCGCCACAGCTGGAAAAAAGCCAGGCAGCCCTTCAAGCAGCAGATGCCACCTTTGCCTTCCTCTTCTCCAGGGAATTTTCCTTCCGTAAATGTTTCCGGAGAGAAGCCACGTTCGCCTCCTTCTTTGCTGATGTCCCTGTCCGTTTTCCATCTCTTTAGAAACATGGAAATCTGAGGCCAGCTATATCAGTGGGCCGCTGGAATGGAAAAGACCTTTCAGGCACTTCAGAGAGTCTCTCTGCAAAGCTGCCTGCTGACCACCTCTGTGCTTGGATGGGTTCCTTCCATCCCCGAGAGAGTTGTCTCCACTGTCGGTGCAGCCATGGGGCTTGGAAACCAACCTGCACTTTTTTATTTGAAAAGCAGGTTTAGGTGCTGCCTGGGGTCCCCGCCCCTGCTCTGTGGTATGAGCCGGACCCCTTATTGCACGCTTCAAAATGTAGTATACATGTACAGCTCATTTGCCCGCCCAATGCACCAACCACCAGAAACCGCAGCAGGCATGCCCCGTTTTCTCTGCTCTCCACATTTCGTCAGCAGATACACAAATAGGGGAGCACGCAGGGGTGTCCCTTCGGAAGACAGACACCATTGGAGCTTGGGGGAGCCCCCCCCGGCCCTTCCCTGCCCAATTTGGACCCCAGAGCCGCCCAGGCAGCTCTCAAAGCGCCGGAACCCAACACGCTCATCACAGGACGCAGGAGCCACGACGGCACCCTCCCTGATGCCCGCTATGGGGCAGACTCGAACTTGGGGATCCCCCCTCTGCCCCACGCAATGGGGGGCAGGAGCCGGTCATGGTCCTTGTCTGACTCGGGCTGGCTCTGGGCCCGTTCCGGCTTGGGGGTCAGGGAAGGCGGGTCAGGCTGCTGGACAGAGAGAGTCCGCCGGAGGTGGTTCCGTTTGCGCAGGAAGTCCGGCTGCGAGTGGAGGCCGAAGCTGCCCTTGCGCAGGATCATGCGCGAGTTGTTCTTCTTGGGGCGGGAGCGCAGACTGGACTCCAGCGAGGCCAGGTGGGCTGCGTAGCCTTCGCTCAGGAACTGGAGGCAAGAGAAAATGGAGAAGGACAGAAATCGGCAGCATTGAAGGCAGTTGGACTAGACCCTTGGGGTACCTTCCAATTCTACAATTCTATGATGATTCTAGAGGGGCTGGGAGTTGGGGGTACTGTTATACAGTGGTTCCGCTCCTTCCTCCTGGACCGTGTCCAGAAAGTGGTGTTGGGGGATGAGTGTTCAAACCCCTGGGCTCTCATGTGTGGGGTGCCTCAGGGTTCTGTCCCCTCCCCCATGATTTCTAACATCTACATGAAGCCTCTGGGAGAGATCATCAGGGGGTTTGGGCTGGGTGTTCATCAGTATGCGGATGATACCCAGCTCTACATCTCTTTTAAATCAGAACCAGTGAAGGCAGTGAAGGTCCTGTGTGAGTGCCTGGAGGCAGTCAGATTGGCTAACAGATTGAGGCTGAATCCTCACAAAACACAAGTACTGTTTGGGGGTGGACAGGGGGCAGGCAGGTATGGAGGACTCCCTGGTCCTGAATGGAGCAAGGACCAGGTGCACAGCCTTGGAGTCATTTTGGACTCACAGCTGTCCATGGAGGCGCAGGTCAATTCTGTGTCAAGCGCAGCTGTCTACCAGCTCCATCTGGTACGCAGGCTGAGACCCTACCTGCCCGCAGACTGTCTCGCCAGAGTGGTGCATGCTCTAGTTATCTCCCGCTTGGACTACTGCAATGCGCTCTATGTGGGGCTACCTTTGAAGGTGACTTAGAAACTACAACTAATCCAGAATGCGGCAGTTAGACTGGTGACTGGGAGTGGCCACAGAGACCACATAACACTTGTCCTGAAAGACCTGCATTGGCTCCCAGTACGTTTCCAAGCACAATTCAAAGTATTGGTGCTGACCTTTAAAGCCCTAGACGGCCTCAGCCCAGTATACCTCAAGGAGTGTCTCCACCCCCATTATTCTGCCCGGACACTGAGGTCCAACTCAGAGGGCCTTCTGGCGGTTTCCTCACTGTGAGAAGTGGCGTTACAGGGAACCAGGCAGAGGGCCTTCTCGGAGGTGGCACCTGCCCTGTGGAACGCCCTCCTATCAGATGTCAAGGAAATAAACAACTATGTGACTTTTAGAAGACATCTAAAGGCAGCCCTGTTTAGGGAAGTTTATAATTTTTGATGTTTTATTCTGTTTTTAATCTGTTGGGAGCCGCCCAGAGTGGCTGGGGAAACCTAGCCAGATGGGCGGGCTATAAATAATAAATTGTTATTGTTATTGTTACAAGAATGTGAGGACTGAGGTGCTGTTTCCTGAAGTCCAAACCACCCAGGGCAAGGGAGCAGAAGCCCATTCACAACTGTCCTTTTCACCCTTTGAACTTGCCCCTCGCAAAGAGTCAACTCTCACATGCACTCAGTCAGTAACTGGAGAGGCAAATGCAGAAAAGTAGGATCCTACCCTTCTTCACAGCCATGCTGCCTTTTAAAATTATGCAATAATCTTATAGTTATACAACAACAATAACAAATAGGGCTGCAGTGTAGTTAAAGCAGATTGATTATGATTCCTGCAATGCAGGAGGTTGAACTAGATGACTCTAGGGACCCCATCCAACTCCTTGATTCTTTGATTCTGTGAGATTTCCTTGCCTTGCCTTTCAGCTACATCAGTGGGTACCACCCCCTGGGGGGCAGCAGGATTCCCTAGGGGGGTGGCGAAGAGGCAAGCAGATAGTAGAGGGGCACTGGATCAATTTCATCCAGTTTGCTTACTCCATTAAACTAAACAGCATCTGAAGAAGTGTGTATGCACACGAAAGCTCATACCAATAACAAACTTAGTTGGTCTCTAAGGTGCTACTGGAAGGAATTTTTTTATTTTGTTTTGACTACAGCAGACAACACGGCTACCTACCTGTAACTAGTTTCATTTGGATTTTGAATAAACTTGCAATTAATTCTTATTGTTTTGAATTGTGTGCTGCATTATTACTTTGCACGGTGGGTTGCACAAACTGCTATTCTGAAAAATACCTTTTTATGGGGTTTTGAATAAATGAAGTGCAACTGTTTTGAATTTTATTGGGGTACTCACCCTGGTCAGTCACCGAAATTGACTCATTCATTCATTGGGTTATTATCGTCCTTAGTGGATCATGTAAAGCGATATTGTGAATGATGCTTTTAAATATATATAGCGCACAGGGAGCACTAGGGATGAATTGATGGAACCAAAGGGGTGGTGGCCCCCAAAGGTTCTGGGACCACTGCTCTAAACAAAGAAATAACAAAGTCACCTGACACTGAGCCTGATATTTCTTTGCTGGCCGTCCAACGATGTAGATCTGGGAGGGGGAGAGACCCAGGACGTTGTAAACAGAGATGTCTTTCATGGAGCCATAGGCAGCACAGATCTTGATGTGGCACTAGGAGAGGATGGAGAAATGACAAAGCTTCAGCCCCTTTTCATCACATTTTGGCCGGTTGCCTCTTCGACTCACTTATTTCAGGCCTTGAAGCACCAACCCCAGAGGGATTCTGGTTTGCTGCTATGGACACGCTCTCCGTACTCTCTCCAGGGACAGAAGGGGTATACAAGAGACAAATTCATGGAGGAGAGGGATACCAATGGCTGCTAGCCATGCTATGCTCTACCTCCACAGCTGAAGGTAGCAATGCTTTTGAATACCACGGGAGGGGAGAGAGTTCTTGGGCTCCGATCCTGCTTGCTGGTTTCCTGCAAGCATCTGATTGTCCACTGTGAGATGCTGGACTAGATGGGCTGCTGGCCTGATCCAGCAAGCTCTTTGTATGTTCTTATGTTCCTATGTTCATAATGTCCAAAATTTGCCCCTGCATGCAGTTTGAAGCATCAGGACTGAGCAGGAGATATTCATCCGAGCCAACGCTGGTGCCAACTGCACCGGAAGGTCAGTGCCCAGTCGGCAAAGCCCCAACCAGAACTAAGGATGGGTGTGGATTTGATCCGAACTCCCTGAAACAATTTTGCAAACTGAAACAAAACTCTCACTTCTCTGAATTTTGGAGTGAAGTTATCCAACGACAAAAAAGTGCCCCAAAACGCATATACTTGAGGGCCAGTAAATGTGTCTATTTAAAAAATAACAATAAACAATGCGTTATACCAAGGGGGATTGCTTGAATATATCTATATATGCTATATATGCTCTCTCTCTCTCTCTATATATATATTTGTTTGCTTATTGCATTTGTACCCCCCCCCCACCTCCATTCCCAAAACCCTCAGGAGGGGAGGTCCCCACCCATCTGTCAGCTACCTCTTGCACCAGGTTGCGGAGGAAGATGGTCTTCTGCCTCAAGGGGTCGTGGACAAGCCCATCCGAGAAGAAGATCATCCCTTGGGGAAAGTTGTGCTGAGAGAGCCAGGAGACGACCCGCTGCTTCTGCATGTCCGGGCGCCCTGTGATGTAGATGATCAGGTAGCCCAGGTCTTGCCAGTGTCTGCAGTATGCAGGGGACACACACACACACACAGAGAGAAGGTGCTCAAATCCCAGAGTGCTCATTCAGAAAAGGGCAACCCAAATGAAAAATGACTCCACTATCAAGAAAGGTTGTGGCATTTTGGACTTTTCGATTTGGAGAAAAGACAAATAAGAAGCAACATGATAGAAGTTTGTAAAATTATGCAAGGCATGGAGCAAGAGAGTAGGGAAAAGTTTTCCTCCTTCTCTTGTTATGCTAGAAATTGGGGATGTCCAATGAACATTGGGAGATTCAGGACAGATAAAAGAAAGTACTCCTTCACACAGCACAAAGTTAAACTATGGAACTCCCTCCCACAGGAGGCAGTGATGGCCACCAACTCGGATGGCTTTAAAAGACAATCAGACAAATTCATGGAGAAGGAGAAGGCTATCAGTGGCTCCTAGCCATGATGGTTATGTTCTGCCTCCACAGCTGGAGGCAGCAATGCTTCTGAATTCCAGTTGTTGGAAACTGCAGGTGGGGAGAGGGCTCTTGTGCTCAGGTCTTGCTTGATGGTTTCCCACAGGCCTCTGGGTGGCTACTGGAAGAAAAGCATGCTGGACTGGGGTGGGTCATTGGCCTGATCCATTGGCCTGTTCTCATGATCCAGCCTGTGGGGTTTCCCAAGGTCAACTGAGCCTCCACCCGGCCTGAGTATGAATTAATTCTGTCCACCGAATAATTTGCTGGGAGCCCCTCACCTGACAACGTCAACTGCACCGGCCCGAACTTTGGGGTCGCTGCCCATGATGGAGACGCTGGCTGCGAAGGACCCATCGATGCTGAAAACCACGCACTCCATCCCCCGGGGGAGGACAGTGAGGTAGCTGACGGCTGTGCTCTGGTCGCCCCTGGAGGGAGCAAAAAGCAAGTACCATGTTCTCTCCAACCGCTGAGCATTTCTTTGGATTCTGCACTGCCACCCCCCTCACCATGGCACACAGACACCCTTCCCAGAACCTCCCAAGCCCTGGGCCTTACCTGACCACCATCTTGATGGGGTAGACACCCACCGCCAGCCTCTTCTCTTTAGGGAAGTTGTAGGAGACCCTCCCGCTGCTGTTGGTGATCTCCGTGTCAAAGTAGACCCAGCGCCCAGAAGAGGGCTCTGTCATAATGAAGATGTCAACCTGGAGGAGGAAGAGAACACCTGGATGCACTTCCTGTTATCCAGTCAGAGAGCAGGAGTACATAAGAACGAAAGATGAACCTTGGTGGGTCAAGATGATGGCCCATCTGGTCCAGCGCACTGTTCTCACAGGGGCCAAATGCCCCTAACAAACTAGGAATGTAGATAGATTGCCTCTGGGCCTGGAGGCTCCAGAAGAGGGTAAAGAACAGCTTCTATCTGTGGGGTGTTAGGCTACTGAATGAAAAGATAACAACAGGGCAACTGACTTTCGGGTTTGCTGTGTGAGTGTCAGTAAACGAGGGGAATTAAGACTAAGAGTGGCTGAGTGGGGGGTGCTCGTGTAATCTCACTCTATACAAGTTGTACAAGTGACAAGAAAGTATTTCAATTTTCAATTTTCAATTTTCAATTTTCAATTTTCAATTTTCAATTTCAGAGCATCAAATGATCCTTGCTGGATGTTGTGGTACAGTGGCAACAGATCCACAGCTGTTCCTCCTGAGACCCCACCCCCCACTCCCCAGCCGTTGTTCTCTGTTGGGGAGAGAACAAGCACCCTACGGCCAGATATTTTTGGAGTACAACTCCCATAAGCCCCAGACTGCAGTGGAAGAGGACAGGGAGGCAACGTTAGTGCCAAGCAGACCAGGCTGTGATATTGGTGCGTTATACGTTGGGCTGTCTCTGAAGATGGTTCGGAAACTTCAGCTGGTGCAGAATTCAGTGGCCAGGTTGCTCACCGGAGCAAGATGGTTTGAACATATTACACCAATCCTGGTCTGACTGCACTGGCTACCAGTTAGTTTCCGGGCCCAATTCAAAGTGCTCGTTTTGACCTATAAACGGCTCAGGACGGCAATACCTCAAGGACCACCTCTTTCCATATGAACCTACCCGGACCCTGAGATCATCTTCTGAGGCCCTTCATTGTGTGCCTCCTCCTCAAGAGGTCCAGAGGGTGGAAACATGAGAACGGGGCCTTCTCTGCAGTGGCTCCCCACCTGTGGAATGCTCTCCCCAGGGAAGTTCTTGGCGCCTTCATTATACACCTTTAGGTGCCAGGCAAAAAGTTCCTTCTTAACCAGGCCTTTGGTTGATCTGATTTACACTCTATGCCCTTTTAAAATGTTTTATTTGGGGGGGGGAGGCTATTGGGTTTTTAAAAATATTTTTATTAGGTATTTTATGATTTTATATCTTGATTTTGTTCCCTGAGACTCCCAGGTATAGGGCAGTATAATAATAATAATAATAATAATAATAATAATAATAATAATTAGTGTGGAGGCAGCCTCTTTCCCCACTTTGCTTCCCAGCTTTGAGTGCTGCCATTTTGCCCAGGTGAAGAGAGTGGCAAGGAGCAGGCAGATTTAAATGAGCCATTAAATCAAAGGGTTGCCACCCAGGAGCTGCCTCCCTTAGACTCTGCACTTCGGTGCAATATGGAACCTGCTAAAAATGCTAAGGATGGGCGGCCTTGCTCTTCCTCTGCCGTCCCACCAGTAAGAAGCCCCCCCTCTGAGAACAAAGTCCCCTTCTGAAGTCTCTTTCACTGCATGGCTGACACACCCCTGTGTTTCCAATTAGCCTTAGCAGGAAGAATGAAGACCGGGGGTGGGGAGGGGGCTTACCTTTTCTCCTGTCAGGGCCACCATGTCAAGGGGGCCGTACATGAAGCGGCCAACCAGGGACTGGGGGCCATCTTCGGCTGCGATGACGTCATTCGATCGGTGGTTGGAAGTCACATTCTGAAAAGGAAAGAAATGCACTCCTGTTTTCTTTGTTGTAAGCTGCGGTGGGTACCGTATTTCTCTCTATGTGTGGGAAAGCAGCATACAAATAAAACAAATGAATGAATGAATGAATGAAAAGGCACTCATCACCCTCAGTTTGACTTGGGTTCTCTTGCGCAGCCATTTCTCTCGGGGGTTCGAGGGACTGAGCATCGCCGGGTCCAAGCTGTTACTCTCCTTGACAGCGGTGGTTTCAAATCTCATCACCTGAAACGAAATGTGAGCGTCTGAGAGGGAAGGCAGCCTCGGCAGCAGAAATGGCGTCATTTTCTTTATAATAATGGGTGGGATTCAACTAGGATGTTGCGTGCGTGGAACAAGGAATTCCAAGGCGCCCTGATGGATTTATTTGTTTATTTATCCATTCTGTTTCATAAAATTCGTACAATTCATAAAAAAGGGCTTTGCAAAAAAATATAAAACAATCAAATTATGGATAATAAAAATGAACAACAATGATTTAAGACATTCAAAAAGTTAAAAAACGGGTTAAAACTCACACCAGCTTTCTAAACATCTCGGTAGACTTGTCTAACCAAGAATGTTTTTAGCAGGCGCCCAAAAGAGCAAAGTGAAGGTCAAGAGGCAGGGAGTTCTGTAGGGCAGGTGCTCCCACACTAAAGGATCGATTGCTTACGAATGCAGCGTGGGTGTTGCGTGGCACTTGTAAACAGTGCTAGTTTGGTCAATCAAACTGGTCGAGTGGTCATGAACTTGGTAAGCCAATCTTGCAGATAAACTGACCCCAAATTGTTAAATTATTCATTTTTTATTACATTTATATTCCACCTGTTCCCCCCTTCCAGGTTCTATGGTTCTCCCATCCTCCATTTTACGTCCGCCCCAAGGTAGAGGAGAAAAAGTGGCCCTCTCACCTGTCTGAGGATGAAGGCAACCACGTCTGTGGACTCCCAGTAGCTGGCATGGAAGAGATGGGGGAGAGCCACTGTGGGGAAAGCCGTAAGGACGTCTGGGCAGTATAAGGCATAATCTATCCTCTTTGCCCCCCACCATTTAGATGTGACTGCAGGGAAACAAAGGAGGTCAGCATCAGCAAGACTGTGCCCCAAAGCTTCCTGTTTCTCACAAGATTCCCTGCACCCTGGATTCCCATTTTTTGTTCAACCAGAAATGGAGAGAACGAGAGAGATCTCCTGCCCTAACCCCCAGAGGGTGGGACTCACTCTGGGTCACGCTAGCAGGCAGCAAGCTCTCCCTCGACCCAGAACTCTCGCTATCGCTGCTGCCAGTGCTCCCTCGCCGCCCCTTCCCTAGAGTGGCGTTGGAAGGCTCAGAGACCCCTGCCAAGGAGAAGGAGGGCAGCTTTGCAGAATTATCTTCAGCAAACAGGGCGCTGTGGCAGTGGAGGACATCCGCTGCAGGGGGTGGAGAGAGAGAGAGAGAGAGAGAGAGAGAGAGAGAGAGAGAGAGAGAGATCAGGTGGCAGGAGGTGTTATTCCAGTCCATCTTCGTCCCCCGTCCCCCCAGAAAACCATGTGTTCATGAGATGCCTTCCTTTGGCTGAGTATTTGGGGAAAGAGGGAGTCTTTTAGGCTACTATTTTGCCCCTACAGTGGTACCTCTAGTTACGAACTGAATTCGTTCCGGAGGTCTGTTCTTAACCTGAAACTGTTCTTAACTGGAGGTGTGCTTTCGCTAATGGGGCCTCTTGCTGCTGCTGTGCCGCCGGCACACAATTTCTGTTCTCATCCTGGGGCAAAGTTCTCAACTCGAGGTAACTCTTCCAGGTTAGCGGAGTTTGTAACCTGAAGCGTTTGTAACCTGAGGTGTTTGTAACTTGAGGTACCACTGTATCTTATCTGATATTGCAGCCTTTTGCTATCTATCTATCTATCTATCTATCTATCTATCTATCTATCTACAGTGATACTTTGGTTCTAGAACTTAATCCATTCCAGGAGTCCGTTCAACTCCAGGAACCATCTAAAAACCAAATCACAGCTTCCAATTGGCTGCAGGAGCTTCTTGCACTCAAGCAGCAGCCGCGTTGGACGTTCAGCTTCCGTAAAACGTTTGCAAACTGGAACACTTACTTCCAGGTTTGCAGCGTTTGGGAACCGATTTGTTCAGCAACTAAGCCATTCAAGAACCAAGGTACCACTCTATCTATCTATCTATCTATCTATCTATCTATCTATCTATTGTTTTAAGCTATTTTTGTAAGTCACCTTGTAGTAGGAAAGGCATGATTTTATTTCTTACATGAATATTGCGGCACGTGGGTACTGAGTGCCACCAGGGTATGCAAACGTCTCATTTAAGTCTACATAGAATCTTTATTCTCAATAGTGATGGGACTCACAGGTAGAGAATTGTTTTTTATTTTTAATGTTTGTAAAGGGAATCTTTGTATGAGGTTAATACTTTATTATCCCTTTGGAGATGTGCTCTAGCTTTATACTTCTGCCTTTCTGGGCTTTGATGCTGTACATTTTTTTTATTCTTTGTCCTCTTTCATTTGTTGTTATATTTGCACTTTTTGAGGTGAGAAACCAATAAAATTGGAAAACTAGAGAAATATGAGAAGTACCTAAGAGGTGGGACTTCCCATCTCCCAGTGGGTAACGCTGGTATCTCGGGACCGTAAATGGAGGCAGGAGGTGGAACTTGTTCTCCAGTAAGGGCTCAAGTCTGGAAGCGGAGGGGTCTGCAGAGTGGAAAAGGCTGTAGACCTGGCTGCAGGCGGGATGCACCTGGGAGGCTGGAAAGGGGGAGAGAGGGAGGGGAGGAAGGAGCCCCAGAATCATCAGAAATTGCCCACAAAATGTCTTGAAGCAGGACAGAAACAGCTGCCAAGCTTGTCCCTACATTCCCAGAGAGGCTGCAGTGGAGGTGGGGTGGGGGTGGGCAGGATGGGGGTCAAATGGGGGACAGGATGGGGGACAGCTTTGAGCTGTCAAATGGAGAAATGGGGCAGCCCAGTGGATTCTTGAATGAGCGGGTGCATCCCATAAACAGCAGGATTTGCTTTTTGCAGAATAATAATCATCATTATCATCATCTCTGCATCTGCATCCTTCAACACAGTAACCATTAATTGCACATTCATTCATTCAGAAAATAAATATATGCTCTGACATATAAAAGAAAGAATATGCAGCAAAGAATATTGCATGAAAAATATTTTTCACACATCCTTACTAATGGAAATGTGAGGGTGAAGGAAATTTAGAGCCTTTAGAGTGTTTGTATATTTAGATTATTTATATATGACTACTTACCAAAAAGCTGGAGAGCTCAGTCAGTAGAGCACGGGACTCTTAATCTCAGAGTTGTGGGTTCAAGCCCCATGTTGGGCAAGAGATTCCTGCATTGCAGGGGGTTGGACTAGATGACCCTTGTGGTCCCTTCCAACTCTACAATTCTATGATTCTATGCGGAAACCTTCACCTACCACAGATGTAAAGTAACTAATTTATAAGAAAATCAATAGCTGTTACCAAAAATTGGCTATCTTGTGACAACTCAACACTGTAATTACAAACAAATGTGACCAATGAAAGCGCTAACAGCAGCAAATTTTTTGAAGAAGTGTGGAAAGTGTTTTGTTCGAGGCTCTAAGGCTGATTAGTCGTAAAGAAGTGATCAACGCGCTTGAAGGAGGCCACCTCCAGAGCCCCCCTACTGCCCCCTTGCCTCTTAGCACCTCTCCAGGTAATTCCCCCCAAGCAACTGGGCTCACCTTCCAGACCAGGCAGGACCGTTCTCCTCATGGCAAGCACCAAACCAAGGGGGGAGCCGAAGAGGAAGAAATCGGAGACTTCAAAGTCAAAGCGTCCCAGGTTGACGTCCAGCAGGTTGGCAGAGGTCTCAGGAGGGAAATCAGCATCCTCACTCATCATTGTGGAGTGGATGCTGGAAAGGAGAGACAGAGAGGGAGAGGAACATGGAAGATGAACGTTGTCCAGACCCGAGATGATCAAGGGTCTGGAAACCAAGCCTTATGAGGAATAGCTGAGGGAGCTGGGTATGTTTACCCTAGAGAAGAGGAGATGGAGAGGGGACATGATAGCCATCTTCAAATATCTGAAGGGCCGTCACATGAAATATCAAGCAAGCTTGTTTCCTGTTGCTCTGGGGTGGGGACAACGACAAACCAAACCAATGGATTTGAATGAGAAGAAAGTCAATCCCAACTTTAGGAAGAACATTCTGGGAGTAAGAGCTGTTCAGCCAGGGGACAGACTCCCTCAGAAGGTAGTGTACTCTCCTCTATCAGAGGCTTTTAAGCAGAGGTTGGATAGCCACCTATCAAGGATTCTTCTGCTGCCAATGCAATTCTGGGCTGCATCAATAGGAGTATAGCATCTAGATCAAGGGAAGTAATAGTGCCACTGTATTCTGCTCTGGTCAGACCTCACCTGGAGTACTGTGTCCAGTTCTGGGCACCACAGTTCAAGAAGGACACTGACAAACTGGAACGTGTCCAGAGGAGGGCAACCAAAATGGTCAAAGGCCTGGAAACGATGCCTTATGAGGAACGGCTAAGAGAGCTGGGCATGTTTAGCCTGGAGAAGAGGAGGTTAAGGGGTGATATGATAGCCATGTTCAAATATATAAAAGGATGTCACATAGAGGAGGGAGAAAGGTTGTTTTCTGCTGCTCCAGAGAAGCGGACACGGAGCAATGGATCCAAACTACAAGAAAGAAGATTCCACCTAAACATTAGGAAGAACTTCCTGACAGTAAGAGCTGTTCGACAGTGGAATTTGCTGCCAAGGAGTGTGGTGGAGTCTCCTTCTTTGGAGGTCTTTAAGCAGAGGCTTGACAACCATATGTCAGGAGTGCTCTGATGGTGTTTCCTGCTTGGCAGGGGGTTGGACTCGATGGCCCTTGTGGTCTCTTCCAACTCTATGATTCTATGATTCTAATTCCTGGATTCCAGGAGGTCAGATTAGACAACCCTTGGTGTCCCTTCCCACTCAACAATTCTATACTCCAACTAAAAGAATCATAGAATTGCAGAGTTGGTATGGACCCCAAGAGCCATCTAGCCCAAGCCCCTACAAAGCAGGGGGTCAGCCCTCATTCTGAAACTATACCAGATCCTCTTAGTTTTACAAATGTTGTAGCACTTTTATTGATGCACCACGGGGTTTGTGAACAAAAAGGCCCAAATTTGTTTTGTGTGCATGTTTAATTTTAATCCTAGTTTAGTTGCATGGTCCTCTTTATTTCCTTCTTTAGTCTTTTATCTTATTGAAGATTGTGTCCTTTCTTGAATAAAGAAACATTAAAAACTTGCAAATAATTAACTAAATAACAACATGAATAGGACATGAATAGGAACTGCTCCCAGGTGCTCATTGAACTTTGGCCTCCAGGCTCCTGGATGGGCCCACCTGAGGCTGCCTCTCCTCCTCTCTCCCCTACCTGGAGAGGAAGGCGTGATGCTGAGTGATGGCGTCACATTCGTAGCTGGAGCAGTCGCTCTGTTTCCGCGGCAACGGTTGCCGGGGCTCCTCGTCCTCCATCATCCCAGAGATGTCAATGTTGCTCTTGCTGAGACGCTTCAGCTCCCCCAGGTTGGAGTCTTCGCCTGAGAGGGGATTATCCTGAAAGGACAGAGAAGTCAGCAAAGGGAATATTGAGTTGCCGTTGGGACGAATGGGGGGGGGGTGCTCAAAAGGGAAGAGAGAACATGATGGGACACAAGAGGAGCTGGAATCATGTTATGTAGAGAGGCCTTCATCCACTAGGGGGCATTCATGGTGCAAAAATCACCAATGTATAGCCATCAAAATCTACTCCTAAAATTTGGACAGGTTTATAGCGGCAGGGAAAGAGTGGGATAAAGCAGGGATGAGAACATGAGAAGAATCTACTGGATCAGGCCAATGACCCATCTAGTCCAGTGTTCTGTTCTCACAGGGGCCAGCCAGATACCCCAATGGGAAGCCCACATGCAAGATCTTAGCAACACTCTCCCCTCCTGTAACTGATTTATTTATTTTATTACATTTACATCCCACGTTTTCCTCCGAGGAAGCTCAAGGTGGTGCACATGGTTCTCTTCCTCTCCATTTTATCCTCACAACACCCTGCAGGGTAGGCTTAGGCCGAGAGTGGCTTACTCGCCTGAGGCCACACCCAGTGAGCTTCATGGCTCAGTGGGGATGGAAATGCTGGTCTCTCCCAGGTCCTAGCCCCACACGCTAACTGCTACACCACACCACCTGATATTGGGTCTCTGGGCCTCTTGCAAAAAGACTTGCAGTTTTTCTTAGTATCCTATTTCTCTACCCTTAATAGTAGTCTGATGGACAGAAATTCAAAAGGTGCAGCTGCAACCACTGTTTCTCCTCCAAAGCTTCCTCAATGTGCTTTTTCGGTGGATAGGAGGAGCACTGGAGTTCCCAAGCAGACGGGTGCCAGGGATCTCTCAGGAAGCCTGCCAGTCCCGACTCCCGCCCTCCATCCCACTCCCAAGAGGAAGGATCTCTACCTGGGCACTGCTGGCACTGCCTCTCCTGCTGCTGGACTGGCTTTCATCTGCCAAGCCGGTGCTGTAGCAGATGGCATCGAACCCCATAATTCCTCCCACGCAGTCCCCAATGAGGCACACCTGGGAAGGAGAAGAGAAGGGCGGCCAAGTTGGCAGGGCATCACCTCGCAGCAAAGTCCCAGAGGCCTCATCTGGACCCACCACCCAGCATGTATCCCCCCCAAAAAATGACTCAAACAATCCCCAAACCCATCAACAAAAGTCAAGAGAGCCTCCACCACAACACACAGAGACAGGAGGATTCAGGTGACGTGGAAATATAAGAACGTAAGCAGATCCCTGCTTGAACAGGCCAATGGTCCATCTAGTCCAGCATCCTATTCTCACAGTGGCCAACCAGATGCCTCAATGTGAAACACACACGCAGGATCCGAGCACAAAAGCCCTCTCTCTTCCTGTGGCTTCCAGCAACCAGCATTCAGAAGCATCGCTGCCTCCAACTGCGGAGGCAGAGTGTTGCCATCCTGGCTAGTAGCCCTGGAGAGCACTCTCCTCCTCCATGAATTTAAAAGAGGCTTATTTAAAAGCCATCCAGATTGGTGGCTATCACTGCTTCCCATGGGAAGGAGTTTTAACTGCAGTGTGAGAAGAATGACTTACCAAAACTTTATAAGTTAACATTTATTTCCCACTGTGTGTAAGGCAGATTTCTACATCGTTTTCAGTTGCCTTAATTCCATTTAAAGAAAGGGACACACGAGTTCAAAGTAGGAACGAGAGAAAGGGAGAGAGAAATGCCCAGTGGTTAGAGGGAAGAACCTTAGCAAAGCTGCCGTCTGTGGACGGGCTGATTCCCCTTAAACCCTGGCCACCGTGTTCTTCATCCAAGAGAGGCATGATCGTACCTGCCCATTAAATCCACTCCCGTCAGGAGACTTGAGAAATTCATTGTAAACCTGGTTGGCTCGGCTGATCACCATGGCAACCGCATCCTGGTACTGCGGGGAGGAGATGGCCAGCAGTGGCAAGGCAGCCAGAGGGATGTGGTCTTCGCTGCTGCTCAGGGAGGTCTCATCATAGCTGTAGGGATTCAGGCTGGGGGGGGGGACAAGGGGGTAAGAAAGGGGACAGCACAGGGAATTAGTCAGGGCTAAAAAGCAGGTGCAAAACCACAAGGGCCATTTACAGCAGGATCCTCATCTGTATTACTTATTTTCAGATTCTCTTTAAAACAACCAAAAAGACTTATTGAAGCAAAACAAATTAATGCAATAAAAATAACAGAAGTACAATAAAGCATCACAGTGTGCCAACAGGAAGGTCAAATTGCAGGTTTCCGGTTTCCTGGGCACCAGGGGATAAATGCCTCTCCCAACCCCATGGAGAGACACCAACAGAGATAATCAGAAAATGATGGGGGAATTACATTTTCTGCATTCCTCTTCGGTTGGAAGAGGAACCTGGCTCTCACCCACAGTTTGCCTGGTGGTCTGGCACTTGCTTCCCCATGGAATGCGAGGGCAGTCAAAGGCACTGGGTGCATGGAGCACTCCAGCCACTGCAACCCCCCCACCCGATCCCGTTCCTGGAAGCACAGGTTATCCTGCTAATTGGGTTTTTTTAATGGGAGTAAACTGCAGGCGTGCGCTGGAGATGATGAGATAAGAAACTGCGAAAATGAACCCAGCTACAAGGATTTAAAAGGTTTGGATTGAGAGGGGATTTAATTCGGTGAAAGAGACAATGAGGGGAGGGGAGCCCATGGTTTGCTTATATCAAAGTTTTTCTCTACATTTATGATACGGAATGCAAGTTTTATTTTAAAAATATCTGTACAAGTGAGGAAGGAATTGGAATATAAATATGGAATTTAACTGAATTGGAACTGCGTATGTGAGAGAAAGGAACTGAGAGGGGGGAGGAAACATTATGCTTTGAAAATATGGAGCAAAGTCCACCCTAACCTCCATTATCCATGAAGGAAAGTGTCTGAGATAAGGACAATTGGCTATAAATCACTGGCAGGGAAGAAAGGAGCTGCGGGAATAGAAGCTTTTGGATTGCAGTCTGGATTCAGGCCATTCTTCCTAGGCTGGAAAAATGGCGAAGACGGCTTGTTTGCTGGAAGCCAAATCACAGGACGAAGTAATGCAGTGACTTTTGGAAACTGTGAGATAATTGCTTCTCTTGAGGCATGACAGGAACCATCAACAGTTGTAGGAATGAAGGATATAACACCATATATGGACGGGAAAACATCATAGGGTATGTGGAACTGACACATAATAAGGATTACAGTTAGAGTTCCTCACTTGAAACTTTATAAATTGCCTTATTTACCAACACAAATGAAATCACAAGATTGTATATGGGATTATTATATCTGAATGGAATGGAAATTATTAAGGATTTGGAAGACACAAAAAATGTAGAAGAATGAAGTCATCGAGTCTAGCACACAGGGAGGGCAGTTTGATTAAATTGTATATTTTGACATTGGAATAATTGGCATTAATAACTGTATTAATTGGATAAAATTGGTATTGTTATAATGAGGCTGCTATTGGAACGATATTAGAAAATCAATAAAAACTTTTTTTTAAAAAAAAGAAAGAAAGAAAGAAAGAAAGAAAGAAAGAAAGAAAGAAAGAGGCCAAATTACACCTTATGCTGTGCAGAAGGAGTCCTGTGTGTCTGTATTTGTTGCATATAAAACAAAATCCCACCAAACAGCACAGAATTTTTCAGGGTCCTCCAAGCCTTTGGCAACACATAATTTATGAGTTGTTTTTTTAGCTAATGCTAAACTCCACATATTTTAATAACAATGCGAAACTTGGAAATCCTGCAAGGTTTCCATTTGGGGGCAACTGAGGTTCTGACAGCTGACAGCATCCATGTCAAGTGTTCCTGAGAGCTAAAACCTTCCAGCTGATCATCCCACAGATTTAATAAACAAAGATGGAATGGGATGTTTGAGTATTTCGGTCGTTTCCTGACAAACCATTGTCCAGAAGTTGAATACTTGTGGGCAGTCCCACCACAAGTGAGAAACGCTGTCTCTTCTTCCACAGCCCCCCCCACCCAAGAGTTCTGAGAATATTTTGTCATCATGTGGGCAGTTTGCACTGGTGTACAGTTCCCTCTGTGTAGGATTTTCCTGGAACACATAATCTGGACTGGCCTATATGGTTTAGATGACCAGAAAATGATGGACTATATGGAACTGGCAGAAATGACTGGTAGAATCCGTGACCAGGGAGAAGAGTCGGTGGAGGAAGATTGGAAGAAATTCAAAGACTATCTGCAGAAACATTGTAAAATTAAAGAATGTTAGAGTGATGTTGGATTGAAAATAAGTGGTTTCTAGCTGTACAGGCTTTAAAGTTATATATAGATCAAGATTAAGGATTAGGATTAAAAAAGTTAAAGGAAATGGAAATTTGGCTTTTAAGAGGTAAAAATTTAATGTTATACTATATTAAGATTAAGGATTGGGATTAAAAAGAGGGAAGAAATTGCTGGACAAACAAATTGAACTGGAATACAAAAGAGGGAGGTACGAGGAGGTCCAGAAAATAAGTAAATTTTAAAAAGGTGATGAAAAGGTGGTATTGTTTTTAACTGTTTTCTTTTTTGTCTTTTGCTTTTTGTTTTTTTTTTTCCTGGATTATGTAATGTGTATTTTTGAACTGTGTATTTTTCTTTTTTCTTTTTAATTTTTTTATTGATGTGTTTTTCTTATTGGAAACTCTAATAAATATTATTTGGAAAAAAAAATAGATGACCAAAGTGCATACGATTTAGAACCCTTGGTTTGCATGTGCAGGTCTTTCTCCCATGTACGTTCAATACCTAATCAATTTGTCTGTATTGCTGAGACTCACCTTGTGCTTCAACACCTCCCAAAGCCAAATAAGTTTTATTTATTTTTATTTTTTTAAGAATGAGCTTTGTTTAGAACTAATGCATGTTCTTACAAAAAGGGGCTGTATAATACAGGTCAATGCTGGAGATGTAATGCTAGAAATGTTTTTCCTGAGCTGTGTTACGTGGGCACATTCAGAGATATCTTCCTTCTTCTCCGAAGTTGTTATCCATATTGGTTTTGTATTGGCCAGATCCTAAATATTTGCAGATAGGATCATAGAATTGCAGAGTAGCGAGGGGCGCTCCAAAGGTCATCCAGTCCAACCCCCAGCAATGCAGGAATCACAGCTCAAGCATCCCTCAGAGCTGGCTTTCCAAACTCTGATTAAAAACCTCCAATGAGTCAAAGAGCTGGAAATTACCCCAAGGCTCCATCTAGTCTAACCACCTGCGATTCAGGAATCACAGCTAAAGAATCCGTAAATCAAACCTAAAGACTCATCATGCCTGTTGCCACAAGGGGGCGGCATTGCCCAGCCTTGGCTATTGGTTCCCTATTACCACCTGCTCCTTCTGCAGAACCCCAGGGCTGGGATCTCTGTTATGATGAGATATGCAAGCTCGTAAGTCAGCGGTGCACTCTGTTCCCATCCTCCAAATCTATCCAAAAGACTCCAGTGCCTGGGATGTGCTGCCTCCAAAACAGCCCAACCGCTCCTGCTGGATCCGTCCGTCTAATGTGGCCACTTTGAAAGGACCTTTGAGACACAGCAGGTATGAAAAGGTCTCGAGGGGAAGTTAGAATATCTGAAAAAATAAGTCAAGACATGGCTCAGATGAGAAAATTGAGTGGGCTGAAGCAATGGAATGAGTGCCATCAGAGCACAGAATCAGAGGAAACTGCCTGATACAGAGTCAGGCCATTGGTCCATCTGGCTCAGTACTGTCTCCAGAAGTTCAATCAGGATCTTTTCCCTAGAGGTGCTGCTGGGGATTGAAGCTGGGACCTTCTGCATGCAAAGCAAATGCTCTACCACTCAGCTATGGCCTTGCAGGCCCAGAAGACGATCAGTTCACCACCTAAGAAACCCATGCAGCCCACCAGCAAGAAGCCACTGCTCCATGAAAGAGAGAATGTGCAAGAGCAGAACAGCAAGGGAGGTCCAGGTGGCTCAAGTAAGCAAGCCAAGCCACTCTCACCTGGCCAGGGGAACCACAGCAGATGCCCTTTGCAGAGTGCAAGAGATGCCTCTCACTCCTTGCTCACACAGGTGTGCTCAGCACCTGTCCCTAAGGAAGCAGCTTTTGCTATGCAAGATTTCTAAATGGCCTTGCAAGAACACTGCTTCCAAGGCAGCTGGTGCTCCTGAGGAAAGACAGATTCGCCATAGGTAGGATTTGCCTTTTGATGCAGACTTGATGGGGAAGGGTCCGGTGTCCAGGCAGGAAGCCTCCTCCCACCAGGGAGTTGGTCCAGGTTGCACAAGCTGAAAAGGTATCCATAACAACGGAGCCCCTAGCAACTGTGTCCAAGCTGCATCCATCTCCAACTCAGGCAAAGGTATTGAGTCCGTCTTGGCAGGAATGCGAGAAGTCTTATCTGCAAAGTGCCCTCCAGGAATTGGTCACCAGGAGCTTTCAAGAGTTATTGGAATCATAGAATTGTGGAGTTGGAAGGGAACCCCGGGGTCATCTAGTCCAACCTCCTGTGATGCAGGAATCACAGCTGGGGCTCCCAAAACCTGCATTCAACAGGCATCTCACCACTCAAAATGCCACCACGATCTGGAGGCAACAGCAGTATTGGCAAACTTAATACTTTTTTTGCAACAATCATTGCCACAGAGCAGTGGGCCTGAAAATGGGCTCTGATCATCGGTCATGTTCACAGAATCACTGAACTGTAAATTTGGAAGGGACTGCTAAAGGACATCCAGTCCAACCCCTATTCAGGATGGGGTTTCTTGCTATTTGCAGATCTCTTCCATGGAAGATCAAGGTGCTGACACTGTCTTACAACTGTTCAGAGGTTGGATCCCCCAGGGCAGAAAGAGTCGCTTTGGCTCCATCCCAATGGAAAGACTGGCCAGCCTCCTTCGGTATTCTCTTAACATAAGAGCCGCCTGCAGGATCAGGCCAATGGCCAATCTAGTCCAGCATCTTGTCCTCACAGTGGCCAACCAGGGACCCCAGTGAGAAACCAGCAAGTCAAATTCCAGCACAAGAGCACTGCCCCCTCCTGTACTTTCCAGCCACTGGTATTCAGAAGCATTGCTGCCTCTGACTGTGGAGGCAGAGCAAAGCAGGGTAAAAACCAGGACACCCCAAAGGTTGTTGAGAGTTTTTTAAGGAAACCCCCAAAATTGTTGAGCTTTTTTTCAAAAAAAAAATTGATTGACTTGCCTAAGATCCAAGACAAAGCGCTGCCTTTCAGAAATTCCCCCCGGACGTCAATTCCGTCTTTGAAATCCCGGTAATGTCTGTGGAAATCGGGACGTATGACAGCCCAAGAGCATAGCCATCCTGGCTCATAGCCCTTGATTGCTCTCTCCTCCTGCATGATTTGGTGGTGGTGACTGTCTCCCTTGGGAGTGATTTCCAAAGTTTAACTCTGCACTGAGTGAGGAAGGGCTTTCCTTTCCCTGTCCTGAATACTGGCCTCCTCTCTGGAGGAAACCTGCTTTCCCTTCTTTGGAGACCTGACATGGTTGCCTCTGGCCAAACTGATCTGGGAGATACCCTGGATTGGCTGGCACAAAGAGGAACGCAAAGAGGACAAGGTGATCTCTAATTATTTACAAAGCAGTTTAACTCAATTAATGTCGCTGAAGGCGCAGCAGCAGCAGCAGAAAATGCCAATTAGGGCAGAAGAGATGTTTTGACATGGGCACCCATTCCATAACTGCCAATTATGGTGATGTGATGATGTTTTGAGGGCAGAGGAAGGAGCAGCTCGGGCTCTGGATTTATTTCACCGTCCGCAGAAGGATTGCTGAAGATTATTCTTTGAAAGGTTTTAATCATAGCTTGTGCAGAGCTGTACGTTAACTCTGTGGCCTGAATCTCTTGAACGTGCCTGCCTTTAACGTCCCAAGTCAGTAGAGCAGGAGACTCTTAATCATAGGGTCATGGGTAGAAGCCTAACATTTGGGCAAAAGATGGCGCACTGCAGGGGGTTGCACTAGATGACCCTTGTGGTCCCTTGCAACTCTAGACATCTATGATTCTACGAAACAATACTAGAATCACAGAACTGTAAAGTTGGAAGGGTAACCTAGTCCAGCTCCTCCCAGCAATGCGTTAGAAATGGAACCCAAACAACAGGGGTACGAGGCTCACATCAGCCGCACATTGGCAGGTGACAAGATGGAGCAAGATTGTTTTCTGCTGCACCAGCAGGTAGGACCTGAAACAATGGATTCAAATGGCAAGAAATTAGATTCTGAGTAAACATTAGGAAGAACTTCCCAGTGGCAAGAGCTGCTTGACAGTGGAATGGGCTGTCCTTCTTTGGAGGTTTCCAAATAGGCATTGCATGGCCAACAGTCAAGGATGATTTAGCTGTGGTTCCTGCATTCCAAAGGGTTGGACTAGATGAACCTCGGGAACCCTCTTCCAGCTCTAGAGTTCTATGACTCTAGGGATGGAGGAGAGGTCACTTGAGACAACCAGCCCCACCCCACCCGCCACAATGAGCTGCAAAATTCTCCTTTGGCAAACAGGCCAAAAAAACCCCACCAGGCACATGGACTTCGTATGCGGTGGAAAGTTGCAGAGGTCTTTCCAGAGGTCTTGCTAACCTACCTGCCCCCAGAACAAATGTTTCAGAATGCATCACTGAGCCGGGTGGCTCATCCCCCCCCCCCCAAAAAAAAACCCCACTCCTGGCTTTGCTTGAGGATTTCATCCTGTCTGCAAATTGACCGGATTTGCATTTCTCCAACTAAGACGTGGATCGTAATGCAGTTAATCATTCACTTTGGGGACTCTATGTACCCAGAAAAAAACATATTTGAGATTCAAATGCCTCTTTGAGAATAAAGCACATGCAGACATGCAAATTTCGCAGAGGGGAACATGCAGAAATGATGCACATTTTCCCAATGGCTTGTTGAAAAACAAAGACGTAGGATTTGTTATGGTAAGAAAGACATCTCACATGGATGAAGAAGGAGAAAACAGGGAGGCAGGCTGGAAATCATTGTATATCTCCCCACCACCCCCCACCCCCGTTTTCCGTGAAGACTTAGCTGGTGACTTCATGCTAAGCAGATTGTTTTAGCTCCGCAGCGAGAGAAGCACTAAATATCAGCCCAAACTCAGCAGAGCAAAAGCCAAATATTTCATCCTAAGCAGAGGCGTTTTTGCTTAAGGGGGTCTCATTTTTCACTGGAAATGCCACACAGAAGCTTTGCCGTTCCATAAATTTGTGCACAGAGAGATCCCCGCAGGAGCCTCTGAAAAGCCAGAGGCAGTGAGCAGGGCTGAATGCCATAGATTGAGCTGCTTGCTAAGTGGAGCTGAAGGATCGCTCGCGTTAACTTGCTATGAAAATTGCCACCAGCTTAAAATCGCTCCTATTTGTTTTCTCTTTACGAATCCAGCGCTTCTAATCCAGACATGTCTCGCCATCGAGCCAGCATCCTGTTTTCACAGCGGCCAACCAGACACCCCAACGGGAAACAAGCAAGGCCTGAGCACAAGAACCCTCCCCTCTCCTGTGGTTTCCAGTAACTGGTATTCAGAAGCGTAGCTAGAATCATAGAATTGTAGTGTTGGAAGGGACCCAAGGGTCATCTAGTCCAACCCCCTGCAATGCAGGGATCTTTTGCCCAACGTGGGACTCAAACCCACAACCCTGAGATTAAGAGTCTCATGCTCTACCGACTGAGCTATCACAACTGTGGAGGCAGAGTATAGCCTCTGTGGCTAGTAGCTTTCAGTAGCCTTCTTATCCTCCTCATTATACCATTAAATTCTCTTTTAAAGCAATCCAAGTTGGTGGCCATCACTGCCCCGAGTGGGAGAGAGTTCCATAGTTCAACAATACACTGCATCCAGAAAGACTTTCTTTTATCTGTCCTGAATCTTCCAACTTTCAGCTGGACATCCATGAGTTCTGGTGTTAAGAGGGAGGAAAACTTTTCTCTATCCACCTTCTCTAAGCCATGCATTCATTTTATACACCTCTATCATATCTACTCTTGATCACCTTATTTCCAAAGCTAAAAAGTCTCAAACGCTGCAACCTTTCCTTATAGGGCTGTCGCTCCATCAATCATTTTGCTCGCCCCTTTCTGAACCTTTTCCAGCTCCACAATATCCTTTTCAAGGCGTGGCACCCAGAACTGTTTGCAGCACAGTGGTACCTCGGGTTAAGTACTTAATTTGTTCTGGAGGTCCATTCTTAACCTGAAACTGTTCTTAACCTGAGGTACCACTTTAGCTAATGGGGCCTCCTGCTGCCGCCGTGCCGCAATTTCTGTTCTCATCCTGAAGCAAAGTTCTTAACCCGAGGTACTATTTCTAGGTTAGCGGAGTCTGTAACCTGAAGCGTCTGTAACCTGAGGTACCACTGTATTTATTTGTCCGTACAACAGAAGCCTGCGAAGAAGATTCCGGCTGTTCCCATTTCCCAGGTGGGAGGATGAGCCTAAGGGAGAAGGGCCAAAGCACAGGTTTCCCCTTTCCTTACTCAGGACTAGTTGACTGAACAATGCAACACGACAGCCAAAAACCCACAGGAAACTCACTTTGCCATGAGAGAAAAGGCCTCTGAGCAGACAGCTGGGCAAGGGACGAGCTTGATCAGGATGTGGCCCAGGGCAGCCGGGAAGTGGGCCCGTGTGACCTTCTCAAACACCGACGTGAAGGTGTTGATGTCAGCCATCTTGCTGCTGGGCTCCCCGCCGCCTGTGTCCAGGATGTTGCCCCCATGCAGGACCAGGATCAAGACGTGGGTTTTGCAGTTCTGCTGCTGACCCCCTTCCTGGGGGAGAGAGAGAGAGAGAGAAGTGAACCAAGCTATGTACGTACCTAGAAAAGCAAACCAATCTGAGGATAAAGGCCTGAGCAGATCTCGCTTTGGAGTCAAGGGACAATGGAAGTGAGAAAAACCAAAGAGCCTTGTGGCAGTGCTGGGGCTTCTACAAGGAATGAGTGAATTGCAGGGCTGGAAGGGAACTCCAAGGGCCATCTATTCCAACCCCCTGCAATGCAGGAATCCCAGCTCAAGAATCCCTGGCAGGTGGCCATCCAATCTCTGTTTAAAAACCTCCAACTAAGGAGAGCCTGACACCTGCTGACGTTCCACACTTACCGTATTTTTAGCTCCATAAGATGCACTTTTTTCCCTTTAAAATCTAAGGGGAAATGTCTGTGCGTCTTATGGAGCGAATGTGTGGTCCCTGGGGCTGGGGGGGGACCCAGGCTTCCCCCGCCAGCCCCAACAAGCTCGGGGAGCAGCAGGAAGGCTGTGCGCAGCCTTTCTGCTGCTCCCCGACCTGCTCTTTGGGGCTGGGCGTGGGGAAAACCCAGGCTTCCCCTGCCAGCCCCTCAAAAAAGTAGGTGCGCCTTATGGTCAGGTGAGCCTTATGGAGCGAAAAATACAGTACCCTCAGAAAGTTATTCCCAACGCTCGCCAGATTCTCCTTTCTTGTGATTTGAATCGACTGGTTCAGTTCTTCCCCTCTAGAGCAGCAGAAAAACCTTCTTTCCCCTCTTCCTTTAACCCTTTAGATATTTGAAGGTGGCTATCGTATCTCCTCTCAGTCATCTCTTTCCCAGGCTAAACATACCCAACTCTTTCAATAATTCCTAAGGCACCTTCAAACAGAGTTTGGATGGCCATCTGCAAGGAAATCTTGAGCTGTGATTCCTGCACTGAAGGGGGTTGGACTAAATGACCTTTGGGGTTTCCTTCCAATCCGACATTCCTACAATTCTATTAGCCTCCCCACAATAAAAACCAGGAGAAATCAAAGAGAGCCCCACACCCCATGATGTCCAAAACTTTCCTCTGTGGAGCCCACCCCTGCCTCCTCCTGCCCCTCTCCCACACACTGCCTGTTTATTTCCTGAAATGCAATATGGTCAAGGCTCACCTCACTCTCCTCGTGGATCTCAATGCTGCCTTGCGCAGGATAGCGGTGCTTCCTCAAAGAGGCTCTGTAGAGCTCCCCTGGAGGAAAAGAGAGAAATTGGGGTCACCTTTCAAACCCTTTTACTCCTGGTTGTCCTGGACAGTCACCAAATGGGCTGCTGAATTTTCTCTCCTGCCAGCCCTAATATAATAGTCACGATCTGTAGGGACCACCTGGGTGGCAACCTGAAGGGCTGTATTCTTCCATATGAACCAGCCTGGGCTCTGAGATCATTGGGGGAAGCCCTTCTTCTCGGTCCCACCACCCTCACAGTCCTGCTTGGTGAGGACGCAGGACAGGGCCTTCTTGGTAGCTGCTCCCAGGCTTTGGAATTCCCTCCCTAGAGAAGCCAGACTGGCTCCCTCCTTGTTGTCCTTCCTCCAGCAGTTGAAGACTCCTACATTCCCACAGGCCTTTGGGAACTGACTGTTGCTTTTTCTTCTTTTTTTAAAGAAGTGGCTTTTAATAGTGCTGTGCTGACTTTACTGTCTGTGTTTTAATAGACTTGTTTTCTATTTGGCTTTAATTTCTGCTAGAGTTTAATTACTTTCTAACCGTCACGTTTTATAGGTTTTTAGCTTTTTGTATTTTATCTGTGTTGTTTTGATTTCTGCAAACTGCCTTGAGTCCCAGTCTGGAAAGAAGGCAGGATATAAATAAATTTAGTAATAGTAATAGTAATAATATCAGAAGACTGAGGGCAAGCAGGGGAGAGCGTGTGCATATAGTATGGTCTGGCTTGTATAAACTTGTCTATTATTATTATTATTATTTCCATTACCTGTAATAAAATAGAGACACAATTAATAACGAAATATCTGCAATAATAGGAAATGGGTGTATTATAATTTACCTAATTTAAATCTGAAGTAGGTTTTACGTACGTGCAGAAATTTCTTTATGATGTCTCATTGTTCTATATGTTGTTGATTCTGATTTTGTTTTTAGTTTTATGAGTCAAAATGGGATCTTGCAGGCAGCAGACTCCCCTGCCCCAGAGAACCGGGGCACAACTTCCTGCGCTGCAGGGGGTTAGACAAGAGGGCCCTTGGGGTCCCTTCCAACTCTACAATTCTATGATTCCCCATTTGTAAGGTAACAAGGGGAGGAGGGAGGGAGGGAGGCGAAAGGCCCACCAGGGGGCTCAATTCGCACATTACACTCCTTAAATCTCTGGAGGAGACTCTACAAAATGTAAGGTGTGATGAAGTTGTGAGGAAAGGTTTTTATACTCCCATATTCCCCCCCCCCAAAGCCGCTTGCTCAGTTGCTCCCCACCCCAGGCTTTTCTTCCACCCGCTCAACTCTGTCTTCTCGCTCACTATCTCTGCCTCTGTTAGTTGTCAAGGAAACAGCCACAGGACAGAATCCGATTATCTCCGTGGCAAAACCTGACTGCCATGTCCACCTCTGGGGCAGCCACCAGGAGCTCTGCCCCAGCTGCCTCCACTGCCCCCATTGTGCATTTTGATGCCAAACTCTGCACCAGTTTTGGGGAGCAGCCACAAGGCCAGAACTTCCTTCTCTCGCTTCCAGAGGCTTCTCTCCTTGGCTCTACCTGTGCATGCACTGCCTCCTCCCTGCGACTGCACCAGCAGAGGATGGGGTCCTGCATTTGAAGACTCCTGCCCCACATTATCCAAAACCTTCCTGTCAGGGAAGAAGACTCCTCACACTTCCTCTTCGCTGCGCTAGTCTTCTACAGACAGGGTTTGTTTAAAAGATTCCAGAGGATATTTAAAAAAATGAAATCCCTGCCATCTCAAAAAAAAGGGTGCTGGCCCAGAAAATGTGCTCTGATCCAAAGTGGCTCTACTCATGGGCAACAGGGTGAGGTGGGATATCTGAGGGACAGAGGATAAAAGGTTGTGGTCCCAGCCCCTTTGACTGCTGGCTTTCTACATGCAGGGAATTTTTAACATGGAGCAGGGGAATTCAAAACTGTGATCCCTCTGGAGGGCGTACTGCCACTACAGTTATGGCCACTTGACTACCTCACGTTTATTTCTTTATTTCACAAAATTTATACATGGCTTGATAGTTTTTAAAAAGTGGTTTACAAAAGATTAAACAAGAAAATGATCAACAAGAAAAATCAACAATAATAATTCAATACTTTAAAAAAAGTTAAAACAATGGTAGACTAAAAACAGATTAAAACACACACCAGCTTTCTGAACATCTAGGTAGGCTTATCTAAACAATAATCTTTTTAGCAGGTATCAAAAAGGGTACACAGTGAAGGCACCTGCCTGGGCGTCGATGGGCAGGGAGTTCCAGATGTGCAGGCGCTGCAACACTAAAAGAAGGGTTTCTGACTAATGCAGAACGGGTATTTTGTGGCTTCCTGTAACAGGGCCAGCTCTGCTTATTGAAGCGGTTGAGTGGGCGTAAACATGTCATAGAATGTAATGCAGGACTTCAAAAGCAGACTAGCACAATAACATCACCTTAGAAAAGTGTTACGTTTTTTGCATAGTGGCTGGGCACCAAGGGAGTTCCTTGCTGTGAGGATTTGCCTGGGGAAACTCCTTTTGTGTGGGAGCTGAATCACCTGAGGCCACAGTCAACAAAGGATCAACATGGACATACAGGCAATGAGCCTATGAGGGCAATTCAGCTGGTTTGAGGTGGAAATCCTGAGTTGCGGATTGTTCCCAAAGACCATCCATTGCAGAAAACATTTGGCTCTATTTCTCCGTAAGACATGAATCAGTAGAGGCCGCGCAGTCCCTGGGCCATTGCCAGGACTCAGGGGTAAAATGGATGAGGAGAAACAAGCCGAGCTTGAATCCTGGCGAGATGGAGGCACTGTGTGAGAGAAGCTCCTGTGTCTGGGAAATTGCTCAGTTGCCTACCCTGGATGGGTTTGCTCTCCCCCCCCCCCGAAGGAGCAAATTCACAATGTGGGGTTGCTCTGTCACTGGAGGCTCTGGTAGCATCAGTAGCTAAAAGTGCCTTTTACCAACTGTGACTGTTTCAACAGCTGTGGCCATTCCTGCCCCGGGAAAACTTTTCCATGGTTCATTCATTGGTTACTTCAAAACAGGATTGCCGTAATATGCTCTATGTGGGACTTCCTTTGTGCTTGATCTGGAAGCTGCAGTTAGTGCAGAATGCCGTAGCATGATTGCTGACAGGAGTGAGGTCTGGCAAGCATACCACACCTGGTTGCCGATTCCCTACCTGGCTAGGTTCAAAGGTGCTACTATTAGTATACAAAGCCCTTAACAACTTAGAACCAGTTGACCTGCGAGATTGCCTTCTCAACATGTGCCCACTTGACTGCTTTGATCGGCAGAACTGGCACTGCTACAAGTGCCACATAATACGCATTCTGCATTTATAAGAACTCCACCATATACAGCACCTACACTTTGGAACGCCCTGCCTCTTGACATCAGGCAGACCCCTTCACTGTACTCTTTTTGTTGCCTGATGAAAACATTCCTCTTTAGGTAACCCCACCCAGATGTTCAGAAAGCTATTGCAAGTTTTAATTCGGATTTGGTCTACTGTTATTTTAACTTTTCAGAAGTTTTAAATTATGGTTGCTGATTTTTCTTAGTAGTAAAATGATTGGGGGTTTTCCCTTTTATTGTACACTGCTTTGGGTGTCTTTCTTTCCCCCCTTCTTTCCAATGAAGTGTATAAATTTTGAGGATGAAATAAAATGCCCCTGTTGACATCTCCTGAAGCCCTAAAAGTCCACCGACACACACCATGGGTGTGGGGTTCTTTCCAGTCCGAGGGCCACATTCCATTCTGCTCACATGCTGGCGGTGTGTGGGACCAGAGGACCAGAGGCAAAAGTGAGCAAAGCTCCAGGATGCTGCTGAGGCAACGTGCATGTTCTGCCTCAGCAGCAGGGTCGCTGGCCGAGGTCCTGAAACCCACACCAAGGTTACTCTCCAAGGTGCTGATCTTACATCACCTGCCTGCCTGCCTGGAAGCCAATGAATACTGACTGTTTCCAAGGTGCGCTGGGGACTGTGAATGGTCCTGTCATCCAAGTGGAGGGGAAACTGTGCAGCCAGACCCAACGGAAAAGGAGAAACCTGTGACCTTGCGGTTGAGCATACACCAGGGATGAGGTTGTATGCAGGTCCCCAGAGCAAGAGAAGAGGAAGGGGACCATAAAGAAAACAGGGTGATTTCATTAGCTGCCTGAATGAAGCTGATTATGAGGGAAATGATGTGTTGTTCTGTTTACTGGAGGAGTTTTAATGAGGTAAAATTATAAAAGAGACTTAGTAGGACTCAAAGAGGCTCCCAGGTGAGGCTCCAGCTTTTCGCCAGTTTTTCCTTGGCAGCCTTTATACTGTCATTACTGCATGTTATGCTAATTACATCATTATACAAACTATGGGAGCAAAGAAGGTAAATTAAAATCCCACACAGAAGGTAGAACTCAGCACGTGGATGAGAGTCCTCCATTCAAACAGCAGGGGGGAAAGTCCTGATTGGATATGGACTTGTTTGAGAGGTTGTTTTTTTTTGTTGGCATTGGTGTTGTTTACAATACAGATCTGGGGAGGCAAGAACCAAGGCAAGCTTTGAAACATGCCAGGCCCTGCGAGGAAGACGAGAAAGGCGGGGAGGAAGAAAAAGAGGAGGAAGAGGAGGAAGAGGAGGACAGCATCTTGTCCAGTCTTGCAATTCTATGACCTGGAGGGAGAGTTGACCTCCTGACCAAAGGTAAACCATCTCCAAACTAAGAGCCCCTACTATTTCAAATAACATTGGCCAGGCTCAGTTAACTTTCCCTCTTCACACAGATAAGAATGCTTGGCTGCTCCAGGCAACTCCTATGCTGGCTGCTAAGTGGTTGTTCCTCAGTTGTGCTGCTTCTCCAGAGCAGGGGTAACAAATGTGGTGTCTTCTACATTTACTGCTGGATCCCAGTTCCAAGCGGCCAGCAGGACCAGCAGTCAGGGACCATGAGAGTTGCAGTCCAAGAACATCTATAGGGCACTCCATTGGCTAACCCTGTTCTGATCTACTCTATTCAATGCATTTACACCCTACCTTTCTCCTGCAAGGAGGATCAAGGTGGCTGACATGGTTCTCCCCTTCCTCATTTAATCCCCACGACAACCCTGTAAAGTAGGTTAGGCTAAGAGGCAGTGACTGCTCCAGGGGGCAGAAAGGCAAGAGTTGCTCAGCCCATAGGGGCACCACCACCCACCACTCTTGAGCAAGGCTGAGTCATCCACGGCCTACCCAACCCTCCTGAGTGACAAGGCCCAGGCTTCCCTGTCTTAACACATTAGACAGACAGCCTTCAACCATCAAGACAACAATCAGCTAGACAGGGATGGCACCACCCAAAATGGAAGAACTGTGCTTAATCAGAAAACACAGACCTTATTCCACATTCCAGGCAACCTGCCTCCATGGCTTCCTAAGGCATTTGTAGATAACAAGAAAAATGTCTCTGCTAAGATTTCTCAGAAGAGCTCCAGGCCATGGAGGGAAAGATCTGAGTGGCTGAGAGGCAGCAGTGCTTCCTGGGGAAACCTCTACTCCTCATAAGAATGTAAGCAGAACCTGTTGGATCAGGCCAAAGGGGGGCCATCTAGTCTAGCATCCTGTTCTCACAGTGGCCGACCAGATTCCCAGTATGGGAAGCCTGCAAGCAGGACAATCAGAAGAGCACTATCTAGTTGTTCTCTGTTGCCCAGTATTCAGAGGTAGACTGTCCCTGGGCATGGAGGTTCGGCTCTCACAATAGACCTCCATAAGAAGAGCCCCCAAAGGGGGCCCATTTACTCCACCATCACAAGGAGATCAGATGAGGCTGCTGGATCAGACCAATGACTCATCTTGTCCAGCATCCTGTTCTCATAGTGGCCAGCCAGAAGCTAGTGGAAAACTCACAAGCAGGATCCGAGTGCAATAGCCCTCTCCTCTCCTGTGGTATTCAGAAGCATTTCTGCCTCTAACTGTGGAGGCAGAGAATAGCCATCATGGTTGGCAGCTTTCAATAGCCCTCTCCTCCTTTAATGGTCCAATCCTTTTTCAAAGCCATCCAAGTTGGTGGCCATCACTGACTCTTGCAGAAGCGAGTTCCACAGTTTAACCATGCAGTGCATGAAGAAGAATTCAAGAGAATGTTAAGCCCAGTGTGGAACTCCTGCCTCAATGAAACCCTCCCCTTTCATGCAGAGGCAGAAGGGGGGTTGAGTTAACAGAGGGCAGCCTCATTAAATAAGCCCGACTTGAGCCACCAATGAATGGAATAGGAAAACTAATCTTTGCTGCAAAGGCAAAATTGCATCTCCCCATTTCATGTAACTTGCAGGGAGCAATTCAGAAGCTGTTCCAAAGGCTTCCTGGCCTCCAACTGGGATGCTAGCAGGTAGAAAACAGGGACAAGCCAAGGATTCCACCCTGGAGAACAAGATGCTCTAAAATTGGCTTATGAATCACAGCCAGGAAAACTGGAATTTCTTTTTCCTCTTTTCTTTGCAAGGGAAAAAGGAACTCCCCAGGGGGATCTGTACTCAATAGCAGAGATCCTGCTGCAGGGCTGGCACAGCAAAGCCCTGCATGGAAGAAACATGCCAGGCTCTTTTTGTGGGAAGAAAATAGTAAAAACTACAGGGGGAGATTTGGACTAATGGTATCTGGGAGAAAGAAGTGGGGAGCCCTATGGCTCTCAAGTTAATTTCAGGCAGGTAGGTAGCAAATAGGAGGAGGAGATGAAAGAGAGGCTTTGGCCCCCTGCCAGGATTTATTATTTGTTGCGTTTATATTCCATTTTTCCTTCATGGATATCAAAGTTGCATTTGAACCCTGGTCTCCCCAGTTACCGGTCCAGCACGCTGACCACTACACCACCACCCCTCCAAGGGAATGAGGCCCTCAACAACCACAAACCAGACCCCACACACATTTCCTGGGGAGGAAAGCAGAAGGTCAAATGCAGCTACTCTCTGTTAGGTTTGGGAGGACCATTTTGCACAGCAGATGGCAGAATCGGCCACTCCTGCCCTGGACTGGCAACGTAGCAGAAAGTAGCAGTCAACTGTACAGCATCGAGAGCTAACAGGGGTGCCCTTGAAAAGTCATAGCAGAGGCCCAGCATTTGGGGGGGGGGTGGAGGTGCAAGCATGTCCGCTCGCCATTCCTTCCTATCCTGGGCAACAATTGAGAAGGAAGACCTGACCCCCCTCTCACACTAACAGGTCTTCATACATTCCAGTGACACAGCAACGCCACCCACCTCCATGCGATAATACATGGAGAACATAGGAGTCACAAAGTGCCTGGTCTTTGGCAAAGCTAGTCCGGCTTCCAAGGCAGGACCTCTCCCAATATCTGGTTATCTGCTCCACATCCTGTCTTGGGGAAAGGACAGCACCCACAGATGTCTGGAGAGACCTGGTATTAGCAAGGTGCCCATTCCAAAGTGGTGCTCATGATCCTTGAGATGAAGATTAGCAGATAAACCAAGGTCTAGTAGCTGGACAGAGCGGTGCTTTCAGGACCACGGACAGATCCCTTTGGGGGTGTCAGTGAAATTTTCAGGACTATGGACAGAGCCTGCCAGGATTTCAGGACCTTGGACAGATCTCTTGGAGGGAGCCACTTGCCCAAAAGAATTCCCAGCTCCAAGGAAGACCTTTTTTTCCTCTCTGAGAAACAAATATCCTTAAAGGGGCAGCAGCCCTCATGCCCTGAGCCAGCTCTGGTCACTTGCTGCCTGGCATCCGTAGGATATCCCAGGGGGCTGGTGTGGGAGGGGGCTCAGCCTCCTAAGGGAATCAGATGCAAGAAAGAGCTTCTCTGGAGTTTCTGGTTTGGGAATTCCAGGCTTGTGGGGTCCAGCCACCCCTTGCTCCTCCTCCTAGCCCTAGCTACTGCTGCTGCAGACCATCCCAGGAGCTGGGCTTCATAAAGCATCCATTGCTCCACAGGGGGACAAGGACTAATTGTCTGTCTTGCCTGCTGCAGAGAAGCCGAGAGCCATCAGGCAAGAAGGTTGATGAAAAGGCAAGTAAAAGGCAGCATGATAGAAGTTTATAAAAGTGTACTGTGGAACTGTGGAACTTGCTCTAACAGGAGACCATGAAGGTCATCTATTTGGGTTACTTTAAAAGAAGATCAGACACTCATGGGTGATAATAAGGCTATCAATGGCTTCTAGCCAGGATGGCTATTGTTCTGCCTCCATGGCTAGAGGCAGTACTGTGTCTGAGTGCCAGATGCTGGAAACCACAGGAGAGGAGAGTGTTCTTCTGCCAGTTTCCCACAGGCATCTGTGTTGGCCACTGTGATAAAAGGATACCAGACTAGATAGGCTATTGGCCTGATCCAACAGGCTCTTATGTTCTTAAGGTTGTACAGGAACCCATTGCAGGTGTTATGGATTGAACAGCTACTGCACCTCTTCAGAATATTATAACTTTCTGAGATTGTTAATTTGAGGTTTTCATCAGCTGTACGCCATAATCATCACAATTATAACAAATAAAGGCTTGACATATCTCGCTTTGCATGTCATGAATCTCATGTATTAGTTTCACCTTTTAAATTGAATTTCTGAAATAAATGAACTTTCCACGATATTCTAATTTTTTGAGTTTCACCTGTATTTGCCCATTTGTAAGAGACCTTCATGGCTGCAGGGGAGACAGAGCAGGCAGGCTGCCTAGGGAGGGGGGCGGATAGCTTTGCAAGGAGTAGTCAAGCATTTGACCAGAGCAGCAGGCCTGGATCCAGCCCCTGAGTCAAAAGCATCTCCACCCTCCTACCCACCCCTCCAGCCAGCCCTCTTAAGAGTCCCTCCAAACCACACATCCTACCCAAAAATGCTCAGTTCTTGAAGGTTAAGATTCTTGCTGCTGCTTATGTATGGGTGCGTGGGAAGGGGGAAATAATCGCTCAGTGCCTCACAAAGTCCTTTTCAGCTCTTCTTATGTTTGTTTTTTAAAAGGAGAAGAATTGCCAACAATTGAGAATTAACAAGCCGATGCTAACGAACGGTGCCGGGGTGGAGGGGGGGGGAGAAAGCGTGTCATTCTCGCATTCCCTGATGAAATCAGACCCGTTTCCCTGCCATCTGTTGCACTGTTACTGGCTGTTTATGACAACAAATCTGTCAAAGAGAAATAAACTTGCATGCGGCTGTGGGCATATGGTTCCTATTAGCAAGTGATAAAAAAAAATATTTAAAAAGAAAAACCTGACGGAAGATTGAAATGCTTACAGGTTACTGTAAGACAGACAGAGAGAGAGAGAGCAAAGTGGCATGCGAGGGGGGTGGGAGCTGGAAAAAGCCCCCAGAATCAGCGCTGCCCAGCCTGCAATCTGCCCACTTTATAGAAGCACAGGCCTTTGGCACCGACTCTGCAGCCACAGAAAGCCTGTTCCGGATCAGCTCCCTGTGGACCTTCGTGTTAGAGAGATCAATAAAGCTTGGCTTTGGGATTGAGTGTAATGAATTTTGCTTTGTACGACGATAAGAGGGAAGGTGACATGGGATGTGAGTGAGGGCGGCATTTGATGATTCAAGGACTGCTTTGGCCACAAGAGCAAAGTGGTGCAAAAATGTTCTGACATGTGTAACCGCACACTGTGCTTGGTGAAGACACGGGACAGGGCCTTCTCGGTGGCTGCTCCCAGACTTTGGAACCCCATCCCTAGAGAAGCTAAAGGGCTCCCTCCCTCCCTGTTATCCCTTTTTTAATTCTGGCAGGCTTTGGGAGATGGGCTGCTTTTAAGGAAAAGACTCTGAACAGTGTTGTCCTGTTTCTATTATCTGTATTTTGATAAATTTGTTTTTTATATTGCTATAATAATAATAATAATAATAATAATAATAATAATAATACAACTGCCCTGTAAACAAATCACAATGAATGCTCACTAAAGGACAGGCAGAGTTTAACCTCTGCATAAGCAACTCAGGGTAAATACCCAATAAACAGGTTGTCTGGAGGAGCACTGAGTCTTGAAATCTGCAACTGCCCTGCCCCATGGCCTGCCCCACACCATACATCACAAACTCCAAGGACCACTTTTTCTATTTGAGAGGCTTGTTAACTGAAGGTGCCGGGGGGGGGCGGCTTTTGAAGCCTGTGCATGCTCAAGCCTGGGCTCCCCCCCCCCCCCACACACACATACAAAAAGAGCATCTGGGGCTGTAAATAATAATAATAATAATATATTTTTACCCTGCCCATCTGGGCAGCTTCCAACAAAAGATTAAAAATACATTAAAACATCAGTCATTAAAAACTTCCCTAAACCAAAGGGGAGGCAGAACCACCAAAACATGGCTTTCAAGTCATAAATAATCAACTTCATAATCCCGAGGAAGGGGCTCAACAAAAATCTGATTTTGGCCTCCAGATGGCCTTAGAAAAGAGCATTACAATGGGTTTAATCCCAGTTACCATTTGAAATTCAAACATAAGAATGAACCCTCTGGAGGAAAAGAGGAGGAGGAGGGTTTTTAAAAAAAATTAAAAAGCACCAGCACTCACTTTGTTTTTCCTGCAGGACTCCAGATGAGCAGAAGGACGGATCTTCGGCTGCCAGAGGGAAGCAAGAGGGGCAAAGTTAGCATCTCCTGGCCCGAAGTACAAGGAAACAACCTCTGTATTGCATCTGCTGAGCCACAAATTGCTCTCCCTCCCGGACACTTTCAAGCTCCAAAATCTTTACTATTATTATTACAAATTTTATTGAAAGGTTTTTAAACAATTACCAAGCATTAAGTGTCATCTTCCAGGACAAATGCATGCACAGATGTTAAGCCGTGAATGCAGTCATCCATATGACATGAAAACAGACCTGGAAAATCTTTCACATGACAGTTTAAGCTCAAATCCACAGGGTATTCTTCAGTTTAGAGTATTAAGATAATTTCTCCAGAGTGGTTGTTATGACTGAGATGGAAGGGAGATTATTGCACAATTGTTAATAAATGATATAAACTGAGAGCACACAGCGCCAACCCATGTTTGTTATTCCTCTTATCATCCTCTGATGGTGAGCTACCGTAAGTGCTCCATAAGGAGCTATATTCAACCCACATTGGGTCCAAGTTTCAAGCTCCAAATCTGACCTTCCAAGCCCATGACAAAGCTTGGCTGCTCCAGGAAGGGACTTTCCTGCCTCCCCCACCACTAACCTCCATCTCCCACCCAAGCCAATGTGGCAGTTGCATCACTGGGACTCTTGAAAGGCCATACAATTATACTAATTATCATGAGGAATAAAGATAGGGTGATGCAAATGGGAAGCAGTGAGGGTGGGTGGATGGATGGGTAGAAACAGACAGCTCAGAGCCACACAAGCTCAGGAGAGACAGAAGAAGGGACCCTATTGCACAATGTGTAATTAAGTGGATAACCACCCATCCAAAATACAGTGATGGCTACTGGTTTGGGTGGTTTTAAAACCGTCCCAGGACCCGAAGAAGAAGAAGAAGAAGAAGAAGAAGAAGAAGAAGAAGAAGAGTTTGGATTTTATATCCCGCCTTTCACTCCCTTTAAGGAGTCTCAAAGCGGCTAACATTCTCCTTTCCTTTCCCTTCCTCCCCCACAACAAACACTCTGTGAGGTGAGTGGGGCTGAGAGACTTCAAGGAAGTGTGACTGGCCCAAGGTCACCCAGCAGCTGCATGTGGAGGAGCGGAGACGCGAACCCGGTTCCCCAGATTACAAGACTACCGCTCTCAACCACTACACCACTAAGTGTTGGTGGTCCACACGGGCCATCATCATAAGAACCTAAGAAGAGCCTGCTGGATCAGGCCAGCAGTCCAGCTAATGCAGCATCCTTTTTTCACAGTGGGCAACCCAATGTCTCAGTGGAAAACTTGCGATCAGGATGCAAGCACAAGAGACCTTTCCCCTCCTGCAGTTCCAGAAAATGGCATTCAGAAGCATCCCTGTCTCTGACCATGAGTGTTTCCCATATCATGCATTCAGGTGTGCTCGTTGGGATACTGGCCTGATCCAGCAGGGCTCTTATTGTGAGGCGCTCCAGAAACAGCCCACTTAAACCAAACTGGAGCCACTAACGATTAGTATGGCTTCATAATTATTAGTAATAGCAAAAAGTAATTTTTGCATCAAAAATTACCCCATGCTTTTTTATGACGGCGTCAATTACCTTTCCTTAGGTCTCTGCTCTATAAAAAATAAAAATAAAATAAATCCATGAAATATGTACATTCGGGGGATACATTGTTATGGATGCAAAGCAGAGGAAGTGAAAGAGGGATTCTATCATTTACTCACTCACTCACTCAGTCACAAACACACACACACACACACACACACACACACACACACTTTAGTCTCTCCCCTGCTGCTTTCCTCCAGGCTCTGTTAGCAGCAAGCAGAGAGTTCCCTACTGCCACACACAACGTCTCCAGCAGAAATGTCACAATATTATCTAGTCTTTGGTAGGCAATTCCACCTTGTGGGTATCTAAGGATGGAAAGGGTGCTGCCCCAGATTGACAGGAGTAGGGAAGGCTGACATTCTCAGAGAGTAAGACACCCTCACCCTATGGCAAGCTGGAAGATCAATTAGGCTGGGAGATGCTTGTTGGACCCCAGGCAGCCCTGTTCTGCTCTATGAGCAAGAAGGGCACCAAATTCCGGTCCTTAGAATCCAAAGCCAGTATGAACCTGCTTCACCTCGTAGCCCAGTTTAAGATCCAGATGTAAGAGCCAGATTTAAGATTGAACAAAATCCTGCTCCACCTCACAGCCAGATTTAAGACTTGATAGGCTATTACACAACCTACACATGATGGGACACAAAAGAGAGATAAATGCACCATTTGCAGGCTTCATTCCCTAAGAGGCTTGCACTGCAATGACGACACAACTCCCAGAGGGAAGCCAGATCTGAGGTTCTCAGCCCTGTCATTCCCCGCTAAATGGCTCTGTTCCTTGTCAGATTAATCTGCTTCCCCCATGCCCCACCTTGCCTGCTGTCAAGAGGCGAGAAAAGCTTGGGATGCAGAGAAACCGTCTTTTCTCAGCAAAGAAAAAAAGGAAAGCCTATGAATCATCCAGTCTTGATTGAGATAAATTAGCAGGGAAGCACTTGATCCTGGCCATCATCAAGGGCAGCGTGAAACAGATCACACTCCCCCCCCCCAACACACACATACCCACTAATTATCTGTTTAGCAGCCTTGAAGATGCTGCCTGGCCTGTGCAGAACCCATGACAGTCAGCTAACAAACATGCCAGCAGGAGGAGGAACAAGAACCCCAAGCAGTGACAAGAGAGCAGCAAATGCTACTCTCTCCAGCATATTGAAACAGAGCCCAAAAACTGATTGGAGGTCTTTAGTGTGCACAGAATTTGTGTTAGGGTACTAATCTGTTGATTCACACAGACAGGGGCTTGTAGAGCAAGAAAACAGCAAAGCAGCTTATTATCGGAAGTGCATCACTTGGAAAAGATATCTAATGCTAAGCTAATTGACAAAGATTGCCATGGGTCTGGAAACCAAACCTGATGAGGAATGGTGGAGGGAGTTTAGGGATGTTAAACCTGAAGAAGAGAAGCCTGAGAGGTGACGTAATAAAGCCATCTTCAAATATCTGAAGGGCTTCCACAAGGAAGATGGAGCAACTTTGTTTTCTGCTGCTCCAGAGGGGAGGACCCAAACCAACGGATTCAAATGACAAGGAAGGAGATTCTGACTAAACATTAGGAAGGGCTGGCAGGTGTGAAGCAGGTAAGGGGAAGACAAGGGGCAAGATTGTAGCTGGAAGCCTTTGAGAGTTGATTTGTTGCGTGGGGAGCTGTGATCTGCAATCATAGGCAGGTTGCAGAGGCTGGTCTAGAGCCTCAGCTATGAGGAGCAGGGAGCCGCTGCAAAAGAGCGTCACGCCACCTTGGTCGCCGGGCAACAGAGCAGCATCAGCATCAAACTGGGCTCCCAATTGCTATAGAGAATGAGAGCAGTGTTTGCCAACTGGGGACCCTCCAGGTGTTAAGAGCATGAGAATAGCCTTCCTGGACTCTACTAGATCAGGCCCACCTAGTCCAGCATCCTGTCCTCACAGCAGCCACCCAGAAGCCTGTGTGAAACCCACAAGCAGCAACTGGTACCCAACTGGTACCCAGAAGCATTACTGCCTCCTGCTGTGTAGGCAGAGCATAGCCACCATGGCTGGTAGCCATCAATAGACCCTCCATCTCCATAATCTCCATGACCAGATCATCTCTAGTAGCCACTGATGACCTTATTGTCCTCAGTGAACTTGTCCAACCCTCTTTTGAAGCCATCCAATTTCGTGGCCACCACTGCCTCCTGTGGCAGGGAGTTCCATAGTTTAACTCTGCGCTGCAGGAAGAACTCCTTCCCTTTTATCTGCCCTGAAACTCACAACTTTCTGCTTCATTGCATGGCCATGAGTTCTAGTGTTAAAAGAGATGGAGGAAAACTTTTCTCTGTCTACTTCTTCCACGCCATGCAGAATTTTATAAACTTCTATCACGTCGCCACTTACTTGCCCTTTCACCAAACTGAAAAGACGCTGCAGCCTTTTCTCTTAGGGGAGTCGCTCCATCCCCTTGATCGCCCCCTTTTCTGAAACTTTTCCAACCCTGGGGGCAGAGATAGGGCATTGCATGTGACTCAATGTTACCTTGGTTCTCCTCCAGCTTCCCAATGGTCTCAATCTGCTCCACCAGGTCGTTGGAGTTCCACTGGCTCATCCCCAGGAGAATCGCGCTCTTCCCTTCCGCCACCTCCTCTGCAGCGAGAGAAAACGGCATCACATTTCAGCACAATGGCACAGATACCAGAGCCAGGACGGCTTCACTGAGACTAAAGCAGGTGTGGTGGGGATGCATGACCTGGCCACAGGGTCAGAAAGTGGAGGGTCTCCTCCGGGATCCTTCCCCCCTCCCCAATTTTTTTATTAGTTTTCTATTTTTAACACAACACAAAATAACGAGCAAATAACAAACATATATATATATATCTATATATATATATACACACACAAACAAACATACATTCAAAATTTCTTAGCGTTAAAAATCCAAATTCAATCCATTTTAGGTGACTTCCTCAAATCCTTCCTGACTGATTTCCATTAAATTTCATTTTAGCAATTTTCCAGTATCCACTTCTAATAATGTTAACTTGTTCAGATTACTAACTTCCTTTCTTTTCATAATATTCTCAATCCATCATCTTATACTTTCAACATAATTTAATCCTAAACCAAATTTAGCACTTGCAAGTATTTCCTCTTATATAATAATAATAATAATAATAATAATAATAATTATATATATTATATTATTGTATTTTAATAAATATTCCTTAAATTTCTTCCTCCAGGATCCTTTGCAAGAGTACAGCAAGAGCATCACCGCATCCCCTGCATGTGTAAAACACTATTATTATATAGAGCCCTTAACAATTTGGGACCACTTTACTCAAGAGATCACCTTATGCCTTATATATGCTGACTCAACCACTTCAGTTGGTGGAACTGGCACTGCTATGGGTACCACATTATACCCGTTCAGCATGTGTAAGAAATCCATCCATCTTTCAGTGTGGCAGCACCTACACTTTGGAACTCCTTGCCTATTGACGTCAAGAAGGTGCCTTCATTGTTTTTGGGGTGGGTTTTTTTGGTGCCTGCTAAAAGGGTTCTTTTTAAGACACACACATACCCAGATATTTAGAAAGCCAGTGTGAGTCTCTTATCTCTTGTCAGCCTGTTGTTATTTTAACTTTTTGAATGCTCTGAATTATTGCTGTTTATTTTTCTCACTGATAACTTCATGGTTTTACCTGTTTTTCGTAAATGAATCTGAAGTTCTTCTTGCAAGCTAGCGGTGAGTGAATTTTATGAAATAAATAAATAAACAGGAGGCCCAGACACCCACTGTGTCTCCTTCACAACACCCCTTAGGATGTTAGCCCTGCAGCGCTAGAGAGAGGATGCCACATGGCAAGGCTGGCACAGAGCTGGGTGCCACTCACAAGGCATTCACATGGGCAGCCATGCTTTGGGGGAAGAAGCACTATTATTATTGTTATTGTTATTGTTATTGTTATTGTTATTATTACCCCATTGTTTTCCCAGACCAGGACTCAATGCACCTTACCCCTAATTAAAACAACACAGGTAATAAAATACAAAATCTTTCTCTGAGGATATTTGTTACAGGTCGTGTTATCATTTGTACGTTTCACTGTTCTGGGTTAATTGTAGTGGGTATTCTTGGCTGAACTTCAGTGCAATTTGTAAGAGACGGCGATGTTAATAGAGGATTAAGTAAGATAGACGCATTCCCCTGAATTAAAAATAAATAGATCTCTATCCCCCTTTATTGAAGTTCAAGGCTGCTACCATCAATTGTGTGCAAACTGCAATTTAGACTGATACACTGAGGAGGCAAGTTTACAACACACTGATGGTTGAGGGAGTTGCGCAAGTTTAGCCTGGAGAAGAGAAACTGAGAGGTGATATCAGAGCCATCTTCAAATACCGCAAGGTTGCTACATGGAAGATGGAGCTAGCTTGTTTTGTGCTGCTGCAGGGGACAGGACCCTAATTGCTGGATTCAAATAACAAGAAGGTTATTCTGACTAAATATTAGAAAGAACTTTCTGGGGGTATAAGCCATTCGACAGCAGACTCCCAATGAATGTGTGGACTCTCCTTCATTGGAGGTTTCTAAGGTGAGGTTTGATGGCATCTGTCAGTGATTCTTTAGCTGCAATTCCTGCATTGCAGGGGGCTGAACTAGATGACTTCTGTGGTAGACTCTCCAAGTGTCCCTATTTTCCAGGGACATCCTGAATTTACAGAAGCCATCTCAGTTTTTGATTTGATCCTAGAAGGTCCTGCTTTTCCTTAGGACGTCCCTAAGGAGAAATGTTGGAGCGTATGGTAGGATGTCCCTATTTTCATGGGAGATATGTTGGAGGGTAAGGAGTTATGTGACCCCAGACCCAAGGAGATAACTATACAACCTTTAAGGTAGAGGTAAAGGGACCCCTAACCATTAGGTCCAGTACCGGACAACTCTGGGATTGCGGCGCTTATCTCGCTTTATTGGCCGAGGGAGCCAGCGTACAGCTTCCAGGTCATGTGGCCAGCATGACTAAGCCGCTTCCGGCAAACCAGAGCAGCGCACGGAAGCGCTGTTTACCTTCCCGCTGGAATGGTACCTATTTATCTACTTGCACTTTGACATGCTTTCAAACTGCTAGGTTGGCAGGAGCAGGGACCGAGCAATGGGAGCTCACCCCGTCGTGGGGATTTGAACCGCCAACCTTCTGATCGGCAAGCCCTAGGCTCTATGGTTTAACCTTTAGAAGCCCTATATAGTTTTATTATGTTTTTGTGTGTTGGAAGCTACCCAGAGAATTATTTATTTATTTATTTATTTATTATCATCATCATCATCATCATCATCACCATCATTATGGAATAGGATGTCCCTATTTTCATCAGAGAAATGTTGGAGGGTATGCTGTTGTCCCTTTGAACTCAACAATTCACTGGTTCTATTATTCCTCCTCTATTGGTGCCAATGAAAGGTTTCATTGACAGGTAAATAACAGCTTCTGAGAGGGTATTTGTCAGACCCATGGCTGGGAGAAGGAGAGTTTAACTTCTCCCCACCACCATGCTGCCCCCCCCCCACCGCCCAGCAGCTCAGGCTTCTCCAAAGATGCTATTTACATAACGAAACACAACAAGAAAAATCCCCGGTTAATTGTCTTCGTCATCCTGGGCCTGGCTTGCCTCCAAGAGGCAACAATGCGGAAAGGCAGCCTCATCCCAGGCAAATCTCTGACTCCTCCGTTGGGTGGTTTTTCTACCAAGCCCAAAGCATTTCCTTCCTGCTGCAATTATCACCATCTCAGCCATTGCATTCATGAATATGGATGGCGGATCCCCCTCCCTTCCCAACACTTGGGGAAGATTTTAAAAGGAGGCAAATGTCTGCACATCCGATCAGGTGTTTTGAAGCCAGAAAGTGCCACTTTGGAAGCGGAACCCCTCTAGGCCCTTTGTGTTCGCCGCTCAAGAGTCAGCAGCAAGGAAGGCAGAAAAGGGATGAGGACTCGGGAACCCCTTTTCCTTCCAATCTCATGCAGCTGCAAATTCAGAAGAAGAAGAAGAAAAACAGAAGGCAGGTGGGCTCCAGCACCCAAGGACAACAGCTAGACCTGTTGCAAGGAGCTCGAGGCCTCCTTGAGAAAAGAAATGCAATGGTTGTTTCATTTGCTCAAATATCAGTCTGCTTGCAGGTTTCCCTTGGGGGCGTCTGGTTGTCTACTATTGAGGACAGGAGGCTGGGTGAGTTGGGACCCCCTGCTATAAGGCTCTTGTGATAGGAATTTTGAGGTCTTATAGGGAACCTATGTAAGGACTCTATATGGGCTCTTGGATACCCCATAAGGGGAAAAGGGCAGATTTTTGTTTACAACACTTTCCAAAGAGTCCCTTCATTCAACGGAGGCGCCACTGGGGAATCATACAACCAGGAGCAATCCTGCCTCCGACCGCGGAGACAGAGCACGACCATCATGGCTAGTGGTTGTTGACAGTCTTATCCTCTGGGGTGGGGGGAGAACAGGAAGAACCTGAAAAAATGGCATTTTCTTCAAAGTGTCACCAGCTTCTCCAGAGGATCGGGGGGACCGGCACATCGCACGTCCTGACATCACACATGCAACGTTGCACGATGTCCTGACAACGTGCGTCATCCTCTGAATATTGAAGCAGCCCAGTCCCCTCAAAAAAAAATGTATTCAGGGGGCCAAAACTGCCTCAGCTCCTAGGAGTCATGCAGATGCCCCACAAAAACTGAGTGAACACAGCATGGGTGTTTCACAGCCAAGACCCAATTTGGAAGCAGCCTGTAATTGTAAGAAAGAATGTAAGTTGAACCGGCTGGAACAGGCCAATGGCCTATCTCCATCTGCTTCCTATTCTCACAGCAGCCAGCCAGCCAGGTGCCTCTTCTGGGAAACCCGACAAACAGGACCTGAGCACTAGAGCCCTCTCCCCTCCTGTGGTTTCCAGTGTTGTAAACAAAATCTGCCCTAAGACCTTAAAACTCTTATCACACCAGCAACTGGCATTCAGAAGCATGTGGCTGTAGAGCATAGCCATCCCGGCTTGTAGCCATCAATAGGACCAGACGTGGGTGGCACTGTGGGCCTAGGGCTTGCCGATCAGAAGGTCAGTGGTTCGAATCCCTGCAACGGGGTAAGCTCCCATTGCTCGGTCCCTGCTCCTGCCAACCTAGCAGTTCAAAAGCACGTCAAAGTGCAAGTAGATAAATAGGTACCACTCCGACGGGAAGGTAAACAGCATTTCCGTGTGCTGCTCTGGTTTGCCAGAAGCGGCTTAGTCATGATGGCCACATGACCTGGAAGCTGTATGCCGGCTCCCTCAGGCTATAAAACGAGATGAGCGCCGCAACCCCAGAGTCGGTCACGACTGGACCTAATGGTCAGGGGTCCCTTTACCTTTACCTTTACCTTACACCAGAGATGTAATCCGTGTGTGTGTGTGTGTGTGTGTGTGTGTCTGGGGGCTGCACACACAACTGTCTCCCCCACTGGCATTTATTCCAGATTAAGACATTTGTCCTCCCTTATCAAATAATAAAATTTGACTGGAAACCTGCATCACACCCAGTCCTTATTAATGCAACTATTACTGTCTTCCACTGATGAACTGTAATAATAATATTTGACGGAAAAGAGTCTTTTGAAACATCAAAATATTGACAGCATTCCTGTCACTGTGTACTTCTAGTTTCCATGGAAAGCCTGGGTGGGCCTCTGTTCAGGCATCTGCCTAGGGAAGATGCCATCGGTGCTTTTAAATTATAGATGTTGTTGAGCAATTCCAGAAATAGCAGTGGGACGTTTGGCAAGGGCAGCCTCAAAAGAGCTGCCGTGAGAAGGAAGGACTTTAAGGCTGCAGAACGGCTTTTTGGAGTGGGGGCATTTTGCCTTCCCAAGAGGTGGGGAGAGAGAAGGGGAAGAGCACCAGATAGGCTCCTCATTCTGGAGTCTTCTTTGCACAATGGACATGTCTGATAGCCAAGGAAGGAAAGCTCCCCCCACCAACACAGACACTCACAAGGCCTCAAGGCTTCTCACATCAGTACATGCAGAAAACATCTAGGGGTCTTAGTCTACCACAAGCTTAACATGAGTCAGTGGTGTGATGGAGCACTAAAAAAAAAGAAGAGCTAATGCTATTTTAGGCTGCAACAACAGAAATCTAGTGTCTAGATCAAGGGAAATCATAGTACCACTGCATTCTGCCTTGGTCAGACGACCCCTGGAGTCCTGCGGCCAGTTCTGGGCACCACAGTTTTAAAAGGACATTGACAAGCTGGAAGATGTGCAGAGGAGGGAGACCAGCAGGCTCAAGGACCTGGAAACCAAGCCTTATGAGGAACAGTTGAGGGAGCTGTGGATGTTTAGCCTGGAGAAGACCAAGAGGTGACATGAGAACTATCTTCAAATACCTGAAGGGCTGTCACATGGGAAGAAGGAGCCAGCTTGTTTTCTCCAAAGGGGAGGGCCTGATGGAGTCAAATGATAAGAAAGGAGATTCTGACTACACATTAGGAAGAACTGTTCAACAGTGAAACGAACTCCCTTGGAGGATAGTAGACTCTCATTCACTGGAAGTTTGTCAACAAAGTTTGGATGGTCACCTCTCAAGGATTCTAGCTGCAATTTCTGCATTGCAGGGGGTTGGACCCTCATGGTCCCTTCCAGTTCCACAATTCCATGATTCTATGAAATACAGTCACACAGGACTCCCTTTCCACAGCACAATGTGAAAATTGACTTTCCTAATGGTCTTAAGCACTGCACTGACCAGATATACCACACTGTTTTGCTTTGGGTTGGGTTTTTTTTAGTATTTCTACTTCTATTATTTTCATTTATAATAATGTTGACCTGGATGGACCAGTGGCCTGACTCAGCCTAAGGCAGCAGAGGATGTCCAAGAGGAACCCGACAGGGGAAGCACCGAAGGCCTCTAGGAAATGGAGCAAGGGGACAATGCCCTGAGAGACCCTTTGGATGCCTGGCAGTAGGCATAATGAACACCAACCTCGTGCATCAAAGAACTCATCATCGGAGCTCTCCACGGAGTCAGTCAGGATCCCGTGCATGGGCCACTGGGCGCTGAACCGGCGTAAATCAGCTGCAGAAGGAGACAGACAAACAAACAAGCAGAGAAAAGTGAGACGAGTGAACAGATTTTTGGCTGCAACGCTGGAGTCAAAACAAAACATTTTGCTCCGCTATGAAAAGTGCTCCCGATTAATCAGCCTGGTGAAATTAAACTTATTTTCATACAAGGACTTACAGAAACGGCCAACATCAAGCACCATATGAAAGGCAGGATCCTGCTCACCCACCCACATGAGAGCAGCTGTTTAAGAATTGGTACCCAAGTTGTTGTTTTTCCCCCTCTGCCCTTCCTGTGCCTTTTCCCTTGCAAGTTGTATTTTCTTATATAGCAAACCTGTGGAGAATGGGATTGCTTTGTTTTAAGTGACTGTACGTAAGCCACTCTGGGAGTCTTGTTGGCTGAACACAGGGGTGTAAATGCTCACATAATAATCATGAACATGTGAGGACAATAAGGCACCCCTTATCCAAAACAACCCTTCATCCCCCAAGGACACTTTTTTCACTTCTGGACTAGGTGGATTCCCCTCCCCCCATTTTTCATATATACAGATTTACCTATCAATCAACTGAGCAAAACTGCTACCATTTCATCACTTATTGACACCTGAGAGTGCCCACCATGTCCAGATAATATCACTGGAAGATTTAGGACAGATATAAGAAGAAAGCTCTTCCTCATGCAGCACAGAGTTAAAATGTGGAACTCACTATCATAGGAAGGCATAATGGCTCCCAACTTGGACTGATTTTAAAAAGGATTAGACAGATTCATGGAGGAAGAAGAAGAGAAGAAGAGTTTGGACTTGATACCCCGCCTTTCACTCCCCTTAAGGAGTCTCAAAGCAGCTAGCAATCTCCTTTCCCTTCCTCCCTCACCACAAACACTCTGTGAGGTGAGTGAGGCTGAGAGACTTCAGAGAAGTGTGACTAGCCCAAGGTCACCCAGCAGCTGCATGTGGAGGAGCGGGGAATCGAACCTGGTTCACCAGATTACGAGTCCACCGCTCTTAACCACTACACACGCTGGCTCCCAGCAGAGGGAGCAGAGGGCTATTGATGGATACTAGCCATGATGGCTTTGCTCTGCAGCCATGCATCTGAATACCAGTTGCTGGAAAGGGCTTTTGTGTTCGGATCCTACTTGCCGATTTCCCCCAATAGGCCAATGTAAGGACAGGATACTGGGCTAAGATGGGCCATAGGCCTGATCCAGCAGGCTCTGCATCTGTTCTATACATTCATCCCAGAAAAGGAAGGCAGCCCAGGGGAGGGGCAGAGTTTGGAAGCAATTCTGAAGCTCATGGAGTGACCATGGGCCAGTCACCACCTCTCAGACTAGCCTATCTCACAGGGTTGTTGTGAAGATTAAATGAGGAGGGAGGACAAACTATGTATGCCACCTTGAGCTCCTTGGAGAAAAAGTTGGGAGATAAATGCAACAAACAATACAGACAGCTAGAAACTCAAACCCCAAGCTGGCTTCTCCTCTATTAATGTATATGATTTGGAAGTTTGGTTTCCAGCCCAAACGTCAGGCACCCAAAGAAATAAACAAGGGGCAAATCATTACTCATACAATAAGCACAATCATCAGTGATGGAAAGCAGCAAGAGCCGCCAAGAAGATGAATCTTTTATCATCTCCACAGCCAACAACTCACCCCTTGTGTGCAAACACTGTGGCAAGTCAGAATTCTCTGGAAACGGCCAACAGTGCTCATTCCTGCTTAGAATTTATTAGGTGTGTATCTGTGCAAGACTTTAAAAGCCCTCTGGTGGCTTGCAATGCATGATTCTTGCAAATCACTGGAGGAGTCTCTTTAGCTAAGAGGTAAAAATGCTTGTAGATTAAGTAAGATGACTAACAAGGCAGATATATGACACTCTGGGAGAAAAACATTTCAGTTACCACCTCCTTCAGTGGATCAGACATGACTCAGAGCCTGTCCTAAGACCATAGGAAGAGCCTGATGGATCCTGCCCTCACAGTGGCCAAATGGGAAACCCAGTCTTGTTCTCCACCATTCTAAGGTAGACCGGCTCTGTCCATGGAAGCTCCATTTAGCAATCCTAAGAAACTAAGAAGAGCCCTGCAACTGGAACAGACCAAACAAACATCCTGTTTGCGCTCAGAGACTCAGCAGATGCAAGGGGAAATCTGAAAACTCCCCCAAGAAGCCCCCATGCCATTATTGGCACAGCCAGGCAAGCCATTAGGTAGCCTTCCTCCTTCGACAGCCTCACTGTTCCCACTCCTCCTGATAAGCCCACTTAATGGCTATAGGATTTTATAAATGCAAGTTGTCTAATTATGGCTAATGAATGCGGCAGTCATGGATCCAATATCTCGACCGTTTTGCCTGGCAGGCACAGCTTAATCGCTTGGCTCCATTGAATAAAGTCCACTTAGCCTTAAGTGTTCCCAGACACACACGGAGCCCCTTCAAATTAAGCTGACGAAGCCTCGACTAATTGAGTGCTGCACCTGATGAGGATAAATGTTTAAGCCTCCCTCCCAGCAGTGCTCCTTTGAACCGCCCGCTTGCCCTCTGCATTCCCCAGCCTCGAAAGCCAATGCCAGCTTCAGCCCCCCATCTGTAGGGGGTAAGGGAGCCCTTGCAGTGTGGAAGCAGAATGTCTGTGTCTCTGATCACCAAGAAACCTGGACTCTATTATGGCCTCAGCCTATTTCTATCTTAAGACCATGTCTCCTTTGGAGTGTGCAAAAAAGAGAGAGAAGAAACTCAACAAAAGAAAGAGGATGAATATTTGAATGGGAGTCCGGAATGTTTGACTGGCAATGCTATTATCCTGTGTTTTTCTTGCAAAGCTAACTTCTTGCAGTGTCTTATTAACCAGGTTGTAATAACTTTGTCATAAAAGCTGTTATGTACGATGACAAAAATCCACCAACGGCATACAAATCAATATGGCTAACCTGATCCAAAACACACACCCCCACACACACGAAAACAAAGACCACCACAGCCAACCGTAAATGAATAACCACACCCTAGGCCAACCCCAACCTCTCTCACCACCAAAGGAACACAAGTGAACAGCAAAGAATCTGCACAAGCAACGCTGATGCCAAACCCTACATAGAGTAAGTAAAATAGAAACATCGCCACTCGACCCCCCCATCTTCCCCCCCCCCACCTCTTTCCCCCTTTTCTTCCTAACGTCTCAACAAACAAAACTGATTTCCGGCAGGCTAGGGACAAAGGTGAGAGCTGTTTCCTAGTTCTGCTGGATCTCTCAGCGGCTTTTGACACCATCGACCATAACATCCTTCTGGACCGTCTAGAGGGGCTGGGAGCTGGGGGCACTGTTATACAGTGGTTCTGCTCCTTCCTCCTGGGTCATGTTCAGAAAGTGGTGGGGGGGATGAGTGTTCAGACCCCTGGGCTCTTACTTGTGGGGTGCCTCAGGGTTCTGTCCTCTCCCCCATGCTTTTCAACATCTACATGCAGCCGCTGAGATAGATCATCAGGGGGTTTGGGCTGGGTGTTCATCGGTATGCGGAAACCCAGCTAGATGGGCGGGGTATAAATAATATATTATTATTATTATTATTTGTAAAAATTTTACATGGAGGGGGAAAAATGAGACATTGCACACACTTTTGTAAATCAACAAAATCTTTAATAATAATAATAATAATAATAATAGTTGTTATGTATGCAAAACTCCCTATCAGCTCAGAAGAGAGTCTGGCGAGCGGGGTCTCCTCTGACACAACAGCTGACCTGAGCGGACTTTTATGCTAACCACACAGTGAAGGCTTGACTGTTCTTCTGCTAGAGCAATTAGAGAAACAGTTGCCCTGTTTGGGTGGCCTTTAAAAACCTAAGAATAGCCTGGCTGATAGATCAGTCCAGCACCCCATCTAGTCCAGCATCCTGCTCTCACATTGGCCACCCAGAATGTCTGTGGAAAACCCACAAGCAGGACTTGAGCCCAAGAGCAGCACTCTCCCTTCTTGTGATTCCCAACTGCTGCCTCTGACCGTGGAGGTTGAGCATAGCCATCATAGCTAGTAGCCATCAATAGCCCCCACCTCCTCCGTTAATTTGTTCAATTCTCTTTTCAATCCATCCAAGTTGGTGGCCAACTCCTGTGGGAGGGAGTTCCATAGTTTAAGTATGTGCTGCATGAATAACTTTCTTTTACCTGTCCTGAAACTTCAAGCGTTCAGCCTCAGCTTTGGCCTCACTTCTGTCTTTTGACCACAGCAGGGGTGGCGGAACTTTGTGTGAGAAGAGAGGCTGGGGTGGAGGAGCGTTTGCTTACCTGCAAACCAGATGGGCACAGGAGATGCCAGGAAAGCAAAGGAAGACCACCACCATCCCTCTGGTTGCTAGGCAACCATAACACTCTCTTCTCCCTGCATCCAACTGTCAGACAGAGCTGAAGGAAGGGGGTGGGAACAGAGGGGGATTATAAAGGTAAAGGTAAAGGGACCCCTGACTGTTAAATCCAGTGGCAGATGACTCTGGGGTTGCGGCACTCATCTCGCTCTATAGGCCAAGGGAGCCGGCATACAGCTTCCGGGTCATGTGGCCAGCATGACTAAGCCGCTTCTGGCGAGCCAGAGCAGCCCACGGAAACGCTGTTTACCTTCCCGCTGCAGCGGTACCTATTTATCTACTTGCACTTTGATGTGCTTTCTATTCTGCCTTGGACAGACCACAGCTGGAGTCCTGTGTCTAGTCCTGAGCATTGTAATTTAAGGAGGATACAGTGGTGCCTCGCAAGACGAAATTAATCCGTTCCGCAAGAGTCTTCGTCTAGCGGTTTTTTCGTCTTGCGAAGCAAGCCCATTGACGGATTAGCGCTATTAGCGCTATCAGCTGTTTAGCGGCTATTAAAGGCTTAAAGGCTTAGGGATTAGCTGCTAAAAGGCTATTAAAGGCTATTAAAGGCTTAGCAGATTAGATACAGTTGTGGAAAAGCGACAAAAAAATCTCAAGACTCGAAAGGTATTTTCGTCTTGCGAAGCAAGCCCATAGGGGAATTCGTCCTGCGAAGCAACTTCAAAACGGAAAACCCTTTCGTCTAGCGGTTTTTCCGTCTTGCGAGGCATTCGTCTTGCGGGGCACCACTGTATTGACAAGCTAGAAAGTGTGTTGAGGAGGGCAAGCAAGATAGCCAAGGGTCTGGAAACCATGCCTGATGAGGAACAGTTGAGGGAGTTGGGGATGTTTAGCCTGGAGAAGAGGAGACCGAGAGGTGATACGACAGCCACCTTCAAATATCTGAAGGGCTGTCCTTGGGAAGATGGAGAAAGCTTGCTTCCCTCTGCTCCTGAGGAGGGGAACCTGAACCAATGAATTCATATTGCTAGAAAGGAGATTCTGATTAAAGCTTTCTGGCTGTAAGCTGTTCGAGAGTGGAACGGGCCACATGGAAAGGCGGTGGACTGTCCTTCCTTGGAGGTTTTTAAACAGAGCTTAGGCAGCCACCTGTCGGGGATTCTTTAGCTGTGGTTTCTGCATTGCAAGGGGTTGGACTAGATGGCCTTTGGGGTGCTTTCCAACTCTTCGGTTCTATGATTTGATGATGGTCCAGGCACATTGAAGAAGTGGGGAAGGCACGTTCTAGGCCCTAAGCCACAAAGATTGGGTCTGCAGAGGAGGAGGGCTAGCCCACGTGTGGCATTCTTCATCATTATATTTCTATCCCACCTTTTTCTCCAAGAAGAGCAAAGTGGGGCCCATGGTTCTTTCCCCATTTTATCCCCACAACAGCCCTGTGAGGTAGGTTAGGCTGAGAGGCAGTGACTGGCCCCCAAGGCCACGAAGTGAGTTTCGTGGCCGAGTGGGGATTTGAACCCTGGTCTCTCCCAGGTCTTAGTCTGGCGCTCTAACCACTACACCACCACTGCCTCTCTCTCTCTCTCTCTCTCTCTCTCTCTCTCTCTCTCTCTCCCTCACGGTACCAAACCAAATTGTGCATGGACACCTGAGATGAAACCTTCCATTAGGCACTCAGGATTGCTCTCTCTCCTCAAAAAGCCTCCTAGTTCCTTTGAAATGCTAAAAGCCCTCCTTCCTCAAGAAGGTGGACTGGGATGAGAGGCTTCTGCCTCCTGCTCCTCCTTCCTTTCCCCTGAGAGGGAAAAGCGTTCCCTGCTGTGGCGATTAGCTCAGGCTCCAGGCTCACCTCCGCCCTCCCCTGGGAATTCAAAACAGGCAAGAAGAAGAAGGGGAGGGCGGCGGCTTGTGGAGCTGCTCGCTGGATGACTCATCCCCCAAATGGATATCTCTTTCTCTCCTTTCCCTGCAAAAAAAGCCACGCTGCTGCTATTAGATGGAACCCCTGATGGGCAGAACTAACCCTGCTGGGGGGGCCAAGCCCCGGTATCCCTGCCTTTGCAAGGGAGCCCATCATCATTTCCGGAAGGAGGCATCGCCATCGCTGGGGGGGGGGGGGGGGAGAGAAGAAGAACTGAAGGCAAAAGACACAGCCTCAACTGGCTGATTCCAGCCCTTTTTTCATAGACTCATAGAACTGTTGAGTTGGAAGGGACCCCCAAAGGTAATCCAGGCCAACCCCCAGCAATGCAGGAAGCACATCTAAAGAATCCACAAGAGGTGGCCATTGAACTCTTTATAAACCGCCAAGGAAGGAGAGTCCACCAACTTCCAGGGAAGTCCGTTCCGCTGTCGAACAGCTCCTGCTGTCAGAGAGTTTTTCCTAACGTTTAGTCAGAATCTCATTTCTTTGCCATTTGAATCCACTGGTTTGGGTCCTCTCCTCTGGAGCAACAGAAAACAGACTTTCTCCATCTCGCATGTGACAGCCCTTCAGATATTTGAAGAGGTCTGTTTCAAATGCAGAAGAGAGGTGGGATCATTCCAGAGCAGGGGTCAGCAAACTTTTCCAGCAGGGGGCCGGTCCACTGTCCCTCAGACCTTGTGGGGGGCCGGACTATTTTTTTTTGGGGGGGAGAACGAATTCCTATGCCCCACAAATAACCCAGAGATGCATTTTAAATAAAAGGACACATTCTACTCATGTACAAACACGCTGATTCCCGGACCGTCCGCGGGCTGGATTTAGAAGGCGACTGGGCCGGATTTGGCCCCCGGGCCTTAGTTTGCCTACCCATGGAGCTGGGGTGGGAGCCCTGCAGATATTTGGGGCCCAAACCATCAAGGACTTTGCAAACCATGACAAAGAACTAGCCCAGAAACCCCAGAGGCAACCAGGGTAAAATTTTGAGGCTGGTAGCTGGACAATCCCACCTCCCTGGCCCTTCTTATTACCTGGCAGCCACGTGCATTTGCCCTGGATAGGCACTAGTAGGGTTGCCATATTTCAGAAAGTAAAATTCCTGGCATTCACGACATCCACAAAGTTGCTGAGCTTTCTTTAGGAAACCAGCCAAATTGTTGAGCTTTTTATGCGGACAAACCCAAACTTTTGAGTGAAACCTCGCCCAATAACGTACTGACGTTGAAGCTTTCGGAGCTGTTTCCGCATTGCCATACACCTGGGTTTCCCCTGACATTTTGCCAGTTCATCAAAAATCCCCCCCTGACGTCATTTTTACACCCCAAAACCGGGACATGTCAGGAATTGTCCTGACGTATGGCAAGCCTGGGCACTAGCTATATTGTAGGGGATTGGACGAGATGACCCTCGGGGTCCCTTTCAACTCTACTATTCTATCATTCAATTATATTATGCTGCATCCAATTAATTAAAGGTCAGCCTCCGTGCCAAAGATCATTTTCTGGCTGTGGCCCACACCTGGATGCAATCAGGTCCTTGCAAGCCACATTAAAAGTAATTTTCTGGGCGTTTGCCAACATGCAGAAAGTGCCCAGCTGTGGACATCCTGAGAGCTGAGCTGGGCAGGCATTTCTTCAGGGGCTCTGCAATGCAGCTGTGCCCCCATGGAAAGGAGCCCTGTGTTCAAGGCTTGGATCTCATGAGAACGTAAGAAGAGGCTGCTGGTTCAGGCCAATGGCTAATCTAGTCAATACGATACGATATGATACGATACGATAATCTTTATTGTCATTGTCCCATACAGAACAACGAAATTGAAAAAAATCTACACCAGACATTCAAAAACCAACAAGCCTGATATCCCAACTATCCCAGCCTGGTTAGCCCGTAAAAACTCTGACACCCCATAATTGAATACAATATACTCCCATAGAGACTACCTTACACTGCGTTTAAAACCAAAATCGCATTTGGATAGAAACTGTTTCTCAGGCGGCGAGTCCTAGTCTTTATAACCCTGTACCTTCTTCCAGAAGGCAGAAGCTGAAAGAGATCATTTCCAGGGTGGACACTATCCTGCACTATCTCTGCAGCTTTCTCATGGCACCTGGAAGCGTAGATTTGATCCAAGGGGGGAAGAGTGCACCCAATTATTCTCTCCACAGTCTTTACAACCCTGGACAGCATTCTGTCTTCACACAGCATCCTCTTCACACAGTGGCCAGCCAGAAGCCCCAGTGTAAAACTTGAAAGCAGGAAGCGAGTCCTCTCCCCTCCTGCGGTTTCCAGCATTCAGAAGCATTACTGTCTTGGCTTTGGAGGCAGACCATAGCCAGCATGACTAGTAGCCATTGCCAGCCAAATTTGGGTCTCCAGCTGTTTTTGGACTACAGTTCCCATGATTCCTCGCCACTAGTCCTGCTAGCTAGGGATGGTGGTAATTGTAGTCCAAAGACCAGCTGGTTTGGGGACTCAAGTTTGGGAAACACTGCTCTATAAGAACAAAGGGGACTGCCATGACTATAACATGGGATCTTCCTGCTGAGTACTGTGGGGAAATCCTTTGCCCGTGAAGTTCTCAACAGATTACAGTCACTCACTGACAGGGTCTATCCTGAGTCATAATGAGGCTTTAGAGCTCAGAGGTTAACAGTCGACATGATTTTCTCACTGCAGCAGCTGCAGGAGGAATGCCCAGAGCAGAGATGCCCCTCATACATCGCCTTCATAGACTTGGCAAAGGCCTTTGACCTCAACAGCCAAAGATGACTCTTCACACCATTCAACAAGATTGGATGTCCACCTGAGCTCCACAAGATGACCATGTCCTTACATACCCTTGCAGAGGGGTGGGCAGCCAGGTCCACTTGCTCTGAGCCTCGGAGGACTCAGCCGGCTGGGGAGCCCTGCTGGACTTATGCCAGGGGCAGCAAACTTTTTCAGCAGGGGGCTGGTCCACTGTCCCTCAGACCTTGTGGAGGGCCAGACTATATTTTTGGGGGGAAAGAGGGGGGGAGAATGAATTCCTATGCCCCACAAATAACCCAGAGGTGCATTTTAAATAAAAGCTCACATTCTACTCATGTAAAAACACACTGATTCCCAGATCTGGCCAGATTTAGAAGGCGATTGGGCCGGATCCAGCCCCCAGGCCTTAGTTTGCCTACCCATGACTTGTGCCGTTATGCCAAGAACAAGACTCCCATCCTAGACCTCAGGCAAGGTCTGCACTGGCCTGCTTACAAGAGAACAAGCACTCTCTCTGGGCCATGCAAAATTTTATGAACTCTCTGGTGATTTCCGAACTCTCATCTCAGGACCATCCAGACTTGGCAAGGATGCTATTCTTCATTACAGCAGGGAGATGGGGGGACCCCCACAAGCACATAATGGGCTTCTTAATTGCAGGATATATATTGCGGATGGAGGAGGGAGAGACTTCAGGGTCCTTAACACTGCTAAGGAAAGAATGATAGTTATCCTATCCTCTTTCAGTGCTTAATTTTTACCATTGACAAATACAGTGGTACCTTGGGTTACATACGCTTCAGGTTAAATACACTTCAGGTTACAGACTCTGCTAACCCAGAAATAGTACCTCGGGTTAAGAACTTTGCTTCAGGATGAGAACGGAAATCGTGCTCCGGTGGGGCGGCAGCAGCAGGAGGCCCCATTAGCTAAAGTGGTGCTTCAGGTTAAGAACAGTTTCAGGTTAAGAACAGACCTCCAGAACGAATTAAGTTCTTAACCCGAGGTACCACTGTAAGTCACAACTGACTCACATGTTCCCATTGGTATCAGTCAGAGTGTCAGACTAGGACCTGGGAGAGATCAGGGTTCAAATCCACCACTCTGCCATGAAGCTCGCTTGGTTACCTTGGGGAGCCAGTTGCTGCCTCTCAGCCTAGCCTACCTCACAGGTTTGCTGTGGGGATTAATTGAGATGGGGGGAAGAACCACGTACACCGTCTGGAGCTCCTTGGGGAGAAAAAGGTGGAGCTCTCAAGGCAATAAATAAACACTAAGAGAGTGTGTGGAGTCTCCTCCCATGTCTTGAACACGGGGAAGAGGCAAGCAGAAGTCGGGGAGGGGGAGGCTGAAGTTGTGATGGAGAGGCCTCATTCTGCTCAAACCTGTGGAGCTAAAAATAGACCTGGCAGCAACGGCGCATGCTGAGGAGGGGAGAGGGAAGCACCAGAGAGAATGTCAATGAGCCGCGGCTGACGCAAGGAGTGGCTGCGTTCTGGAGCACAGCGCCAACTTCCAGGGTGACATCAGGGGCTAATTCGGGTGCTGGTGATGCAGCTTCACTCCCAGTTCAGAGGGGGCAGGGAAGGAGGGGGAGAGGGAGGAGAGGGGAGGAAGAAAGGAAAGCTAAGCACCCCTTCTTTTGTCCCTGGCAGGGCCTACGACAGGAGGGGGAAAGCCAGTGGAAAGGGGGCATCCTCTACAATTTAGTGTGGCGACATCTACACTTTGGAACTCCCTGTCTATTGAAATCAAGCAGGCGCCTTCACTGTTCTCTTTGGGGCACCTGCTCAACACATTCTCATTCAGACTAGTTTAGAAAGCTGGTATGAATTTTAACCCATTTTATTCTTTAAACTTTTTGCATGCTTTAAGCTACTGTAATTTTCTCTTTCTTTGTTGTCTTATTTTGTATTTTTGTACACTGCTTTGAGGTTTGTTTGTTTTTGCAGTCAAACAGTGTATGAATTTAATGAAATATGTTTTATGTGGTTCTTCACAAAATGTAGTATTTCACTTTCAACACATGCGCAGTTCGGATGAATGGGCTTCGTGAACCAAGCATTTCCAGGTCTTTCTGGCTCTGTGTGGACATTTGCTCCTAACAAGTGCCCTGCTGGATCAGGCCATCTGGCCCAGCATACTGACCAACCAGCTAGCCCAAAGCAAAGCCCACAAGCAGGTCTGAAGCAGAAGACCACCACTCTCCCCTCCTGTGTCTTCCAGCAACTGGTATTCAGAAGCATCCCTGCTTCAGATGATGGATGCAGTGCATACCCATCATGGCAAGTAGCCATTGATAGCCTCGCCTCCTCCAAGAATTTGTTTAACTCCCTTCTAAAGCCATCCATGACACGGATGGCACTGTGGGTTAAACCACAGAGCCTAGGACTTGCCGATCAGAAGGTCGGCGGTTTGAATCCTCGCGACGGGCTGAGCTCCCGTTGCTCGGTCCCTGCTCCTGCCAACCTAGCAGTTCGAAAGCATGTCAAAGTGCAAGTAGATAAATAGGTACCACTCCTGCGGGAAGGTAAACGGCGTTTCCGTGGGCTGCTCTGGTTCGCCAGAAGCGGCTTAGTCATGCTGGCCACATGACCCAGAAGCTGTACGCCGGCTCCCTCGGCCAGTAAAGCGAGATGAGCGCCACAACCCCAGAGTCGGTCACGACTGGACCTAATGGTCAGGGATCCCCTTTACCTTTACCTAAAGTCATCCAAGTTGGTGGCCATCACTGCCTCCTGTGGGAGGGAGTTCCACAGGTTAAGTCTGCACTGCATGGACTTTATTTTGTCTGTCCTGAATCTCCCAACTTTCAGTTTCATTAGATGTCCGAGCATTCTGGTATTACGAAAGATTATGCCCTGCATAATTTCTTGGATTTTTTTTTATCATGCTGCTTCTTACTCATCTAACAATCTAGGAATCTGGGTAGACTGCCTCTGGGCCTGGAGGTTCCAGAAGAGCACCAGAAGAGCCCTCCCTTCTCATCCAGCACCCTGTTCTCAAAGTTGCCAACCGGATGGCCCTTATGGGAAACCTAGAAGCACAAGACCCACCCCCCTCCTGTGGCTTCTACCAACTGGTATTCAGAATCATTGCTTCCTCCAACTGTGGAGGCAGAGAACATTGCCATCATGGCTAGCAGCAGCCTTCTCAGCCTCCATGAATGTGTCCACTCCTGTTTTTAAATCCTTCCAAGTTTCTGGAGGAGGGTGCAAAGCCCGTTTCACCATTGCAAGCGGCCCATCGACCTTCCCTTTGAAGGCGGCTGTCAAGGGAGACACAAAGGAGGCTGCTCAAACTCCTTTGGGATGGAGAAGGTCACAGACTCTCCAGGAGCCCCACGCCTCATTTTCTGCCTTGGGCAGACAAGGCGCCTCCTTCAGAGCTCGCTCCGCTGACGGACACAATGCCAGCCAGGAGAGAGAGAGAGAGAGCTGAGCGCCACTGGCGTCTAGCCAGGCCGCCAGGCTTCCAAACACCCTGAACTAATGTTTATTTTCCCAGAGCTATTTTCTCTCTCCCGTGCAGGGAGGCGCCTGCGCAGTGGCCTCCCTTCAAATATCACCGCTAGTGCAGGAGGCAAGATGCCCAGCAGACGGTGGCGGGAGGGGGCGCTCAGGAACACCACCATTGCAGCGATGCAACTGGGGCAGCGAGATACAGAAAGAAATTAAATGTTATTCGGGGTGGGGTGAAAGCCACAAGGACAGAAAAATTGGCTTCCAGGTGGAAAGATCCAAATTAGAAACAGAATTGTTAGAACCCAAAACTAAGAATTTGTCAAGAATGTATAACTTGCTGCTGAAATGGAACACTCAGGATGAAACGGTGAAATCTGCTATGATTAAATGGGCACAAGATGTTGGACATAACATTATGTTTGCTGACTGGGAACAGTTATGGACCACAGGTATGAAATTTACGGCATGTAATGCCTTAAGAGAGAATATTATGAAAATGATATACAGGTGGTACATAACCCCAGTCAAGCTTGCGAAAATTTATCACTTGCCCGATAACAAATGTTGGAAATGTAAAGAAACTGAAGGTACATTTTTTCACCTTTGGTGGACGTGCCCAAAGATTAAGGCTTTCTGGGAAAAGATATATAATGAATTAAAAAGGTATTTAAGTATACCTTTCCTAAGAAACCAGAGGCCTTTCTCCTGGGCATAGTGGGCCAAATGGTGTTAAAAAGGATAGAACTTTCTTTATGTATGCAACAACAGCAGCAAGAATACTCATCGCAAAGTATTGGAAGACACAAGAACTTCCCACGCTGGAGGAATGGCAGATGAAACTTATGGACTATATGGAATTGGCGGAAATGACTGGCAGAATCCGTGACCAGGGAGAAGAGTCGGTGGAGGAAGACTGGAAGAAATTCAAAGACTATCTTCAGAAACACTGCAAAATTAAGGAATGTTAGAATGATGTTGGATTGAAAATAAGTGGTTTCCAGCTGTACAGGTTAAAGTTAAGGATAGATTAAGATTAAAGATCAAGATTAAAGATGTTTAAAGAAATGGAAATTTGATAATAAAAGGGGAAAAATTTAAAGGTATATGACATTAAGAACAAGGATTAGGTCTAAAAAAGTTGAAGTTATATATTTTAATATTTTATTAAACTAAAGATTGGGTTTAGAAAAGTGGAAAAGAAACTGCTGGACAAATAATGTAGATTGGAATACAAAAGAGGGAGGTATGAGGAAGTCCAGAAAATAAGTAATTTAAAATTGGGAATTGAAAAGAGAGTTTGTTTTTAATTGTTATGTTTTGTGTTTTTATTGTTAAATTTTGTATTGTTTTTTTGTGTGTGTTGTTTTTCTTTTTTCTTTGTTTAAAACCTTAATAAAAAATTATTTAAAAAAAAAAAAAAGAAAGCCACAAGGAGACAAGCCCCCCACATGGTGCTAGATTCCCATATTCTCCATGGCCATTGGCTCTGGGGCAGAATTTTTTTTTCTGAATATCAGTTACCGGAAACCATGCGAGGGGAATCACAGAACTGTAGAGCTGGAAGGGAATCCAGCGGCCATCTAGTCTGACCCTACGATGCAGGAATCAGAATCCCTGACAAATTGTCATCCAATATCTCTTCAGAATCATCCCACGCAGGAGTGTCCACCACCTTCCCAAGGAGCCCGTTCCACAGCTGAATGGCTCTTACTGTCAGAAAGTTCTTCTTAATGTTGATCCGGAATCTCCTTCCTTGTCAACTGAATCCATCGGTTCAGGGCCTCCCCTCTGGAGCAAGAGAATAGAAGCTGGCTCCATCTTCCCACGTGACAGCCCTTGAGATATCTGAAGGTGGCTGTCATGTCACCTCTCTTGTCTTCTTCTCCCCAGGCTAAACACACCCAACACACCTTATTCCTCGTAAGGCTTGGCCTTGACAATCTTTGTCAGCTAGCTTAGAACTAGAAAACTTTTCTATCATCAACTCGGTTGACCTCGTCTGCACACGTTCCAGCTTGTCAATATCCTCCTTAAATGGTGGTGCCCAGATACAGGACTCCAGGTGTGGTCGGACCAAGGCAGAAGAGAGAGGAGAGAGAGAGTTGCTCTTATACTCAAATCCTGTTTTGGGGCTTCCCACAGGCATCTAGTTGGCCACTGTGGAAACAGGATGCTGGACTAGATGGGCCATTGGCCTGATGCAGCAGGTTCTTCTTAGGTTCTCATGATGGGAGTTGTAAATGTAATGTAGCAACTTCTGGTGGGCCAAAGGTAGAAACCATCCCAAAACATAGGGAGACAGAAAGCACTAAATTTAGCTACAAAGCCCCAATTTGATGTGGTGATCAGGGCAAAGGATCCTCCATTTCTTAAACAGTCTCTCCCTATCCCCGCTACCTCCAAAACTGTTCAGAGGCATCGCTGTTCTCCCTCTCCAGCCCAGAACTGCTTTTTACAAAACCTGGAAAGATTTGGGGATTCAGACTTGATTCTACCACCAAAATCAGGAACAAATCCTGCAAATGCTGATAAGGTTCCACTTTTCCAACCTCCCCATTCTGCCTTTTCTAGTGGGGGAATATGTGCCCCTACAACAACTCCCATCACCAACAACTCCAGCATCACCATCCCTGACCACTGGCCATGCGAGCTACTGTGATGGGCTGGAGGGGGAGCCTGGCAACTATTCACACAATGAGCAGATCCACACCATACATTTAAAAAACATCAGGTGCACGTTTAAAGCCCTTAGCAACATGGGACTTGTTTTCCTGCGAAATCTCCTCACCCCATATACACCTACTTAACAATGTCAATCAGCAGAACTGGGCAGTGTTACAGCTGCCACATAATACCCATTCCACATTTGTAAGCAATTGGTCCTTTAGCATGGCAGTTCCTGCCCTTTGGAACTCCTTGCCTCTTGACAACAGGCAGGCCCCTTCCCTGAACTCTTTTCAGCACCGGCTAAAAACAGTCTGTCCAGATGTTTAGGAAGTTGTTGAGAGTCTCAATCTGTTTTTAGTCTATTGCTATTTTAACTTTTTGAAAGCTTGAAAGTATTTGTTGGTTTTCTTAGTGATAATCTTTATATATATATATATATATATATATATATATATATATATATATATTGCTTTGAGGGTTGTTGGTTTTGGTTTTATTACAATCAAGCAGTGTATAAATTTTATAAAATAATTATAAATAAAAATCATGCCCCCCCCCAAATCCTGGTAACTGTAGTTGCCCCCTCAAATGAGTTTTGATTCCCAGTACCCTTAACAACCTACCTTTCCCAGAATTCCTTGGGGGAGGTCATGTGATTTAAATGTGTGTGGGGTGCGCATTAAAGGTGGATTTGCCCTAATGGGCAGGCCAGCAGCCAGTTTGGGGCCTTTTCAAAGGGAGGCTGGGATTCACGACTGCATGGGATGTGCTTCCCAGCTGGGCCACAAGAGGTCCCCACACGCAGCAGCAGCAGCACCATGTCCCCAGGGTTTCCCTGTAGAGCTGAAGGCAATGCAATCAACCTGCCTCCTATTAGACCATCTTAAAAGTCTTCAAAATTAAATCAACCCGCAGCACACACCAGAGCCTTTGGCCCTGAGCCCGGCAGAGGGCGGAGGCGGGCAATCTCCCCACCCACCCAGTGAGTTCCAGTGGGAGGTAGGAGAGAGTAATTGCTCATCAGTCCACACCCTATGGCATCTCCAGTCAAAACAAGCCTTGCCATTTTATTTCCTAGAGGGCTTTTGAAAACCCAGAACAGCAGCGGGGCAGAAAGAGAGGGGGTCAGAACATGGCAAGGGGGTTTCTGTGGGGCTCCACTTCCTTGCATGGGCAAATGTGGTCCTCATTGCCTTTTAAGAACATAAGAAGATGCTCCCGGATGAGGCCAATGGCCCATCTGGCCCAGCATCCTGTACTCACAGCAGCCGACCAGCTGCCCCCAATGGGAAACCCTCAAGCAAGACCCCAGCACAAGAGCCCTCTCCCCTCCCCTCCAACAACCAGTATTCAGAGGCATTGCTGCATCTGACTGTGGCAAGATAGCCACCATGGCTAGTTGACAGCCATCTCCATCCTCCATGGATTTGTCTACCCCAGGGCCGGCCCACCCATGAGGCAAGAGGAGGCATCTGCTTCAGGCGACAGCATCCACAGGAGTGGCAGCTCCAGCCTCCAATGAATGCATCGCCTGGCACTGCTTCCACGGTGCCAGTGGCAGCACACACCTTACCTTCTCAGCAGCCCCTCTGTGAATAGGAGGCCCTGTTAGTCTCCTCCCACCACCTGTTTCTGAGAATCTTTACCCCCCACTCTTGTTCCTGGTGTAGATCTCCACCCTACCTTCTTCCCTGGCCGTTTTAAGGGAGCATCATTGTGTGGTGCCAAAATGCCATGGGCCAGCCCTGGTCTAACCCTCTTTCAAAGCCGTCCAAGTTGGTGGCCATCACTGCCTCCTGTGGGAGGGAGTTCCACAGTTTAACTCTGCTCTGCATGAGGAAAGGCTTTCTTCTTTCTTGTCCTGAATCTTCCAACGCCCAGCTTCGTGGGATGCCCACAATTTCTGGTGCAATGAGAGAGGGAGGAGCATTTTTCTCTACCCACTAGAGAAAAGCTGGAGAATGCAGGAGGGGAAAGGGCTCTTGTGCTTCTTGCAGACTTCCCCTGATAGGCATGGGGGGGGCACTGTGAGAACAGGATGCTGGACTAGATGGGCCACCGGCCTAATCCAGCAGGCTCTGCTCATGTCCTTAATATTTCGAGTGCATTTGCCTGTGTTGGAGTTGGAAACAGCAGGTTGGGCAGAAGGTGGTTTGTTTGTACATCATTGCAGGTCGGGCGCACTCAGGGGCAGAACGGCAGAGCTTCCTTTGGGCTGCAAGCAGCCATCCTTACCTGCCTGTCTAAAGGGAAGTGGAATGCTGTCTGGGGTCTGTCTTTGGAGACGGGGGCTGCTGCTCTTTCCCCCTTTCCTCCTCTTGCCTCTCTTCATCAGATAGAAACTCATCTGTGTCTGCCAATGAGAGGGAATCCGGTTAAGGGTTTGTGGCCAGTGGCTCAGCAGACTTCACCTAGGGACGACTGGTGCAGCTTAAGAACATAAGATGATCCTGCTGGATCAGGCCAAAGGGGTGCTATCTAATTCAGCATCCTGTTCTCACAGTGGCCAACTAGATGCCCGTTATGGGGAAACCCGCAAACAGGACCTGAGCGCAAGCCCAATTCTCCCCTCCGGTGATTTCCAGCAACTGGTGTTCAGGATCATTGCTGCCTGTGGAGGCAGTGCATAGCCATCTAACCATCAATAGCTTTCCAAGTCCAATCCTATTAGCAGTCAATTACTGGAGGAAGAATTCATTTCCATCCAAATTAACAGAAAACAGATTGAGTCGTCTCTCCCCTCCTCTCGCCCAATACACACACACACACACACTTTCTCCCTGCTGCTGCCATCCCAAAGGCAGGAGCCAACCACCCTCCTTTGCCCAGGCAGATTCCGCCTTCCTGTTCCTCCTAGGAAAGTTTGGAGCACAAGCGGTATTTCCTGTTCTGCGAGGTCAAAGCAAAACCCTTGGAGCAAAAAAATAAAATAAAAGCCACATTATGTAAAGAGGCTCCCCTTAGCTGCCTTCCTGAAAGCCCACAACAAGGATTCAGGCAGAGACTCGCCAGAAATCCCAGCAAAGTCAAAATGTGGCATGCGTTTTTCTCCTTTGCACTTTCGCCCAGGAGCTGTTCTTCCTCCTTCAAAACAAGAATCAAGGAGGAGGAGACAGCTAGTTAAAAGAAAAAGAGAAAGAAAGAAAACGTTTAATAAAATGAGGAAGATGTCCACCCCCACTTTTCTTGTTTTGCAAGGCATATGAGCGCAGACTAAGCTCTTGACCTCTAATGGCATGAACAAGAAATGCTTTTTAAAAATACAATAGAACTACAGTGTTGGAAGGTCCCTCAAAGGTCATCCAGCTCAACCCCTGGGCAGCACAAGAAATGCACCCACTACTATAGCATCCTGGAGAGGAGATGGTCAGCCAGCCTCTGATGATGAACCTCTAAGGAGCACCCACTACCCTCCCAGATCCAGCATCAAATAGCTGGAGTCAAAATTCCTTTCTTGCGATTGGAATCCCCTGCATCAGGACCTGCCCTCCTGAAGACATCTGCTGCAGCCACAACGGCCTGGCCTCATGATGCTCCCAGAATCATCAGGTAACCTGACACACTTGCACACTCATCCTACACCAGTTGGCTCAATCCCCATGAAAGCAACGGCTGGAGGAGGCGGGGGCATCCTCCCCTGCAGCCCCCCCCCCAAAAGGGTGTGTGTGTGTGAAAAAGGCCATCTCTTTGCTACAAATGTGGTTCTTCAAAGGAATGACGCAGGGACATCCTATAACTGACAACGAATGGTGATTGTACACTTAGGGTGCAAAATAATGAGATGGAAGACGGAGGAAGCCCTTAGCGTGAAACAGCAGCTGCTCAGAAATGAACCAGAGAGACAGAGTAAAGTTCTGGCAACAGAGTGGGAAACAGACCTCCTTGCACCAACACAACTGACCCCTTTCTCATCCCACTGCCCCCTTGCTTCCCTAAACTCCTGCCCACTGCCCTATAAGAAACATTACTCAGAAGTCTGCATACCCCACTGAGAAAGACAGCAATGCAATAACATTTGAAAGAGTAACAATTAATTGCACATTCATTCAAAATCCAATTAAAACCATTTAGTTTAATCAATTCAGCAACTGCAAAGCAATACCGGCTTTTCAAGTCTCATAGGCACTGACACCTCCAGTGCCCTCCTGGCACCCTCCCAGGTAATCCCATTCTCCCCCTTCCAGGGGGTGGGTAGGTGGGATGTAACCAAACACTTTGGGAACCACAGCCTTTGCATTGTGCTCCAGGGCCACAGCTCAGCCTTGTCCACGGGGGCTCCTTCCTTAGGAGGATGCCTGCATGGCTGAACTACCCATCCAGGATCTCCTGTGACAGAGGTGGGGGGTGGATAATAGCAGCAGGAGACAGAGCTGAAAGGGTCCCCAGATTCCTCCCTAAGCAGAAACGCCTGCAAACCCAGCTTCTTATTTTGGGATGCTCAGCTAGGAACCAACACTACCTTTTACGATCCTGGCCATCTTGATCTCTGGAAGGGCGACTGGTGGATGTGAGCTCAGCAAGCCAAAGAGGAGGAAGGATCTTTGGCAGGAGGAATCTCTCCCCACCCACCCTCTGCTTTTTCAAAAGGAGGATCCACCAGGGGTTTGGAAAGTGACCCCCGTCCCAGCTCCAGTTTCATAGTCTGAGTTTGTGGAGAGACAGAGACCTGTTGGAAAGCCGTAGGGTGCGGGCGAGGTGGGTTCTCAGTGGGGCCTCTGCCTGCTGAGGGATTTGCCTCCTCCGTGCTCAGCTGTTACAAAGATAGCCTGACTTCCCCCTCCGCTTTCGTCCGGAGGAGGCCAAACCCAGCAGGGGCGCGACGGATAGAACTTCTCCGGCGCTCAGAGAAGCACGTAGCCATTATGCATCTACAAACCACCCCCATCCCCAATTAGGCTTTGCATCAGGCGGGTGGAATTGAGGAGACTTAAGAGACCTGCCAGCGCAGGCTTCCTTCCTTCCTTCCACACTCGCTGGAACATTTCCTCTGCTCAGGCTACAGAACAGCAGCAGAATGGACGGGACGCAACAGAGGAAGACATCTTTCCAGAGCTTTGGGGAGATACTGGCCCCAAGGCAGACTCAGAGCAGTCCTGGCAAGCTGTGGCCCAGAGTGGCAAGTAGCCCTCTCAGCCCAGGCAGGCAGACCACACCGTGCTAGCCTGGACAGGCGCCTTATGCTCGCCGCCGCCACCAAAAGCAGCCCCCAGCCCACGCAGCCCCACCGTGGACAGTAGCCTTCTGGCTCCAAACCTTCACCCCTTTGCACAAAGCACCCACAACAGTGTCAGGAAGTCCCCTTGCAACTGCCAGAACCACAGGTCTTCCGCCACACACCCGCCAGCTTGCTCCCTGTCTGCTTAGGAAGAGTCAAGCCTCGTTCATTCCAGGAGCAGGGGGAGGGGGGATCAGCCCCACAAGGGCATTTTGCACCCCATGTGGAGGGTGGGGAGAGCAGAAAAGATGTCGGAAGTATTTATACACCGCTAAGCAGCACAATAATTCCACAGCAGCATTCAAGGATAAAACCATATCGGGTAAAAGCTGTCCTGAACAGATATGAGGCCAAGGAGTCAGCGCCTTTTGCAAATATAACGTCTGTAAGAACATGGGGAAACGTCGCCCCGCGTTTAGGGAATCTGCCTAACTTCACGGAGCAGGGAGTTCCGCGGGCCAAGCCCCGCTGTCACCAAGCAGAAACTCGAAGTTGGCCCCAAAGCGAGAACGCAGCGGGGAAAGCCTCTCATTTGGCCCTCCAAATGGAGAACGGGGGATTGGTAGAGTAAAATAACACCTTTACTGCTGTGGGGAAGAGGGACTCCCGCAAAGGCTGGAAAACGAGTAAAGGCTGCTGGCAGAGCCCGGCGTCGTGCCGGGGCTGCTGCTGCTAGTCTAGCCTTCGTTCCCGGAGATTCGCGGTGGGTGCTCCAGAAGACTCCCACCAGTGGTGCCAACTTGCATAAAATAATTGATCACATGACGGGGTGCACCCACACTATTTGAATGGTAATGCCCATCAACTTGGGGGGAGGGCCAACCCCCTCAAATATTTTAGGGTGGGGAGCGAAGGGACCTCGGCCCCTGGGAGTTGGCTCCTATGACTCGCACCACCACGAGAGCTCGAGACAACGTGGGGCTGAAGCTACCTGGGGGCGGAGAAGCGATGAGGGGCGGAGATGGCGGCCCGAGAGCGCTTGATGCAGCCAGGATGGTGGGGTATTTTACGAGGGGAGAGAGAGAGACGCAGCAGCAGCAGCAATCACCATTTCTGTCAATGGCTAAAGGAGGGAGGAGTCCAAGCTCCCTGCGATTCCAGAGCGGCAGAGTGGCAGAAGGCCCTCTGCACATGTTTGGCGTCCTCGCTCCATCAGGGCGCTCTTCCCCCTCCCCGGTTCAAGGGCGCTGCCTGATTTGCAAACGGGACCCTCTTGCGGGTGCGGGGGGCTCCAGGTATGCAGAAGGTCAAGTCGGGCGCCTCCCCTGGCTCGCCGCGCTCTGCACGTGCTCAGGAGCCGCTCCACCATAGCAGGCTCCCCCTCCCTCCGTTTTGGGCCATGCGGTGGCAGCTCACCTGGGCGCGGCTGCGGCGGGTCTGTCGCCATCGCCTCCGGCCTCCCTCCGCTCTCCAGCGCTGGAGCTGCGTCGCGCTCCTCGCCCGGGCTGGAGAAGGAGAAGGAGAGGCGCCGCCGCCGCCGCCGCGCTCCCCCTCCCCTCCCGCCGCCTCCGTATTTAAAGGCGCCGCAGCCAATTGGCAGCGTGTGGCGGCGGGGGGGGGTCAACTGTCTTCGAGGACACACATACTCCGCTCCTGCTGTGCCTGGAGCTGGGGTAGAAACTTGGGGGCGGGGTGAGGTTTCACTAATCCCCCGTTCCCGGCTCTCAGTCCTGCGTCTAAAGCGCAAGGGGGTGGGAGCTCCTGCCGTTTCTCATAGAATTGTAGAGTTGGAAGGGACACCCAAGGCTCATCTAGTCCAACCCCTTCCATGCCGGAATCGTAGCTCAAGAATCCCTGACGGGTGGAACTCGGTGCGAGGAATCAGCAGTGCAGGCCTCCCCCAAGCACGTGCACCCCTTTTCTACTGCTTGGCCCAGTGGGCGGAGAACAAGACAGCCCCCCCCCCCACGCCCCGTCGTTCCGGAAATGACTTTTTTATCCCCCTCTTTCACCTCCCCACTCACAAAAATTGCGTCGGGCGTTCCAGCTTCCTTCTGCCAGGGAAACTGAGGCAGGTCTCCATCTGCCTCACCTTTGCCAAAGGAGGAGAAGGCATCTCCGCAGCAGCAGCTATCTGGGAAAGAGATGTCGCTCTCCCTCCCACAAAGACCCCACCACCCCTCGACCCGGTGCCATTGAGGTAGCATCGAGGTCCAACCTCATTGTAAAACGGGCTTGACAGCAGCTGCCTCCCTCCGACCATGAGGTGGAACATAGGAAGCTGCTATACTGAGTCAAACCAGTTTCCCATCTAGCTCAGTAATAATAATAATAATAAAAATTTTAATTTATAGCCCACCCTCCCCAGCCGAAGCAGGGCTCAGAGCGGCTAACAACAGTAAAAACAACACCGTTTACATAAAATCACAATCAATTAATTGAAATACATTCTAAAATCAATTCAGAGTTAAATTAATGGCAACCATTGGGCTAGAGTTCTATGAAGATTACCAAAGGAGTGGGGTCAGACTGTGCCTTGGCTAAAGGCCAGGTGGAACAGCTCTGTCTTGCAGGCCCTGCGGAAAAATGTCAAGTCCCGTAGGGCCTTAGTCTCTTGTGACAGAGCGTTCCACCAGATTGGGGCCACAGTCGAAAAAGCCCTGGCTCTGGTTGAGGCCAGCCTAACCTCCCTGTGGCCCAGGATCTCCAATATGTTTTTATTTGAAGACCGTAAGGTCCTCCGTGGGACATACCAGAAGAGGCGGTCCCGTTGGTGCGAGGGTCCTAGGTCGTATTGGGCTTTAAAGGTTAAAACCAGCACCTTAAACCTGATCCTGTACTCCACCGGGAGCCAGTGCAGCTGGTATAGCACTGGGTGAATGTGATCCCACAGCGAGGACCCCGTACGGTGTCTTGCCACGGCATTCTGCACCCGCTGGAGTTTCTGGGTCAGTCTCAAGGGCAGCCCCACGTAGAGTAAGTTGCAATAATCAAGTCTGGAGGTGACTGTCGCATGGATCACAGTGGCTAGGTCAGGGCAAGAGAGGTAAGGAGCCAGCTGTCTACACTGACTGGCAGCAACGGCTTTCCAGGGTTCCAAGCACGAGTCTCTCCCAGGCATACCTGGAGATTCCAGGACTTGAATTTTGGCTGATGCTCTATTCCTTAGCTGCAGCCCTTGCCCCAAATGCTGCCCCCTTCCTCCTCTGCACATCTCCCTGCTTGGGGCAGCTGCCATGCCCAACACACACACACCACTGTGGCTTCCATACTGACTACCATCGCAGCTGCTGTAGGCTGAGGGTGAATCTCTTAGGGACCATCCACTTGGATGACTTTCAAAGAGGTTTGGACAAATCAGTGGCTACTATGAGTGGCTGCTAACCATGATGGCTCCACTCTGCCTCCACAGAGATTCAGTAAATGCTTCTGAATACCAATTGCTGGAAACCTCAAGGTGGGGAAATTGCTCTTGTACTCAGATCCTGCTGGAGGGTTGACCCTCTGGTTGGCCATTGTGAGAACAGGATGTTAGACTAGAGGGGCCACTGGCCTGATCCAGCAGTCTCCTATGTTCTCTGTTAACAGGGAGAAAAACCATCGTCCCAGCATCAGAAAAGGCTCCGCAGAAAAGAAAAATCAGGGTCCCTGGAAGAGAAACTGCAGCAGCAGCAGCTGCCAAATTAAAAGCTGTGCATCTGGAGAGTCAGTGGCCTGGAAGGGCCCCGTGGGAGCTGCTGCTGGAGAAAAAGGCCAGTGGCCTCACTCAAAATAAAGCGCTCCTTTTGCATTGGAAGGGTCAGCAGCTGAGCACCTGCCTTGCATGCAGAAGGTCCCTGAAGCTGGCATCTCCAGGTCAGGCAGGTGGAGAACCCAGCTGGAGACCCTGCAGAGTTGCTGCTGCCGACCAGTGTAACCAGTACTGAGCTAGATGAACCCCGATGGTCTGAATAGAATGAAAGGCAGCAAGCAATCTATGTTCCTCTCCCTGCCTCCCTGGCCTGGGGAAATGCCCGTGCCTTTCAGCGCAGCAGCAAATGCCTGGTTAGCACCAGGAAACTAAAGCGCCCCCCCCCAGCCCAGCCTTTGGGAGAACACACCATCTTCTCATTCACACATTACGCTCCGAAGAGTCCAGGGCCTGGGCTTTGCGCTGCACCTGGCTAAAAATAGAACCTGCCGGTTATATCCATCTGCTGCAGCCTCTTCACCAGATGGAGGCTACAGCATTGTGGGGACGGGTGGACAGGCCTCTGCCCAGGCGCAAGGGAGAGGACGGAGGGGGGTGGGCGGCAGGAATGGGATGGAAAGCCAGGTTCTTCACATTATGCCCACACTCCCCTTTTACAGCCCCCCCACACACAGAGATGACTATTGAGGGCTACTAGCCACAAGGGCTCTGCTCTGCTTCCGCAGTTGGAGCTGCAGTGAAGAGTTGCCCTGCTGGTCAGGACAGAGAAAAGGAAGACCTTTGCAAGGTAAAGGTAAAGGGACCCCTGACCATTAGGTCCAGTCGTGACTGACTCTGGGGTTGCGGCGCTCATCTCATTTGGCCAAGGGAGCCGGCGTACAGCTTCCGGGTCATGTGGCCAGCATGACTAAGCCGCTTCTGGCGAACCAGAGCAGAGCACGGAAATGCCGTTTACCTTCCCGCCAGAGTGGTACCTATTTATCTACTTGCACTTTGACATGCTTTCGAACTGCTAGGTTGGCAGGAGCAGACCGAGCAATGGAAGCTCACCCCGTCGCGGGGATTCGAACCGCCAACCTTCTGCAAGGCAAGTCCTAGGCTCTGTGGTTTAACCCACAGCGCCACCTGCATCCCATCATAGTTAAAATACGGAACTCCCTCCCACAGAAGGCGGTGATGGCCACCAACTTGGACGGCTTTCTAAGTGGATCGGACAAATTCATGAAGGAGGAGAGAGAGTTCTCGATGGCTACTAGCCCCAGTGGCTCTGCTGTGCCTCCACTGTCGGAGGCAATAACACTGCTGAATTCCAGTGGTTGGAAACCACAGGAAGGCAGAGGGCTCTTGTGCTTGCTAGTTTCCCTTTTGGGGCATCCAGCCAGGAACTGAGAACAGGGTGGGGTCCCTTGGTCTGATCCAGCAGGTTGAAGTGGTGGCTGGAGAGAGACCGGGCACTGTTTGCCTTTTCAAGGGGGATTCACTCATGTTGGAGTCCAGGAAGACTCAGCTCATCCAAGTACTGGAGTGGAAATGGCTTTCTCTTGTAGCCTCCCCATCTCCTTAGCCTCCTCCCAATCCACCAAGACTCGTCCCTGTCTTAGGCCAAACTGGTGTGGGCTGGTGTGCCTCTTCCAAGAAGCTAGATGGAAAACTGAGGGCCTTTTCTCATCTTCTTATTTCCTTGTGGGGACAAATCTCCTCTTCTCTTCCCCCCCCCCCATTTTGTTCTGCTCCGCTAACCAAGGACAGGAGAAATGCTTGTGGTTCTCCCATCTTGACACCCGCTCATTTCACTATTCAAAAATAAAGACCTTTTTTTTTTCATGCCAGGGAAGACGTAAACATGCAATTCTGAAAGGGTTGGGCCTCCCGGGTGGCACTTCCTGCAGCATGTGGAGGCAAAGGAAGCCAGAAGGAAGAAACCGCAAATGTCACAACCCTGAAGGGAGCCGCGGAGCGTAACAGACACCCCCTTGCAAAGACAGGAGCGCCCCAGTGACACGGAGCTGAAATGTTGACAGAGCGAGGCCAGCCAAGGGTCCAGGCAGAGCAGGGAAAGACACCAAACGGCAGCCATGGAAGGGCCCCATCCCCACCCACTGGCAGACCACCTAAGAAGAGCCAATAGTCCACCTAGTCAGGCCAGTAGGCCACCTAGTCCAGCATTCTGCTCTCACAGTGGCCAAATACCCCAAAGAACTTAGGAATCTAGATAGCGTGCCCCTGCCCCTGGAGGTTCCATAAGAAGAGCCTGGCTGCTGGACCCACCTAGTCTCACAGTGACCAACCACATGCCCCAATGGGAAGCCCCTAAGCAGAGCACAAGAGCAACTCTCTCCCCTCCTGTGGCTTCCAGAAACTGGTATTCAGAAGCAGTGCTGCCTCTGACCGTGGAGGCAGAGCATAGCCATCCTGGCTAGTAGCCATCCATAGCCCTCTCCTCCTCCATGAATTTGCTTTACCCTCTTTAAAGCCATCCAAGTCGGTGGCCATCACTGCTTCCAGTGGGAGTCCCACAGTTTCACCATGCACTGTGTGATGAAAGACTTTTCTCTCTTTCCCCCCCGTCCTGACTGGCAAGGCAGCTCCTCACTGGGACTCCTTAGATGGCCTTCTGCTCTGGGCAGGGCTTGCCTGACTTGCCAGTTGAGGGTGTGTCCTTTGGGGAGAAGTTCTGGGGCTGGAGTGATCCTGGGGCACAGCATCAGCCCAGCCAGGTGGGGTGTCTAAGCAGAAGAGATGTCCCACGCTTCCCATGGCATAGCATGCCACCATACCCATGGCACCTGCAAGGTGGTAGCTCCATGTGGGTCATCCTTTGCAAACTCCCTCTGCTGAAGGCCAGGTTGTCATTAGAAGGTGGCTGGGGGTCCCACTTGGCTTCCTCAGAGGCAGTCCACCACCCCACCATTTCCTGGCCCTCCCTTTCCTCCTCCGTAGCCCTCCTTGGTTTGTCTCCTCCGGATGCTGGGCTAACCTCTCCTTTTCTCTTCAGAGCCCACTGTGATGCGCACTGCAGCTCAAGTGTTTGTTTTTAATGCCTGGAAGCTGCCCAAGCAGATGACTCACAGCCAACTCCTCTGGTGGATGGAGGTGGAAGTCAATAGACTCCCCACTTCATTAAGGGTGGCCGGGATTAGGTGAAGATAGGCAGATCCCCCTCCCCCCTCCCTGATACACCACCATCCTTGTGTGTGTGGGGGGGTCCGCCCTCCATTCCAAGCACTCTGCCACCAACCAACCAGCCACTGCCTCAAAGGGGCTTGCCTCACTTCTAACTGCTCAGATTATGACATAGAATATAAACTCCCCAGTCACAGGACAGACTGTTGCAATGGGACATAGATGCGCCAAAGGAAGAATAGGCCTCCTGCATCAGAGAGGGGGTCTGCCTAGTTCACAATGCCAAAGAGCTGCTTCTAGGAAGGCCTCCAAGCAGGGTGTTAGCAAGGCAGTCTTCCTTAGCCACTGCTCCCTACAATAACCGGCATGCAAAGGTAGACTGTCTCTAAAGCTGGAGGCTCCATTTAGCTAACTAGCCTAGATGACTTTTAGAGGATTGGGCAAATTCATGGAGAAGGCTACAGCTACTAGCCACAATGACCTGTATGCTCTGCCTACATGGTCAGAGGCAGCAATGCTTCTTAATACTGGATGCTTGGCAGACCCCTTTAGAAGAAAACATATGCTGAGAAGATGGAGGATGCTTTTGAACATGAAAGACCAGAACCTTATGGGAGATGCTCAGCATGAAACTGCAGACAAGCCCCTTTCTTCAAGGGGACCCAGAGTAAGCGGGGTGGACTCAAGAAAAGAAGCCCACAACAGCTTTTTTGACCAAGTTAGTTAGTTGGCTTCAGGACTCGACCCAAAACAATCTGGCAATAAAACAGCTGGGACGGTGACCCAAAGAGGCAGAGCCTGGCTCTCTCCCTTGGCTCAGATAGCAGCAGAATCAAGCCATGCCTTAGGTGGGGAAGTAAAATGGACACAGAATCCACATGCAGGGAGTCCATCAGCATTCCTGCCAGACCTGCTCAGTTCAACAGGGAAATGTCCCAATGGGTCATGGCCAAAGTCACCGTCATTGCCTCTCAGGTGCTCAAGAATTTGACTTCCTTGAGCTAAGAATCTTCAGGCAGGCCTTGTGCTTTCTGAAAGGAGAGCAGGAGCAGACCTCACAAGAAGACTCACTGTGAAATCGTTGCAGTGCGAAGGAACCAATGAACATAGATAAGGCCTTTTGTATTGCTTATGAATTAGGGTCCCAACTATTCCAAATAGGAAAAAAGGACAGAACTCTTTCTCAACAGGACCTCCGCATGACCTAGGAGGCCACCCTCTGTGAGGAGAGAGGGGCTCTTTCTCCTCCTCTTGATCCAAAAATGCAATCACTTTGAACTTCTTCGCAGCACCCTCAGGGTTGACCCTGGTTCCCAAAGCAATAATCGATGCAGAAACATAATTGCACAAAAATACAGACATGTGAGTATTGTAAGAAGCTTATTTAATAAATTTGGTGAGTTCCCCCCCACATTCAGAAAAAAAGCAGAGTATGAAAATTTACCAGTGGAATGTACAAAACCTTTCATAAATACGACCTTCATACAAAGAGGTGATGTTTGGTAGCTTGACAAACTCCTGCAACAGTGTACTAAATATCTGATTTATTTTATTTCATCTTGAATAAGTTCTTAAAGTAAACCTTGCAGAGTCCCAGTGCCTGGGGAAGGGAGCCTGGCACTCCCAGAGGCAGGGAGAGGTCAGAGAGGCAAGCCTGCTCCCACAGACGTGGAGAAGGTACCAACCCTGAAGGAAGGAAGGGTCCTAAGATCTCACAGGACACAACATGCATTTCGCAACCAGAGCACACAGGTTGCCTCAAGACTTGAGTCAATGACACCAGGTGTGGGGGCAGAAAGGCCATAGAAGCAGAGCCTGTGCAACCTCCCCCCCCCCCACCAATGGGATCCCAGTGGATCAGCTTCTGCACCCCCTAGATGCCCACAGTTCTGATGGAACATCTCAGAAGGACCCAAGTGTGACAGTGGGCAAAAAGAGAGCGATTTGTTCACAAAGCCTGGCTGGGTGGAAACTCTTCCTGGAACAGCTGACATTTGACTGGCACCTCAGCTAAGCAGAAGGTGCCAGACATCATTCACTTTGCTTAGCCATCATTATACTCCCTGCTCCCATGCCCAGACACCCTTCCTGAACAAGGCGAACACAGCTGGAATTGACAAGACACCACCCCTGGGATGTTGCCCATGTTAAGCTCCCACTCCACACAAAGAGAGAGCCCTTCCTGACAAGTCCACGACCACTGCTGCAAGGAGGAGGCCACCCAGCCCAGCTCTGCTGGACCAGGAGAAGGAGCGGGAGGCGAGTGCTGCCTACTCAGCTGCCTCCAGGAACTCCGAGGTGAAGACAGCTTCCGCGTAATCCTCACACAGGCCTTGCAGCTCCGTGGCTACGTCCGCCAAGGCTTCCTCCGTCAGCTCCTCGGCCAGGCTGCAGGGGGAGAAGCAGGAGGGAGAGACAGTCAACAGGTAGGACTACAGGCACAGAGGACTGCTGCAACTCAGCCACAATCTGCTTGCTGGGGAGGGATGCCAGAGCCTGCAAGGGTCTGCTCCTCAAATGACAAGGAAGGAGATTCGACTAGACTTCCCTTGGAAGGGATCCCACCAGCATGTGACACAAGAGCAGGGAGTAGCCTCTGTCACACCCAATTGGGTATTGTTCTCCCTCTCTCCATTTAATCCCCACAACAATCCTGCAAGGTTGGTTAGGCTGAAAGGCAGGGACTGATCCCCAGTGTCACACCTAGTGAGCTTCATGGCAGAATGACGATTTGAACTCTGGTATCTCCCAGTGCAGCATGCTAAACACTATTCCACACGGGCCCTCGCCTAAAGAGGACATCACAAGAATGGACACCTCAAACCCCATTTTTCATTTCAACCCCCCTCCAACTGGGAAGCAGAAGCCCCATTTATCATCACAAAGGGACAGATTCATATGCAGAGGTAAAAACAAAGGGGGTTAGGCTAGATGACCCCTGGTGTCCCTTCCAACTCCACAATTCTAATTCTATTGGGTAGTGGCTGCAGGGAAGGTTCCCTCCCAGAATTCTTTGCTTTTTCTTTTGCCATCTGCCCTGATATAGAGCTTCTGGAAAACTAGAAAGCATCCCTGCTATTTTGTGACCTAATAAAGGCTTAATAAAGGCATTGCTGTGATACAGATACTGGATCCTTCTTTGGCAGTGCATGGTGCGCCCCCTGGTGTCGTCATGAGGAATCCCAATGGATGCAACACAAGTGAAAAGAAGCCTTGTCAAGCAGACTCAACTCCTCCTCCAGTACCTCTCTGCGATTCGCCAGGGGTTGAAGCTGCCCACTGCCTCATGGGAGATGCACCTCAGGTGCTGGTTGTATCGAGCACTGTAATCGTGAATGCTCTGCAGCATGTTCTTAGGGACGGAGAGGAAGACGCCAGCCTCCTTCCGGCGGGGATGCAATGACGAAGGCGGCAGAGTCCCATTCCTGGGCTCCAGGAGCTCCTCCATCCCAGCACTCTCTTCCTCCTCCTCCGCAGCACTGGAAGCACAACCACACAAAGTGAGTGGCCGTTCCTTGGCACGGCAGGAGCCCCAAAACCAGACCCAGAAAGGTCAAGAGCCAAAGACCTAACTGGAGAAGTGCGGTGGTTGGCCACTGTGAGAACAGGATGCTGGACTACTAGATGGGTCGTTGGCCTGATCCAACAGCCAGGCTCTTCTTATGTAGAAACATCAGACTCCTCCCATGTGGTTCTTTCCTCTGCCTCTGCCTCTCTGGCCAGCCTCCCCTTTGGGCCAACAGCAGCAGCCCCTCCTGACACCAATCGTGTCTTAGCCCCTTAGGTGCCCCAGCCTGCCTCTGGTCCCTTCAGCACTGCTGCATCCAGGACCCTCATCTCCCCTACCTCCTGGACCCTCCAGGGGAAAGAAGGCAAAAGAATCTAAGGAAGGAGGGCTCCTCTCGCTGCCACCCCTTCCCACACCATGGAAAAAGCTCATCTTCCTCTTGTGAGTGTCCTTAGTGGCTGCTTTGGAAACCAGGAATGCCAGCGTCTTCTTGCTCTGGCAGGTGCCTTCCCTAGTGACCCCCTTTCTGCCCCTCCTTCTGCCCCAGAACCCAGCAGCAGAGGGGTACCTTGAGCTGCCTTCCGATCTTCCTTTCCAACTATCACATGACCTCTAGGCTATTAGAATATTCATAAACATTCCGTGACTCCACGGCAACCCACCCAACCAGGTGGCTTTCAGCCCAATCAGCAGCGCTGATTAATTTCCTGGATCCTCTACTCACTTGGTGTCCAGGGGTCTTTCCAGCACAATGTCCACTTGGGGCTCTGGGTGACTCTCCCGCCTCGTGATCTGGATGGGATGGGGAGTCCCAGGCTCTTGGCCTGCCTCTGCATTTTCTCTCTCTGGGCAGTGGAGAAAAAAATCAGGAAGATGAGAAACCGTCTGCTACAACCTGGGGAGCTTTGCACACCTTTCCTCATCTGCCTTTCCTGTTCCCACATTCCTAGAGAGGCAGGTTTTTCTTCCTCTCTCATAACACTAGAACTCCTGGACATCCAATGAAGATGAACATTTGAAGATTAAGAGAAAAAGAAGGACTTATTCATGCAGCACAGTTACTGTCGAATTCCTTCCCACAGGAGGCAGTGATGGCTTCCAACCTGGATGGCTTTGAAAGAAGATCAAATTCATGGAGGATAAGACTACTGATGGCAACTACCCATGATGGCCATGCTCTGCTTCCACAATTGGGGGCAGTAATGCTCCTGAAAAGCAGTTGCTGGAAATTGCACAAAGGGAAATTGCTCTTGTGCTCAAATCCTGATTGAGGGTTTCCCATAATGGCTATCTGGTTGGCCACTGTGAGAACAGGATACTGGACCAGATGGGTCATTGGCCTGATCCAGCAGGCTCATCTTATGTTCTTTCCAGGAATCCTCACCTCATGGGTCACCTGCTCCAACCCAAGAACCACCCCAAGAAGCCAGTTTTCCTCTTGCAAGTCAGAGGTGGCACAACAGCAGCAACACAACCTCCAATACATGTGGAAGGAAATTGAGAAGCACATACAGAAGGCAGGGTTGTTCCTTGATCTCTTGGCATCCCCTTGCCTGCATTTTTTTGGGGGGTCTTCAGTCACCCTCTGCTCCTTTATTTCCTACAAACCCCAAAACACAAAGCCTGACACTCACCCCATCTCTCTTGCCGACCCCAGAACTCAGCATCAGAGTAAACAATCTGGTGGTACCGCCTGCGGACGGCCTCTTGGGAGCGCTGCAGGACAGAAAAGATAATTCATTAATTCACTTCATTTATATCTCATCTTACTTTCCAAGGAGTCCAAGGTGGTGTCCATGGTTCTCCTCCTCATTTAATCCCCACAACAACCCTGTGAGGTATGTCAGGCCGGGAGGCTGTAACTGGGCCCTGGTGTCAAGAGGTAGGGCGTTTGAAAGCACACCGCCTCACTGCTATTGTTCTACGGTGAACTATCATTGTATGTGGAGACTATGCATACCATCAGATCCTGTTTGATAAGACTGTGTTTTGCAGAGTTTTGTAGAACCTTTCCATGAAAATTAATAAAAAATATTTAACCAAAAACAGGGAAGGGATTGTCTGCTATGGGACAGGGGCCTTGATGTTAAGACATCAAGCATGGCCTCAGCCATCACCTCCCTCCCCCAACCCCCGGCACACACAAGAGCAAGGCTGCCCCACTCCAGGATGCTGCTGCCTTCCATGCCAGCCAGTTCTCAAGGGCTTTTATTCAAGAAAAGCCATGGGAAGCTCCCCACCCCATAGCCTCTTCCTTCTCAAAGGAAAAAGCTCGTGCTCCAACATACCTCAATCTCCTCCATCCTTTGCAGCATCGCCTCCAGGTCAGAGGGGCTGGAGAGGGTCTCAATCTCCTCACGCTGCAGCTCGGCAAAGTCCTCCAGACCTGGACGCGGGAGACCAACGGGAGCCTGGCAACACACAAAGCAGGCGTTTGGAGCAGAATTCTCCCTACCCCGGTTTAAAGGGAGGCCCAGATCAGCCCCCATCCTGCCCCACCTGAGGCAAGGCCCTTTCATGCGCAGGCACCTGACTGTCAGGCCAGCTAGACTCTCTCATCTCTCTTCTGCCTCCATCGATGTCAAGAAGAGGCTCAGAGGAGCAGGGATATGGGGCTCAAAGCCACTGTGGACAGGCAGCAAAAGGGGTCTCTTTCGCCCAGGTTGCACCCGGGCCTTGACAATGAAGGAGGACACAAGGAGCTCTCACTGTCAGGGATCCCTGCACTGCAGGAGGTTGAACTAGATGACCCTTGGGGTCCCTTCCAATGTTTCACCTCCATGATTCCACCAAAAGTGGGCCAAGTAGCAAAACTTTCTCTGCCATGCCACATCAGCCAGGCAAGAGAGATCCCTCCATTTCCTGGCTCTTGTCCTACCTTCCCAAAATCCTGGCAGGGCAGCTCCTTCTGGCAGATGTTCCTTTCCAAGGAGCGATTCACCTTCTAAGGAAACAAGAGGACACCACAGGACTTCCTGCACAGTCCCAGACCCTTCCTGGCAGATGTGTTGTGAGGCTAAAATGCTCCTCTGAGTGGGCAAGCAAGTGATTTGGCCAATCCCCCTAGCCCCTTATAAGAGTCAGGCATGACACCTATTCCAGAGCCAGGCTGCCTATTCAAGGCAATTATCCAGGCCTTCAAACCCCTAAATAATTTGAGGCTCCCTGAAGGGCCACCCAACACCCACCAAGCCCTGCCTGAACTGGAAGAGCAGCCCCTGAGGCCGAGGGCTCTGGCCCACCACTGAAAGAGTCTCTTGGGAGCCAGGGAAAAGTCCATCTCTGTGGTGTGGACCCCCTCAGGAAATCTGTGCCCCCGCTATCCTTTATGAAAACCCCAAAGCAAGTATTTTTCCAGGCTGCACTCAGGTGATTTTGGGGTTTTTTTATTTTTGAAAACCATGCCAAATATTGTAGCATCCTTTGTAATTTTTACTTTTATTTCAACACTCGGAATCTTAATAATGCTGCATTGGCTTGGCTTGCTGTAATTCGCCTTGGGAGGAGACAGACCCCAGAAGTTGGGCTGCGCATCTGTTAAATGAGAAGATGCGGTGGAGGTCCTCAACAGGAAGTGATGTCAAAGACTGTGGAGTGGGGGTGAAGGTTCCTGGCTGCTGCCTTACCTGCGCGTTTGCCAAGAGGGGCTCCAGCCGCTCCCGGACAGCTCGCTCCACCGTCTCCGCTATCTGGGCTGCAGAGGCACCATCATCCCTGGTAGCATTTCGGGGAGTCCAAGCAAGAGAATTCTATAAGAATTTGGCATTTCATGTTTACCACTTCACTCCCACTTGGGGTTTTTGACCAAGGCTGGAGTCTATTTCTCCACCTCCCTACTGTTCTCTCACTGAGGGGAGCCTTCAAAACCCAAAGCAAGAATATTCCCAAGAGAACTTCCCTCCCAGGTAACTGCAAATTTAGCATGAGAAGTTTAGAGAAAGGGAAATCCACCAGAGGAGCCCCAAGTGAAACAAGATCCCAGGTCAACCTGAGCATTTCCTTTTCTGGGGCTGCTTGACTCTTTTCTTCCACCTCTGCCGCTCTCCCTGGCCTTGGCTCCCTGCCTCTGGGACTTTTCTCCGAGTGCCTGCAAGGAATTTTGGGTTTGGGCAAGAGAAGGGAAAAAAAAGTGAGAGAAGCAATTGCTATTACTGGAGTCGTGGTTCCAACCTTGAAAAGTTGGGCATTAGCTGTAGCTAAAGTTTTGCATCGCACACTGGACAATGTGTGGAGTCCAAAAGTGCTACCTTCCCCAAACCTGGTACCTTCCTGATGTTCTGAACTACAACTCCCACCAATCCTGGATAGCACAATCGAAGGTGCCAGGTTCAATCCCCAGAAGCATCTCCAGGTAGGATTGAGAAAGGTCCTGAAACCCTGGAGAGCTTCTACCAGCTGTTTACATAACACCAAGCTGGATGGACCAAGGGCCTGACTAAGCATCTTCCTAGGGAAGGGCCACTGTCGCTCCCTAGCAAAGCCTACACATTGTATGCAGACGGTATCAGGTTCAATCCCCACCAGCATCTCCAAGGTATGACTTTTGGAGAAAGACCCCTGCCAGGAACCGTGGACGGCCTCTGCTGCCAGGTAATGCCGATGAGGCTGAGCTAGATGGAGCCATATGGCCTGGATGTGGGGCAAGGTCTCTTCACACATTCCAGCAGGTACAGAAGGGGCTGCTGTGTGCTGCTCCCTGCTCAGGTAACCTGGCCAACTCCATCCCACACAGCTGCCTCAGCAGAGATGCTAACCTACCTCTGAGGTGAGGCCAGGGGGGAGGAGAGGCTGGGAGGCACCCAGGGGACCCGGCTATCGCGGGTGGGCGGCTTTGTCTCCTTGAGCCGGAAGGCGATGGTGGGCTCCTGGAAGCGGGCCTGCTTGGCCTGATGAAGCTGCATGCTTTTTGCCCTGGTAGGGGGTCTGTTTCCCTTGGGAGAAATAAATAACAGTAAGGAAAAAACATGTATTTCCAGACAGCTCAAGCATGTTTCTTCAAAACATGACACGCCTTTCACCTCAACCACTGTAATTCTGGAGAAGTGAAGGCCAAGACGTGACAGCATTGCAGAGGTAGTGTCTGGCAGCTCCCAAAATTAAGTCAAAAGACAGGGCGGATGATTATACGTCTGCCTACCTGCGGTCTGGTGGGGAGCAGCACGCCTCTCTTCCGGGGGGGCCTCCCCACCTCAGGGCCAGGTCTGGTCTTCACATGCCCCAGTGCCTCCCACTTGGCCTGCCCCACCACCTCTCGCTCCGGAGGGGGCAGACCCTCCAGGGCTGCCATGTCACAGGGACTGCTTCGATTGTGAGGCACCAGAAGCCCATCGGGTCCTTCATGTTCATCTAAAGGCAATGATGACAAGGCTGCTTGAGCATAGGAACTGGAAGCTCTCAGGGGCAGCCCCCAAAGGCTGAATGCCATGGACAGGCAGCAAAATCTATGGGGCGCATTTTGCTGGTTTCTCTCTCCTGGGCCACCCCATCTCCTCTTAGTTCCTTAAATTCATCCCCAGCGCACCCTAACCTATAAAAAGCATGATTCAGATTAATGATCTGCAATGACTCACTAAAGAAAGGTAATAACACATTAAAATTCAAAACAATAATAATTAATTGCCCATGTTTTCAAAATGAATTAATTAAAGAAAATAGTTTTAAATGCAGCAAGATTGCTGAACTTGATCCAGTGAGGAGACTGAGAAATGATATGATAGCCATCTTCACATATCTGAAGGGCTGCCACATGGGAGATGGAGCAAGCTTGCTTTCTGCTGCTCCAGAGGGGAGGACCCAAACCAATGGCATTCAAATGGCAAGAAAGGCAGTTCTGACTCAACATTAGGAATAACTTTCTGTCGGTAGGAGTTGTTCAACAGTGGAATGACCTCCCTTGGATTCTCCTTCACGGGAGGCTTTTAAGCAGAGGTTGGATGGCCATCTGTCATGGATGCTTGAGATTCCTGCATAGCAGGCGGTTGGACTAGATGACCCCCCAGGATCCCTTCCAATTCTACAATTCTATACCAGCTTTTCAAAGTCTGGTAGTCACTGTCACTTCCAGCACCCCCCTGCTGCCGCCTTGCCTCTTAGTGCCCTCCTAGGGAATCCCACTTCTAGAGGGTGCTACTGTCAACTTTGGAAATCACTGCTCTCTTCATAGAAAAATGTATTTCTTTTTGCAAACCTCCCTCCGCAGTCAGCTTCCCCTTTCTAGACACCACAGCTGGATCACGGTCCACAAACCATCAGTCACAACACCACAAGGTTGGGCTCGCTTGGGAATCCCTCACTGCACCTCTGCCCACAATAATTATGGGGGGAAATGCCTAGATGGGCAAAACAAGGCCTCAGCAGGGGAGATCATGGCTCAAACATGTGCAAACAGGCAAAGCAACCAAGCCTCTTCAGACTCAACAACCAAAAGACTCACCAGGAAGGAGCCTCCTGGCCACTGGCGGCTTTCTCGGCTCTGAGGCAGCAGCTTTCTTCTCTCTCTTCAGCCATCGGTTTGTGTCCATCACAGAGGCGGCTTGAGACATAGAGAGACTCCCTTTCGGCCCTCCTTTCTTGGGAGACTCCTTCTTGGACAGCAGAGAATCCAAATCCTGCCATGACAATTTGCACTTCAGATTAAACATGCAAAATGGGCTCACTGCAAAGCTCAGGCACACCCTCTCGTGATCTGCCTCCAAACAGAAAGCCCCTAAACAAGCCACAGGGCTTGCCAAGCAATCCTGCACTCAAGCTTGCTCTGATATTCAGCCTTAAGAGAACTTTAGTTAAGTCCTTGCAAGTTATTCACTTGATGAAAATGTCTCCAACAGCTGCCTAAATATCAGATACTCATCTAGGAACGGAGGAAGCTGCCTTACATGGAGTCAGATCAACGGCCCATCTAGCTCAGTATTGTCAACACTGACTGGCAGCAAACGCCCTCCAGGGTTTCAGAGATAAATGCACTCCGAGCCCCACCTGGAGATGCCATTGGGGATTGAACCTGGGACCTTCTGCAGGCGAAACAGCTGCTCTACTGAGCGGCAACCCTTCTGTCTAATTTCAGCTGGTAACCGATTTCAGAGAGCTGGGACCACAACACTAAAAGCCCAGTTCCTAGTCCATTCCAAGTGCAACTCTGGAGCATGCAAAGTGACGCACCTCTCAGCAGTGCCCCATCTGAGGAGTTGAATTACTGGGCAGGGTCACCCAGTCCTTAGTTGTTAAATGACATTTTTACAACAGCCGTTTAAAAAACAAAGGCTGTAGCAAACATCCCTTCAAAACAGGCTGCCAGGAGGTGATCTCAGTTCTTTGCATAGCCACAAAAGAGCAGGTTAAAATAGGTATGGTGGCCGCTTTGTCCTTGTATCCCAAACCTGGAGGCCATGAAGTGATACCCTCCTTCCACTGGTCCCGGACTCATTTGTGGGGGGGCTGGATTTCCCCATGGGAGGCAGAGCTCCTCATCTCTCCCTCCTCAGCCGCAAATGCTACACCCCCCACCAACCAAAGGAGCAATGACACCTGACCTCGATCTGCAGCAGGAGGTCAACGACTCTGTCGGGAAGGGAGGAGGAGTCTGTCTCAAGGCGGGCGGAGCAGAGGGAGAGCTGCCGGATGAGGTGGCCCAGCTCTTTGCAGTGGGCTGGGACTGGCTGCTCCTCTGGCTGGTCAGCAAAACGGGAGGCAAAGACCTGCAGGGCCCGGACGGCTCCCCGGTGGGCTGCTGCCAGCCTGGCCATGGCACGTGACTGCATCACAAAGGGAGGGAGGGTGAGAAAGAACTGAGGTTAGCTGGGCAGCCATGAGGAGAGGGCTGCTCTGAGTCAGGGCTCTTTTCCAAAACTGGAAAGGTTGGCTTACTCTCTGCTGCTCCAGAGGGGAGCATTTGAATGACAAGAAAGGAGAGTCCAACTAAACATTAGGAAGAACGTTCCGATGGGAAGAGCTGTTTGACAGTGGAAAGATCTCCCTTGGAAGGTAGTAGATTCTCCTTCATTGAAGGTTTTTAAAGGGAGATTAGGAAGCCATCTGTCAGGGATTCTTTAGCTGTGAATCCTGCATAGAGTTGGAATAGATGACCCTTGGGGTCCCTTACAATTTTGTAATTTCTGGTCAAGGAGAGAAGCCAAGGATGCAAGAGCTTCACAGAAACACCAGAAGCAGAAGGTAGTAACAGAGGGGAAGTCTATCCCTAGCTGAATAGGATCATAGATTTTCGTCTATTAAGCACATCATTTTTATTCTTTGTCTCTTTTTTGTTGATAATAAAATTCTTTTAAAAATGAGGTGGTTACAGAAGAAATCTGCCACAACGCTTTTGAGGAGGCTCCAGCCTGGCCTGCCTCACTGATCTTCCCACAGACTCTCCAGGGCAATTTCCATCTCTTACCTTCTTTGTGTGCTTTATTTTACGAGGGCTCAGCTTCTCCAGGTCATCCTCTATTTCTTTTACCTGTTTCAAGAACGTTGCAAACAAATTAGGTAGATAAATCATGAGGAAACTCGAATTCAAAGTGCTTGGTTTGCTGGTTCAGGTGAGAAGTTCTGACGTCCAGAGAAGCTTCTGCCCAAGGTAGGCAGAGCTGAAATCCAGGCCGCTCCACCCAGCTCCACAGCTACTAGCATGCTGCCCCCTGGGGCTCGTTCTGACCTGTTGCTGGAGCACATACAGCATCCGGGCAGAGCGCACGGCCTGCTCCTGCCTCCGGATCTGGACGCGGCGCTCTTCATCAGGATCCAAAATTTCCTCACTTCTCTCTGAGGGGGGGAAATGTTTAGCAAACACAAATGAGGGGGATAGGTGTGGAAATTTTGAAGAAGAAAACAGAAAAAGCTGGCACAAAACCCCCAGTCGAGAGGGAAGGGTGTTGAGAGACACCTTCCTCCCAGTTGGACACAAGGCTGCCTGGAAACAGCTCCACTTCCAGAAAATGTCCCAATGGCACTTTCCCCTCGCCCAAGGCGAAAAGCTAAAACTCAGTTCAAGGTGGCAACTCTGAACTGCTTCCCCAGGAGGAAATGTGAAAGGAGTTGTCCAAATTTGTTATTATGTTGTTATTTATTTATTACATTTATATGCCACCTTTTCCTCCAATGACCTTAAGGTGGTGGTGGTGCATGGTTCTCCTCCTCACCACAACCCTGGCAAGGCAGTTTAGGCTGAGAGATAGTGACTGGCCCAAGCCATATAGGGGGATTTGAACCCTGGTTTCCCAGGTCACAGTCTGACACTTTGACCACTACAAGCGACTTCCAATTTACGCAAATTTAACTTTTGTGTGCAGGGAGCCAGAACGTAATGCCTACATAAATGGGGAGCATTCCACTACACCTCCAGCTCATGAGGAGACCTTCCCTGGAGCCCAAAGGGTACGTCCTCCAAACTCTGGGGAGGGACTCAAAAAGCATTGCTGCCTCTGACCATGGAGGCTTAGCACAGTCATCATGGCTAGCAGGTGTTGAGAGCCCTTTCCTCCATGAAGTTCTCTCACCTCTCCTCACCAGTTCGTCAATCTTCTGGATGTAGTTCTGAAGCTCCTTCTGCAGCCGCCTGACCTCCAGCGTGCTTCTGTCTTCCTCCCTCTTGAAGGCTGGGGGAGGCCCGGGGCCCGGATCACGGGTGGGGGGCGAGTCAGAGACAGAAGGGTCCGACTTCACCCGGGAGGGTGTGTAGAGGTAGACCTTGGCTCCAGAGCTGGTAGTCTCCACCTTGGGGCAGCAGCCCGGCTGACGTCCAAAATTCAAGTGAGACTTTGCAACTACACTGCCAGACTTCTTTCCCTGAAGAGAGGTGGCTAGAGGGCCCTTCTCCCCCTTGGAGAAGTGCTGCCTCACCTGCTCCTCCAGGTGCCGTCGCTTCATGTCCCTCCTGGCCAGCTGCACGGCTAAGTTGAGCTTCTCTTCAGAGACAATGGAAAATGCCATGGAGCCCTGTGAGCTGAGCCCATCGCCAGCTCCTGGATCCCGTCTAGCCTCTGGCTGCGCCAGCTTCTCTATGATGATTGGGCGAGGATTGCTGTAGCGGACAGCCAAGTTCTCTGGCAGGGCAGGAGCATCCCGACTGAACTGGAGCTGTGCCAAACATTAAACAGCAAGTGTCAGCAAGGGGGGGAAGGTACAAGTTTTGGGCCCATCACCCACTTTTTTTTCGTATATCATTCTTTTAAATTTTTGAATGTCTTATTGTTGCTAATTTTTCTTTGTGATAATTCTAGTGTTTTATCTTTGTTGAAAACTATTTTGAGGCTGTTTACAATCAAGTGGTGTATAAGTTTTATAAACATATCGCAAAAGCAACATGCCCAACTAGTTAGGCCAAAGAGACCTGGCAGGTTAGCACCCGAACCACAAAGCAAAGGCATCGCCCAGTACCTGCATCGTACTCTGAGGGGCTCTTCCATCACTTTTGTCTGGCTGTAAATGAGATGCTGAAGGAACGCCAACCGGTGCTGGCTTCCGCGGCCCCATCACACCCAACAGAGCAGTGATCTCCAGTCATCTATAAGGGTACTGCTGAAATACTGAGAGGAAATGAAAATATAAGAACTGACACCAGCATGCATTATATTTCATAAACTATAAATATCTAAAGGGTGGAGCTCAAATGATCTTTTTTATATATGACATGGTTTTATTATACAAATAAGGCACATGACCACTCAGTGCCATCAACATATACAGCTATCTGTCTCATTTAAGACTAAATAGAACCTTTATTCTCAAGAATAATGGAACTCACAGGTGGAGAATACAAATAGTAAAGATTTATAAAAATGAAGTAAAATGAGTTTATACTTTGTCTCCTCTTTGGAGCTGTGCTATATCTTTGTACTTTTGTCCTCCCAGGCTGTGACATTTTATGATTTAAATCAGTTAGTTCTTAGTTTTCTTTCTATTATGCCTGCACTTGTGCTAACTCAATTAAATTTAAAAAGAAAAATGGAGGGGGAAGAACTGCCTCCAGTATAAGCTCACTTTTCTCAAGACTATTCTCTTACTGTTCACCTTTCAGGCAAAAGAAGATACAAATTTCCTAAGCCTGCCCAGATGCACAACCCACTCTCCCAAAATGCTGCCTCGGCACATAAAATGCTCAAAGGAGAAATGGAAATAAGGGCTGACCACGTACAAAGGAGAAGAGCACAAAGAGGCTGGTTGGATAATAATAATAATAATAATAATAATAATAATTTTTATTTATATCCCGCCCTCCCCAGCCAAAGCCGGGCTCAGGCTCACCAAGCTGAGCCCAAACAGCAACTAGGGGTCCCTGGAAAATCCTGCAACAAACAAAGAAACAACCTCTCCTGTTGCTTGCCTTGGCTCCAGGGTCTGGTATTCAAGAGAAAGGCTGCCTCCTGCACTTTGTATAGCCATTAAGAAGAAGAGGAGAAGTAGGAAGAGAAAGCAACATTGCAGAGGGCACCCATAAAGATTCCTTCTATACAATTCCATGAGAGAGAAGGTGCAGGTGGCCTGCAGCTCCTCCTGCCCTGCCCCCTGGCATTTGTGCCTGCTCAGTTACCAGATCTGTGGAAGGGCTACTTTAAGAAGAAGCTGGTATCCATGTCTCACAACCTCACAGTGCAAAGCAGAGGGCTCAAATGGACACAAGCAACAGGCTGCTTCCTCTCTGCGTGGGGCATGAGGACAGCCAGTACGTTATTCTGGGCCCTCCTGAGCAGAAGGCAGAGCCTGGCCACTGTCTCCCCTGCAGTCTCCCTGTCTCCCCAGCTTATCAGAAGCTGCAGGCTACAAAACAAAGGCAAAGGCAGCCAGCCCCTCTATATGGAGGCAAAGTGGCCCCTACCGTATCCCATGCTGGTTGGACTACATAGGAGTGTTCTGTTGGCTCCTGCCCCCTAAAAAGACACAGCCTCTTGTAGTTGCCCGGGGATCTGGGAGCTCCCTTCTTGACCTGGACTCCTGGCTGCACATGGGCTACTTCCCTCGAGAGCCTGCGAGGTCCCACGAAACTGGGGAACTGGAAGAGGATAGGCCAGGCCCTCTGCCACCGCCCACACACCCACCCACAAGGTCGCTGCAAGCTCTTCGTGTCTCTTGACGACGGACAGCTTGTGAGGTGGCGGGTGCGCAGGACATGAGGCCCAGCCGTTATCACCCTTGTGCTAGGCGGAAACGCAAGGCGATGTAACACACCCCACTGGGTCAACCGGGCGAAACAGCATAAACTGGCCGGCTGAGGAAAGCGGAGGAAGCCTCCATGCTCAGGGGCAGTCTATCTCTCTCCCTCCCTGACCTCCTTCGCACGTACCAGGGAGCCCTGCGGCCAATGGGTGGGGTGGCGAGGTGTCGGGCCCGGCCTGCCTTCCTCGGTTTCCCCCTCGAAGGAGGAGGCCGAGGCGGACCCCGCCAGCAGTAATGCCGCCGCCACCGCCGGACGGCCGAAGACAAACCGCGCTATGGCCGACGCCGCTTCCCTCTTCTCTCCATGGTTTCCCTGGGAACCGCGAGCCGCGAAGGCCGCCGGGAAACGGCTGGGGAAGTACGGGGGCCGACGAGAGACATCCTAGAGTACAAGGGAAAGGAGGACCTGCTCGCATGTCCCCGCGCGGCCGCCGTTGTGACCGCGCCCCTCGGTGGGCGGAGCCTTCCTGGTCTACTTTCGCCTTCCGGGTCTGCTTTTCCCTGCCTGACGCCGCGCGTGTCGGTCCGCCATGAGAGGCTACGAAGAGGTGGCGGTGAGCGGCTACGAGGAGTTCTCGGCCGCAGTCCAGGAGCGCCGCGACCGGCAGATCTTCGCTTACTTCAGCGGCACGAAGGACCCGCAGACCGGCACCAGCTGGTGCCCGGACTGCGTCACCGGTGGGGCATCCTTCTGATATGCACATATTTGCATGTTTGCATGAGGGAGGGGCAGCCGCTGCTCCGAATCTTGCCCCTCCCTCTCTGCGCCTCAGTCTTCCTCCTCCGCCCCATTCTGTAAAATGGGTGCAATAACGCCGGCCGACCTTGCTAGGCTGTTGTGCCGATTCGTTTTAGTTATGCATGTAAAAGTTATTTCTAAACTGTTTCCTGGCTGGGGGGAAAAACCCATCTAAAACTGCATGCTGCATACAGAATTACACCACCTGAGGTGTGGGTTTTCCCTAGAGAAACGATGAGGCAGGGGGCGCTGGAGGTAAAAATGGGTATCAGGCTTTGAAACGCTGGTATCACTGGATCAAGTTAAACAGTTTTGCTGAACTAATTCAACTAGTTTTAAATGGATATTTAACAAATGTGCATTTTTTTCTCATTTTGAATTATTTTGTGGGTCATGCAAACCACTGTTCTGAATAATGTTTCGGGTAGGGGGCTCTGGTGATTAATTTGTAACCAAGGGGGGCAATGGCCCCAAAATGTTTGGGAACCACTGCAGTAAAGCAGTGACTTGAGAGAACACCCTTGATGCGCATTAATGCACTCTAAAGTGTTATGGCTACCCAAAAAGCCCCATGCTGTGAACCCAACAGGAATGATCCAGCCCCAACTGGGCTCCATGCAAGGGAGAGGAGGGGGTTGCTAGTAGCTTCAGGATGTGTTAGAAGTGTCTGGCGGGATCAGATGGGTTGGTAAGCAGGCTGCTTTTGCTTTCTTTCAGCGGAGCCCATTGTGCGGGCAGAGCTCAAGCACCTGCCAGAAGGATCAGTGTTCATTTACTGCCAAGTAGGAGAAAGAGCTTAGTAAGTATAACGTGGAGCGAGTTGGGGAGCATGCAGAGCACGGATTTTGAGCCAATCCAGTGCTGGGTCTTGTTCATGCAAAAGGCCCTTTAAGTGAGCTCTGCCAGCTTTTAGGGATGACTGTTGTAGAAAGCAGGACAGATAAATCCCCGTGTTGCCCCCCCCCCATGTTGCACCTATTCACACAAGAATGGACACTTAATTTATCCTAGTTCAAATACAGCCTTGCTTGTACAGGTTTGCTTGGAAGTCACTTCTTTCTCTACCAAGGTATAATTATTATGATCACTGTCATAATTATACTTCAAACAGTATCAAGGTGACTCACAATAAAAGAAATCTAGTCAAAATGAAAAATTACATAAGGAATTTGATTTGACCACCAAGAAGCAATAATCAAGCTACAGGCACACCCCTCCTTACAGGATCTCTATTAAAAGCAACAGACAGAAAAGTCTTCCAAAACAGCAGATAAAAAATAACTTTCAAATGCCTGAGAAAGAAGCCTGATTGGCATTTAAAATATGTTATTCTGGTTTTCATTGAGGAGTGCATTTAATGAGGTGGTGATTACACCTGAGAATGCCCAATCTCTCTCTATGCCAGAAGGGGGCGCTTGGACTGCCTGGCCAAACCATAAGGTTTGGGGTCTGGAAATATCCCCTGCGCCACCTCTCCTTTTCTCAGGGCATTTAGCCTTTAAGGTGAGACTCCTCCTCCCTCCCAGGTCACAAGTAATTAGTCCTCACAGATTAATCTTAATAAAATTTCCCGCCTCAAAACCTTCATGCCTTTTAACCCAATGCCTTTTAAAACTATTACCCATTTTTATTCCCCCCCCCCCCAGTTGGAAAGATCCCAACAATGAATTCAGAAAGAATCTTCACTTAACTGGAGTGCCTACGCTACTTAAATATGGGACTGTAAGTATTTTCAAATGTGATGAATGATGGCTTGGAATCCACATTGACATGGTCGGAGGGCTCTATTTGAGTATTGCAAACAATTTTTCATGTTTCTTAAAACTGTCTCTTTAGAACTGTGCTCTTATGCTTCCTGAAAAACTGTGCAAATGTCTACAAATCCATGCAGTTTTTGTTTTTTTAAAAAAGATTCAGCTCATGTTTACGTACTCAGTATGAAGACGCACTGTGTTCAGAGCACCAGATTCAGACTGACTCCCAAGTAAACATGAGTACAGACCATTAAGTTAGTCTCTTGTTACAGCTGAATTACCTCTCAGCACTTGTAGCTGGAGCCAATTTGACTTGGAAAATAAGATCCCTGCATGACTTAGCTTTGGACTCTGCTACACACTTGTTAACCAATGATTAAATGTTTCACAACATTTCCCTTTAGGTGCCAAGCTGCTCATTTAGAAAGATATAAAGCAACCTTGTAGTCAGTGTGGACTTCAAGCTGTGTAGCTTATTCAAAAGCCTGGCAGTGTGCCAAAGTAGGAAAGGATACTTACTTACAGGAGGACTTTAATCTCCTGCAGCTTTTCTTAACCATTTACAGTACAATGTTTGTTTCAGCCTCAGAAGTTGGTGGAACAGGAATGCTTTAAACCAGACCTCGTGAGGATGCTGTTCACAGAAGACTAAGTTGTTTCCGCTCTAATGAAAAGAGTTTGCTGCTACCAGCTGAGGACCTGACCAGAATTCCTTGAGAGGAGACCAATCATGTCTTAAAATACAGACAAATGAAGTTTGCAGCCTGCAAGCCAATTAAGTTAAATAAATTTTTCTTTGATTTAGTGAGTACCATCCTATGATAGTGTATCATCAAACTGAAGCCGATATGTGATGTGTTAACAATGTGAAGTACACAGAGTTTTTATAAACAAGAAGACAGGTCCCTGCCCTCAAGGATCTTACAATCAAAGTCAGACAACAGGGGAGAATTAAGGCTAGGAAAAATGGAGACAGCAGCTACAATGAAACTTCAAGTGGGAAACAAAAATTTAAGTCAAAAGGTCTCAGACAAAGGTGGTTTTTGAAAGGGACGTGATTGAAATACACAAGTAGCCAGTGTCCTCAAATCAACAAGGCGAACCAACAGCAAAGTCTGTTGCTTAGCTATTGTTATGGAATGTCACTGCCTTTAGAAGCATCACATGCCACTTTTGGCTGAAAACCTGCAGAAAGTTATAGCCCATCACATCCCCACTGAGCTGAAGTATGAAAAGCAAGAGAGGATTTTTTATCATGCAGCTGGAAGTGGTTCTCACTGACCAGTTACATCTTGCACAGTTACATCTTGCACTCCAGCGATGAATTTAGCCAGCTAATGCAGATGGGGTTGCTTATGCTTTTTTTAAACAGATCACTTATAGATCTGAGAGCTCTTGTCAAAAGGAAGATGCAGCTCACAGGCTTTTATTTATCCACGGACTAATACAAACCCAGCACACACTGATGAGCTTTTAAGTCTCTTTATTTGCTGCTCTCAATAATGTGCTAAAAACTAACCACCACAGGGATTTTATATATATATATGCGTGCACGCGCGCACACATACACAGAAAGAGACAGACATACAAACCCAAATCACCCACCTTTCCACTGATAGTCTTTTGGGAAATGCAGTGACAACTTTAAATCTGGAGGGGGTGAGAACTTCTTGCTACTTCATCCAACACGTAAAGAAGCCGTTTATGCAGCCTCTGGTAAAGCAAAGCCAGAGGATCCATAAGAGGTGTTGAGATCCCCCTGGGTGATTATTTTGTGCTGTGGCTGCTCAGCCAAGGCAGCCCCATGCTTGGATGATTCCAGAGTGGTGCCGCCACTGCAACTGTCCCTCCTGCACTCACTGGGGATGCCAAATGGGCTCACTTCACAGAGGTGCTGTTCTGCTGCTGTTGCTGCTGCTGCTGCTCTGCCAGGGCCTGCTGGAGGCGCATGCGCTTGCGAGAGTAGTGCTGCCAGTGCAGGATCTGCTGCTCATCGATGAACTTGGCACACTGGGCATTCACCAGCTCTTTGCGGAAGTGCTCATACTGCAGCAGCTCCAGCATGTGCAGGCACTGGGGGTACCTTCGCGACAAAAGAAGGGCCATACACACATTAGCAGAGGCTTTTAAAACACGTCCGGACTGCCATGCAAATACAGTATGATCATGTCTTATGTGCATTTAATATGCACAATTGCAATAATACACAGTTGGAAGTCCAGTTGGTTGAAATCTTACAAGACAAATGCATAGTTGGTGCATAGATAAGTTCTTGCTTGGGAAGCAAGGACAGAGAGCTTAAAAACACACCAAAAGTGCCCCCACCACCCTCCCAAACAGCTATACTTTCCATTTACATTTTTCAGCTACCCAAAGTTTGTCGGAATCTCCAAATATGCAAAGCCTGGTCTGGCACTTGCCCTCTAGAAACCGCTATTGGGAAGACTGTCTAAACTGAACCCATTTAACAGATTATGAGTGTAGACTTTTCACATGTTTATCTATGTTATATTCAGATACCATTTTAGACCAAGTTATATTAAGGGACATGTAATGTAATTGGATTTTTAAGCCAATTTTATTTTTTAAGCATCTTTTTTTAATCTTCCTCATGATAAAATTAATGTAATAATAATAATAATTTATTATTTATACCCCGCCCATCTGGCTGGGCTTCCCCAGCCACTCTGGGCGGCTTCCAAAAAGATATTAAAATACTGTAATACATCAAACATTAAAAGCTTCCCTAAACAGGGCTGCCTTCAGATGTCTTCTAAAAGTTGTTATCTTTAACATCTGGTGGGAGGGCGTTCCACAGGGAGGGCGCCACTACCGAGAAGGCCCTCTGCCTGGTTCCCTGTAAATTGGCTTCTCGCAGTGAGGGAACCGCCAGAAGGCCCTCGGTGCTAGACAAGAGTCCTTTTCCTCACATGTTACGCAAACTGATCTGCCTTGGAGACTCTCTCAGGGCACTGGTATAAATTCCAGCTCAGCACACTGAGCAATTTTTTTCAACTTTGTCATGCATTAAAGGGGAGGGTGCACACGTTTGTACTTTGATCAAGTGATGGGTAGACAGAAAACCCTTGAGTCTTGTGCGCCACTTGTAACAATCAAAAACCAGATCTATGAACTCAGGAAAAAATGACATAGTACAGGCCCCAGAAAGGCTGTGGCAGTTTGGGACAATGACTTCTCAGGCCTCTGACACACAATCCCTAGCCTTCAAAACCATTGCAGAGTTTAGAGGGCTACTCGTGGGGGTTTTTCAGATAGCCAAATAAGCTCTAAGCTGGTTTAACACAGCAAGATACACAATCGTAACTCTTACTTTAGGTATTTGGCATACTCTGGTTCTTTCCAGTAGAGCAGGTATTTAAGGTAGTTAACAAATGCTTTGTCCTTGAAGAATCCTCTCTGGGCAAGAACTAGAAGAAACACACAAATTAGTTTACTTAAAAGTGGATTTTCCCTGTTTATCCTCACAGCAATCTGAAGTTAGTCACTATTATTCCCATTCTACAGATGTGGGGAAAGAGGATGGACAACCAGAATAAAGGTTAACTATACACAAAATACTCCTCCAAATCATAGCCTATATTTTAGCCATAAAGTCACACAGACTGAAGCTGTTGCAGAAAACTGATAACACCTTTGCTGGATCTGGTCAAGGATGCATCTAGTGCTTTCTAATTTCAACCATCTTAGCCATAACTGTTTTAACTTGGGTTTTCCTGTATGTTTTATATAATCTGTTTAGTGGGTCTTGCCCAAATCATGCGAATAAATAAAACAAAAATCTTGTTGGCATCTGTCTGTCTGAGAGACAAATGTAATGAATCTCTGAGGGTAAGTCTAATTGCTGCATTAGCAGTACTGAAGTGACCTTCCATGGTGTGCAAGCCTAGGCGGGGTATATGGCAGCTCCATGCTGCCCAGACGACAAGACCCCACTCTCAGCCTCACTGATGTGGTCCAAAGGAAAGCAGAACAATATGTTTGGCACCAGCTTGGCTGCAGGAGTTACTGGAACTTTATGTATGTATGTATGTATTTTATAAACTTTATATACTGCTTTATTGTAAAAAATAATACCTCAAAGCAGTTTTTTTAAAAAAAGGAATCAAGGGGGAAAAGGTTAAATCGAGAAAATTTCACTTGAAAATATACAAAAGTCAAAATACTGAAACTGATTAAACTTACAGGAAACCCCCCCCCCCCCAATTTATGCGTGTTTAATGTGTATTTGACTGCTCACATGCACATCATGCTGAACCCACAAATGCAGAGTGGACATTATGTGGCATCTGCAATAGTGTCAATTCTGCCAATTGAAGGGGTCAACTGAGCACATGTGAGGTAAGGCAATCTTGTAGGTAAACCAGTCCCAAGTTGTTAAGGAGCCAAGTTAGCCACTTCCCTTCTCATTAATTTTAAAATATTCTGCGTTAGTGAACATTTGTTTAATGGGACAGGGACAAGGAACCTACGGTTGTGAGGGGAGGTGCTCCACATGTTCCTGGACTACAACTCCCATAATCCCTATCCATTAACATGTCAGCAAGGGCTGGTGGGAGGCAGAATCTAACGACTTCTGAAGGGCCCCCCATATGTCCTTTAGCACTAACCAAGGATTTGTTTTGAGTACAGTGGTACCTCTAGATGCGAACGGGATCCGATCCAGAGCCCCGTTCGCATCCTGAGTAGAATGTAACAAGCGACTGTAGGTCTCGTTTCGTCACGCATGTGCGTGACGTTATTTTGAGCGTCTGCGCATACGCGAGCGGCGAAACCTGGAAGTAGCGCGTTCCGTTACTTCTGCGTAACCTGAAAACGCTCAACCTGAAGCATATTTAACCCAAGGTATGACTGTACTTACAGTTTAGGTAATTGGGGTTTGCCAGGCACTGCACAAACTCCAACTCCAGCTGGAAGCGAAGGCGATTGCCAGTATCATCTGATGCAGCAAAGAGAAGAAGACGAAAGGTGAGTGGAATTAGAAATTTGAAATTTGAAAAAGAGCCAAATGCTTAGAACATCAGAAGAGCCTGCTGGATCAGCTCAATGGCCCATCTACTCCAACATCCCGTTCTCACAATGTCCAACCAGAAGCCTGTGAGAAATCCACAAGGAGGACCTGAGCACAAGAGCACTCGCCCCTCCTGCAGATTCTAGCATCTGGTGGCAAGGGAGGTGTCTCCCAGAAGCCCCCAAGCAGAGCTCTCCCTAGCCCCTGCCACTCAGAGATAGGCTCCAACTGCACCTGGAGGCTCCACTCCCAGGATGGTCTCTGGGAACCAGGCCAAAGTGTGTGGGTGGGAGGGGTTGTGTCGAGGCTTTTATGACCAGCTGGTAAGTCCAAAAGGCCAGGGAGGGAGGGATGCGGGTAGGCCCTGCCCTCATGCAGCAATAACTAACATTCAGAGGAGCTTCCAGACTTCCCCTCATGCCCAACAGTCTTTGAATGGCCGTGACCGTCTCCCTGCCGTGGGCTACCCCACGCACATCGCAGCAGCGAGTTCCGCAAGTGAACAGCGCGACCTTTTTTTGCTTGGCTTGGGTTTAAATGCGCTGACTGGCCAACGGAGGCCTTTCCAGCCGAGGGGAGACCCCGCCCGGCCTAGGTTCCCTCCTCGCTCCCCGCTCAAACACTCACCACTCTCCATAACGACGACAGCAGCTTCCACGGCTCCTCCACCAGAACAGTAATATGGCGGCGATAGCGGCGGCAGCAGCGGCTGCGCCTGCGCAGCGTAGCTCGGCCGCGGTGCGTTTTGGGAAACTCTGGGGCGGCAGAGGCGGCCATGTTGCTGTTGCCGGGGCAACGGGTATGCTCTGGGCCTGGCGAAGGTCCCAAAAGGGAGGGTCGAATTAGGGGCGGGACAGGCTGTGGCTATGGCTGTTGTTTGTTCCATGGAATATTTATGTATTTGTTTATTTCATAAAATTAATGGGATACTTTTATTTATTTATTTTTTAAAAACTCAAAGCAGTTTACAAAAAAAGTAAGATTCTTAGTAAAAAACAATTACAACATAAAAAAATATTAAAAACCAGCAATAAACTGAAAGCACGTCAGCATTCTCGGTATCTGGACAGGCTTGCCTAAAGGAAAAAAATGTTTTTAGTAGGCGGAAAAAGTACAGTGAAGGCACCTGCCTGATTTCAATAGGCAGGGAGTTCCAAAGTGTAGAGGTGCTGCCACACTAAAATAATGATTTCTTACAAATGCAGAGCAGGGCGTTAAGCAGCACCTGTAATGGTGCCAGGAAAATGCCTCCCCAGCTCCATGAACAGTGGTGACAGGTTGTTGTGAGGATAAAATGGGGAAGAGGACCATATGGATTATCCTGAGCTGCTTGGAGGAAGGGTGGGTTAATGAACAGATGATAGCAAAGTGGACATCCAAGGAAGCTGGGCTTTGGAAGATTCAGGACAGGTAAATGAAAGTAATTCCGCTGAGGAATGTTGGCGAGTATGTCATGCAGCTCAAAGTTAAACTGGAACTCACTCCCACAGGAGGCAGTGATGGCCATCAACCTAGATGACTTCAAAATAGGATTAAACAAATTCATGGATAAAGGCTGTCAGTAGCTATGCTCTGCCTCCACACTTGGAGAAGTTCTTGTGCTCATATCTCACTTTCCTTTGCAGAGGTTTTATTTATTCTACCTCATGATTTGGATCCTGCTTTCCCCGCCTCGTGGCTCCCATCTCTGGTTTTGAAGTGTTCAAAGGGCACAGGGATTTTGATACCGGAAAGCAAAGTTAAAGTTTTATCATTGGTGCCTCCCTTTGCATTTAATGTTTCACCTCACCTAAGTTTCAGGCTGTGTCTGCCAAGGGGGAGGGGGAAGGTCCAAATTTGAGGGCACAGCAGTAGGGAACAAGGTTCAGACACCCCAAACTGTCATATTTTACTGGCATAATTGCTAAAGAATATCAGACTTCTTTGGGCCACCTTTTGAATTCCCCCACAAAATGCCCCCAATGTTGTGAAAAGCTTGTGTTGCTCTATTTGCCAAGGCTGGTCCCATAAATTCCACGTGATCTCTTAACTATTCTGGAGCCACCCAGTCAAAAGTCTCCTGCTGGCTCCCGCTTTCCACGTTTCCTTCAGAGCTCTAGGTCCTGATGATGGCAGACCAGCTATTAAAAGAAATTGAGGCTGCAGGCATCACGGACCTATCAGAAAAGAGGTCCCTGGTGATAAAATGGGTAAAAGGGCTGTTCCCAGGTGTGGAGGTGGTCACCACAGAAACCCTTCAGCAGTGGATGAAGGAAAAACCAGAGGAGCTGATCATTCTTGTAAGTAGCAACTTCTTGCTGGCAGGAATAGTTAAACTGCGGAACTCCCTTCTGCAGGAGACCACCAACCTAAATGGCTTTAAAAAGATGATTAGGCAAATTCATGGAGAAGAGGGCTATTGATGGCTACTAGCCAAGGTGCCTATGTTCTGCCTCCACAGTCGGAGGCAGAGCGGTCAGGAGCCGCCAGGAACAGGTGGTCAGCTAAAATGAATTGAAGGCTTCAGGGCCAACTGTATCCATAAAGGGACTGATGTACAGTGGTACCTCTGGTTACGTACTTAATTCTTTCCGGAGGTCCGTTCTTAACCTGAAACTGTTCTTAACCTGAAGCACGACTTTAGCTAATAGGGCCTCCCACTGCCGCCGCACCTCCGCCGCACGATTTCTGTTCTCATCCTGAAGCAAAGTTCTTAACCTGAGGTAATATTTCTGGGTTAGTGGAGTCTGTAACCTGAAGCGTATGTAACCCGAGGTACCACTGTACTCTCAGAATCTCTGATGATTAATAGAAGGTTAGAGAGATCAAAAGTTCGTATTTTTTCGCAAAGGGAGAATTGGGGAAATATGACCTGTCTGGCTTAAAGACTAGGAAAGATATGAAAGTGGTCAGCTTGGAAGCATCTAGATAACATTGCAGTGATGAGTAGGAGGTATGGTTCTGACAAGGATAAATCTTGACAAATATTGCCTTTTGATTTCCTGTCCTAGTGGACTGTTGTGGGGGGGGTGTTGCTGTGGGTGCAATTTATCTTGTATTCAGTAAAGCACTTGATATTTTGGTTAAATGTGGGGTAGGTGATAGCACCACCAGGTGGATTCACAGCTGACTGGGAAACACCCCTCAACCAAAAAAAGTATATTTCTCATCAATGGTTCCTCATCCAAAGAGAGGGAGGTTTCTACAAAATCTGGGCCACAAATTTAGAAATGGATGCAGCCCAGTCCTATGCCTGTTTAATCAGGAGGACGGCTGACTGAGTCCCAAAGCAGGCCTGGGATTGCAGGAGCAGCAGCACCCAGCTTCTTCCCAAAGGAATGCTTTTCAAGGCACAAGGGTGTTTGAAGTGGGATGGGGACAGCCTTGGGGATTCCTGTGGCACTGGGCATCCCCAATATGTTGATGCCAGGCCTCCCAGAGCACATACTCTCCAACATTTCTCTCATGAAAATAGGGACGTCCCATTCCACAATGATAATTTTACTATTTATACCCCACACTTCTTACTGGGTTGCCCCAGCCACTCTGGGCAGCTTCCAATATATATAACAGCATAATAAAACATTAAACATTATATAGGATTGCCTTCAGATGGCTCCGGCGTTGGATAGCGCCATACCCTTCAACAGTTCTCCAGTGAAAATAGGGATATCCTAAGGAAAAGTGGGACATTCCAGGATCAAATCTGGAATCAGTGGCCTCCCTGGAAAATAGGGACACTTGGAGGGTCTGAGAGCATTCCCAGCAACCCTTTTCTTCCTTGTCTCGCTTCAGATATACAAATGCTTCAGATCGCAGAGCCTCCGGACCCCATTAAAGAGTTTCATTTTCATCCCAGTCACGTTTCCTATTGTGGGCCTTCATTCATGAGCCCAGGAGATATTGCCAGGCTCTCCTCCTCCTCTGTGGGTCTGTTTGAATGAGGCTTGGTTGCAAGACCTTCTGCTCCACAAAGGGGTCAGGACACCCATGGCTGCTTCTCACTGCATTTCAAGGTGAGAAAGTGCCACAGAAAGGGCCTCTATTGATAGCCAAAATCTGAGTTGCCTACTGACCCAGATTCTCCCCCCTACATCAGGAGGCTAAAACAACCTCTGTGGTGTAACCCACAGACTCAAACAAGCAGGATTTCACTGGACATTCCTTCGGTATGTTATTTTTAAAAACTGCCATTTATACAACAGCCTCAACGTGTCCTTTTTAGAAACGGTTTTGCTATTTTTGCACGAGGAGATATCGTGTAACTGTTTTAAGCGGCATCCTATAATCTTCCCCATTCCAAGAAAGCGTTTATGAAATGAGTTTTAGAAAGGCTTCTCCTGCTGACTTATTCTTAGCTTTTGTTAACATGGCAGGAGAGGGTGTCTCTTTACACAAAGTGGTTTTAGCAGTTGAGAAACTATCATCTTCACAAAGCAAAGAATGCCATCCCTCCCCAGTAAACACAGCCTCTTCCTCTGGCTAAAATGAGGTGGGGGCAGCCCACCAGACAAACCACAAGCTCACTTTCCCACGTGGGACTTCAGGGGACAGCGCCCGGCAGATGCTTTGGCCCTCCGCTGGGCCAAAATAAACGGCAGCGTTTTCTATTCCAGGCCACCCAAGCCAGGCCAATTTTTGCTTTCTTAAAGGATAAAATATGCAGGACAAAGATGGACCCAAAAGTTGCATCTGTTCTCTAAAACTAGCTTAGCTGAACATGCAAGAGAATAATAGAATCATATAATTGTAGATTTGGAAGGATCATCTAGCCCAACCCTTTGCAATGCAGGAATAAGCAGTTGTCCCACACAGGGATCAAACCTGCAACTATGGCAATATCAGCACCACACTGAGCTGTTCAGTATATGACTGTTAATAAATTGAATGAGGCAGCTAATTTAGGGTGTCGTCTTGAAAGGGCAGCTACACTATTACTTTTTAATTTATAATTATTGTGTTTTTACTCCCAGGTCAAGGTGATTGTGGAACTTTCTGGTCAAAATGATGTAGCCAACTTTGGGTACAATGCTCCTTGACAGGTGTGAGTGTGACATTGGCTGCTAAGAACATTAGAAGAGATTTGTATCTGGTTCAGGGCAAAAGCGGGCTCACCTAGTCCAGCATCCTGTTCTCACGGTGGCCAACCATATGCCCTAAAGGAAAGCCCACAAGCAAGCAGAGCCTGAGTTCAACAGCAGCAGTCCTGCCCCTGAGCTCCTCTTGTGATTCCTAGCAACTGTGTCCTTTTCCACTTCAGGCAAGAAAACCATTTGGAGCTAGGCCTGGACTTTAGGTCAGAGGGTCTGGCTGCTGCACCAGAAATGGGGGAAGCCCTGGCAATCTCCTGTAACATTTTACGGTTGACCCCGTTATTCCACCTGGCTCCATTTTGCTGCTGCTGTGTACTGTGTTCATTTACTTTCAAGGGGACGAATTCAGGAGCATTCTGGGAAATTAACCTGGCTCTGTCATCCTGTTGACTGAACTGAATCCGCTTGCCCAAAGCTTATCTAGAGGAATGAAATGATGTTTGATTGCAATGTTGACATGTCTCCCTATGAAATATACTCAGAGTCGCAAAGTGATTTCATGCTCTTAATTCAGCTCATAGTGGTGAGGAGGAATGAATGAATGTCCCCTCACAGTATCTGCTTTATATACATTATTTACACAATGGGCTGCACATGATTGGCTAATTCTGGAATTCTACTGTAAGCCAATCAGGTTGTGGATTCACTTCTATCTGGAGCAGGATTGGGTGGTTCCTGCCAACCAATCATACTGCTGCATTGTTCTAGGACCAATCAGACTGCTGCATTTTGGATCCTATTGTTCTAGGACCAATCAGACTGCTGCATTTTGGATCCTATTGTTCTAGGACCAATCAGACTGGTGCAGTTTGGATCCTATTCAACTCAGTACATAACACCCTAGTAAACATTTTGCTCAACCCCCCCCCCCTTTCCCAGCACATTTCCCATCACTTCCCAAACTGCAAACAGCCAGGGGGTTTGTCTTTTTAAAGTGGATTTGTTGCACCATGGCAACAGATTGCCTGAATTTCTGGTAGATGCTCAGATCCCTCCCACAAAATCCTGGCAGTCTTGGGGGTGCCCAAAGTGACAGGGAAATGCCATAAAAAGCTTGGAATGAATTGGTGATTAACAAGAAAGGCATATAAAGAGCCCACAATGGAATCAGGATGAATGCAGGATAGATGCGCATTGTCACATGTAACCTCCCCACAAGCAAATTGGAATGAAGGCCAAGAACATTCCCTACAAAAATGTGAAAAGAAGACAAGAATAATGAAGCAGCATTTTTGCCTTATAAGGGGTCCCAGGCTGAGGGGAGGCAGGAGGCAAGGCAATTGCTCCTAGATGACTCCAACAGTCTCTCCTCTGACATGTCCACGTTTGTAGGACACCCCTCTAGTTTGGGGGAGGGGACAAGTAACAAATAGAGAACAGGGGATGTTCTGATTTTTCCCATGATAGACTACTTGTGTGGTTTGTTTTTTTTAATATCAAATTCATTTGTTTTTGGTGCTGATGCTTTGCTGGAGCCCTAAGCATGTGGTTAGCCTGCCTGTTGGGGGTCCAACACTGGGGTTATGCATTTTTTAAAAAGAGAGAGGAAAAAGTCGATCTTTGGAACCAATCACATTCTCACAATCAACCCACCATAGTGTCCCAGCATTCCAAAGAGAATGATGGGGCCCAAAAATGTCCTTTTGACCTATGTGGTCCCTGGGGCTGACCTACTGCTGCCTTGCCTTCTACCTTAGGACTGGGCTTGGCCCGAGAGGCACCCGTTGTGTGCCAGAATGAAGAGCAGTGTTGGGGAGCCCAGAAAGAAGGCCAAGGAGGCCCCCTTCTCCGTTTGACTCAGGCCAGGTTCAATTCCAGGGCTCAGGTTGCCAGAGGGGCCAGCGCCTCTCTTTAGAATCAGCCCTTGCAGCCAACCAGTCTCCTAGCTGGGCCCAGCCAACAGAAGCGTCTCTTTGCTCTCCTTCAGGTCATACTGACACAACCGCACCACAGATATTTTAAGCCTCCACTGCTTGAAATAAACGCTGCTCGATTTGCAAGTTGGTTTTGTACAGCAGGCTCTTTTCCAACCCCTGGCAACACAAGTGTGTGCGGTTGTGTCAGTCTGGTCCCTATGGACGTTGTTAGTGCCAGTCTCCAAAACAAATACCCTGAGGGTGCTTTCAGGCACGAGACAGGCTGACTTTGTGGCTCATTTTGCAAATTTGTGCCTGGTAGGCATGAATAGCCCTCTTCTACATGAATTTGTCTAATCCTCCTTTAGAGCCATCCAGGCTGGTGGCCATCACTGCCTCCTGAGGGAGGGAGTTCCACAGGTTAACAATGCATTGCCCTGAATCCCACAACACTCCACTTCATAGGATGTTCTCAAGTTATAGTGTTATTAGAGAGGAAAGAAGACTTTTCTCGATCCACTTTCACCATGCTTTGCATCATTTTATATACTTCTATCATGTCACCACTTACTTGCTTTTCTCTAGGCAAAAACATCCCAAACGCTACTACCTTTCCTCATAGGAGAGTCGCTCTATCCCCTTAAACATTTGGGTTTCCCTCTACTGAACCTGTTCCACAGCTGTTCCACCCTCCCTGAATTCATGCTGTCAATAAACTATATCCATCACACCCCAATATCTCTTTCTGGATTAGTCAAATCTAGATTAATCATTCTTCTTTTTTTACTCAGTTTACATCTCTTTGCAGCAGCTTTCCTGACTCGTCAGTTGTCCAGTTTGGACAGCTGCTCCCTTGGGAGCTCTCCAGAAGACCCCTTCTTCGGATTTCATCATCGTGAACCGTATGGGGCTGATCCACAAACTTTGGGCACATCCCTTCAGCTCACAGAGACTCAGAGAATTGTAGAGTTGGGAGGGATCTCCCCAAGAGTCATCTAGTCCAGCCCTGCATGCAGGAGTCACAGCTAAAGAATCCCCAGTGCATGGCCATCCAACCTCTCTCTTAAAACCTCCAATGAATAAGTGTCCAACTTCTTCCAAGGGAGTCCATTCCTCTGTAGAACAGCTCTCACTTTCAATTCTGGTCATAAACGTTCAGTCACAACAGTCTGGTTTACTGCTTAGTCCACTCTCCTGTGAATGCTGTATTATCTATTTCCCTTTACCCTCCTTCCAATAACAGAACCTTCTTCCAAACTTTAAGGGAACCTCTGCTCTTGTTCCTTTGCAAAGAAGCATTTTTCAGGAGCTGTTGAGGAGTCACTGTGTCAATATTTTGTAAGCACAAGTATATTGCTTGGGATTCATTCATTCATTTTACTTCATTTCTACCCCACCTTTTCTCCTCAAGCAGCACTGGGTGGTGCGTACCTGGTTCTCTGCCTCCTCATTTAATCTGCACAACAATCTTGTGAGGTAGGTTAGGCTGAGAGAGTGACTGGTGAGCCAGCAAGCATCATGGCTGAGTGGGGATTTGAACGCCGGCCTCCCAGGCCTAGTCCGATACCACACTGGATCTCTATTGGTTTTATTGTATGGGGAGTGTAAGCATCATCCATCCGCCCGCCCCTGCCCCCCATCTGTCTGAGAATAAATCGGTAGGCTTCTGGTGTGAGAGAGTGCATGCAGCACATTAAAGTGAAAAAGGATTTGCTTTCACTTGCTTGCCAGAACAGTAGAATGTGTCTGTCGTATGGAAGTGGGAGAACCCTTTTGAAAAGAGTAACCCTATCAAACAAAGTGGGGCTTACTTCTGAGGAGGCTTACCAAGGATTGGGAATTCTAACCTCAGCCAACCCAGGTGCAAATGGAAGCAGGGCAGTCTTTATTCCAGATTATCGCTAACCCAGAATACTTTTCGTCCTGGTTCTGCCCTGCTAGAATGCAGCCTTTTGCTTTGGCCCACTTCCGGGTCCAAGAATTACTTAACACAGAATTCACCCAGAAACCTTCAGAGATTCTCTCCTGCAAAGGTCAGGCAAAATTTGCAGAGAGTTTCACTTGCAAACAGGCCATGGAAAGAGGGTGTGCATAGAAGATGCTTATTTATAACCAGCCGAGGACACAAGCTGCAATTTCTCGACTCTTTCTCTGTCATTAGGCAGCAGGAGCAGCAGTAAGATCATAGGGATTCCTGCATAGAACAGCAGAGCCTTGATTAGAGGTTTGGCTGATCTGGCCACCAGTTGTACTGAGGGTTGGGAGTAGGGAAGGGAGCAGCAGGTGATGCTGCGGAGCTCACAAAAGCTCCATTGTATGAATGCCTCTGAATCGTAGACTTGTAGAGTCGGAAGGGACTCCCAAGGGGCATCTAGTCCAACCCCTTGCAATGCTGTAATCACAGCTCAAAAATCCCTGACAGATGGCCATCCAACCTCTGCTTAAAACCCTCCAAAGAAGGAGAGTCCACCACCTTCCAAGGTCATCTGTTCCACTGTTGAATGGCTCTTACCAGTGCTTTTTTTCTGGGAGGACACAGGGGTATGCATACCCCTAAACATTTCATGAATCTAAGTTTGGCCCCATTGAGGGGCAGTATTTCAATATGAGTAGGAAAATGAGAGTACCCCTAAACATTTTTTTTAAAGAAAAAAAGCACTGGCTCTTACTATCACAAAGTTCTTCCTAATGTTGAGTCAGAATCTCCTTTCCTGTCATTTGAATCCACTGGTTTGGGTCCCCTGCCTCCGGAGCGGCAGAAAACAAGCTTGCTCCATCTTCCATGCGACAGCTCCTTGGGAATTTGAAGATGGCTGTCAAATCAGCGCTCAGTCTCCCCCAGGCTAAACACACCCAACTCCCTCAACTCATAAGGCTTGGGCAGCTCCAGCGGGCAGGACTAGGAAGCCAATTTCAGCCAAACATTAAACACCAAACATGGTTGTCACCTACTAGTCATTTTGCTCTTTTCTTCTTGTTGCCTCAGGACACTCGGACTTCAGCGGAGTTTGACGTCAGCCACTTGCCGGGTGCCATTTTGGTTCCCCCCGAAGCAGATGCCTTGCTGGAGTTTTTCAAGACACGGCTTGCGCCAGGTATAGCCAACTCCTCATGTGGTGAGATCCTCACAGTCTTGCCAGCAGGACTCTGGCAGGGGTTCTGTGGTGGGACCATCTCATCCATCAGGCGGGAGAACCTGGTTAACTTCTCCACACAAATCATGAAGGCACTAATGCTTCTAAATAAATGATGTAAGATATAATAATATTAATAATTTTTTTATTTATACCCCGACCTCCCTGGCCAGAACCGGGATCAGGGTAGCTAACACCAATAAAATTACAATAAAACATAATAGGAAAGGAAAGGAAAAAAACACTATATAGGATAAATAGTGTATGATATACTTCTTTTCTTCTGTTCTCTCTAAGCTTTTTTTTTTAACTTTATTATGTTCAATTGAAATACTCTCAATAAAAAAATTAAAAGTAAAAAAATGAAATTAAAAATGTATTACGTTTTGGAACAGCAATTTTCAAGATCAATGGCAATCCACGATGCTTCCTTCCAGCCTTCTCGTTTATACACATATTTTGTTATTTATAACTGTCCTGATGTTTTGCAATTCTCTTTTCGCAACAAGACGAAACCAGCCCTTTCTCTCTATGGACGCAGAATGAATGGGTTTGGGGTCTGCAAGGCCTAAGGCTTTATGGCAGAAAGCCATTTCTCCCATATATCTATATCTATATCTATATCTATATCTATATCTATATGGAGAGTCAGCCTGAAGGTGGGCGAAAAGGTGAAAAGTTTAAAGCGTGAAGGAAGTGCACGTGGAATGTTTGAAGGCTTTTAACCAGCAGTGCTGTTTCCCTGTGTTTTTCCTACAAAGCTAGTTTCTTGTGATGTCTAATTAACCAGGTTGTAATAACTCGGTCATCCTGATAAGAGCTGTTAAGTTCTGCTTGTGAGCAGCACACCCATAAATCAGCTCAGAAGAGTGTCAGGATGATGTGGGTTTTCTCCAGTCCAATTATGCAGACTTTTACTCTAATCACTTTCCTCTCACACACATCTCTGTCTCTTCCAGGGCGGGAGGAGGAGGGTCCCAGCAAGCCCATCATTTGCTACTGCACAGTGGGTTATCGGTCGTCCATGGCAGCTGAGCTCCTGGGCAGCTACTTCTCCAGGGAGGCTGGGAAGACCTGCATGGCGTCGCCCAAGATCTACAACGTCTGTGGTGGCCTGGTGGCTTGGGCCGTTGAACGGAGGCAGATGGTGGACAAGCAGGAGAGGCCCACCTCGGTGGTACACCCCTACAGCCCCACCTGGGCCAAGCTGCTCGAGCCTGAATTCAGGGCAGAGATCTGAGGAGCAGCTTGAGCTGAGGCAGGGGGCCTTCCTGGCAAATTATTCCAAAGCAGCAGCAGCAGGTGACTGTCAGAACACACAAGCACCCACCCCATCCTGAAAGTAGCATTTCAAGGACTCTCAGGCGTTGCAAAAGAGACTTGCCAGACAGTTCAAGTCTTGCAGTGTTTGCAACAGAATATTTTGGGAAACAAAGCAGGGGCAAGCCAGTGTGGTGTAGTAGTTAAGAGCGGTAGACTTGTAATCTGGGGAACCGGGTTTGATTCCCCGCTCCTCCACATGCAGCTGCTGGGTGACCTTGGGCTAGTCACACTTCTCTGAAGTCTCTCAGCCCCACTCACTTCACAGAGTGTTTGTTGTGAGGGAGGAAGGGAAAGGAGAATGTAAACTGCTTTGAGGTTTTGCGCAATCAGGCACTGTATAAAGTCTATGAAATAAAGAAATGAAATAAAACGATGGCTTAGATTCCTCAATTACAGAACTCCCTTGGGAAATGAGGGCTGCATGTTTCTACCACACGGGTGCCAAATAGACAGCTTACTTCTTTGTTACGTTTTGGGAGTTACAATGAGACTTATATGCCCTGATTATCCTTAGTGAGGTAGAAAACAGGGACTTTCTGCTATTCTGCTGAAATTTAGTGTTTCAGTAGAAAGTATTGGTGAGCCGATTGAGAGAGATGGTGTTTATCTCATTCCGCTTATACATTCCCTACTTGGAGGCTCCTATTGCAGGATGCCCTGTGCAGGGAATCAGTCAGCAGGTGGGTGTTATGTTGTGCTTGGGGACAGGGAAGGAGAGGGGAAACGGAGCAGGCAAAATACACCAAGTGACTTGAATTGTGAATCTTTTTTTAAAAAGGACAGAAGATATGTAAATAGAGAATACCTAACAATTCCTCTTGAGCATTTTGCTCCTGGAATGTCAATAGATTGGGTAAGCCAAGGAAGTGACGGAGAGTCTGGAATGCTCCAAAACAAAAAACCCCAGACTTTATAATGCTGCAGGAAACTCAGTTTTAAAAAGAGGCTATTAACACTTATAAATATTTCTTGAGGCATGTGGTATTCAGTCACAGGCACCTCTAAAGCTGGGAAATATTTGCATGTCCCCTCATGTATCATTTAAAGAGGATGCAGTTCTTACATATTTCTTAAAGGGATCCTACATGAGGGAAATTCATTGGGATTGATCTATGGCCCAAATAAGGACAAATAGGTGTTTTTAAAACCTGTACAGTATTTGATCTTTTATGAGGCTTTCAACAGGGACTCTTTATATGGGTGGGAATTTGAATTGGGCATTGGACCTGAAAGATGATCTGAAAGGAGATTGAAGTTAAGTGGTTTCTAGCTGTAATGGTATAAAAGAATATGGAAAAATTGGATTTTAAATACGTAAAAACCTAATGCTATAATATATTAAGACTAAAGATCAGGATTAAAAAGAGGGAAAGGAATTGCTGAACTAATAAATTGAACTGGAATACAAAAAAGGGAGGTATGAGGAGGTCCGGGAAACAAGTAAATGAAAGTGAAGTGATGAAAAGATGGAATTGTTTTTAATTGTTCTTTTTCTGTATTTTGTATTTTTCTTTTTTCTATTTTTCTTTTTCTTATTTATGTATTCTTCTTTTGAAACTTTAATAAATATCATTTAAAAAAGAAAAAAAGAAAGATGATCTGAAAGGAAAGTGGTGAGCCCCAGCTACAAAAAATCCATGTACTGTAGTTTAGCAGAACTTTTAGTTTTTACATGGTGATTTTTGGAAAAGTATTTCTCTTTCTGCTGTCAGGATTGCAACACATATATTAGAACTGACTGCTTTGTTCCTCTGATTTGATTGACAATACCAAGCAAACCCCCCCCCTTCCCACAGTCTCTCATGGCTTTCTCCTTCAAAGCCTTAAGGGTGAGAAATTTGCCTTTTAAAGGCAGCAACCTCGGAGTTGCCAAATCTTACCTTTCAGGTAGGGATTTTGCAATGGGTGAGGCAGCCCTCGCTGGTCACTGGAAAAATCCAGCATAAGTCAGCACCATTTTAAAACAAAAAACCAAAACCAAAACCCATGTTTTGTCCCAGAATGCACCTAAATCCAGGCATATGAGATTAAAACAGGGGGAGAAAAACAGATAAATTTGTTCAATCCTGGAGTTCATCTCCATCGCTTTTTGGGATGCCCTTTGCCTGCTTTCAGGGTCCTTTCCCCCTTCCGTAGAGGGATGGAAATATCTGGTGCTGATGACACAGGTGGGGAAAGCTGGAAGTGGGGGAGCAGCAGTGAAGACCCACATTTTTGGCTCAAGAGAGCAGCCTCAGCTGGCAGAGACTGACCTACTTCTTACGTTCAGCAACAAATACTTCAAGTCCTTCCCTAGCATGGAAAGGCCTGGAGCCCCCTGGCCGCCTCTGCCCATCCCAGGAGAAAGAAGCTTTGCAAGCCCCCCTGCTTAAATTAACTCATAAAGTATATTGTTCCACAGCACCCCATTCTCCAAACAGGGAGAGATTCCAGGGGTTCCAGGCTCATACCCAGCGTTTGGTTACCTTGGAAGGAAGGTCAGCAGAGACTGTGGTGTGTTTGGGATTTATGGCTTTATTTACACATATATACAACCTGAGCATAAGATGGAGGGGCTCCCAGCATCAAACACCCCAGCAGATCTTTCTTCTCTACAAGTCGTAACTTGGGTCCAGTACAGAACAAGCAGGTCTGTGTGTCTCCGGCTTCTAGCCTGGCTCCAGTTCAACTCACCCACATTACTCTGGTTCTTGTTTGCCTACCTAGCAGCCAGGTGAGGCAGGTGGAGGAAAGGTCCACCCATTAGCCTGGAGGGCACCAACACAGTGGTAGCTCTTGCAACCCAGCTCAGTCTTTGGGCATACAGATGAGGACACTTAAGTTGCCAAATAAGGTCACTTGCTGTCTTACCAATAAACTTGTGTGACTAGTTCAACAACAGCATCCTTTACTAGATTGCAACCATCATTGGGCACAGGACCCCCAAGTATTGGAAGAGACTCAGGGCATCATCCAGACGAACCCCTCCCAAAACCTAAAACAATATACAGTGGGGAAGATCAATGCACCCAAGGTTTGCAATCCAAACAGAAGCAGAGAACTCAGGGCAGGAGGCTTCATTTTGAGGTTTCATAGCAACACAAACGGAGCTTCTTCTCTCTCCCTCTTCCCCTCTCTCTGTAGCCTCCTAGTTCATCATTCTGGCAGCTTCCCACCACTCCAGCACTAAGGACGGAGGACTGGACCTTAATTGTCCTGCTCTCAATCCCTCTTTGGCAGCGACCGAAACAGTGAGCGCTAAGTTCCTTTGAGTTAGTTTGGTTAATTGAGGGCTTATCCACACTTAGCTTTCCTCCACTATTTCCAGGCATGGACCCCACGCTTTAAAGCTCCATGTCTGAGCACCCTTTTTCCTCTCCAGAGATTTCCCTGTGAAAACCCACTCTTTAAAGCTCAATCGGAGCAATTGAGAATAGCTCAGTTGGTTAGAGTGCGGTGCTGATAATGCCAAGGTTGCAGGTTCGATCCCCATATGGGACAGCTGCATATTCCTGCCTTGCAGGGAATTGGAGTAGATGATTTTCAGGGCCTCTTCCAACTCTACAATTCTATGATTCTGTGAAATGGGAAAGCTGGATTGACATTTGCTCCGATTGAGCACTAAAGAGTGGGTTTTCGTGGGGAAAGTTCTGGGGCAAAAAATAAAACAGAGCTTTTAAACATGGACCTACGCCTGGAAAGAGCAGAGCAAAAGCTAAGAATCCCAGAAAAGACACAGATCAAGTGCCGGATCGAATTACAGATCTTCCACAATACTGGAACTCAAACCTCACTGCCCACTGAAACATCTTTTGGGAATACCATCTTCTGAGAGCCAGTGTGGTGTAGTGGTTAGAGTGTCTGACTAGGACCTAGGAGACAAGGGTTCAAATCCCCACCTCGGTCATGAAGCTCACTGGGTGTAACCTTGGGCCAGTTGCTCTCTCTCTGCCTAACCTACCTCACAGGGTTGTTGTAGGGATTAATAAGGAGGGAGAGAACCATGTATGCTACCCTGAGCAACTTGGAGAAAAAGTTGGGATAGAAATAAAAATAGTAAATAAAATAAATTCTGCAGTTCCAACAAGAAGCAGACAGATAAGCACCCCTACCCCAGAGAGGTAACACCATGAACAATAACAATACAAATAATATTTAGTCTTTATCAAGCATCTCAGACACTAGACACCACACAAGAGTTATGTCAGAAAAACCCCACCCGCCCTGCAGGCTCAAGCAAAAGTCCCACCCCACCCCCCATTTTCACAGGGAGTAAGGAGACGTAAGGAAGGAAGGAAGATGTGGATCCATGGCAACGTCACGAAGGCCCCTGCAGACCCCCTGCCAGACGCCCTTTGCCCTCGATCCTCAATGGCCCCAGTCCCTCTCCTCCTGATCATCCCCATTAAGACTGCAAACTCTCTAGAGCAAGATTCAGTCACTTGGTGCTTAGTGTAGTAGTAGGAGCCAGTGTGGTGTAGTGGTTAAGAGCGGTGGACTCGTAATCTGGTGAACCGGGTTCGCTTCCCCGCTCCTCCACATGCACCTGCTGGGTGACCTTGGGCTAGTCACACTTCTCTGAAGTCTCTCAGCCCCACTCCCCTCACAGAGTGTTTGTTGTGGGGGAGGAAGGGAAAGGAGAATGTTAGCCTCTTTGAGACTCCTTCGGGTAGTGATAAAGCGGGATATCAAATCCAAACTCTTCTTCTTCTTCTTCTTCTCCTACTACAGTATAGCATCACCAGGCCTGAGGGGGAACCCGTGTGTGACCCCTTCAGATGTTGTTTGCAGGGCAGTGCACACACACACACACACACACACACACACACACCTCAGCCCAGACGATTGGTCCTGCTGGCTGCTGAGGCTGATGGGAGTTGGCAGCCTGACAACGGTATCTGGAGGAGCACAGAGGTCCTTTCTGATTTGTGGGTGTTTGTTTGTTGCATTTACACCCCACCTTTCCTCCAAGGAGCTCAAGGTGGCAACACAGATTTTCCCTGCCCTGTTTTATCCTCACAACATCCCTGCAAGGAAGGTTGGGCTGAGAGGCAGTGGGTGGCCCAAGGTCAGCTGAGTGGGGGATTTGAACCCTGGTCTCTCCTAGGTCTTAGTCCGACACCCTAACTGCTGTATGCACCACTGACTCTCTTGCATTCCAAGGCATCGGGGTGAATTAACAAGCAGTTTATTTAAAATTTACAAAACACAAGTGGTGCTTTATTAATATTTTAAGGCAATTAAATAACAACATTAAATATATTAGGGCTACCTGTATTAGAATCTGGCTGTTCTGCCTTTCCTCCCACCCCACCCCTCTTCCCTGCCCACGTCCATCCCAGTGGCCACTCCACCTTCCCGGCTTAGAGCCTGCAAAGGGGTCATTTCCACAAGGCACTCTAAGGCAAGAGGGCCAACTTGAATAAAATATGGGTGGGGAGGAGGTAAGCCCCGCCCTTCATAATCGATCACATGGCATGGTGAACACACACCATTTGAATGGCAATGCCCATCAACTTTGGGGGTCCCTGCCCCCTCAGATATTTTATTGGGGGAGGGTGAAGGGACCTCAGCCCCTAGGAGTTGGCTCCTATGTTTCAAGGTCCCATCTGGGGAAGCTCTGGGCCTTTGCTCAGTGGCACAATATCGGCCTTGCATGCAGAAGGTTCTAGGTTCAAACTCCTGCAGCGTCTCCAGGTAAGGATGGGAGAGATCCTTGCCTAGAACCCTGGTGAGCCGCTGCTGCCAACCAGTGTCGACAATACTGAGCTAGATGGGCCAATGGTTTGGCTCTGTATAAGGCAGCTTCCTATGTGCTTTGTGTCCACCTGAGTGGGGCCTCCTGCCCAGCTGGACTCTGGGTCAAGTATTTGTTCCATGTGTCTCTTTCTTTTTTCAATGGTTAACCTGCAGGCAGGAGGGAGGGAGGGAGGAAGGAGGCAGATCCTGGTTCCCATGGCCTGTGGGAGTCCCTAGGCTCTCCCTCAGCGGCTGTGAGTCTTGCCAAGCCTCTGACCTCCCCACTCCCTCAGTCAAAGGAGAATGTTTTACTTGCAACTCCTGCGTTGCAGGGGAGCTGGGCTAAATGACCTTTGGGGATCCCTTCCGACTCCACAATTCTATGATTCTATGAAAAGTGGCAGCAGCAGCAGCAGCAACTTCTTCCTTGTCCTATTTTACGGTCCTTTTCTTCTCTTAAAAACAAATGACCCGTATTCCATTTGGACGGCTGGTCCCAGGAGAAGACGCCCCTCCCGCGGGGGTCCCTCGTCCTCCTCAGGGTCCCTTCAGGAAGCAGCAGAGGCAGCAGTTGAGGCAGGTTTCAAACAGTCTCTAGCCTCAACCCAAAACACACCCGTGGACTCCAAAGGGCCAGCGCTGGAGGGAAAGTTCCAGGGCCCAGGCGGCTGAGGAGGTGAGGAAGCCCACGTGCCAAGGTCCTCTTTGGCTGACCCGGCCCTCACTTCCCGGTGGCGTTGGCCCACGAAGGGAAGGTGTCCAAGTGGAACATGGCGCGGCCCCAGCTGTTTATGGCCAGGGTGATGCAGAAGACACCGATGACGTTCATTACGATGCCCGTCTTGGCCTGGGAGGGAGAGAAGAGAAGAGAAGGAGGAGGCAGGTGTCTCATGGGTCAAGCAAGACTTTTGTGGGAGGGAGGCAAGGAGGAGACGCTGCCATCAGAGCATGACCTGTCCTGGTCAGGAGGGAACCACCCCTTACCCAGAGAGATCTCCTTGTCCAGGAACACAGTGTGCAAACTGTGTGCTCTCCCCACTTCATGTGGCCCGGATGTTTTGAAGAACTCAGTGAACAGTTAGGAAAGAGGCCCCTAAGAGCCTAAGATGAGCCCACCGGATGAGGCCAATGGCCCTTCTGGTTCCATAAGTATTGCTGCCTCTGACCAGGGAGGCAGAACATAGCAATCATGGTTGGTAACCATCAAGAGCCCTCTCCTCCTCCATGAACCTGCCCAATCCTCTTTCCAAACCGTCCAATCTGGTGGCCATCACTGCCTCTTGAGGGAACGAGTTCCATAAGAAGAACCTTCTGGACCAGGCCAATGGCCCACCTAGGCCAGCATCTTGTTCTCACAGTGGCCAACCAGACAGGAAGTCCACAAACGGGACCTGAGGGCAAGAGCTGTCTCCCCTCCTGCAGTTTCCAGCAACTGGTATTCAGAAGCTCTGAGCAAAACCATCATGGCTGGTACCCTTTAGAGCAGAGTGTCCCAAACTTGGGTCTCCAGCTGTTGTTGGACTACAACCCCCATCATCCCTAGCTAGCAGGACCAGTGGTAAGGGTGATGGGTATTGTACAGTGGTGCCTCGCAAGACGAAATTAATCCGTTCCGCGAGTCTCTTCGTCTTGCAGTTTTTTCGTCTTGCGAAGCACGGCTATTAGCGGCTTAGCGGCTTAGCGGCTATTAACAGCTTAGCGGCTTTAAGAAAAAGGAAACAAACTCGCAAGAACTCGCAAGACGTTTCGTCTTGCGAAGCAAGCCCATAGGGAAATTCGTCTTGCAGAACGACTCAAAAAACTGAAAACTCTTTCGTCTAGCGAGTTTTTCGTCTTGCGAGGCATTCGTCTTGCGGGGCACCACTGTAGTCCAAAAACAGTTGGATCAGTCAATGCACTCAGTTGTGTCATCTTGGTCAGGCCCACTGGGATTCCTCCATGCCGGCCACAAGACAGCCAAGCCCTTCTTGCCTGCTCAGCCTTAAGCTGAGCCCCACAGCAGCTGTTTTAAGATTCGTCACAATCGACAGGTGACATTAGCGTCCCTTAAAGCAGCCTTTCCCAACCCAAATGTTTTGGGCTACAGTTCCTATCAACCCCTGTGGGCAAGTATTATTTATTCTAATATGGTGTGCTGGCTGCAAAGGCTGATGGGAGTTGTAGTCCAAAACATATAGAGAAGTGGTTTCCTAACCTTTTTTGGGGGGGAGGGACATCACCCACTTGGTTCCATTGAAACTTTTCCATGGAAAAGATGGTGGCGCGTTAATACGCTGCGGCTTTGAGCTCTCAATACTTCACATTTAAGACTAAGAGAGCTGAGTGGGAGGTACTCGTGCAATCTCACTGTATACAAATTGTACAAGTGACAATAAAGTATAAAGTATAAACACCTCCCCAGTGCCCCCTACCCTACAGAAAGCATTATTCAGAATAACGGTTTGTGTAACCCACTAAGGAAGATAATAAATTCAAAACAGTAGCAATCAATTGTACAAATGCCCTAGATATTTCCTTTCCTTGCACACACACACACACACAAAAAGAAATCTGGGAGACTAAGCCAAGCAGCGGAGATGACCGCAGGGGGTTGGACTAGATGGCCCTTGGAGGTCCCTTCTAACTCTACAATTCCATGATTTGTTCAAAATCAAATGAAAACTTCCCCCCCAGGGAACCCCCGTCACCCAGGGGAGTGGTACCTCCCACTTTGAGAACCACTGATCTAGAGGTTTGACTTCTTAGCAGCACCCACAGAGAGCAGCCTTTGGGGAGGCTGGGGGAGGCCTGAGCAAAAGCAAAGCTGCCCCCTTACCATGTCTGAGACGCGGAGGTGTCCGTAGGAGAATACTATGGCATTGGGAGGGGTGGCCACGGGTAGCATGAAGGCAAACGAGGCGCTGAGGGTGCAGGGAATCATGATGTAGAGGGGGTTGACCTCGATGGACTGCGACTGGAGAGAAAGAGAGCAGAGAATCATGGAGCTGGAAGGGACCCCGGCGTCATCTCGTCAAAACTGCCCTCAGTGCAGGAGTCACAACTAAATCACCCCTGACAGGTGGTCCTTCAACCTCTGCTTGAAAACCTCCCAAGAAGGAAAACCCACCAACTCCTGAGAGAGTCCTTTCCACCATCAAACAGCTCTTTGCATCAGAAAGTCATTCCTAGAGTTTAGTCGGAATCTCCTTTCGAGTCATTTGAATCCGTTGGATTGGGTCCTCCCCTCTGGAGCAGCAGAAAACAGGTCTGCTCCATCCTCCAGGTGATATTTGAAGATGGCTCTCCTATCTCCTCTTTTCCAGGCTTTCTAATCAAATTTGCCGGACAAACAACTGTATGCTTGCGGGGCAGAGACCTAAATGTGAACCTTGCTGGAACCCTGGCTGGCCATCAGTGTGCGGGAGGCCGGAAGCCTCCATTCCGCCTTGGTTTCCCTTGTTTTAATCCTTACAAGCCGGGTTGAGGGTTGTCAACGAGGAATAAAAATCAGTAAGGAGGAAAGCTCCCTTACCAAGGAGGCGAAGACTGGCAGGAAGAGGGTTGCGGTGGCCACGTTGCTGGTGCATTCGGTGAAGATGGCGATGACTAGGGAGAGGATGATGGCGATGGCCCAGGGGGGGATGCTGTGCAGAGGGGTCATCTGGTCACCCAGCCATTTGGAAAGCCCTGAAGCCTGGAGTTGTGGGGCAGGAGCAGAGAAAGAGAATATTGTCCGGTGCTGAAGTCAAGCGTTGGTCAGCGATCAAAACAAAACATGGTGTCAGTGAAGTTACGGTAACTTTGTATTCAAGAAACCAAAGCAGATCCCAGTAGCTCTTCCCAGTAGGTCCTGCTCCAGCAAGGGAGTTGTGAGAGCTGAAGGCCCCTGCCTCCCACCACCTTCTAAGTCTCCTCCTCTCCCTGACTTCCCAAGTAGTCTTAGACTGCGCCTGCACACAACCAATCTCTGCTCTGCTCTTTTCATGTCTCCGTGTGTTCTAGGAGACCAGTGGGGAGGGGAGCTGGTCGCAGCAGGAGGGGGAGACTCCCTGGCTTCTTCAGCAGCTTGATTCATCTCTGCCTCTTGGCCCTCCTCCTCTCCAGCCTCCTCTTCTGCCTCTGAGTCCGGACTGCTCTCTGCCACAGCCTCTTCCTGCTCACCAAACCCTGTTGCCTCTTCTGCTTCCAACACCTCCTCCTCCCAGTCTGCTTCCTCTTCTCCCTCTGACGCTCCTCGGCATCCCAACACCATCTGTTCCTTCTTCCCCTAGGGGTTCCCTTAGAGGTTTCCCAGCTGGAGCCTCCCACCACTCCCCTGTATCCAGCCAGTCCATGACAATATTGGGGGGGCGGAGACCACCGCTGTGATCTCTGACAATCTATTGTATTTGCCCAACCACTGAGGGAGGGGGTGTCCTTAACCCTTTGGGGCCCATGTAGGGCTTTGCAAAACCCACAAAATGCGTAAGACTCCTGCTGGATCAGGCCAGTGGCCCATCTAGCCCAGTATTCTGTTCTCACAGTGCCCAACCAGATACCAGTTATGGGAAACCAGCAAGCAGGACCCAAGCAGATAAGCACTCTCCAGTTGTTGTTCCCCATGATGTGGCATTCAGAGGTAGACTATCCCTGGGCATGGAGGTTCTGCTCTCACAACAAACCTCCATAAGAAAAGCCCTGCTGAGTTAGGCTAGTGGCCCATTTGGTCCAGCATCCTGTTCTCACAGGGGGCAATCAGGTGCCTTAAAAGGAAGCCCACAATAAAGATTTGAACACAAGAGCAAATCTCTTCTCTCCTGCAGCTTCCAGCAACTGCAATTCAGAAGCATTTCCTGTCTTCAGACAGCTCCGGCAATGCACAGAGGAGCCTCATCCCAGGGGAGGGATCCATGCGGGTCTCCTCTTGAGCTAGAGAGTGTCTTACCGAATTGGGGCCCCTCCCCACATTAGAAATGGGGGTCCAGTTCCCGATTCCCCCTTCATTTGCAAGGAATCGTACAAAATCAAGTGGCGCTAATAAATAAAAGTTCCAGGGTGGCAACAGAAAGCAAACTAAAAATGCTTTTGCAGTTCATCAAAATCCAGCAATATCAAGTTATAGGAAAACTGGTGCTATTAACAGTAAATCCTTCTAGTTGGTTAATTGGTTCGGCAACTTCCATGCACATGACGTGTGATGCTAATTATTTCCCCCAAGAGTTAAATGCTAACTAATCAGAGGCAGCTACAGGAGAGCTATGAGATTCAGGTGAGGGGCAGATGCCTTGTCAATCCCAGCAGGTATATAAGAGGATGACCTGGCCTGCCCAGGCCTCTGGCTGGCCAGTTATTTGGTTCTAAGGATTAGAGCAGGAACCAGCTTAGCAGGGCCAAGTCCTGCACGCTGCTGTTCTGCTGCTGCTGAAGAGGCCTCTTTTCCAATGCATGGATGAGGCCAGCAGGTTGGGCAGCGCACAGCACCCTCTTTGTCTGAGCCCGGCAGGGCTTGGCTCAGGCCAAGTTCTTCTGGGGAGGACAAGGGAGGCTTGTTCCGGACGGGCTGCTGAATGCCTGGCGGGGTGGAGGTTTTTTTGCATTTAAACCTATCATTTGGAGTGGTGCTCAATATGACCAGGGAGAGAATCTGCAGCCATTTCCGAGCAAGTTGAAACTAGGTCAAGTCCTCCCTTCTCCTGGGGACACTAGAATGCAGCTGGCAGTGGCAGGAGGGGGCTCTGGTGCCAAGTGGCATCGTGGAGGGTACATTCCCCCCATCACCCCAAAGCCAGGAAAACGACAACATCACGGGAAACGCTTCCAAGAGCCCTGGATGAAACGGGGAAGGACAGGCCTGCAACCTACTGCACCATTCTCTGCCATGGGGCACAGCCTGCCCCACCAGCGCTGCGGTTCGCTTGGCGCAATTGACGGTGGCCTCCGAGCTGGAGAACAGCCAGCCCTGGCATGCTCCTAGTGTTGCCAGGGAGACTGGGGATCGGCTACTGCAGTGGGGCTCAGGCTCAGCTCAGGCAGAGGCCCCTCAAATTCCCCACTCCCCATGGCTTAAGCACACAGGAGGAGGCCTCACTACAGCCACCTTAGAGCTGTAGTGGTTAGAGCATTGGACTAGGACCTGGGAGAGCCCTGGGTTCAAATCCCCTCCGCTCGGCCGTGGAGTTCACTGGGTGAGCTGCCCCTTAGCCTAGCCTACCTCTTGCGGGGATTAAATGAGGACAGGGAGATAAGTAAATCGTTTGGAAGGATTTCCCTTTCCCTTCCTGCTCAAGCTTTTGAACGGAATACGTTTTCCAAAAATGAGAGAGGCCACACGCAAGACTTGCCTGGAGGTTCATAGGCCCTGCTCCCTCCCATAATTCCTGACATTACAGGAGCTCACATACTAGGAAAGGGCAGTGCACTCTGTGTGTGACTAGAGGCACCCTTTAGCTGTCCCACAGCCTTTATTTACACGCAGAGAGACATATTCTGTGGGAGCCACACATGAAACGCATGCCTCCAAAGTTGGGTGGCAAAGGTCCAGGTTTGGCAGAGCTCTCTGATGCCCACGACCAGCCAGCCCCCTCTCCTGCCACCACCAAGGACTTACGTCGCTCCCATTGGCCAGGGCGAAGCCTCCTCCGAGAAGCAGCACGATGCTCCATGGCATCTTATGCTGGACCACCTTCCAGTTCAGCAATGGGGCAGGGAAGAAGGGCTCCTTCATAGCTGCGGAGAGAGTCCAAGAGAAGTTGGGTGTGAGGGGGGAGGCAAAGCAGGGGCCAGTGAGGACACCCACCCACCTACCACGCAGCTGGCACCAGCAGGAGGCTGCCAGCAGGCTGGATGCCATGGCAAGGGTCACACAGAATAACTTTATAGGGTAGGAGCTGTTGAATAGGGGAAGAAGGTAGCTGACTCTACTCCCTGGGAGGTTTTTAAGCAGAAGTTGAATGGCCACCTGCCAGGGATTCCTGCGTTGCAGGGGGTTGGACTGGATGACCTTTGGGGGTCCCTTCCAACCCTACAATGCTATGAAATACTGGCAGAACCCAGCACGCCCCTCCTGGACTGTCTCTTTTGACCAGCCTCCTCAAAGGCCCTGCGGGGGTCTCCGCCTTCCTTTACCTTCCTCCGCCTCTTCTAGGTCGCAGCTGCTATGACTGCAGAAGCCACACCTGGGCCTGGTGGCAGGAAGGATGAACAGGAGAAAGGCCACGAAGATGGCCACAGTGGCATCCGTCACATACCTGGGACACGTTTGGGAAGATGAAGAATGAGGAGGTGGCAGCAGTGTCCCATTCCCCTTGCTCAGTCCCAAAAGCAACAGGTCAGCCAGTTGAATGCCTCAAACCTCCAGCCAGCAGCACACACACACACACCCCCCACACACCCCGGAGGGAACATGAGCTCCCAGGAGAAATATGAACACCCTCCTTGCTGCATCCCTCTCTGGGCCTCTCCCAGGAGTCCTTTCAAAAAGGATATTGCAGAGTTGGAAAAGGGCAACCCAAAGGATCAAAGGGATGGAGCAACTCCCTTATAAAGAACAGTTGGGACTTTTTAGTTTAGAGATAAAGCGAGTAAGAGGCAACATGATAGCAGTTTGTGAAATTATGCATGGCACAGAAAAAGGTTTTGATGGAACCTCCAGGTGCAGGTGCAGCCTATCTCAATCCCTAGGCTTTTAGGGGTACCTGGCCACTGTGAGGGACCATTGGCCTAATCCAACAGGGCTCTTCTTGGGTTCCTCCAAGGTGCTCAGATTCTCCCATTTAACCTCCCAAATTTCCTGCACAAGCAAGATTTCTTCCAGGCTGCTCCCAGAGTCTCCCAGCCAAGCAGGGATTCGAACCTGGAACAGGCTGGCACAAGGAGAAGGAGACTCTTCGCTGCAAGCAATCCTGAGTGCCCTAAGCCTGGTGCTATCGGGGAACCCCCCCCAAATACAAAACACCACACAGATAGCATCACTGGTCTGCAAAATGGCTAGCAAGAGGAAGAACAAAGCCCACGCACTCCTTGTCCTTGTTGAAGAGGGTGGTGGCCCAACCGGGGATGAATCCAGGGTCCCTGGTGAACCAGAGGAGGATGAGGAGGGTGAACGCCAGCAGCACGTTGAACTCTGCAAAGGAGATGGGCCCCAGTTTCCGGTGCTCCTCTTTCAGCACCCGCAAGGCGGCCTGCTCCTTTTCCGTCCTCTGGGTCCCACAGCCCCAGGTCTTCCGGAAGCTGGAGAGAAAGAGCAGGGTGGTCAAGGCAGGGGGCCAGGTAGACTGCCAGGTAACCACTCTAGCAGGCTGACCTTTTGGGTTGCAACCTGGGGGACTCAGCAAGGAGGGAGGGAGGGGAGGAGAGGGTCCCACAGCTGGGCACCAGGCGCAACTTGGGAACACGGCACATTTGTGTTTGCTGTCTGTGGCGGGCTGGCTGTGAGCTCAACAGGACACCCAGAGGGGGAGAAAGATCTGAATGCAGAAACACCAGGAACAGGCATTCACGAGAGGTGCTGGAGGCTCCCGGAGAGAGCCAAGCTGGGCTGGCGCAAGTCGTGGTCAAAGCAAAGCCGCAGGTGGCGGGGCAGAGCAGCCACGATCAGGGAAATGTACTTGTTTCTCCAATGAGCTCTAGGCGGCTTACATGGCTCTTCCCTGCCACTCTCACAACACCCTTGCAAGGTAGGTTAAACTGAGAGACAGTGACTGGCCCACAGTGAGCTTCATGGCCAAGTGGGGGGGCGGATTTGAACCCTAGTCTCTCCCACCTTAGTTGGCCCTCTAACCTCTACACCACTACTGGCCCTTCAGAGAGGCGCAATGGGGAAAGCGCATTGATGGGAGTGTGTTTTTATGTTTACGCAATGAGGCCCCTTTAGGGTGAAAAGCAGCTGAAGGCTTTTAGCCACTATGGCTAATAGCCTTCAATTTCCCTCTCCTCCATGAATTTACGAGTTGCAGGAAACCACCAGTGGGGAGAGGATTCATGTGCTCAGGTTCTTTCTGCCAGTTTCCCATTGGGGCATCTGGTTGGCCACAGGATGCTGGACAAGATGGGTCATAGGCCTGATCCAGCAGGGCTCTTCTGATGGTCTTCTGTTTGCTGGATTCCCAGCAAGGCCCAGAAGCAGCCAGCCAGGCCAGAGGTCAGGGACAAGGAGTCCAGGAAGATCTGGATGGCTGAGGGCTGCCACAGGTGCCCCAGCCCCGGACAAAGCAGGGCCACCTTATCCACCAGCCCACCCAAAGGTGCAGAGTCCTTACTTGAAGCCCATGAAGGAGACCTGGAGCCAGAACCAAGCGAGCGTCAGCATCAGGAGCATGTTCGGGAAGGCAAAGCCAAACCAGGAGGCAAAGTTCAAGATGTCGCCGTTCTCAGGGAACAACCTGGGAGGAGGAGGGGGAGGAGGAAATGGTTGAAAAGCCTAGAATCACAGAATAGTAGAAGTGTAGAGCAGAAGGGGTTCCCCCAAGGGCCATCTAGTCTGACCCCCTGCCCAGCAAGGCAGGAATCACAACTAAAGGATGCCTGACAGATCCAACCTCTCTTTCAAAACTTCCATTGAAGGAGAGGCCACTAGCTTCCAAGGAGCCTGATCCAGTTGCTATCCTCAGAAAGTTCTTCCTAATTTTGAGTTGGAATCTCCTTTTTTGTCACTTGAATTTGTTGTTTTGGATCCTCCCCTCTGGAGCAGCAGAAAACAAGCCTGCTCCATCTGTGTGGCTCTGAATGGTAGAACATGAAACTCTGGATCCTAGGGTCGTTGGTTCGAGCCCCACGTTGGGTGAAATATTCCTGCATTGCAGCGGGTTGGACTAGAAGACTCTTAGGCCCCTTCCAACTATGATTCAAAGAACTCTATGAATCCAAGTGGCAGCCCTTCAGATATCTGAAGACGGCTCTCATATCCCCGCTCAGTCTCCTCTTCTCCAGGATAAACAATTCCAGCTCCCTCCACCTTTCCTTGTAAGGTTTAGTTTCCAGACCCTGGATCATTCTGGCTGCCCTCCCTACACACCTTCCAGCTTGCCAATATCCTTCTTAGGACTCAGCTACACGAGCAAAGAAAAAGTGTTTTATATGCGTTATAACACCGTGTCACTAGATGGCGCTGCGGAGCCTCGCCTTTTGCCAACACGATTTCCCATTGTGCAGTTTACAACGCGTTTCCCTAAAATGATTTCTTGATGTGTCTAGATCCAGCCTTTAACCTGGACACAAAAATCCTGGTGGTGTCTGACCAAGGAAGAATAGACCGATAGGGAGAGCAATGTGGAGGTCATCAGGAACAGGGTGGGGGAGGGCTGTTCCGGGAGAACCCCAGCTTGGATTGTTTAGGAGTAACACAACAAGTGACCAAGAGGGCTGAACGAAACACAGGCCCCCTTTCAGCCCAATGACCCCAAGAAGAGAAAAAACCACGCCACACCGTTTTGGTTTCAATAAAAGAGCCACACAGCAGAGTCCAGCCTTTGCTGAGTGTCATCTTGTGGGTGCGGCAGAAACTTACTGGTTCATCTGACCTTTGAGGACCAGGTTTGGCCCCGTCCCAGTCAGGGTTGCTGTCCCTCCGATGCTGGCAGCATAGCAGACACAGAGGGTCATCCCTTTGTTGATCCTCTTCTTGGTCTCCCTCTCGCCCTTCTTGGAGCTGTCTGGCAAGTGCCCGTTGCCCGCAACTAATAATAATAATAATAATAATAATTTATACCCTGCCCTCACCAGCCAAGACCGGGCTCAGGGCGGCTAACACCAGATATAAAAACAATTGATTGAAATACAACTTAAAAAACAAGATTAAAATACAACATTAAAATGCAGCCTCACTGGAAGGAGACAAAGCTGATTTGGCCTTTGATTGCAATGCAACACCAGGTGGGTGGGAGAAAGAGACCAGAGTGAGCCCTCAAGGTGCAAGTGGTGCGCTGTACTGGCTCAGGAGAGACCCACCTGGTTCAGCATAAGAACATATGGAGAGCCCTGCTGCATCAGACCCAAGGAGGCCCATCTAGTCCAGCAACCTGTTCTCACAATGGCCAACCAGTTGCCCCTATTGGGATTCAAGCCCTCTCTTTTCCTGTGGCTTTCAGCAATTGGCATTCACAAGCATTGCCGTCTCCAACTGCAGAGGCAGAGCACAGCCACTAGGGCTTTTAACAGCCTCCAGACAGCAGCTAACCAGCTGCCCAGCTGCCTCTGGAAGAGAAAACTACAGAGAGTTACTGTTAATTGTGTGGTTCACATTAGGGGCATGAAAAAAAATAAAAATCCTTGGGGCTGATTATTATTATTTTATTTTATTTTGCACTTGGAGGGGAAGGTTTAACCCTTCCCTTCTGCAGCCATGAACCTGATGAAAATCAAGATACAGAGGCAGTAAAGTCTGCTAACGTAAGGGTCCCTGCTGGCACTCTGAGAAGCTTTTTCCTATCGCCGATTGCTGCATGGGAGGAGCTGACTCTCTTATTGAGATTGTGGCTGGGGAAGAAAGGGCTAAGCCTCTCCTTGCAATATGGAGCAGCACTTGGGAGTGTTGGACTAGGAGGACCTGGGAGGACAGAGTTCGAATCCTTACTCAGCCACACAAAGCTCACTGGGTGACTTTGTGGGGCTAGTCTCTTCCTCTCAGCCTAATCTACCCCAGAGGGCAAAATGAGCTGTGTATTTCTCGGAAGAAGTCTGGCATATGCATTTTATTATTTATTTATTTCATAAAAAGTATGCTATACCGCTTGATTGCAGTTGTTGTTGTTTTTTAAGCCTCAAAGCAGTTTACAAAAATGATAAAAACAATAAAAATTATCAGCAAGATAACCATTCAAAGCTTTCAAAAACCACAGGCTGAAAACAGATTAAAACTTGCATTGGCTTTCTAAAATTTATTAAAACTGTTATCAGTAGTATTCTGTAAATCAGCTCCTCCTATGCTAAGGATTGCATTTTTTTTATTAAAAAAAATCTCTTGACATGGGTGCAGAATGTGGAGTTAGGTCCCTGGTCATGAGGAGGGATGTGAACATGGAAGTCTACTCCTTTTACCTGCCTGCAGTATCTGGTATTGACACGGAGGCCCTTTCAGCTGTCATGGCGAATAGATTTGTCTACTCCTTTTTTAAATAATAAAAAAACCAGATGAAAACTAGTAGCTGCCCCTATGCATCACAAGACTGCTAGCTGTTTCATGTACAGGTAGCCTCTCCTTCCATCCTTGGCCTCTCCAGGTAGCTCCCACTTGTCCTCTTTAAAGAGTGCTCATCCTGATTTCTTTGCAGAGAGATTAGACAATGTTGGCTGCTGAGCTGAGCCTTCACTCCGATTTGTTGACGGAGGAGACGGTTGCATCAAAGCAAACTTTCCGGGCCATTTTCCCATCACTTCCCTTATTGCAGGAAAAACCTCCTTCTTCAGGGGATGCAGGTTTGTGGCACAAGAGCTGCCAATCAGTTGGAATTGCACAACCTGCAATTTGCCGGTTATTATGGGATTGAATTCCGGCGGGAAATGGGGGCAGTTCAGAAGTGCCTGTCGTTTTTAGAATTCATGGGAATGCTTTTAACCATGCTTAGAACTCGCAGACATGGCTTTTGCTCTTTTTAGAATTGTCGGGCTGTAGGCAGTGTTTGCCCTACTCAGCAGACCCACTGAAACTGATAGACATGGCTAAATAATGCTAATTTCTGATGCATGCGGGAGAGGGCTATCAATGGCAATTAGCAGCTGTCTGGAGGCTGCTATGAGCCATAGTGACTGTGCTCTGGCATCCACAGTTGGAGGCAGCAATGCTTCTGAATACCAGCTGCTGGAAATGGCGGGAGGGGGGAAGTGCTCTTGTGCTCAGGTCCTGCTTGCAGGTTTTTCATAATGGACATCTGGTTCCCCCCTGTGAGAACAGGATGCTGGACAAGATGGGCCACTGGTCTGATCCAGCAGGATCTTCTGATCTTCATACTTTCAAGAGGTCTGCTCTTTTGAGTTGGAGTCAATTCTGGATTTCAATTCAGTTTAGTCTTCTGCACTCCTCTGATGGCCTTAGACCATGCGACGGTTAATAAACATGTGAAATAAATGATTTTTAAAAATCTAATGCTGAGAATTCCACATGAATGTCAGGGGCTGGACTGAGGAGGAATGGTGGGAACAGTCCTCCCCTTTTCCTACACCTTCCAGAAAAGAGGAGGACAGTGTAGATTTAAAACAGTGGTTTGCAGAAGGTCATAGTTCAGAGGCTGCAGAGGGGAGGAGCTGGGAAATATTGGGGGGGGGCAGCAGGAAGAAGAAACACCAGGGGAGAGACAGCTAACAGACTCAGTGTCTCTTGAAAGCATTCCTGACCCCCCATCTCCCAGAACAAGGCATGCCTTGAGAGTAATAGAACAGAAAACTCAGAGGCAGAAAATACAGATCAGCTGGAGCTGGGGTGACGTAGAATAGGAGGGACTGAGGGAGTGGGACTTTACTGGGAGCAACGCCATTAACTAAGAGAGACCGCGTTCCTTCGTCTCTCTCTGTGAATATTGAATAAACTACATGGTAAGAACTCTTCTTGTTTTTCCACTTCTTGGCATCCCACCGTGAGACGGATAGGATTCCCTGAAGCCTTGACAATGAGGTTGAGAAATTTTATTTATTTTTTAACCATTGCTCCCCGCCCCCACCGCCCCACGATTCCTTGCAGCCGTCGCCCACTTACCCTGCACTGTGGAGACCCCCAAGGCAGCCACCTTCCCTTCCAGTTCACCCTTGGGGTTGCTGTGCTGCCCAGCAGCTGCAGACTCCATGACGGCCAGATCCTGCTCAGAGCTGTTCATCTGGTCCAGGACCGCCTGGACTATGGGAACCATCATGGCGGTGGTGGCCGTGTTGCTGATCCACATGGAAAGGAAGGCTGTGACCCCCATGAAGCCCAACATCAGCCTGCAAGGAGGACAGAGGCAGGCGGGGAGGAGAGAAGGAAGCTGGCCAGGTGGTCGCTTGGGGTGACCGAAGATCGGCCCCAGGTGACCAAGCAAAGGACATTTAAATACCTTGACTCCCACCCACTCACCAAAAACAACACATACATCTGAGCTTGGGTGGATAGGTTGGGAAAAATCATGCAGGTTTCCCCCCAGAGCCAGGAAAGGGCAACCTGGCTGCGGCAGGGGTTTTGTGCTGGATAGGCTCCCCTGTAGAGCTCAGCTGAAGCTGCCCCCCACCCTCAAAGGTGGGTCCACAAATCTGGCAGCACACATGGCAAGCCTATGCCATGCTTAGAAAGCCAATGCAATTTTTACATCCGTTTTTAGTCTATTGTTATTTTAACTTCTCAAAAGCCTGAAACTATTGCTGTTATTTTTTCCTTAATTTTAATTTCATTGCTTTGACTTTTATGCAAATCACTTTGATGTTTCTTTAAAAAAGAAAAAAAAAACTATCAAGAGTTGTATAAATTTTGTGAAACGGATAAATGATAAATGGGAGGGTGTGCCTCCTGGGACAATGTACTGGTCCGCATGCCCAAACAGCAGCTGTGAAAGGAGGCCCTCTGAGCATGTGACGAGTGTTACATGTAAGCCTCCGGCTCTGACCCAGTATAACCCGACACAGACACACACACACACACACACACACACACACACACACTGCATTAGAAGCTCAGCCATTACCCCACCTGGTTTCCCTTGGGATGTTGGGGTGGTTAGACAGGAGTCACTTACAGGGCAGGTTTCACCCCGACAATCAGCAGCACCCTCAGGGCAATCCGTTTGTGCAGGTTCCAGTGTTCCACAGCGACGGCCACGATCAGGCCCCCCACAAAGAGCATGTTGGTGTCTTTCAGGTACTGCATGCACACCTGGGAAGTCAGCAGGGAAATGAAGGAGGCATAACTCTTGGTCACTTTTGGCCACTGTTGTCACAGATGGTGCAGCTTCATGGTGGCTGGCTTGGCTGCCTTCCCCGACTCCCTGCCTCTCTGGGGAGGGCTCCCTCCCCCCCTCTCCCAACACCCACCCTCTGTACTCTGGCATCAGGGCTTGTTTGAGGTCTGGAATGCCTATAGTCCTTGCAGTCACCTCTGGGCATGCACAGAGTACATTTCCCTTCCCAGGATGGCCCCTGCTTGCACGGTGGCTCAGCTTGTATTTTTCAGGGCCCAATCCAGTCCCCAGCCTCCCTCTTGGTTCTTCTGCCCCATTCAAGTGCTAACCTGGCCGTATATATAGGTCTAATTCTGCTCCTGCCCTTCCTCCCTGTTGTCCTCTGACTTCCTGAGCTCAGTTGTTGGATTTTGCTCAATCTCAAAAAAGCTTCCAGGTTCCAGGCAGTAGAAGAGGAAGAATTAGAACTTTCCTTGCAGGACGCCTGTCCTCTGCTGCCCTTGAGACTTACCCTTTTGGACTCCAGGATGCCAAACATCGGGAACAGGATGACAGGCAGGAGGGCGGTGACTGCCAAAGGGATCACCTCTGTGCACCAGTACACAGCCATGAGGATGATCACATAGCCACACCTGGCCTCCTGCAAGGAGGGAAAAGAGAGAGGGAGGGAGGGAGAGTTCCATCAGGCCCAATGATCACAGACTCACAGAACTGTAGAATTGTATGATTAGGAGAGACTCAAAGCATCCTCTATTCCATCCTCCTCTAATGCAGACACAAGCAGGAATGCCTCAGGGCCCAGGAACCCTCCTTGCCCGAACGGCTGGACCAGAGACTCAGCCTCCTCAGGAGACACTGGGATGGGTTGAACTGGTGCACCCCACATTTTGGGAACTGGACATCCATTCCAGTTTCCCAGATTTGCCAGGAAGAGGCTTGATTGATGAAATCACTGGTCTTCGTAAACCTTTGCCTGTGTGTTCCTGGGTTCGCTGCCAGCCCCGCTCTCCAAATAACTGCCTGCCCACAGCTGTTGTGGTACTGAACACGTTGGGGGATTCTTTTTTCAAAAGGCCCAAGACACTAAGACTTGAAGTTTGTAGGAACATTGATCCAGCTAGCTCAGCATTGCCCACACTGACTGGCAGCAGCTGCTCTCCAGGGGTTCCAGCAGGGAGTTTCTCCCCATCCCACCTGGAGATGCCATCTGATTTTATCCAGATGCCTGGATCAAGGACAGCTGACCACCCCACTCCTCACTCTCACTTGACCCGGACTCAGACCTCTGCTTATCTGCTGATTGCCTAGCAGCACTCTGGCTGCCTTCCAACTCTTCCTCTCCATGAGAGCTAATAGAGTCTTCCCTAGCAAGGGGGGCGGGTCTAACTGCCCTTTCTCAACTCTGACAGTCAATTCTCATCTCATCTACAGAGCCAGTCCTTCATTCACTTAATTCACTCTCTGAGTCTAACTCATCCCCTGTGCTCTGGGAGCCCACGTTGCTGACATCCAGGGGAGAAGATCCTGTGCCACACACAACATTCTGCCTTCTGACATTTGGTTGCTGTTCCCTGCTCCCTAGAATCTGCCTCCTGAGGCCACTGCCTCACTCTGCCTAATGGCGGCGCCGGCTCTGGCCTGATTCAGAAATCAGTGCAAAAAAGAGCAGGCTCCTTGCAGATTCAGGAGGCATGGGAGAACCTGCCATTTCAGCTCATTTTCCACTCTTCAGTTCTCCACACTGCCACATCAGTTTGCAATTTTCATTTTTTTTAAAGTCCTCCTTAAAATTCATCAGCATTAAGTGTTATTATATCAAAATATACACATTTTGGTATGCAGTGGTGCCTAATATTTTGCAGAACAATTTCCCCTAATATAATGGCTGGAGAACTGGTACATTGCAAAATTCAGAGGTGCACATGTTGAAAGCGGGTTCTGTGTTTCAGTTTGTGAATTGTTTCAGAAAACTAGAATTAGGTGAGGCTGCCTTTAGGTGCACACTGAATTCAATTTGCACAGGCAGAAAAGGAGCTGAGTGTACTGGCTGGTGGGAGGGAGGGAGGGGGAAAGAGACCCACACTCATTCAGTGACTCCAAGAGCAAGGATAGGGGTGTCACTAGAACCAAAAAGTCCCCCGCATAAAAATTTACAACTACCACAATGCAGGAGAGTTAATCACTCCTCTGACAGTCCGTAATTGGATGAATTTCCACCAAACCACAATTACGGCAACCACAAGCCAGACTCTCTGGATTAATGTTGCGTAAACAGGCCAGATCAAACTGCTAATGAGAGGCTGAAATGGCCTAGAATTTGTCAAGTCAATTTTCCTGTGGGAAGACGGGGCAATTAACGTCCTGTCAACAGGGGATCTTTGGGGCAAACACCTCATTGCCTCTCCATTTGATTGTGCCCAAAATGACTGTTTGCCAGAACACAGGGCAACCAACAGACCTGCTCACCCACAAGACGCCTCTTAAAAAAGAAAAAAAGAAGCGGGGTGTGTGTGTCAAATTTCACATTGGTCCAGACCTGTTTGCATGGGGCAGGTGGTCTATTTATTGTACAATAACTAATAATAATAATAATAATAATAATAATAATAATTTATTATGTATACCCCACCCATCTGGCTGGGTTTCCCCAGCCACTCTGGGTGGCTTCCAACAAAACACTAAAATACAATAACCTATTAAACATTAAAAGCTTCCCTAAACAGGGCTGCCTTCAGATGTCTTCTAAAAGTTTGGTAGTTGTTGTCCTCTTTGATATCTGGTGGGAGGGCGTTCCACAGGGTGGGTGCCACTACCGAGAAGGCCCTCTGCCTGGTTCCCTGTAACATGGCTTCAGCCACCCTCCACATTTAGATCGATTTTCTACTGCTGTTAACAGACATGGCTTCCCTCAAAGAATCCTGGGAACTGTAGTTTGAGAAGAGTGAAGGGAATTCTTAGGAGATGCCCATCCACCTCCCAGAAGCACATCAAAAGTGCCTGGCTGCAGAATGAGGCCAGGGGGCCCCATCTAGTCCAGCCTCCTGTTCTCACAGTGACCCAGCCAGGTGCCCCAATGGAAAGCCCTCAAGCAGAATTCGAACACAAGAGCCCTCTCCCCTCCTGCAGTTCCCAGAAGCTGGTATTCAGAAGCACTGCTGCCTCCAACTGTGGAAGGCAGAGCATGGCCATCATGGCTAGCAGCCATCAATAGCCTTCTCCTCCATAAACGTTTCTAATCCTCTTTAGGGCCATCCAAGCTGGTAGCCATCACTGCCTCCTGTGGGCAGGAGTTCCATAATTTAACTCTGCACTGCATGAAGAAGGGCTTCCTTTTATCTGAAAGTTGGGAGGGAGAGCGTCAAGGGGTCCAGAACGACTGCAAATGTCCCGCCATGGAGTGAAGCGAGCATGACAAGACAGCAATATTTTAGCACACCTTTAAAGAAACAAAAAAGCCAGACATGTACAGTACAGATAGGGAGACCAAGGAAGCTTGTAAGTTCTAAGCATCTCTCTGGCTCAATCTGGACATATATATTTTTAAAACACACAGTGAAAATGCTTTTTTAAAAAACATTTAAAAATATATATTGAATTTGCCATTAGCTCACCATCGCCATCTAGTGTCACATTTGTATAATGCATGTAAAATATTTGCAGCTGTATAGTTGAGTCATATATATATATATTAACCCACACTGCCAGAGCATCCCTGAAGCTTCTAAGCAAGGAGAGCCCATTACCTTCCCAAGCAGTCTTGGAGTAGGTGTTGAGCAGCTTGGACAGTCAGGAGGTCCTTCCTAATGTTTCTGGCCACTTTAACCCTTTGGTGCCTGGGTCCTGCCCTCTCCCGCCTCCCAGGCCCGCCATCACGACCTAATATGGGCAAAGGGGAAATGTCCAAATGTCCAGGGTGACCTCCCACGCCCTCGCTCTGCCTGAAGAAGCACCTGGTGCCCTCAGCATCCTGGATCAGCTTGCATCCTTCCACCCAGCACCAGCCAATGCCCTCCTGACCCGCTTGGAGTAAATCATTTCTTTAAAGTTCAAGAATACAACCAGGCTTAGAAATTAACTGCAGCTGCAGTCTAGAAGAAACGAAAGGAGGGACACCTTCTCGGCTTGCGCAGATAAATAGAATATTGGAATCGTGAAAGCACTGGGGGAACTGCTGGCGACACAGTTCGAAAGCTGCATCTGTCAATGGGATGGACGAGATTTAGAGATTTAGTAGAGTTGCCTGTGCAGACATTGTTGGTCGGTTCAGGCTGCCCAGCGCCCCACAGGACACAAGGAGCATTGTGGGGAACGCAGGCAGAATCCGCTCCCCGCTGGGCACACAGCTTGCCACCCTCCTGGGCAGCTCTTGAAGCGCGTGCCGGATGCATCTGTGTAACTCTTTCCTTAGAATCTTAGAATTGGAGAGTTGGAAGGGTCCCCAAGGGTCATCTGGCCCACCCACTGCAATGCAGGAATCTCAACTAAAGAATCCCTGACAGATGGCCATCTGAGCTCTGTTGAAAAACCACCAATGGGGGCGGAGCTGGAGGCTCAGCGGGGGCGGCCCCCTCTCAAGGTGCCCATCTGGAGCTGGGACTGGCGCTCCTCCTTCCAGTTGACAGGGCTCCGTTCAGGGCTGGTGCTGAGATTTCCACTTTCAAAACCACACCGAAAATCTTTTTCTTTCTCCATAACCCCATCCCCGCTTGCTACTGAGCATTAGAGTAAGGTTACAATATTTTTTTCAATGAATCCAGGGACACTTTTCAGCTTCAGCAGGAATGACAGGATTTTGTATGGGGACTGATTTGTAAATCCGGGGACTGTCCCCAGGAAACGGGGACATCTGGTAACCTTACATTAGAGCCAGAAACAGATTTGAATCGGGTCAGTGCTCGGACCGGGACATGTACCCAGAAATGAATCGAATGTCTCTCTGCTTATATGCAGAGTGCTTGTCCCTCAGCACAGAAATTGCTTAGGGCTACCATGGGGTCATGAAGAGTCGGACACGACTAAACGACTAAACAACAAACGTCCTGTTTGCCAAGTGCCTCCGGGAAGCCCACAAACCGAGCCCCCCAAAAAACTCTGGTGTGTCTAGCATTTACAGGTATACGCTGCCTAGACATGGAGGTTCCATTGGGTTTGTCTGAATCCTTTTTGCTCCTATAGGTGGCGGTGATGGTGACTGCCAGCTCCCTCTTCAGGCACCCAGTCCCCCTCCGCTCCCTCTCTCGCATGTTCTTGCGGCGGGGGCTTCTCTTGAGGAGGTTTCCCCCTCCCTCCCGAGTCTTCAATACCCTCAAAGAGGCGGAGGGTTTGGACACTCTGGGAGGGAGAGGATCAGGTCTTCCCTCCGCTGTCGGAGGCAGGATGCTAAGGGAGCCCGAGTGGGGAGGGGGCGCTGCTGGTAGTCGGCAGAAGAGGCCCTCTGGGGGACCCCCAGGACGCCCCCGAGGAAAGAGACGGGAGGCGCGATTGCAAAAAGGACATCCCCGCGGCCTCTGGAGAGGCTCCGTTTGGACCTGGCGTGGCTTGGCTTCTCCCGCCGAGGCGACGCTTATGCCTGGCCCCGGCAGTAGCAGCAGAGAAGCGCCAGCCCGGGCCGGAGGCAGCGCCAGGCCAAAAGCTGGTCCTGGGCGGTAGACTGCTCCTGCCCGGGGAGGCTCGACGTGCCACCCCAAGAGGAACTGGCGGAAGGGGGGCGCCCCTTCGCTTGGCCAGGAGAGAGACCTCGCTCTGCCCACTAGGCAGGCTGGCTGGCTGGTCGGCCGAACTGACTGACCTGGGTGGGCACGAGAAGCGGCAGCGGCAGGAGAGCGAGCGGGGCGCCGGCCAGCGTGACCAGGGTCTTGCAGCGGAGCAGAGAGCGGAGCAGCGGCGGCGACGGCATCCCGAGACGCAGAGGCAGAGACAGCGCCGCGCTCGCCTCGCCGGCCGGCCTTTTAAGCAACAGCGCCCGCCTGGGACCGAGCCAGCCCCCGCCCCACTCACTCCTCTCCCCCCCTCCCACTCCGGGAACCGGTCTCCTCCTCCGCTGTCGCCTTCCTCGCCTCTCCTGGCCGCAGGACGCCTCTGAGCGCGTGCAGAGTGCCCTGGCCTGGCCGCGCAGGAGTCGCCTGGACCTCTTGTTCCCCTTCCTCGCCAGATCCAGGGAAACAGCTGGAACTGGAAAGTTACATCCAGAGTAAAATTTCCATCGGGCGAGGAAAGTCAAGCGAGGCGGGGGCGGGACACCCCCTGGTGTTTGGGGGCAGCCGCAGGACAGAGAGGCTGGTGGCTTGGGGGTCACCTCCGCTTCAGGTTGCACAACCAGTGGCGCGCTCTTGCGCAAAGAAATCGCTTCCTCGAAGGCCGGGATTTTTGCGCTAAAAGTGACGGGAAGCTACGGAGAGCGGGGTGTCACTCTGCCTTTGCTGCGACCTCATCGAAGTTCCCTGGAAAGATACCGGCTCCTCGTCTGGAGGTCACCGCCTTGGTAGAGCGCGGGTTCCAACCTGAATAAAATATGGGGGGCAGGTAAGCCTTGCCCCCCCACATGACGTACTGCACGCACACCATCTGAATGGCAATGCCTATCAACTTTTTTTGAGGAGGCGCCCCCTCAAATATTTTATTGGGGGGCGAAGGGACCTCAGCCCCTAGGAGTTGGCTCCAATGTTGTAGAGCCAGGGCGTTGGACTAGACTTCAGGTCCCTTCCAGGCAGCTCTACACTTCTGTGAAGCAGGGTCCCCTTGCCCGCCCACTCCCTTCCTTGGTTTCACTCTCAAGGGCCCCTCCGGACCATAATGCCCCTGTGCCATTGAGCGGTTTTCCCACAAAGTCCTGGCTGCAAATCTCATTTTACCTGAAAGGTGGCTGTAGGTACAAGTCGCTGTCAGCCTTCGCAATAGGAGCGTGATTATCCTTACCTACTTTACAGGAAGATCCCTGAGAGAACGGATATGAAGAGCTCTGAGCTCTTGAAATGGGCTTTTTCAATCTGTCTTTTTTGCCAGGCTTGCCCTGACCTATTAAATGGGACCCTTCTGCCCCTGGAGTTTTTACAATAAAGTTCTTTGTAGGGTTTTTTATTTTTTTAAATCTTGAGCAGTTAGGAAATACTTTTAAATCATGAAATCTATGCAGAGACACATTCTCTGTGACTTTGGGAGTCTGCAAAGACAGAGCTCCTATCGATGGGACAGGAGGGGAGTGTTGTGTGCAAGGCAGGCTGATTCAACATTTCAGTCTGAATTGCTCAACCACTTTTTTCATGTACATGTTCCCTTTAAAACCACGAGGACTAGAATCTTACTTTATTTTCAGTGGCAGAACAGCTGCTTGGCTTGCAGAAGTCCCCAGGTTCAATATCCAATGGCATTTCCAGGCAGGGAACCCTGGACAGCTGCTGCTGCCAGTCAGTGTTGACAGCACTGAGTTAGATGAAGCAATGGTCCAACTCAGTAGAAAGCAGCTCCCTGTGTTACTATGGGATGCTTCTTTTCTTTTCTTTTCTTTTCTTTTCTTTCCTTTCCTTTCCTTTCCTTTCCTTTCCTTTCCTTTCCTTTTTTTTTTTTTTTGGTAATTGTAAGCTTGGGCTCCATGATCACTCACTGCAGATGGTGACAGCAGTCACAAAATTAAAAGACGCCCGCTTCTTGGGAGAAAAGCAATGACAAACCTAGACAGCATCCTAAAAAGCAGAGACATCACCTTGCCAACAAAGGTCCATATAGTAAAAGCTATGGTTTTCCCAGTAGCGATGTATGGAAGTGAGAGCTGGACCATAAAGAAGGCTGATCGCCAAAGAATTGATGCTTTTGAATTATGGTGCTGGAGGAGACTCTTGAGAGTCCCACGGACTGCAAGAAGATCAAACCTCTCCATTATGAAGGAAATCAGCCCTGAGTGCTCACTGGAAGGACAGATCGTGAAGCTGAGGCTCCAATACTTTGGCCACCTCACGAGAAGAGAAGACTCCCTGGAAAAGACCTTGATGTTGGGAAAGATGGAGGGCACAAGGAGAAGGGGACGACAGAGGACGAGATGGTTGGACAGTGTTCTCAAGGCTATCAGCATGAGTTTGACCAAACTGCGGGAGGCAGTGAAAGACAGGAGTGCCTAGTGACCTCTGGTCCATGGGGTCACGAAGAGTCGGACATGACTAAACAACTAAACAACAACAGAACTTTTAGAAGACATCTGAAGGCAGCCTTGTGTCGGGAGATCTTTAATGCTTGGTGTTCTTAATGCCAGGCTGTTCTTATGTTCTTGTGGAACCTCCATATCCAGAGGCAGTCTATCTCGATCCCTAGGTCCTATTTGGCTAAAGTAAGAAATGGATGCTGGGCTAGATGGACCATTGGTCCAATGCAGCAGTTCTCTTATTTGGGTTCTTAGGTTCTCTTGCAGGCCGGAGGTAGGGGCTCATTTGGAGCTTTGGGGCCAACCTCCTCAGGTGGAAGTTATCACCTAGGAGATGGGTATCAAACGGGTAGCAGAAAAACCGGCCTCCCTGCATTGCTGCGGGTGAGTAACTGTACCAACCAGCCCACTTAATCCTCTCCTAATCTCCTCCTCCAGGAGGCTGGCAGAGGGAGACTTCTTCTATCTCACCTCTCCCTGACCTCCTCCTCCCGAGGTGCCAGGTGAGAAGCAGGAAGGAGCTGGGAGCTGGCAGGAGCCTGGCGCTAGGTGTGCAATGGGCAGGCAGCCTTAGCCCTCCTTGCACAGGGCAACAGGGAACGCCCCTGGCACATCTGGGATTGCTTCCAGGATGGACTGAGCCACCTTAAGAACACAAGAATTGCCTGCTGAATCAGGCCAATGGCCCATCTAGTCCAGCAACCAGGTGCTCATTCTGGGAGACCTGCAAGCAGGATTTGAGCACAGGAGACCTCTCCCCTCTTGTGTTTCCAGCAACTGGCATTCAGAACCTGCTGACAGTGGAGGCGCAGCAGAGCCGCCATGGCTAGTAGCCCTCCAGAGCCTCCTCCGCAAATCTGTCTAATCCTCTTTTGAAGCTGTCCAAGTCGGTGGCCATCACTGTCTCCTGCGGGAGTGAGTTCCATAGTTTAACCATTATTATTTTATTATTAAAATTGGTATGCCGCCCTGTACCCTCAGGCCTCAGGGCGGTTGCAACATGAAATCACAATATAAAAACACAAAATGCATAATAATAATAATAATAATAATACAGTGGACGCTCGGGTTGCAAACGTGATCCGTGCGGGAGGTACGTTCGCAACCCACGGCATTCGCAACCCACAGCGCCATGTGTGCGCACACATGGGTCACGATTCGGCGCTTCTGCGCATGCGCAAAGAGCTATTTAGTGCTTCTGCGCATGCGCCAAAACCCAGAAGTAACCTGTTTCGGTACTTCCAGGTTTGGTGTGGTGCGCAACCCAAAAACACACAACCTAAAGCGTCTGTAACTCTAGGTATGACTGTAATAAATAATAATAATAAACAACCCAATAGACTCTCTTCCCCAACACAATTTAAAAGGGCATTGGATGACTATTATTTCTATTATTACTACTGAGATGCATGAAGAAGGGCTTTCTTTTGTTCGTCCTGAATTGTTCAACATTCAACTTCATGTGTTGTCCACAAGTTCTAGTGCTATGAGAGAGGGAGAAAAGCTTTCCTCCATCTGCCTTCTCCATGCTAAGCATCATTTAATAAATGTCTATCATGACACCTCTTACCTAGTCCCAAACGCTACCTTTCTTCATAGGGAAGCCACTCCATCCCCAATTTTTGTTGCCCTTTTCAGAACCTTTTCCAACTGGGGCAGGGCGGGTGTCTCTTTGCAGTCTCACCTGAGCTGGCCCCTGCTCAGGTGAGACTTCTCAGCATCATCACCAAGCACTTACATTTGTGGGAAGCAGACCAAGAGCTCTGGGTCATTTGCTAGGTCCAGAGCCCACCTAGGCAGACCCACACACCCTGCAAGAATCTCCCAGGAAACCCAAGGGGACCAGCCAGAAAGCAGAGCCACAGCCCAGTGGTAGAGAGCCTGCCTTGCGAGCAGAAGGTCCCCAGTTCAATTCCTGCCAGCATCTGACCCAGAAACTGCAACAAATCCAGAATGCAGCAGCTAGACTGGTGACTGGGAGCAGCAGCCAAGACCATATAACATCGGTCCTGAAAGACCTACATTGGCTCCCAGTACGTTTCCAGGCACAATTCAAAGTGTTGGTGCTGACCTTTAAAGCCCTAAACGGCCTCGGTCCAGTATACCTGAAGGAGCGTCTCCACCCCCATCGTTCTGCCCAGACGCTGAGGTCCAGCGCCGAGGGCCTTCTGGCGGTTCCCTCATTGCGAGAAGCAAAGCTACAGGGAACCAGGCAGAGGGCCTTCTCGATAGTGGCACCTGCCCTGTGGAATGCCCTCCCACCAGATGTCAAAGAAATAAACAACTGCCTGACTTTTAGAAGACATCTAAAGGCAGCCCTGTTGAGGGAAGCTTTTAATATTTGATGAATTGTTGTATTTTAATATTTTGCTGAGAGCTGCCCAGAGTGGCTGGGGAAACCCAGCCAGATGGGCAGGGTATAAATAACAAATTATTATTATTATTATTATTATTATTATTATTATCATCATCATCATCATCATCATCATCATCATCATCATCATCTCCTGGCAGGGATGGGAACAATTCTTGCCTGACATCCTGGAAAGCTTCTGCCAGTCAGTGTAGACAGTACTGAGCTAGATGGGCCAATGGTCTGACTAAGTATAAGGCAGCTTCCTATGTTCTAAGGGCAGGCAGGCAGGCAGGCAGGCAGGCAGGCGAGCCCAAGAGGGGTGAGTGGCAGGTGTACAGGTATCCAGGCAGGTTGTCCTTGGGTGAGGAGGGAGGCATTGTGTGAGTGTGCTGGACTGAGAAGGGCAACAATGGACCAGCCGGCAGAGACATCCGCCACTGGTTCTTGGAGTGCTGCCAGAGCCCAGATCCAGCAGAGAGATTCTGCTAGGCTGAGGCCAGTTCAGCCAGGCAGACATGTCCCCCATTTTCTCCAGCTAGCAGCGAGATGGAAACCACAACTGCTCCACATAGCCATTTCTGCTGAACCATTGCGCTGGGCCTGGGCCTTCTCGGCAGTAGCTCCCTCCTTGTGGAACGCCCTCCCATCAGATGTCAAGGAGAACAAGAACTACAGTATGCAACTTTTAGAAGGCATCTGAAGGCAGCCCTGTATCAGGAAGTTTTTAATGTTTGTTGTTCTATTGTGTTTTTATATGTTCTGGAAGCTGCCTAGGTGGCTGGGGCAACCTAACCTGATTTGGTGGGTTGTATAAATAATAAAATTATTATTATTATTATTACTACCACTACTACTAATACTACTATTATCTGTTCTCAAGGGCCCAGCCTTTGCTCATGTGTGTGCACCACCCCTTGAAGGTGTGGAATAAAAAAGCAAGGGCTTTTAGGCATGTGCAAAGTGCTTTAGCAAAGCCACAACCATATCCTATGAGCGGACAGTTCTCCCAAGGAAGAGGTGTGTGGAGTGGAGTCACACGTGAATCTGGGCTTTTAAACTTGTACAAGAAATGGTCTGGAGTTCAGGGTGGTGAGCAGTCTGGCTTGGCTGGCGGGCCAGCGACAGCAAATTGTTTAAGGAGTGGGGGGAAGCAGAGGCTTCAAGGGGGGCAGTCCAAACTTGGTGGAAGGGCAGGAAAATGGGAAATCCAATTCAGTGTAAGGAAGCAAGGCAGCACCAAGGCAGAAGAGGGATGTAATTTCGCACACCTGCTGATGGGGACAGAACTGGCAGTCACTGCCAGTGATGAGACCTTGGGAGCAGCAAATCCCACGCCAAGGATGCTTTAGAAGAGGGACTGTAAAACGAAACCGCCAATGGCATTGGGCAAACTGGTGTTGTGACCGCCCTTGAAATATTGCGTACTGCTATGGTTGGCCTGAGCACATCCAGGGAAAGGGCTCTTTGAACCCACAAGGAGACCCCCATGACCCCTCTGTGAAGGCTGGGTTCTGAAGATCAGCAATCGTGGCAGCAACAGCTGCGTCCCTGTGGCAGGTAAGCGGAGCCCCTTGTTGCCAGCCCAGCCCAGCAGGAGCCACCCCCCAAGGCCCCTGGTCCTCTTTGGACCTCCCTAGGCTCACAATGCCCAAACACAGCCTGTCTTGTTCTGTTCTGTACCAAGAAACTCACACAAGGAAACTCGCAGAGGGAGGGAGGGGGAATCGGCAGAGTGGCATTGTGAGGCCGCTGTGTTCCTTCAAGATCTCCTTCCGTGGCTTTTCATGCAGCGGCGGCAGCCAAGACTATCCCAAGGAAGCCTCTCCAGTCTCTGGCACTCTGTGTGTGTCCCCACCCACCCACTACTACTCCCCCCCCCAAAAAAAATATCTCTGAGCAGCAAGATATTCCAGGAACTTACCTAGGGTTTGGTTTCCTTGGAATGAAGAACAGTGGAGAGGTTGGTGTCTTTAGGATGGATGGATTTAATCAAAGGGACTGGTTGGGCAAGCTTGCTTTCAGACCTTCAAACAACCCTCACAGATACAGGAACATAATAATAATAATAATAATAATAATAATAATAATAATAATAATTTTTTATTTATACCCCGCCCATCTGTCTGGGTTTCCCCAGCCACTCTCTGGGCGGCTTCCAACAGAATATTAAAATACAATAATCTATTAAACATTAAAAGCTTCCCTAAACGGGGCTGCCTGGGAAGGGACTCAGGGCATCATCCAGACTGACCCTGCTCAAAAAAACTCAAAAAAATCACAAAATCACCTGTGGGTTGAAAAGCATCTTTGGTTTGTGGCTCAAGCAGGTGGGTGGGGTGGGAGGAAGAGAGGAGCAGGCCTGGCTACGCCCCCCTCCGAATCAGCTGGAAGTCCCCCACTCATCCCCTTGTGGATGGGTGGGAGAGAGCCTTGGTGGCGGCAGCGATTCAGCCCAAGGCTCTACTCTCTTCCCACCTGTACGATTCTGTAGAATTGGTCCTGGACTTGAACAGGATGTCTCCCCAGGGGTTTTGAATCACACAAGATGTCAGGGAGGGAAGGGAGCCTTTTGTGTAACTGTTTAGAAAGGGCCTTGAGGGTCCCAGTTAAACTGCAGAACTCCCTGCCACAGGAGGCAGTGATGGCCACCAATTTGGATGCCTTAAAAAAAAGAGGATTAGGAAAATTCGAGGAGGAGAGGGCTATTGATGGCTACTAGCCACTGTGGCTGTGCTCTGCCTCCTCAGTCGGGGCAGCAAGGCTTCTGAATACCAGTCGCTGTGGAAGCCACAGGAGGGGAGAGGGCTGCTTGCTGGCTTCCCACTGAACCATCTGGTTGGCTACCGTGTGAACAGGATGCTGGACTAGATGGGTTCTACATGCCTGATCCAGCAGGCTCCCATTGGGTTTTTAGTCCCACCTGATGGGAGATTAGCGGCTGTGGAGTTTCCCCAACCCCAAAGCAGACTTGAGCCCCCTTTCGGGAACTGAGGCTCACTAGGAAGCCCCACTTGGTGCCCCAGGGGATGCAGGGAGCATGGTCAGCCCTCGCCACAATTGGCTGGCTGAACAAGAGCCATTGTTACATGCCCAGAGAGGGTGAGGTGATGGGGTTGCACAGCTCCCTCTGCTCCCTTGGGGATGGTCCAGGCACCCCAACTGGCCAGAGCCAATGTTTTTCTCTCAGCCTCCAGAGACAGACGCCCACGGCCACCACAGCTGCGCCAGAGCTGACAGGCCCCTCCAGATCAGGACGTGGTGAAGGCAATCCCCTTGGCCCCGCCAAGCCCCCAGAGCTGTGGGGGGCAGAAGCAGGGCCCCTAGGCAGAGCCCTCCCTGTTTCTATACTGCTCTTAAAGGTACAGTATCCCCCACAGGGGTTTCAACCTGACATCTTTCCACCTTTCACCTTTGCTCCCCCTGCCCCTGCACAAGCCCACAGTAATCTCCTTCCCTACCATAATATGTATGAATTGCTCGTCCGCAGAAAACCGTGTTCTACATCCTGTGTTGCAGGGGTTGGGCTAAATAATACTAACAATAATAATAACAACAATAATAATAATTTATTTAAACCCCATCCATCTGGCTGGGTTTCCCCATTCACTCTGGGAGGCTCCCAACAGAACATTAGTAAAAAGTAAAGGGACCCCTGACCATTAGGTCCAGTCGTGGCCGACTCTGGGGTTGCTGCGCTCATCTCGCTTTATTGGCCGAGGGAGCAGGCGTACAGCTTCCGGGTCATGTGGCCAGCATGACTAAGCCGCTTCTGGCAAACCAGAGCAGCGCACGGAAATGCCATTTACCTTCCCGCCAGAGTGGTACCTATTTATCTACTTGCACTTGACGTGCTTTCGAACTGCTAGGTTGGCAGGAGCAGGGACTGAGCCACAGGAGCTCACCCCGTCGCGGGGATTTGAACCGCCAACCTTCTGATCGGCAACTCCTAGGCTCTGTGGTTTAACCCACAAAGCATCAAACGTTAAAAACTTCCCTAAATGTCCCTAGATGACCCTTGGGGTCCCTTCTGATTCTACAATTCTATGGTTCCATTGTGGTGGTGATGAGGAGGAGGAGAAGGAGGATGCCCTTCGTGAGAATGGTACTTTCCAGTGCAGCACTGGACAGGTCCTCTGCCTGCAAGGAGCTTACAATCTAAAACTTCAAATTTTGTGGCACAATGGAGCCTGATGGCTTGGCAGGCAGAAACCCCCTGGCTGAATTCCCAATGGCATCTCTAGTTAAAAGCAGCTCAGGTAGCAGGTATGGGGTGTGGGGAAGCTCCCTTCTTCGAAAACCTGCAGTCCCAGACCAGGTGCTTCTCAGCGGCTCTGAGTGTGAGCCTGAGACCCTCACCCCACGGACAGGTTTTCATGGACCATGATGAGTTAGGCAAAAGGAGCTATGGGAAGGGTCATAGCTCAGTGGCAGAATAGCCGCTTTGCATGCAGAAGGTCCCAGGTTCAATCCCTTCCAGCGGCACCTGCAGGTAGAGCTGGGAGAGAACCGTGGCTGTAACCTTGGAGAGCCGCTGCCGGTCAGTGTAGGCAATACCGACGTAGATTGACCCACTGGTCTCACGCTGTATAGGGTAGCAAGCTTCATGTGCTCTTCTGCTGCCCTCTTGTGGCCGCCTCGGGTACACCGGTCCGGCCTCTCCTGAATCGCGCCCTGCTCCGAGAAGCGCCGTCGGGGCTCCGCTCTCGGCGAAAAGGGGGAGCCCTGCCGGCGCGGGGCAGGAGAGATGGATGCCCTAAGGAGCACCACCCAGGGGTGCTGCTGCTGGCTGGTCAGCTGGCTGGCCGGTCGGCTTTCTCTATGGCCCGGCTGTTGACGTTGCACGCAGCGACTAACTTTCGTTTCCACCCAGGACAGATTTTGCAGAAATGAAAGTGAAAGAGGGCGCTGGGCAGAGACGGGAGATGGAGGTGGAGACACGCGTCTGCGAGAACTGGTAGGGGATGCAGCCCTGTCTATCATTCAATATCTGTCTGTCTGTCGAATCTCCCTCTCTGCAAACAGGCTGGCTGGGCTACAGTGGCAACCCCCCCTCTCCATAAATGGGACTGGGGCGCAATCCAGTAGGGTCTCCGCCCCGCGTTAAGAAACGTAGAGGGCCCGGTTGTTTTGCATGAAGGGGGCCTCTCGGATTTTGTGGCTCATGGAGAAAATAATATCTGTCGTTTAACATAAAAGGAATTGGATCAATATAATTGTTGGGTGAACTCCAGTTGTGTTGCTTGGAACCTTCCAATATTAATTCATGACGTTTGGTTTTGGTACGGAAACTTGTTCTCGTCTGTTTTCTTCTACCGTAGGTATCCCTTTCTGCTTGTTTTGTTTGGCATTTGTTACTATCCTTCGTTCTGCTACAAATATATGGAAATTAATTTGTATAGAATTACAGCAACAGCCAGATACAACGCTTAGAGTTCCCTTCCCTTCTCGGTTTGGGGTCAGTCCCTGCCGTGGGCAGTGACCCTCTTGGGGAAGTCCCAGCCTCTCACAGTTCTGTTGAGGACTTCCCAGGCAGAACTGAGTCCTTTGCCTTGACAAAAGGACCAAGCTTATTTATTTGCTTAGAGCTATTAAGGAAAAATCACACACACACACACGTTCCTGGTTTTAACAGAGCATTTGCAGCAGAGTGGCTTACATACAAAACAGTCCCTGCCCCTGTAGGCTTGCAGTCTAAGAAGACATAGTACACAAGGAAAAAGGGACAAGGAGGGAGGAGGAAAAACAAAACCCAACTCAGGCACCAATTCTTATATGGTTGTTCTTATGAAGACCAGGTGGCACAGTTCAAGGGTGGTGGGAGCTGGGCTTCCAGCAGTGCTGACTTGCCCCTTGTGGCCCGTGGGCTCCTCTTCTCTCGCCCAGCAAGCGGGACGTGGTGGCTGCCAACTTCTCCCTCCATGAGGCCCACTGCTTGCGCTTCCTGACCATCTGCCCCAAGTGTGAGGAGCCGGTGGTGCTGAAGGACATGGCGGAACACCTCGCTACAGCCCATGAACAGGTAGGGCGTGGGGGATGAAGGCCCATAGAATAATAGAACTGAAGAGTTGGAAGGGATCCCCAGGGGTTTATCTAGTCAAACCGCCTGCGATGCAGGAATCACAACGGTCCAGGCGGCGGGTGCTCAAGTTGTAGGACAGAGGAGCCTGCGAGGTGGGCTGGGGATCAGGGTTCGCATCAGAGGAATCATGGTGGACAAACACTATCTTCCCCAGCCCTGGGTGCTTTTGTAAGGCCCTATGACCTGGCAAAGACAGAGAGTGAAAGCCAAGGGGCCTGGCCAGATTATGCCCCCCAGGCTTTTGCCTCAGTACCTGGAAGGGAGCTGACTTGTGGGGAAGAAAAATCAAGCCTTTGCGTTGTGGTTAGGGTAGAAGTCTATTCAAGACTGTTTATTAAGGACAAGCAATTGCGTCCCCACCAGCCAGAACTAATTCTGAGGTGTTCTGTCTATGATACGGGATTCGTAAAGTTGTCATAACCTGGTTAAGGAGACATAGCAAGAAAAACAGCATTTCTGGTCAAAACCCACCCACCTGACATGTCCTGGGGTTTTGGGTGTAAAAATGGTATTGGGGGGAATTTTGTCAGAGAAAACCCGGATGTATGGCAACGCGATGGAAAAGGCAGTGGAACCAGCTCAAAAAGCTTAAAATTACTTCATGAAATATGGCAACCCTATCCTCTCTCCTTTTCCCACTGTGAGGGAGATATGGCCTTAAGACAGGCTCAGGCAGAAGTCCTTGCAGAATCTGGACCCAAACATTCTGCTTCCATATTTGCCTTTCTCTGCCATCGCCCTCTTGCCCTTGACATCTTTAGAGCCTTGTAGATGCCCCTCAGAGCAGCCCCTCATGCCTTGGGTTAGAACAAGGGGCTCTCAAAGCCGGTCTCTGGGGGTGGGGTGGGGGAGGCCCTTGTGGGTCTGTGGTAGAGCATCTTTCTGCAAGCAGAAAGGCCCTCCGCTGCTGCTGTATCATCACCAAGTGGGATAGCCAGTGCCCCAGAAGAGGGGCTGATCAGGCACCTTCCTCTGTTCCTTGGGGTGGAGTGGGGCGTGGTTTCCCTCCTGCTACCTTGGGGCCTTCTTGTGGCACTGCCAATGCCCTTCCTCACCTCCTCCTCCTCCTCCTCTTCCCACTTCCAGGTCAGATGCAAGCGCTGCCACCAGGCAATGCAGCAATTCTTACTGGAGCACCATGAGGTAAGGAGGGGGCCAACTGGCCTTCCCAGGAGGATGCGGGGGCATTTGCTGAGAGCAGGGGTCAGCAACGTTTTTCAGCCCTGGGCCGGTCCACCGTCCCTCAGACCTTGTGGGGGGCCGGACTATATTTTAGGGGGAAAATATGAACGAATTCCTAGGCCCCACAAATAACCCAGAGATGCATTTTTAATAAAAGCACACATTCTGCTCATGTAAAAACACACTGATTCTGGTCCATGGGCCAGATTAAGAAGGCGAATGGGCTGGATCCAGCCCCTGGGACTTAGGTTGAGTCAGGAGCCTGCTTCCATTCTGACCCTGGGATAACAGCAGCCCTCGGGCTCAGTTTGGTTAGAGGGGCCTGAACAGCAACACCCCCTCCCATCCTTGCCCACCCCAGATCCCTGGATGTGCTTCTTTTCACCCTGACAGAGACAAAGAGTTTGGGGCTGGGGTGGTCTCTGGGGGTGCCTGACAGGGAGCAACCAACACTGGCTCCCTGAAGAGCTGACGTGGTGGAAGATGTGCTCCCAAGGTTGTGTCTCCTCATTCAGACAGTGTGGTGTAGTGGTTAGAGTGTCGGGCTAGGACTTGGGAGAGACCAGGGTTCAAAACTGCACCCCCCCCAAACTTGGCCATGAAGGCTCACTGGGTGTGTGGCCTTGAGGAATCAGTCACTCCCTCACAGGGTTGCTGTGGGGGTTAAATGAGGACCAGCACCTTGGAGGGTACCAATCCTCACTCCGCCATGTGAAGCTCTGTGGGCCGGTCACTCCCTCTCAGCCTAGCCTACCTCACAGGGTGGTTGTGGGGATTAAATGAGCGGGGGGGGGGAGAGAACCACGTGACCACCTAGAGCATCACCCCCCAGCCCCCTTTCTCCAAGACGAACCCCGGTCTCTCCTCCCCCTGCAGGCTGAAGACTGCCCCGAGCGCCTGGCCCAGTGCCACTTCTGCGAGCTGGAGGTGCCCTTCCGCCAGCTGCAGAGCCACCTCAAGGCCTGCGGCAGCCGGACCACCCCGTGCTGGGATTGTGGAAAGTACATCATGTACAAAGCCCTGGAAGACCACAGTCGCACCTGCCAGGAAAACAAGGTGCTCACTGGCCCTGGTGAGTTTGCCCAAGTCCTTTTTTTTTACGTGGTGAAAATCTGTGGACTCGGTACAGAGAAAAGAAAGCAGTGTGTCGTTCAACTGTGGAACTCCCTGCCCCAGGAGGCAGTGACGGCCACCAACATGGGAGGCTTTAAAAGAGGACTAGACAAGTTCTCAGAGGAGGAGAGGGCTCTCAAGGGCTTACTAGCCACAAGGGCAACACTCTGCTTCCACAGTTTGAGGCAGCAATGGATACCAGTCGCTGGAAAACCACAGAAGGGCAGAGGGTCACTGCTGAGCTCAGTTTCCCATAATGGGCATTGGTTGGCCAGTGAGAGAACAGGATGCTGCTCTCGGTGGGCCATGGGCCTGATCCCACAGGGCTCTTCTGCAGCACAGTGGTTTCCCCCCACGGACCCCAGTGTTGAAGTTACCCCGTCTCACAGAGACGGAGGGCGATGAGTTTTTACTTCAAAGGTAGCGTTTAGATGAGCAAACAGGCCACCAGTCTAATACAAGGCCTCAATACAAAGTCTCTCACAAGAGGGTGCAGTCCTTTAAGTGCAAGAAAAACAGTTTGGTTGTTACTGGAGTCCAAAGCTGTCCTTTTATTCTCCTGGATGTCTCCTGGCAGGAAATGCTCCAGCCTCTTCCATTCCCCCAGCTGGCTTCCCCAGCAGTTAATCCTCCTGCTAGGTGTCCTTGATAAAAGGCTTCAGTTCACACTTATCTGCTCTGCCTCCCACACACTTCACTTTCTCCTCTCCGACCCGACTCTACACCTCTGTAGTCATGCATGCAGTTAATGAGAGTCACAAGACACAAGGCAGCGACTCGGGAGCTGGACCTTAATTACATTCACTGTAATGTGGTTTATTCTTTGTAAAATGCACAATTGCAATACTTCTTTGGTGTCTATGACAGGCTCTTGCCCTGCCTATACTTTTCCTTGACCCCTCCAATCTTGCATGGTGTCGATGTCTCCGAAGCCATCACCCATTCTGGGGGCTCTGAACATGCCCCACATTAACCCCTAGGGAAGGCCAACACACTGCCCTCCAGATAAAGATGCGAGAAGAGCCTAGGCTGGATCAGGCCCATAGCCCATCCAGTCCAGCATCCTCTTCTCACAGGGGCCAAGCAGATGCCCACTGGGGGGCACCCGCAAGCAGGATCCAAGCACAAGAGCCCTTTCTCCTCCTGTGGCTTCCAGCAATTGATATCATTCAGATGCATCACTGCCTCTGACCAGGGAGGCAGAGCATAGCCACCATGGCTAGTAGCCGTCCATAGGCTTCTCCTCCATGCATTTGTTTAATTTTGTTTCAAAGCCAACCAGGTTGGTGGCCATCACTGCCTGCTCCCTCATCTCCTTTGTCCCAGCAAAGGGTGGTATAGCTGCTGACCCTGGGGAGAACTGAGACTGTGCCTGCATGCAGCCAACCTCTCCTCTGTCCTTTTCATGCCTCTCTTGGTTCTGTGAGACCAGGGGAGCTTTGTCGCAGCAGGAGGGAGAGACACCTGTGACTCTTCACCAGCTGGACTCCTCTCTGCCTCTTGGCCTCCCTCCTCTTCTGCTTCAGCTTCTGCCTCTGATTCTGGACTTCTCTCTGCTCACTAAGTCCTGTTACCTCTTCAGCTTCCGACACCTCCTCTTCCCAATTGTTTCTCTCTGGTCCCACCATCCCTCCGTGGGCTCTGAGCCTTCTTCCCTTGGGGGTTCCCCAGCTGGTTCCTCCTGTGCTGGGCCCGGGGGTAACCCATGAAAGTCCAGGACGGGTCTAGAATCCGAAGGTTCCACTAGGATTCAGTCTGACAGGGCCAAGGCAGCACACGAGGCAGAAAAACAGGCAAGGACAAGTACAGGATCTCAGGCAGGATCTGGCATACCTGGAGCAGGGTTTGACAGCCTTTTATCTTTGTTAGGGTAGCGGCCGGTCCTGATCCCCCGGCAACTCACCTCCCTGTTTTGCCCAAAGGCGGGCACTCCTCCTGCAAGTACTCAGGTCTCTCCTTCTCTCAGACCTGAGTCTCTGCAGCTCGGGAGGCGTCGGTGGGTTACTAGGCCCAGAGGCCGCCTCAGCCTCACCTGACCAAACTGGTAGTGGAGCAGCTGTAAGCGATGGCCCAGCTGAAGGCAACGAGGTAATCCACACATCTGGAGCCAGGGCAGGCTCAGGCCCCAGACTCGGCCCAGCTGGTGTTTGTTGCAGGGGAACCTGTGCAGACTGGGACTCTTCAGGATCAGGCCCCAGACGTGGTTCAGGTGATGCCTGAGGCAAAGGATCCAGTGCAGACTGAGTCTCCTCTGGTTCCGAGTCTGAGTCGCAGGCCATCACACTTCCCACCATTCCTCTACACCCAACCAATCTAGGACACTGACTTGGTCCGCTTGCTGCCAGTAACCCTTTCTCTCCCTGCTACAGGGCCCAAGGCCAATCTGTGCCAGCAGTGCAACAGCTGGTTCCCCGACGAGAAGTACCTCCAGCACCTGGTAAGCTTCCTGGCTCCATCTCACCACCATGGGGGCTTTGACTGGGGCCCATGAGAGGAGGCAGAGGAGGCTCTCCAGGACAGGTGGCCGAGTGAAGGGACTGCAACAGGGTGGCAATTTGTGACACCTGCCAAGTCACTGGAATCTCACCAGCCAAACCCTTGGACCCTGGGATGGGGAGGTCAGTGGGACACATTCCCTCTCAGGCAGCTTTCCTGGGGGGCTGTGTGCCAGTGGTGGGTGGGGCCAGAGGCAAAAGTGGGCATGGCCAAATGCAAAAGTGGGTGGAGCAGTGGATAGGAAGCTTTGTCTAGTAGTATGTAATGGGGGGGGGGAGTCAGTGGCTTGTACACCACACAAATGAGCCACAACACACGCACCAACATCACGGTGCAAGGGCCCATTCCAGCCACCCCAAGGCTTTGAGGGCACAGAAGACGGCTGTGGTCTGCAGAGACTCCCAGGGGCCGGTTAAAGGGCTCAGGAGGGCCACATTCAGCCTGATATTCCCCAGCCCATTTTGCCTACTGGGTTGTGACCCCCTCCCCATGATTAAAGATCCCCCTCCCTGCTAGGGTAAAGTTGGGGGGGGGTTGGCTCCTTCCCACCTGAAAGTCACCCAGCTTGGGGTGTGGGGAGGCTGTCTGCACAGCAAAGACCCACCCCAAGCCTTTTGCCCCCATGTGTGGGACTCCAGCCAGCTTCCTTTGGGGAAGGGGTGTGTCCGGCTGAGTCAGCCCCTCCCTGGCCCTGACTCTGCCCAGCTCCACCCACCCTTTTTCTCCTCCGCAGAACGAGTGCAGCCCCCTCTCTCAGCTCCTGGGGGCCCTCAGCACCCGATCATCCACAGAGCCCACCTCCCCTCTGTCCGCCTCGAGCCCCCTGACCCCAGCCACTCCGCCCCCCACCCCGAGCCCGGCGGCCGAGAAGGATGTCCGGCCCAAGATAAAGGAGAAGGAGCTGTCTTCCCTGGGGAGACCCTCGATGAAGCCCTCTCGGCCCAAGAAGTCCTCCAGCCGGCCGGCCTTCACCTCCACCCTGCCCCAGGCCCTGGGGGACGAGGAAGAGGCCGCCACAGCCTATGACCAACTGGCCACCTGCTCCCAGTGCAACATCCTCCTGCCCAGGCCCACCCTGCAGAAGCACGAGGTGAGGAGGGGGAAGGGAAGAGGAAGGCTTTGGCTGGGTGGAAATGGGGGGCATTTGCAGATTGCAAGTGGAGGGGTAGCTCTCCACCTGAATCCCACCCCCAGGTTCTCAAGAGGGGCACCGCCAGAGAAAGAGACCTTCCTCCAGGAGGTCTCCCCTTTTGTTGCTCCTTCTTGGGCTTGCAAAAGGCCACCGGCCCTCCCCACCTGAAAGACTCATAGAATTGGAAGGGACCAGGAGGGCCATCTAGTCCAACCCTCTGCAGTGCCCAGCGTGGCGCTCAAACTCTCGACCCTGAATGGGAGTTGGAGTCCAGCAGCGTCCACAGGGGGCCCCAAAAGGCTCGCCACCCCTGGCCTGAAAGTTTCGACTTTTGTGGGGAGGGGCTGTGCTTCCTTGCCCCCAGGTTGAACAGTGGCGCCACCTGCTGGCTCTTCCTTGACAGCAGGGGGGGAGAGTTCCTACAGAAGTTTGGCCAGTCTGGGTCATGTATCTGCCTGTATAAACCTCCTGTTAAGGGGAATAGGGGGTCTAAGCCTGCAGGGGGAGAGACCTTCACCACCACCTCCTCTCCTTCTTCCAGAAAAAGTGTCGACGGGGAGCTTCTTTGCAGGCCCTGCGACGGAGCCCCCGGATCCTGAGGAAAGGAGGTATGTATTTATTTTATTCATTGATTGCATTCTGTTGATATCTGTCGCTCAAGGTGACGTACGTACATGGATCTCCCCCTCATTTAATGCCCACAACAGCCCTGCGAGGTAGGCTAGGCTGAGAGGCAGGGACTGGTCCAAGGTCAACCAGTGAGCTTCATGGTCAAGTGGGGTGAGGATTTGAACGCTGTTCTCTTCCAGTCCTCGCCTGATGCTCTTGCTACTCTGCCATGCCTTATTTCAGGCAGAATCTACCCTGACCCCTCTCCCCCGGTCCAGGGAGGATACATGAGCAGGGGCAGAGCCTCTGGTCTCCTCCTGCTGTCGCTGCACCCCTGAGGGAAGGAGGGGACTGAAGGAGTAGAATAGGAATAGAATCATAGAAGAGACTGCCAAAGGTCATCTAGCCCATGAGTAGGCAAACTAAGGCCGGGGGGCCGGATCTGGCCCAATTGCCTTCTAAATCCAGCCCACGGACAGTCCAGGAATCAGTGTGTTTTTACATGAGCAGAATGTGTGCTTTTATTTAAAATGCATCTCTGGGTTATTTGTGGGGCATAGGAATTCATTCTCCCCCCCCCAAAAGAAAATAGTCTGGCCCCCCACAAGGTCTGAGGGAGTGTGGACCACCCCCTGCTGAAAAGGTTTGCTGACCCCTGATCTAGCCCAACCCTTCTGCAATGCAGAAATCCCTGACAGATGGCCATCCGACCTCTGTTGAGAAACCTCCAATGTCCGCCACCTTCCACCAGTGAGCGGCCTTCACCCTCAGAAAGCTCCTCTGTCCTTTGCTGGGTTTGGGGTTTTTTACACCTAGAGTGTCATCTCCAACCCCTGTTGGTGGACCTTGAAAGCTTGCAGTGTCTCTTGGAGGGCGATTGATCGATCCATTTCTCCCTCCAAGCGGGAGATCCAGTGCATGCTGTGCCCACCCCCACCCTCAGGATGCCCTCCCAGGGACCACAGGGGATTGCAGACCCCATTTTGTGTATCTGCTGCCCTTTTCAACCCCCCTCCCCACCCGGCAGGCCCACAAGGCAGCTTCCAGGAACAAGGGGTGGTCCAATCTAGGGAGCCACTTTGGGAAGAGGCAACCTCAGCAAACGCCCTTCGCTGCTGCGGCAGACAGGAAACAGCCAACACGCTTTTGGGGTGTTGTACAACTGTGTGTGTCCTGCTTTGCCTTCTAGCCTGGCTATGTATGGCATAGGACATACACACACACACTGCCCCATAGCCATTGCTGAAGGCCCCCAGACTCCCCTGAAGAAACAAATCCTGCTGTGGAACTGAGCCTCCTTTGCTCATCTTGTCTTGCAGAGGAGTCGAAGTAGAGAGACATCCCTCTTGCAGGAAGATCCCTGGGCAGCGGCAATCACATCTCCCACCACTGGGCGTTGGGCCAGCCCAGATTTTTTTGCCTCCCTGCAGGATCAGGTTCAAAGTAAAGCGCTTTGCAACACACAAGCCCCACTCTGCCTTATTGAGAATAAAAGAGCTACGATTCGCACCCGTGACTGAGTGCAAAGAGCCACTTTGGGATTGACTCTGGCGGAAAAAGAATCACAGAGACTTGCGGGGGTAGGGGGCAGACAAGGGTGTTGTTGAGGTGACTCACCTTGAAGCCCCCACAGTGAATGGGACCCACATCCTGCAGCTTCCATAGCCAGCCCAAAAGCAAGGAATGTGCCACCCCTCAGCTGGCCAAGCCCCTTGACCAGTCTTGTTTGTGGGATCAGTCTGTAGGGCTAGGCGATGCCTCTCTGCCTAAGGTGGGGAGGAAGAAGCAGCCAAAATACATTTTGGGCATGGTGATATGTTAGCATATCCCAATATTTAGCTGCTGATACATCACGATTTTGAAAACCAAATATCGGCCAGTCCTACTGACCATACCCTGCCCCAGAACAAGGGTCTGTTTCTATGTGTTACAGTGGGGAGAGGTGGCTTACAAGGAACCCTCGGCTTCTACTTTATTGTCCCATATAAAGTTTAAAGCGATTTGAGCCCCTTTGTGTCCATTCGGGGTTGTGTAGGGGGGGGGGTCTGTGGAGCGCAGAGACTGCACCAGCGCTGCTGCGAGGTCAGAAGTTGTTGATGGCAATGGACTCCCTCATCTGCATGCAGAGGACCTCATCGATGTAGATGGTGTTTGCTTTGACTTGGATCTCCTCCTCCAGAGACAGCTGGCGGCGGTTCAGGCCTTTCAGCTCGGCGTCGGCCTGGGCCAGGGTCTCCTTCAGCCTGTAAGGGAGGAGCAGAGGGAAAGAGGGTCACGGGCCTCTGAGGGGGACTAAATAGGGCAAGCAGACCCTCCTTGCTCCTGGCTCCACCAGAACTCTCCATCTGAGATGGTCTTTGACCGTAATAAATTATCTCTCTATCCATCTTGACACCTGCGGGTGAATACATTTGCCCACAGACTGATGGGAGCATTACGCCCAACATTCCACTTGAGAATTATGGGAAACAACCAAATTCGCATGAGAAGAACCTGCTGGTTCCAGCCAAAGGCCCGTGTAGCCCAACATCCTGTTCTCACAGTAGCTAAATATCTCTAACAGCCTAGGAATTGAGATAGACTGCCCCTACACCTGGAGGTTCCATAAAAAATTAAGGACCTGCTGGATCAGACGTCTCATCCAGCATCCCTTGGTCAACCAGATGCCCCAAAGGCAAGCCACAAGCAGGACCTGAGTGCAAGAGCCTTCTCTCCCTTCTTGTGGCTTCCAGCAACTGGTACCCAGAAGCATTGTTGCCTGTGACTTTGCAGGAGGAGCACAGCCATCGTGGCTAATAGCCATCAGTAGCCCTCTCGTCCCTCTGTTAATTTGTCCAATCCTCTTTCAAAGCCATCTCGGCTTGTGGCCATCACTCTTGCTCCTTTGGAAGGGAGTTCCATAGTTTCAACTATGAGCTGTCTGAGAAGGTCCTTTCTTTTATCCGTGCTGGATTTTCCAACTTCCAGCTACGTTGGAAGGCCACGAGAACATGCATGTGAATTTGGTTGCTTTGCATAACTTAGCTCCGTTTGCCAGGAAGGCAGGTAAGGAGGTGGTGCACTGCTACCTGGGCCCGCCCTCCCTCTCGCCCCACTAGAATCAGGCCCTGCTCAGTCCCTTTGAGTTCCTAGGGAAAATACATTAAAACATCAGTCAAATGTATAAGCCTGGGTACTTCAAGGCCCCCTGCTGAGGAACCACAAAGTGCACCCTTTGCAAGGCAGCACCCACCCACCCACTCCTGGCTGCTGCTTCGGAGCAAGGAGGGTGCTGCTACCTGCCAGGGAGAGCTCTGGGGTGGGCCTGGCCCTGCAGCTGTTTTACTTGCCTCTGGATGTTGTGGTTGATCTCGTGCACCTCCCGCATCAGCCGGTATTGCGCCTTGTCCCGGCAGAGCTCCACATTGGGCCGGTGGGTCCTTGTCTCCAGGCGGGTCTGGGCCACCTTGGCCGGCCCCTCCTTGTCCAAGATGGCTTTCTTCAGGGAGTCAATGTTCTTCTCCTGAGCACTGACCTGCTCCATCACCTTCAATCAGAAGCAGGGCGGAGTCAGGAGCAGGGCAGGAAGATCTCGGAGGACCAACTCGCCACTTCCCCTCTCTGCTGCCCCAGCTAAGTCAGAGCATAGAATCCTAGAATTGTAGAGTTGGAAGGGTTCCCCAAGGGATATCTAGTCCTGATTCCTGACAGACAGCCATCCAACCTCTGCGGGAAAACTGCCAAGGAAGGAGAGCCCACCACCTTCCAAGATGCTCCTCAGAGCTGCTACAGGAATTCTTTGCCATCCCTAAAAGGTAAAAGTAAAGGGACCCCTGACCATTAGGTCTAGTCGTGGCCGACTCTGGGGTTGCGGCGCTCATCTCGCTTTATTGGCCGAGGGAGCCGGCGTACAGCTTCCGAGTCATGTGGCCAGCATGACTAAGCCACTTCTGAAGAACCAGAGCAACGCACAGTACCTATTTATCTACTTGCACTTTGACGTACTTTCAAACTGCTGGGTTGGCAGGAGCAGGGACCGAGCAACAGGAGCTTACCCCATCACGGGGATTCGAACCGCCAACCTTCTGATTGGCAAGTCCTAAGCTCTGTGGTTTAACCCACAGCGCCACCTGCGTCCCTTTGCCATCCCTACATGGGGATTATCTTTGTGGATTGATCCTTGAAAGGAGGTGCCGTGCCTCTCAACCAAGCCCATTGCTAAAACCTGAGCACTGCAGTTTAAAAGAGTGGAAAGCTGGCTTGGGGGAGTTCAGAGCCCTGATAGGCATCAGACATGCTGCCTTCCCCAGGATTGACATAGGTAGTTTATGTAATTTTATTCGTTTATTGCAATTGCACGCTACCTTTTTCTCCAAGGGTGGTATACATTGTTCTCCACTTCCCCGTTAAATGCCCACAACACCCCTGTGGGGCAGGTAAGGCTGAGAAGCAGTGAGTGGCTCAGAGTCACCCAGTGAGCTTCATGGCTGAGCGGGGAATCATTGCTTGATCTCCCCTAGTGTGACACTGTACCCCGATGCCACACAAAAGCCCTAAACATGGTGATGGGGTGGAAAAGAGAAACCGGCGGTTTGCCCCCTTCGTTCCATCAACTCCTCCCTACCCTATGAAAAGCATTACAGTCATACCTCATGTTACATCCGCTTCATGTTACGTTCTTTCAGGTTACGTCCTGCGGCGACCCAGAAGTACTGGAAAGGGTTACTTCTGGGTTTTGCCACTTGCGCATGCGCAGAAGTGCAAATGACGTCACACGCATGCGCAGAAGTGGCGAATTGCAACCTGCATGTGCGCAGACGCGCAGCTGCGGGTTGCGCTCTTTTCATGTTGCGAATGGGCCTCTGGAACGTATCCCATTCGCAACCAGAGGTACCACTGTATTCAGAACAGTGGTTTACACAACCCACTATGGAAGACAATAACACAGTAAAAGAAGAAAAACTGTAGCAATTGCACATATTAAAACGATATCATTTAATGAAAACAGATGCACTCAATCCAGTAATGTGATGCCACCTCTTCAGAGCCTGATACTGACAGCTCCACTGCCCCCCTAGGGAATTCCACTGCCCCCCCAGGGGTGCTCCTACTCACTTAGGGAACCACCAGGCTAAGTGGTGACCAGATGGAGCTTTCGCTGCTGCCGGTCCAGTGCTTACCTTGTCCAGGTGGTCCTCCAGTTTGGCCTTAGCGCTCTTGGTCTCCTTCAGCCGGTTCCGGAAGGCGACGTTGACGGTGTTGATCTGCTTGCGCAAGTCACTGGCCGCCTGGGAGAGGATGCTGTCGATCAGGGCCCTCAGCGCTAGGGAATTGTTGCGTTGTTGGTCGGCCTTTTCCACATTCATGTTCGAGAAATCCTCCCATTCTTCGGGGCTCACCGAACTGCCGGGGGAATGAGAGAGGGGGAGGGAAGTGGGGGGGTCACTACTAGCTGGCCTGCCCTAAATCTTCAGGCTCAGGAAGGGGAGAGAGGTTCGGGGGTGGTGGTGGTCCCAGTGATGCTAAATGTTATGAGAATTATAAGGTCTAAGATATAAAATAAATGTTCATAAATGTACCAGGCAAAAACATACATAAATATATAAACCACATGTCTGAAACAGTACAGGAAAACAGTCCTGAAACCATTTTGACTCTCCCAAATTGACCTCAAATGTTTCTCTGCAAAAAGGAATGAAATGGGAAAAGCCTCCCCATTGTCTCTGTGCTCACAAATCCTGCCTTAAGGGCACATTTGTGTATGAATAGGGTGAGCCTGTGACCTTGATTCAGGAACTGAGCATTTACCATCACAAAAGAATGGCCAGGATGCCCAGGTAAAAGCAATCAGTGACCATTATCAGGTATCCTGGCAGACAGGTTTTCTGCTGTAGATGTATATATGATGTTTTAGGGGGGTGGTACTGAGCTACAGGGGAGGCAATTTCTATATAAGAGCTTGCACACCAATGTTCTGGGTTCCTCCTCCCTCCTTCGTGGGGGTGGGGTGAGCACCCTGTTGCAACAGTTTAATAAAGATCATGCTTACTAGCTGCTTTGCTTCTCAATATTCTCTGATTGGCCTCTGTTATTTTTCTCCTACCGATAGAGGACCTACATAAGGACTCTACACGGGCTCTTGGGTACCCCATAAGGGAAAAGGAGCAGGGTTTTTTCCCCCTTATAACACTAAATAAACAGTATTGTTTCTGAAACAATACTGTTTCTGGCCCCGTCTTATTCAACATCTTTATCAACGACTTGGATGATGGACTCAAGGGCATCCTGATCAAATTTGCAGATGACACCAAACTGGGAGGGGTGGCTAACACCCCAGAGGACAGGATCACACTTCAAAACGACCTTGACAGATTAGAGATCTGGGCAAAAACAAACAAGATGAATTTTAACAGGGAGAAATGTAAAGTATTGCACTTGGGCAAAAAAAATGAGAGGCACAAATACAAGATGGGTGACACCTGGCTTGAGAGCAGTACATGTGAAAAGGATCTAGGAGTCTTGGTTGACCACAAACTTGACATGAGCCAACAGTGTGACGCGGCAGCTAAAAAAGCCAATGCAATTCTGAGAAACTAAAAGATAAAGTGCGAGACTGGCTTCATTATTATCAAATAAGAGAGGCTTATAATTTAGACAAAAACATTGGCTTCCAGGTGGAAAAATCAAAGTTGGAAACAGAACTGTTAGATCCTAAAACAAAGATACTTTCAAGAATGTATAACTTGCTGTTAAAATGGAACACTCAGGATGAGACGGTTAAATCTGCTATGATTAAATGGGCACAGGACATTGGACATAACATTATGTTTGCTGACTGGGAACAGTTGTGGACCACAGGTATAAAATTTACGGCATGCAATGCCCTAAGAGAGAATATTATGAAAATGATATACAGGTGGTACATGACCCCAGTCAAGCTTTAAAAATCTATCACTTACCCGATAATAAATGTTGGAAATGTAAAGAAACTGAAGGTACATTCTTTCACCTGTGGTGGACGTGCCCAAGGATTAAGGCTTTCTGGGAGATGATTTATAATGAATTAAAAAAGGTATTTAAATATACCTTCTTGAAGAAACCAGAGGCCTTTCTCCTGGGCATAGTCGGCCAATTGGTGTCAAAGAAGGATAGAACTCTCTTTATGTATGCAACAACAGCAGCAAGAATACTTATTGCAAAGTATTGGAAGACACAAGATTTACCCACTCTGGAAGAATGGCAGATGAAGGTGATGGACTATATGGAATTGGCGGAAATGACTGGCAGAATCCGAGACCAGGGAGAAGAGTTGGTGGAAGAAGATTGGAAGAAATTTAAAGACTATTTGCAGAAATACTGTAAAATTAATGAATGTTAAAATGATGTTGGATTGAAAATAAGTGGTTTAGGTAATAAGGTTAAAAAGAATATGCAAATACAGATAGTCATATGGACAAAAATATATAGTTATAATAGGTTAAGTCACAGAGTAAAGATAAATGAAAGAAGGTAAGGATTTGCTGAAAGGATTTTGTAAACGGGAATACAAAAAGGGGAGGTGTGAGGAGGTCAAGGAAATAAGTAAATGAGCCTAAAGATATTGAAAAATGGATTTTTCTTTAATTTTTTTTTAAGCCATCTGTTTTTTGTATTTTGTATTTCCTTTTTTTTCTCTTCTAGGATTTTTTTTCTTTTTTTGGTAATTTTTTGTATTTTTCTTGTTATCTTTTTTCTTTTTCTGTCTATGTTTTCTTTTTAGTTTGTTAAACCTATGTTTATTGTAAAATCCTAATAAACATTTTATAAAAAAAAAAAAAATAAAAATAAAAAAGCCAATGCAATTCTGGGCCTCATCAATAGGAGTATAGCATCTAGATCAAGGGAAGTAATAGTGCCACTGTATTCTGCTCTGGTCAGACCTCACCTGGAGTACTGTGTCCAGTTCTGGGCACCACAGTTCAAGAAGGACACTGACAAACTGGAACGTGTCCAGAGGAGGGCAACCAAAATGATCAAAGGCCTGGAAACGATGCCTTATGAGGAACGGCTAAGGGAGCTGGGCATGTTTAGCCTGGAGAAGAGGAGGTTAAGGGGTGATATGATAGCCATGTTCAAATATATAAAAGGATGTCACATAGAGGAGGGAGAAAGGTTGTTTTCTGCTGCTCCAGAGAAGCGGACACGGAGCAATGGATCCAAGCTACAAGAAAGAAGATTCCACCTAAACATTAGGAAGAACTTCCTGACAGTAAGAGCTGTTCGACAGTGGAATTTGCTGCCAAGGAGTGTGGTGGAGTCTCCTTCTTTGGAGGTCTTTAAGCAGAGGCCTGACAACCATATGTCAGGAGTGCTCTGATGGTGTTTCCTGCTTGGCAGGGGGTTGGACTCGATGGCCCTTGTGGTCTCTTCCAACTCTATGATTCTATGATTCTATGATTCAACAAGATTTTCTCTCTAAGGAATTGGGGCGATGAATCCATGTGGAACTCTGATGTGGCTCTGCCTCTGAAGATGGAATATCGTCCCAGCTGTCTTCTGCTCAGGGTTTTCCAAAGCATAAAAGTTGGTGCCTCCTTCAAAACAGGCAGAGAGAGATTGTGTGTGTGTGTGTGCTTATGTGTGGGGTGCCCACGTCAGCCTCTGTCCTTGGGGAAGAAGTATGGAACAGCATCCGCCTTGCAATGGAAGGTCCAAGGGACAATCCCCATTGGCAGCATCTCCACATAGGGCTTAGAATGCCCTCAGTCTGAAACCCTGGAAAGCCAGCACTGCTGCCAGTCAGGGTAGACAACACTAACCGAAAGGACCAACGGTCCTGATGCAGCATAAGGCACTTTCCTGTGTTTGTGGGTACGGTACTAGTTTGTCCTTATCAAAAGAATTAATCTGATGGTGCATGGTGTTAATCTACTCAGCAATCAACAGACACTTTGTTTATTTTGCGGGGGACTGACACTGCAATTTCAGAGCTGCAATTTCAGGTGTTTCCTCCTGGAGGGAGACACACACATTCCCACAGCTGGTCAGGGTGTACACACCTGTCTAGCCCTTACCAGAGGGCAGCAGCGGGCAAAGAGGCTGCAGTTACATTATGATTCCACCAGATTGTGGGAAATCTTGGGGAGAAGGAAAGGCTAAGGAGAAAACCCTACACAAATCCGGAGTCCTTAAGATGTGCCTTGTATGCCTCCTTCCAACAACTCCTTGCAGCCAAGCTGGTACCAAACATTGCTCTGCTTCCCTTTGAACCACATCAGCAAGGTCGAGAGGGGGTCTTGTTGTCTGGGCAGTCCAGGAGCTCCATACACACTGCCCAGCCTTGCACCCCTGCGAGTTCACTTTGCTGCTGCTAACACAGCAGTTTGACTTCACCCGCAGAGGCACACTCCATTGTCTTGAGACAGACAGATGCCAGCAACAACAATTGGAAGGCGGGTAGAAAGAGCCTGAGGTTATGTCACCTGGTCAATACCACCTGGGCAACAGAGGGCAGAAAGCAGCAGAACCTTTTTTGGGAAGCCAACTCCATTGCTGCCCCAAAGAACTGCCGACCCCATCTGTTCCCACATGGGGCAACTCTCTCCTTGCCCCACACATTGTTGAAGTGAAGCGAGCTCCACAAGAGTTCAGCTGCCCCCGTTGTGCACCTGCCACCCTCCTCCTCAACCCGCCGTGAGACTCACTTCTCCTCGACCTTCAGGACATTCTGGGCGCATCTGATATCCGGCGTGTTGTTGTTGAGGTTGGAGCAATAGTTGTCGATGTTAAAGGCGGTGTATTTGTCCTTCAGGTCCTGCTCCAGGTTGTACTTGGCGGAGCGGTTGAGCCTGGAAGAGGAAAATCAGCTGTTGGATGGGGAAGAGAATGGGGCAGAAAGGGGGCGGAAGGCAATGCCAGGCTGCAGTGGTGATCAGGTGTGGAACAGAAGTATCATCACTGCTTGCTGTTATTAAATTTATTATCCGTCTTTCACCTGCAGAGTAGACAATACTGAAGGAGATTGTTCCACCTGCAACCCATCCACACATCCTGGGAATAGCTGTATACACACACACACACTTTTCCAGCCCTGCCCACATACTCTCCAGAATCCCCACTCTCTTCTCCCCACTCTCTGCCTGCCCCCCAATGCCCCCCCCCAATACCTGACTTGCTCAATGGCTTGCTCCAGCGTCCTCTCTAGTAGAGCGACGACTCCCTGAAGGACCTCGACTTCCTTGATCAGTTCCTGTTCCACCTCATCATGGACCAGGTCAATCCCAACGCGCCTCTCCCTGGAGCAGAAAAAAAGAGGAAAGGAGGAGGAGGAGGAGGAGGAGAAGAAGAAGAAGAAGAAGAAGAAGAAGAAGAAGAAGAAGAAGAAGAAGAAGAATGGGAGTTTGGATTTGATATCCCGCTTTATCACTACCCTAGGGAGTCTCAAAGCGGCTAACATTTTCCTTTCCCTTCCTCCCCCACAACAAACACTCTGTGAGGTGAGTGGGGCTGAGAGACTTCAGAGAAGTGTGACTGGCCCAAGGTCACCCAGCAGGTGCATGTGGAGGAGCGGGGAAGCGAACCCGGTTCACCAGATTACGAGTCCACCGCTCTTAACCACTACACCACACTGGCTGTATTGAGCATTAAGAGCATAAGAAGAGTCCTGCTGGATCAGGCCAATGACCCATTTAGTCCAGCATCCCATTCTCATAGTGCCCCCCCCAGATGCCCCAGTGGCCTGCAGTGCAGAGGATTGGACTATATGACCCACTGACTCCCTTCCATCTCTGCAGTTCTATGATTCCACTTGGGAGAGGCCAGAATAATGCCCCCAATATATTCCCACGTCCTCACCGGTTCAGGAGACACTGCTGAGAGATGCAAAGCGGCTGCTTGAAATTTTCCAGTGCCTTTTCCAGCCGCGTCTTGAACGACAGCAGCACCTCCGTCTCCTTCACAAGCTGGTCGAGTTTGTCATCCAGTTGCTGCTTCCAGAACTTTATCTCCTCGAGCCTCTGCTCTGCGGGAAGAGAGGGAGCCAGGTGACGCCCAGGGGAGAAGCCCACAGCACCAAGGCCTCTGGCGGTGGCGGGGCCTCTGGGCTCAACTTAGAGAAAACCCGTGCTTTGTGATTGCTTTTTAAAAACACACAAATAAGCAACTAAACCTCATGGCTACAGATGAAGGTGTGGAATCAGACTGGACTAGATCACCCTCTGGGTCTACAGGCCAGTGAGTCAATACTCCTTGGCTTCCAAAGGGTGAAATGAGCAGCTGTCCACTGCTGAAGACAGAATGCTAGGAATTATGGGCCTTTTGCCTGACTCAGCAGTCAGTTCAGGGTGAGATATAATAATTTATTATTTATACCCCGCCCATCTGGCTGAGTTTCCCCAGCCACTCTGGGCGGCTTCCAATCAAATGTTAAAAACAATACAGCATTAAATATTAAAAACTTCCCTAAACAGGGCTGCCTTCAGATGTCTTTTAAAGATAAGATAGCTACTTATTTCTTTCACATCTGAAGGGCACCACAGGGCGGGCGCCACTACCGAGAAGGCCCTCTGTCTGGTTCCCTGTAACCTCACTTTTCGCAATGAGGGAACCGCCAGAAGGCCCTCGGCGCTGGATCTCAGTGTCCGGGCTGAACAATGGGGGTGGAGATAGGGACCCCCAAGAAGATTCCACCTTTTGTAGGGAGGCCCAAGGGAGGCCAGTGAACTGACCCTTCTCCCCAGCAGAAACTAAGCCTCCTCCACAGACAACCCCACCCCAACCTACCTATCCTCTTATTGACATCGCTTTGGGTCTTCTGAGTGGTCCTCTCGATTTCATCCACTAGACGCTGGCTCTCGTCCAACAAGCGCTCGGAGCGACACCTCTCAGCCTCTGCGCTGCTGTACTGGGCCTTGTTGGCGATGTGCCACTCGGGGGGCAGGAACTTGGGGGGCGCTTGCAGGAGCTTGGCCATGCTCCCTTCTCAGGAAGGTCCTTCAGGGAGAGAGGGCAGTTCAGCACCTGGAGAAGGAGATTCAGACGGAGGAGGAGGAGGAGGAGGAGAACTGGATTTTCTTCAATTAACTACACCACTTGTGGTGTTTAAGACAACTTTACTTGGTCAGAACAACAGCAGCCGCTGGGGAACCCCGCAAAGCGGAGTCCACCAGAATATAGGTTACACAGGCTGATACAGGTCTACTGAGAGCAGGTTTGGCCCCAGTGAAAAAAATGGTTCGGGGTCCCAACCAGCTAAAAAAACCTTCATTGCCATGGGAACAGGTAATGCGGGCACGGAGGAGGGGCTCCAGAATGTGGCTGCGATTGGCTGCTGCCACTTCAGAACCCAAGGAAGAGGGAATGAATGAATGAATGAATGAACCACCTAAAAAGCATTACACAGGATATAAAAGAAATGTGTGATCTTGGTTAATGATAAGTATGTTAATATTTGTTACCTGTTGAGAATGTTAAGATCCTAATGACTAATCTCAGTACAGTGGTACCTTGGGTTACAGACGCGTCAGGTTACAGACTCCGCTAACCCAGAAATAGTACGGTACTTCGGGTTAAGAACTTTGCTTCAGGATGAGAGCAGAAATCGCCCACTGGAGGCGCGGTGGCAGCGGGAGGCCCCATTAGCTAAAGTTAATCAGGTTAAGAACAGTTTCAAGTTAAGAACAGACCTCCAGAACGAATTAAGTTCATAACCCGAGGTACCACTGTACTATAACCATACGCTTCAAATGTTAAACGTGGGTGGAGCACAGCGTGCATCACACCACAATTTTGCTGTTCACTTACGAAAACGAAAACCTACAAATGTGATTGCATTTCGCAGCAGTGTCATACTGTCAAAGTGCAGAAGCAAATGTTTGTACAGAGTCGGAAACGCTCAGTCCATGGTACAAGTACACAAGCCATTATTCAGAAGTGTGTGTGTGTGTGTTACATAAAGCATATGCAAGATATTCGAGGTCCAGACCCCCCCTTCTGAACCACCAAAAATTTGTACCTGCTCTCCTCACACACCTGCGGCCCGCCCCTTGCCAGCCCTGAGTTTATAGAGAGGCCTTCCTTCACCTTAGTTTTACACAGGCATAAAAAGTAAGTCACATTCTCAGAGAAAAAGCAGGTCTTCATGATCAGAGCAGGATTCCTGATTCAGCCAGGGAGCCTCCTCTCTATCAAATTGGCTCAAGACTGAGTTTTTCCTGCACATACATTCTAAATACAGTCTGGCTTCAAGCACCAGGCCTGTTGGCAAACCACTTCTGTGTTACAAAGGGGGGCACAGAAGGGGCAAGTATATTTTTAGGAGAGCAAGGAAGAAAAAACGACAGCCTATTAATACCAGCAGTTCTGAAATAGGGGGGCGAGTTCCTTGGTTTTTTTGGGGGGGGGGATTGCTCACACCCCCCTCTGGCGCCGCCTACCAGGACCACCCTCCGTTGCTTGGGAGAGGGGAGAGGCTTGGACGGCGCCGCTTTCAGCTCAGATTGGGGGGTGGGGTGGCGGGGATTTAGGATCCCAGCGCGCAGCCCCTCTTTGGCACTGGATCGCCTGCTTGCAAAAACCCTGAGGGCTCTAAATCTAGACCGAAAGAAGACAGCGAAGAGGATTAAGGTTTAAGAAGCCAGATCACCTTTCCGCAGCAGCAGCAGCAGCTGTCGTCCTCGGCGCGCGCGCTCGAAGCATCAAAAGCTGAAGCGCTGAGCAACAAACCCGTCGCCATGGGGACGGGTAACGCGGGATCGCGGCAACGGGGGCGGAGTTCCAGAATGCGGCCGCGATTGGCTGCCGCCGCCTCCGAACCCGCGGAGGAGGGAAGGAATGAATGAACGAACCCTGGAATGAATGAAAAGGCGCGAAGCCTGGAAAACCGCGAGGGCGGCGTTTCTACCACTGGCCAGGACGGGGAGGACGGGCGCACGGCACATGCTCAGGGGCGCCCTCGTTCTCCAGGAGAAGTGGAAAGCGACTGGAGTTCTTTATTATTATTGTAGTGTGGGGAATGGGGGCCATGACAGAGGCATTTATAAAATGACGCGTGGTGTGGTCAGAGGACGGCTTTCCTTCCCCTCTCGTAACACGAGAAATCTGTGGGACGCTCCAAAGACACTGAAGGCTTGATTGATTGCATTTATAGCCCACATTTTTCTCCAAGGAGCTCAAGATGGTGCACATGCTTCTCCTCACCCTCTTCTTTTAGTCCCCACAACAACCCTCTAAGGTAGGCTAGGCTGAGAGGCTGTGGCTGGCCCTCAAAGGCACCCCCAGTGAGATCTATGGCCGAGTGGGGATTTGAACCCTGATCTCTCCCAGGTCCTAATCCAACTCTCTAACAACCATGTGTGTGTGTGTGTGTGTGCGCGCGCGCGCGTATATATATATATATATATATACTGTATATAATATATATATATATATTATTGTACTTTCGCGTAGCAGGATTGGACAGACAAAAGGAAGACCCTTCACAGCGCAGTTAACCTGTAAAAAGAGGATTAGTCTAATTCCTGGAGGACAATAAGCCTACTAAAGGGCTAACCAACCATGATGGAGGCTGTGCTCTGCTGCCTTCACCATCAGAGGAGGCAGCGTTCACTCTAGTTGTCGGTCTCTACTGTCATCCGTGTCCTGCTTCCTTCCAGCTATTGAGGAACCAGGGTAGCTAAAGAGAACCTTCCTACTCTGGACCACTCTACCTCCTATGACTGCGGGGCGCGGGCAGCAAAAGTCCTTTCTTGAAGCATGGCCTCGCGCATGCGCCAATGCCAGCCGAATGTGGTGGGGGGAGGGAAGCATCCAACTCGGCCACCCGACTTCGCCTCTGCGCTCAGCCAATCGCATGCTCTCTGGGCCTCGCAGCTGCCAATCCGCGTGCCCCCTGAGGCTGGCTCGAGCGGCCCGCGCCACTATTAATATTCATGAGGGGCTTATGAATATTGTAATCGAGCCGAGGAGCCGCCTCAGCCTCACAGTCGCCTGGGCGTGTCGGAATGGCCGAGACCTCGGAGCCTGGCGGGGCTCGAGCCCCTCCGGTGGCCGCCGCCGCCCCCGGCCGGCCCAAATTGACCCACCCGGGCAAGGCCATCCTGGCAGGTGAGGCAGAAACGGCCGCGGCGGCCCCTCCCCCGCACCCACTTTCCGTCCCCCGGGCGGGCGGGCGCAGAACACACTGCGGTGCGGAATGAGGGGAGAGGAGGAGGAGAACGTCCCTTTGGTTGACGGCGCGACCTCCCGGTCCCACCGGCGCGGGCGGGTTGGCGTCCCTTCGCTTCCCCGTGGCTCCTCCTCGCCTTTGGCCCCCGGGAGCCCCTCTCTGGCCCGGAGGCTGAAGGATGGGTGGAGAGAACCCTTCAAAGGACCGTGTTGCTCAGTGGGCACAGCACCTGCTTCTATCTGCAGAAAGCCCCCGACGCAGCATCTCCAGGGGTGGGAATGGTAGAGGACCTCCCGACGGGCACCCTAGAGAGGCGCTGCCAGTCAGTGCCGGCAGTACTGAGCTAGGCGAACCATCATCGCCCTCCTTTGGTGCAACGCGGCTTCCTCTGCTGACTCTCTTGAAGCACCACCTGCCCTGCAGAGCAGTACACAGCAGGCTGACTCTTCGGGCACGGAGCATCCCTCTTTTCTCCACGCAGATCAGGGCCCAGCTCACTGACGCCTCACCCCCTTTTCTCTCTCCTGCTCAGGCGGCATTGCGGGGGGCATCGAGATCTGCATCACCTTCCCCACCGAGTATGTCAAGACGCAGCTGCAGCTGGATGAGAGGGCCAACCCACCACGCTACAGGAGCATTGGTCAGCCACCCTTTCCACCCCTTGGAGCGGGCTGGCCAGAGTCCCAAGGCCTTTGCATGGCGGGGGGTTAGACTAGATGACCCTTGGGGATCCCTTCAAAGTCTACAATTCTACGACTGGCTGTTCTGATCCCCTGCTGGGACTCCCCTCCTTGTTCTGGTTTTGTTTAGACCCAGTCTCCCTATCCAAGGCAGGTTGGTGGGTGGGCCTAATATCTTCTCAAGCACTTGCTGTTAGATTCAGCCCTTTTCCTTCTCAAGAACAAGGCATGTTTGTTCTCCCAACAAATACAGTCATACCTCGGGTTGAAGTAGCTTCGGGATGAATATTTTCGGGTTGCGCTCTGCGGCGACCCGGAAGTAATGGAGCGTGTTACTTCCGGGTTTCGCCGCATGTGCAGACGCTCAAAATGACATCATGCACATGCGTGGAAGCGGTGACCCGCGCACACGCAGACACGGGTTGCGTTTGCTTCAGGATGCAAACGGGGCTCTGGAACGGATCCCGTTCGCATCCAGAGGTACCACTGTATCTCTCCACCTGACCCCCTCCTTGTGATCTAGATGGGCCACACCCCCTCTGTGAAATTGAGGCTTCCCTTGAGCCCATGTGCAGACTAGCAAGTGAAGCAGAGGCCTGGGAAGAGTTCCTCTGAAAGGGGCACATATCCCCCTTGCAGCTGAGTGGTCACAGACCCTCTGCCTTGCAATGACTTCGGATTCCCTTCCCAGAACTTTACTCAAGCCAGGAGCTCCAGGCAGCTCTCGCAAGTGAGCCAGTCCGCATTCCGCATCTCCTGTGCTCACAGCGTCTTTGGTGCCTCCCTTGCAGGGCACTGTGTGAGACTGACTGTCCAGGACCATGGCTTCCGGGGACTGTACAGGGGCCTCAGCTCCCTGCTGTACGGCTCCATCCCGAAATCTGCTGTCAGGTAGGCACCTGCTGCTCTTTATTGGAGACATCACCCTGTTGGCTTTTCTCAGACTTGCACACAGGGGCCGCTTTGGGGGTCCTAAATACAGCACCCGAATGGACTCACTAGAGCAGTGGTTTTCAACCAGTATGCTGTGGCACCCTGGGGTGCCTTGAATGATGGTCAGGGGTGCCATGGGCAACACTGGCCTCTGCCCCTCTTTCTTTCTCCTCCCTCTTCTGTTGCCCTCTCGCGTCTCTGCCTCCCATAGGCTTGCACAGCTGTTTATTGCAGCAGTCCTGTCTATAAGCTCTGCAGGCAAAGGTTGCCTCTGAGAGGCACCTCTCTTTGGGTCAGGAGGGGAAGTTCAGAGACCAGGGGTGGCGGCAGCAGCAGCAGCAGCAGCTGCCCAGAGAACTCCCAAGGAGAGGGGAGAGGAGAGGAGGCTGAGGGAACACTCCACAAAAGGGGGTGTCCAAAAAAGGTTGAGAGGCTGCCAGCTCTGCAGGCAAGAGGTGACATAACTGGGCTCCTGAGCCCCACAGGGGTGCCACAGAAAGAATGTAGTTGGTCAAGGGAGTCGTGGACACAAAAAAGGTTGAAAACCTCTGCACTAGAAGAGGATAGCATCCAAATCCTCTGTTGGGGTCTCCTTTGTCATCCCCCCCCCCCCCCCGCTGTCCATCTTAGGATGGACAGATCTAAGACGAACTCCTGTCTTCTTAAGACAGATGGACCCCCGCAGAAGGTAGCAGACTCTCCTTCATGGAAAGTTTTAAAGCAGAGGTTGGATGTCCATCTGTCAGGGATTCTGTAGTTGTGATCCCTGCATTGGGTTGGGCTAGTTGAGTCTCTGGGATCTCTTCCAACTCTACAATTCTATGATCCCATGACAGTTTGGGCCCCCTGGTTTTCTGCAGGTTTGGGGTCTTTGAGGTCCTCAGCAATTCTGCCAAGGACCCTCAAGGGAAGCTGGACAGCAAGAAGAGTTTGCTGTGTGGCCTTGGGGCTGGCGTGGCGGAGGCCGTGGTGGTCGTCTGTCCTATGGAGACCATCAAGGTAGGTAGAACTGCAAGCATTGGTTGCATCTCATGGCAGATGTGATGGAACTGCAGCCTTAAGGCAGAGGCCGGTGGGAATGAATGTGCCCCCACCCATAGGTGCCGAGTTGCACCCAACATCGGGGGGGGGGGTCCTGTTCCATGTGCATGACATCACACCCTCTTCTCCTAACATTACCTACCTGTGAGATAGGTCTGGCTGTTGGCCTGAGGTCATGCAGGAAGTTTTGTGGCTCAGTGGATATATTTTTTTCTGAACCCAGGTCTCCCTGATTGCAGACAGGTACCTTGAGCTAAACACTGCACCACCCAGGCCGAGCTTGTTGCACCATTTAGAGAGCATTCTTGGTGTGGCAGGACGGCACCTCGGCCCTCATTTTCTCCTAGCCCATTTTCACCTTCGGATTTGTTGATGAGGACAGACACAGGCAAGGAATAAGTTTGGTGTTGAATTTGTTACTCTTCATTGCCATTTGCAGGTGAAGTTCATTCACGATCAGGGGTCCCTGACACCCAGGTACAGAGGCTTTTTCCACGGAGTTCGGGAAATTGTGCGGGAACAAGGTAAGCTGGAGTGGAAATGCAGGCAGCTGTTTTTGTCTCTGCAGCAGAATAACAAAAGCCCTCATTACGGCTCCTTGGTGGCGAATTCTGCCACAAAGATCCCACCTGGACTCCTGTGTCTGGTTCTGGGCACCCCAGTTTAAGAAGACTACTGGCAAGCTGGAAGGTGTTCAGAAGATTGGCAGCTAACCATTACCCCATGCCGGTTCTTTTCTGCATGCAAAGCAGATGCTCTACCATAGAATCGTAGAGCTAGAAGGGAACCCCAAGGGTCATCCAGTCCAACCCTCTGCAATGCAATGCAAAAGCACAGAGCTATAGCCTTTTCCCATAAATAGGGGAAGCTTTGCCCAAGCAGTGTAGAGCCACAGGGGTGTCTGCCACACAGAAACCTCTGAACTCTCTCTTGGCCCGAGGCCAGGTGGACTTGAAGGAAACCAGGCAGCAGACGCCCCCCAACCAGACCTCCCCATTTTCTCTGCCCTGCAGGCCTGCGTGGGACCTACCAGGGCCTCACAGCCACCATCCTCAAGCAAGGCTCCAACCAGGCCATCCGCTTCTTCGTCATGACCTCCTTCCGCAACTGGTATCTAGGTAAGACACTCGGCTAAGCCGGGGATGAGCTTTCTTTATCCCTGTGCTGCTGCTGGTGGCAGTCCTTTCCTGCATCAGCCTGAATGCCTCTTTCTCTGCCCTTCTGCTGGGCCTGGCAGGGGACGACCCCCACAGGGAGATGAACCCGTTTGTCACAGCTGCGTTTGGGGCCACTGCGGGAGCAGCCAGCGTCTTTGGCAACACCCCCCTGGATGTCATCAAGACCAGGATGCAGGTGAGGGCACCCCCAGCCACCTCTGGGAAGGGGCTGGATTTCAGCTGCTCTTAACTCCAAACCTGCCTCTTCTCTTTCTCAAGGGACTGGAAGCATACAAGTACCGAAACACCCTGGACTGTGGCTACCAGATCCTGAAAAATGAGGGCCCTTTGGCGTGAGTGAGGCTAAACTGGCCTTCATCTTAGCTGACTTGAACTGGGGCTCTTTTGTCTGCTTTAGGCCTTTTATCTCACTTTGTCTCCTCTTTGGCGACTCAGTGGTGTTTTAGCCTTAACAACAATCTTACAAGGTAGGCCAGGCCTAGATATACTGATTTTACCAAGGCTGCTCAGTGAGCCTTGAGGCTGAGCAGCAATTTGAATCCAGGCCTTTTCTCCCCACTCTCACCCACCCACAGCCAAGCCAAGTGTACCATCTCCCACACTGTACTGGACTTTAGCACTCCAGTTTATCTTCTGCAGAGTTCTTGTGGTTGCAGCATTGACTGCCTGAACCCTTCTATCCCAGCTCGATCACTGAGATCACCTGCAGCAGCATCACCGGTCAGAGAAACCGAGCCCTTGGTGTTGCATCAGCCCAGTCCTGTGGAACTCTCTGCAACTGGAGATGCAACATGCACCTTCCGTGCCACCATTTAAATGCCTGCTGAAAGCTTTTCTATTCTGCCAGGCCTGTGCAAGCAATTGAGAATACACACCCTTCCACAATGGCTAGTTGATGGCTGTTTAAAACTTTTTTTATGGTTTTGTTTCTATATACCTCTTTGATTTTTATTTGGCTTTTTTGATACAGTGGTATAGAAGTATTTTTAAAAATAAAAAATACAGCCTGGGAGGCAGGATACCGGATGGAACCACTGTCTGGCATTTTCTCCTCTTCCCCCTCTCATATTTGTCATAAGACACACTGCCAATTCTCAGTTGTTGACATATGTGATGAAGACATTCCCCGTGCCTCCAAAAGTTCTCTGCCTTCCCTTGCAAGATGTCCCTACCTGCAGCTGCTGACTCTGCAGGCAGCCCAATCATTTAATTAGTACAGAATTGTAGAGTTGGAAGGGAGCCCCGAGGGTCCTGCAATGCAGGAATCACAGCTCAAGAATCCCCGACAGATTTGTTTAAAAATCTTATTCGTGGCTTTCATCCAGTGCGCTCAAAGCAAGTGTGTGTGGTCCTCTTTCCTTTTACCACTGCCCATTTTATCCACAAAGCAACCCTGTGAAGTAGGCCAGGCTGAGACACAGTGACGGACCCTGCCGCTCACCCAATCAGCCTAAATAGCTGAGCTATTAAAAACAGAAAATATAAGGGATAATAAAATAACTAAAAAGGAGACATTTACCAAAAATTGAAAAGAGAACCGTGTAGAGGATGAAGGAAGCCAATTGGAAGAAGAGTTGAAATATAGTATGTATATATTTTGTGGACGGGTTGTTTTGTATAAGTTTCCATAGTTATTATGTTTTATTTGTATCTTTTTGTTTTTTGTTCTGTTGCTGTTTGGTTTTTGATTGGGCGTGATTATTTTTATGTTTAGTTTGATAAGTGTGTATGTGTTGTAAAATAAACTCAATCAAAACTTACATAAAATAAATAGCTGGGCTGGGTTTTGAACCCAGGTCTCCTTGGTCCAGCCCCTCCGAGTCTCCACCCTCCAGCTGCTGTCTGATATTGGGTTAATGGGGGGGGGGCAACCTGTTGAAAACCCTTTTTCTGACTTTGGGATCTCTTCCCTTGCACAGGTTCTACAAAGGGACGGTCCCCCGCCTGGGCCGGGTCTGCCTGGATGTGGCCATCGTTTTTGTCATTTACGAGGAGGTGGTGAAACTTCTCAACAAGGTCTGGAAAACCATGTGAGGCTCTTCTGGTGCAGGAGGGGCTGGCGGACGAATCCCCGTCCCACCCAAAGCTCCCATTTCCTCTCCCTTCCCTCCCTCCCTCCCACCCACCCACCCAGGAGAGGGGGAAGCCTTCTAAGGTCAGAGGTTCCCCTCTTCCAGGATAGCCCCCCAGCAAAAGGGTCACCTTGCTCTTATTAACCTTGCCCACCCCCCATTCTCTGGGAACACTGATCGGTACTCCAAAATGCTTCCAGCTCAAGCGCCACATGGCTTTCGTATACCTATTTATGGTCAGGAGCGCATACTCTTCCTGCTACCAATTCCAGGGGTGGGGAGAGGTGCTGTCCACTCCAAGTCAGCTGTTGCCAGTGTGTTTCGGGAGCAGATGCATTACAGGAGAGAGGCTTTGCATTGCAAGCTCAAGCAAGCACAGCAGCCCCCTCCCCTCATTTAAAGAGGACAGAATCTGCCTGCATCCATTCGCACGTGCAGAGAAGCTGGATTTGTTCCTGGGGGCAATTCCTCTCCACTCTGGGAAGCAGCCATTGCACCCATTTCGAGGAAAGCCGTTGCGTGTTTCTGATGTTCGTGCCTTTTTATGTCTGTCTCTTTTTCTAACTTAGTTGCCGCTGTTATTTAAGGTTGACTTGATGTTTACAAGTTCATAAATGTTGCTTTTCAGAATAAAAGGACGAAGACCAAACAAGAGCTGCCTTTTAATATATCGAGAGAGGATTAGAAATGGCCATCTGCACCGAGCCAGGCATTATATATACTGTATATGTATGTATAAATATCAGCAAGGAAGCCTTAGCCCAAAAGGCTCGGAGCAGCTCTTGCTGGCCTGAGCAAGCCGGGAGCACCTTTTTTAGGGTGGGTCAGGGTAGGGGTAGTGGGTGCCTAGCAGAACTAAGGAGCCCTCCTCCACAGGGTGCAGAATTTTAGGGCTCATTTTCAAGCTGGGAGGGGGGCTGTTTGGGACAAGAGGTCCTGCTCAGTTTCCATATTTGGGGAACTATGCAGAGTCTTCTGCCCTCTAACCCCCTGGGGTCTTCAGGCTGGCTTCAACTAAGTCTAAAGAAGGGAGACAGAGTGAACACACACACACACACATACAAACAGCGTGGCCTGCCTTGAAGGTGGGAAATGAAAGTGGGACAAAGAGGAGCCAGGCTGGTCTTGGCAATCTGACTTGTGGCTCCTGTGGCCAATGGGGCAATTGTTCAGCTCTCAGTTTGGCCACATGGGCTGTTGCACCTTGGAGTTGGGCAGCGGAAGCAAAGTTGCCTTCACAGTAGAAGTAAAAACGGAACTGGGCTGCCCAATGCCAAACACACACACACACACACACACAGGCTGGGGGGTTCCTTCAAGAACTTACCCCTGGCCACATCTAGCACCTGGTATCCAGCCTCTGCTACTAACCTCAACTCAAGAAAACAGGGCTCAGGGGTGGGTGAGAGGGTGGCACTGAGCTCTGTTGGCACACATGATGAAGGCAGCTTCCAGGCACAGGCAGACACCCCTGGGGGCCTGTGCCCAATGGAGGAAAGGGCAGCCTGAGCACCTCCTCCAGCCTCAGCTGCTTGGAGAGAACAAGAAACCTCTGCCTCAACCAGCCAGCCCTGCCGCCACAACCCACTGGCACTGGGCCTGGGGCGGTGGCAGCCTGTGCCCGCCTGGGGCCTCCCTCCACGGCAACACAGGAAGAGGTGGGCACAGGGGAGGGAGCAACTGTTTGCTCCTCCAGCGAGCGCAGCGCCACAACCCTCTCGGCAGGCGGCCGTGGCGGCTCCCTTCACGGCCTGCGCTGGCTTCATTCAAAGCGCCGGAGGTGGTTGTAGAGGGACTGGACGTAGGTGAAGACGCACATGGGGTCCGGCTTGCGGCCCATCAGCATCATGTCGTCCACTTCGATCAGGCGGTCGCAGCCAGCCATTTTCCTGCAAGAGGCAGCCGAGAGTCAGAGGAAGGAGAAAGAAAGGAACATTGGAAGAGCCTGATGATCAGGCCAAAGGGGGCCCATCTAGTCCAGCATCTTGTTCTCACAGCGACCAACCGGATGCCTGCAGGAAACCCTCAAACAGGACACAAGCACAATTTTCTCCCCTACTGTGGTTTCCAGAAACGGATTCCAAGGCAGTGCATAGCCACTGTGACTAATAGCCCTCTCCTCCTCTGTGACCTTGCCCAATCCCCTTTTAAAGCCATCCAAGATGGTGGACATCACTTCCTCCTGTGGCAGGGAGTTCCACAGTTGAACTACATGCTGCATGAAATGCTTTTTCTCTATACTGAATCTTCCCATGTGCAGCTTCACTGCATGTTGACAAGTTCTGCAGCTTTTCCTAAACATCTTACTTGCCTTTTCTCCAAGCAAAAAGTCCCAACTGCTGCAACTGTTCCTTATAAGGGAGTCACAGAATTGTAAGTTGGAAGAGACCCAAAGGGCCATCTAGTCCAACCCCCTGCAATGCAGGAACCGTGCCCACAACCATCCCTGGTTAGCAGCCAGACACACTGACCCATTGCACCACCTGAGTCCCTGCACCCCCCTTGACCACTTGGGGGTGCCTTATTCTGGACCTTTCCCAACTCCTTTTTGAGGCGAGGCAAGCAGAACTGTACCGTTTTTCAAATGCGGTCATTCCTCAGACCTCCCCGCAAAGGAGGCTCAGGTGGACTTGCCCCAGGCCCTCCGTCTCAGAACATTTTCTCTCCCCGCCCTTGCCCTGCAAGCCCTCCCCAAATGTCAGGCAGAGGCTATAAATGCCACAGTCTTAACTGGAGAGCCTGTGCAACCAATCTCTGTGCCCACCAAGGGTGAGCTTCCAGCCCAGGCAGCCGGGAAAGCTGCAGCCAACTTACTCCGCCGTGCTGAAGGCCACTTCAAAGTTCTCCTTGCGCTTGGCGGGGTCTCGTGCTTGGTAGTCAAATTCCTCCGGGAAGAAGGAGTGGACCAGGGCACAGAATGCCATCCCGTCACTCCAACTGGAGGAGAAGTTCTGCAGGTCGATGTGCTGGTGGAGAGGAGGGGGCAGAAGTTAGAAGGAAGGAACGCTCTGTGCTATCAGGGTTACGAAGCCCCCTCCCCTTTCACAACAGGCCACGGGGCTCTACAAGAGCGAAGGAGGGAGACGGTGAGATGGGGATCCCTATTTGGCCATCAAGTTGGCTGGATATAACCTTGGGGATCAGGCCCTGCCTCTCAGCCTAGCCTACCCCACAGGGTTGTGAGGATTAAATGAGGAAGACGCCCTTACGCCACCCAGAGCTCCACAAAGGAGGAGGTGGGAGATACAGTCAACAGAATAAGCGAATACCTTGTAGCCGATGGTTTTGGATCGGCACCAGTCGAGGAGGATCTGCTTGATGCTGCTCGCACTGGCGACCCCAAAGCTCTGCGACCGCTTCAGCTTGGCCCGCCCTTCCCCTTTGCCCCTGCAGGGAAGAGCATAGATTTGTAGAGTTTGAAGGCACCACAAGGGTCATCTAGTCCAACCCCCTGCAATGCAGGTATCTTTTGCCCAACATAGGGCTCGAACCCACCACCCTGAGATTTAAGAGTCTCATGCTCTACCAACTTAGTTATTCCCAGTGTGGAGGCACGGCCCAGCCACTGGGGCTAGAAGCTGTTGATAGCAGACTCCTCCATGAGCTGGGCTGTGGCTGCCGCGAGAGTTTTTGTCCCTCCTTTGCTCACAGGAAATTTGACCATCTCGTTCACCCTCCTCTGCACACCTTCTGGCTTGTCAATGTCCTTCTTAAACTGTCATGCCCAGAACTGGACACAGTATTCCAGGTGTGTTATGACTAAAGCAGTAATATTATTACTTCCCTTGATCTGGACACTAGACTTTGGTTGATGCAGCCTAGAATGGCATTAGCCTTTCTTGCTGCATCACACTGTGTACTCACATTCAGTTTCTGATCTACTAAAACCCCTGGATCCTTTATGAATGTACTGCTGTCAAGTCAGCTGTACCCCCCATTTTATACATGTGCGTATACATATGCACCCCGCACAACTACAAATTGGGACCACAGGAGGCGCCACATACTTCCCGCTGTCCTGATCAAACTTCTCAAAGAGGGCCTTCCTGGCCTGTGTCCCAGAGGTCCGGGGCAGCGTCTGAGACCTCACCAGCTCTCTCCGTTTCTCCACCTGCCTGTGGACCGTGGGGGGTGGGGAGTGGGATTTCGGGGCTGCATCCCGCTGGTTGTCCGCAACGATGCTGTCAGAACAAGAGAAAAGGGCAAATGTCCCGTTAAAAGAGAGCTACAGATGATCAATCCTTTTGAAGGTGTGGGGGCTCCCTGAACGATGCCTCCAAGCCCCCCAGCCCCAAAGCCTCACCTTTCACTAGCCTGGTGGGCTCCATAGGTTACCGCTGACACTGACTTCGTCACGGAAGAGAATTTCTCTGCGGATAAAATGAAATGAATGAGGATGAAGGAAGGCATTTTGGTGGTTCCCCCTCCCCCCATTTACAGAACTCCTGCCCAGGTAACAACTGGCTTTTCCACTCCCCGAAAATCCTTATAGCCACATGTGCCCAGATCCCTTTAAGGTATTTATTGCTGCTAGTTAACCAGGCTCATAAACAGAGACTCCTCTTTGCTACCTAAGTCCATTTCCTCCGGTCTTTGCGGAGCCAAGGGTCCATCAATGTCCTCTAGCTAATGCAGGCCTGGTGTTTTGAGTGTCATGCAGATCCATGTAGCAGTGGCCCATAAGAGCATAAGAAGAGTCCATTGGATCAAGCCAATGGCCCATCTAGTCCAACATCCTCTTCTCACAGTGGTTGACCAGATGCCTATTGTGGGAAACCCACAAACACGACCCGAGCTCAAGAATCGTCTTCCTGGGGTATTCAGAGGCAGAGCAGAGCCATTGTGGCTAGTTGCCATCCATAGCCCTCTCCTTCATGAATTTGCCTAGCCCTTTAACGCCATCTGAGCTGGTGGCCAACACTGCCTCCTGTGGTGGGGAGGACAGTTGCATGGCTTAACCATGTCCAGCATTTGCTTAAGTCATTCTGTCTCAGTGAGCCCTGAGCAGGGTTAGGATTCCGGTGTTGCCAGGCAGGCAATTTGGCCTGCCAGTGCCTCCAAACTCAGGGTGGGCCCTGAATTCACCTCCATACTGTAATTATAGAAACCCCTTGTTGTAAACGGTGGGGCGGGGTGGGGAAAGCTTTCAGTTCGACAAGCCGGCTGACCTGAGGTGACTGCAGCGCTTCCAGTCCTCGTGGAACTTATGCTCCAATTCTTCACTGCGCTCACTGCAAAGAAGCAGAAGTCAGAAGCCTGCAGGTTTGGTTTTCATGCAAAGGAAGGCAGGCGTCTATTTATCGCAAAGAATGTGAAGAGCCCTTGAAGGATCAGACCCAGGCTGATGGACCAGGAGGGTGGGCCTCACCCCGCTCTGGCAAAAGTGTTTGAACAGTTGATCCTCTAAGCTGCTGGAAAGATTTGGGGGACCCCCTACTACAACTACAGTGGTACCTCGGGATGCGAACGGGATCCGTTCCGGAGCCCTGTTCGCATCCTGAATAGAATGTAAGACGCGACAGCCCATCTGCGTGTGCGTGGGTCACGTTTTGCCGCTTCCACGCATGATGACATTTTGAGCGTCTGTGCATGCAAGAGTGGTGAAACCCGGAAGTAACACGCTCAGTTACTTCTGGGCTGCCGCGGAGCACAACCTGAAAGCGCTCAACATAAAGCACATTCAACCTGAGGTATGACTGTACAGTGGTACCTCGAGTTAAGTACTTAATTCATTCCGGAGGTCCGTTCTTAACCTGAAACTGTTCTTAACCTGAAGCACCACTTTAGCCAATGGGGCCTCCTGCTGCCACTGCGCCGCTGGAGCATAATTTCTGTTCTCATCCAGAAGCAAAGTTCTTAACCTGAAGCACTATTTCTGGGTTAGCGGAGTCTCTAACCTGAAGCGTATGTAACTTGAAGCGTATGTAACCCAAGGTACCACTGTACCTATAACTCCACAGTAAACACATATTTAAAGGGCCTAGCACAAAGCCCTCCTGGCAATCCTGCTGGGGTCTGAGGCACAACATTCACAGGTCGCCTTGGGGGTGAGGCCCTCAATGGCTGAAGGGAGTCACATGCCTCCCACTGCCACCAGCCAGGTTCCTGCTCTTCTTTTACCTCCTTGGCTTGACGTTTTTGACACAGCCTCGCTCGGCTGCCCTCCAGGAACGTTTGGCGAGATGGGCGACCCCGTGGTTTCTCCCGAATAGGTTTCCGATACTCTGGTGACAGAGGTCACAGGAAGGTGTGGCATCCGCAGACTCACTGCCGGCTCGTGGGCCTCGGGGGAAGAATTCGGCCGGTGGAGAGGAGGAGGTCCCCCCAGTCCTGGGGGTACGGGGAGAGACGCAAAAGTAGACTGAGTGCAAAGGTCACTACTGGGGCTCTGCATGTTCATAGTGAACAGGGAAGACGCACAGCTCACGTTAATGGAAAAATTCTAGACCATCTAAAAGAGGACGGATCCCTCCAAGCGGTTTGCAACATCTTGTTTTTTCCTCCTTCTGAGATTATTATCATTTCCTGCAGCTGACACAAACATGCTATTGCTTCAAACTACTGGGACGGGGGCGGGAAGCGAGGATGGTGGCAAGAAGAATAATGGAATTGTAGAGTTGGAAGGGACCTGAGGATCATCTAGTCCAACCCCCTGCAATGCAGCAATACGCAGCTGTCCCATACAGGGATCGAACCTGCAGCCTTGGCATTATCAACGCTTAATTGCTCTAACCAACTGAGCTTTCCAGTGCTGAACATGTGTGTGTGTGCGACCCCCCTCCAGGACACAGTGCTGCTTTTGCCAAACCAGAGATACGCCTGCTGGCAAGCTGTTCTCACGGTGGCCACCAGATGCCTCTTTTGTGAAACACACAAGCAGAAGTTGAGCTCAAGAGCACTCTCCCCCCTCCTGAGGTTTCCAGCAACTGGTATTCAGAAGCATTGCTGCCTCCAACTGCGGAGGCAGAGCCAGGCCATGGTGGCCAGCAGCCATGGATAGCCCTCTCCTCCTCCATGAATCGGCCCAATCCTCCTTTAAGGCAATCCAAGTTGGAGACCACCACTGACCTGCTGTGGGATTTGCACAGTTTAACTATGTGCTGCAGGAAGAAGTATTTTCTTTTCTCCGTCCTGAACCTTCCAGCATTCAGCTTCACTGAACCTTTCTCCATCCACTTCCTCCAATTACGGCATGCATCATTTTATAAATTTCTATCATGTCGCCTCTTACTCACTTTTTCTCTAAACTAAGAAGTCCCAAATGCTGCAACCTTTCCCCGTAGGGCAGCCTTTCTCAACCTGTGGGTCCCCAGATGTTGTTGGGACTACAATTCCCATCATGCCTGAGCTCTGGCCTTGCTAGCCAAGCATGATGGGAGTTGTAGTTCAACAACATCTGGGGACCCAAGGTTGAGAAAGGCTGCCGTAGGGGATTCGCTCCATCCCCTTGATCATTTTGGTTGCTTTTTTCTGAACCTCTATGTAATTAGCTGGGGGCGGCAGGTTGCCCTCCTGAATGCTGTTTGGCTTTTGCCACTGCAGAGATCCTCCTCTGTGTTGGAGAAAGCAGGCAGGACTTTGGGGACACCTGCAAGCCAGAAGCAGCGGCTCACTGCAGCAGGTGAACAGCAAGGAGTTGGCTGCTCATTTCCTGATTGTCGAAGTTCCCCTGTTCTCAGGTTTGGGTGGAGGGAGGTGATCAGAGAAGGGAGAAAGGAGGTCCCACTTCGGCCTGATGGCTCCCAGAGCAAGGCTCACTTGACCCCATTGGCACCTTTACGCAATCCATGACTTGTGATATTTGCTTATGCCAGGCATAGGCAAACTCAGCCCTCCAGATGTTTTGGGACTACAACTCCCATCACCCCTGACCACTGGTCCTGTTAGCTAGGGATGATGGGAGTTGTAGTCGCAAAACATGCCCAGACCTGGAGGGCCGAGTTTGCCTATGCCTGGGCTTATGCTCTTGTACTCAGAAAACTTTTCAGCTGTTTCTATCCCTCCTTCATCCCCTAGGGGGATCGCAAACACAACTTTGAAAAAGAGAGAATTGAAAAAATGTTAAAGGTTCATGTTGAAAGTTGTAAATGGAGTGCTTGTAAACTGCCTTGATTTTCATTCAGACACAAGCATGAATAAGCAAACAAACACCTCCGTTGCAATAATGTAGATTTAGCTCGTCTTCCCATCTCTGGGATGGATACAGGGTGAAAGAGGGAACATGTTTAGAGACCCCATAAGCCATACCCCACTCCACCCCACAAAGGCTGCCTTGCAAGTTTGCCAGGTTTGGAGTGGGCCAAATTTGGGGCTGTTCTGGAGCGCAGCCTGTCCTTCATTTAGCTGTGATTCCTGCATTGCAGGGGGTTCAACTAATGATCCTTTGGGTCCCTTCCACCTCTACAATTTCTCCAGCATGACTTCCTTACCCCCGGAGGGCTGGTGGTGCCCATTCTCCAATGCAGCTGAGTCAGGGGCTCTCCTGCTCTTCAAGTCACTCAGATCATCTAAATCCAAACTCTGCAAAAAAAAGAAGAGAACTTTGAGAGGAGCACGTGTGGGGCCAGAACCCCAAAGAGCAGAGCTTCAAAGCTTTTCAGAATGCAGTTTTTTGGGGGGAGCGGGTGGTGCTTCTGAACCTCAAGTGTGCTGCTGACAGGGGCTCCCAAACTCCGCCCCCCCCAATGGACCACTTTAATTCTCCTTCCCGTTGTAGCAATTGTAATATGCTGTGCTAAATGCTGTATGGTTTTTAATTGATACCCCAGGTGTCCTCATAAGCAGGACATGAATGAAACAGCAGCAGCCCCCTCCCCACTGATGACCCCCCAGTCCCCACGCTTCGGGGGCACACACCTTCTGGCAGTGGAGACAGAACATAAGCATCGGAGGTCGGAGCCACTGACAGCCTTTGCCTCCTCTCTGAGTTTGTCTCACCCACTTTGAAAGCCATCCAAATTGGTGGCCATCCTTTCCTCCTGAGGCAGTGAGTCCCACAGTTTGTGAGTGTGAAGAAAGACTTTGTCTGCCCTGAATCTTTGAACCTTCAGCTTCATTGGGGTGGGGGGCTTGTTTCCAGTTGCCCACAAGAAAAAGCTGCACAGACAAAAGCTGACACATTTCTGAGAAATAATTATGTTTATCAAGTGATCTACGAAATAACAATGCAGAATCACACACACACACACACACACACACACACACACACACACAAACCACAGGATTATTATACTTGTCACTCATGCTAAAAATGTCTCCAAATATCAAAATGAACTTCACCGTAGCCAATCTGCAAGATCCAGGTCCTCAATAAAACAGACTGCACTGTTCCCCGACACCACCTGTCAAGAAATGACCAGCAGCCCTTGGTACAAAGTTAAGCCTCCAAGGAAGGAGAGTCCACCACCTTTCATGGGAGGCTGTTCAACTGCAGAACAGCTCTTACTGTCAGAAAGTTTTTCCCCATGTGTTTAGTCGGAATCTCCTTTCTTGTAACCTGAGCCCCCTCTCAACAAGGCAGCAGGAAACATTTGCCACTGCTAAGCAGCAGCTGGCCCCAGTTGCCCCGAGGCACCACCAGCGACTGCCATGAGCCCAGGATGGGCTCGCGTGACACAGCGAGGGTGCGGTGCTGGGCCCTCAGCCCCAGCCGACGTGGGGAGCACCCAGAGGTGAGCTTGGAGAGAACAAAATGCAGACCCTTCCAAAGCCCCGGCTGTCAACTTCTGCTGTCGCTGAGCGTAACATAAACCAGGCCCACTCCCTGCAAAAGCCATTAATCATGCCGATGGAAAGGCCAGAGGCTGGTTGCTGGGCTGGAGGGGGACTCCAGCTGCCTGCACTCCTCTCCTCCCCCTCCCTCCCCCCAAGGCTCAGCTGCCAAGGTGACGTAATGGCTAAGTGGTCCTGACAGCAGCAGGCGGCTCAAAGCAGGAGCCACCTGGAAGCAGGAGCACACAGCTGGATCCCTGCCTCTGCCTCCTCCACTTGGCCTTCAGAAAAACACAGCAGAGGCTGCAGGAGGGGCTGGGAGAAAATCTCTCTCTCTCTCTCTCTCTCTCACACACACACACACACACACACACACTGGCCAGGGAGATAAACAGCAGAAGCAGAAAGTCTCTGCGAGGTTTTGGCCCCGCAGCAGAGATGAGGCTTTGCAAAGAAAGGCAGATCAGGAGTCTGGGAGGGGGGCAAGGCACGGACCTCCCCATGGAGATGGCCTTGAAGTCCCCACACCGACAGATGGGGGTGGGGTGGCAAAAGCTGGAGCCAAACCAGCCGCATAAGCCTGCTAGACTAGATGTGCCCCCTTTGGTTTGATCTAGCAGGCTGTTCTTATGTCCTTATTGTGGTTTGGGTCAAATCAGGAGAACTGGCAGGCCAGAGGTTCCCAACTGCAACCCATCAACCTCCCAGTCCAGAGACTGTGCAGCTCTGAAGAGTCATGCCGTGGGGGTACAAGCAGTGTTAGAAACCCAGATATATAGGCTAGGAGCCAAATGACTCCTTAAACCAGGGTTGCAGTCACTAAAACGGAATGTCCTAGTTGCTACTCTGGGGCCAGAGGGCTCAAAAGTCGTATTTCTCAACAAGACCTTTTGGTTCTTGAAATTCGCTCCGATTGTGCAGATAAAAATATCACAGGTAGAATTCTAAAGGATGTATAGCTAGTGTGTGAAAACAGGGAAGATCCAAGGAGCCCCAGGCAGGCACCTCCAGGGGGTGGAGACATCAGGCGGCATCCTGGCACCTAGGCATCTTTACTTGGTCGCAAGTGGCTGATAGCCAGGTGCAAAATGTGCTTGGTGAAGTTCAAATGCTGGGCAGAGGGACAAATGGGGGTAGGACCCTGCCTGGGGTCCTGTCAGGTGGGTCTTCCTGGCTTCTGGAAAGCTCCTAGCCTTTGGTCCAATCCAACAGTCTGAATAGTGGCTGATCTAACTTTTGTTGCATGCAGCTAGGCAAAGCTGTCTCTCCGGGAACAGTTGCATGTTATTAGCTTCTTGGGAGTCTGGTTTGCCTGTGCTTTGGGGAAAACATTTTAACATCCATGTCCCCAGATTTCCCAGCATGGGGGAATCAGCAAGCCTCCCCCGCATCACAAAAAAGGGCAAAAAGGTGATCCCCACAGGACTAAATCCACCCGATATCCAGATTGAGAAATCCCATCTCCTCCACGGGAGGTAGGGACACCAAGTCCCAAGTCATCCTTCTATTTAGGGGCTTGGCAAGCAGCTGGTCCTTAAGACATCCCCAGCCTCAACCTCTGGCCGATTCCCATGCCCCCAAGTCACCAGCTGCTTCCCTCGACTCCAGTCTTGAAAAACAGCTTGGTCAGTCCTGTGGCCCAATGCCAGACAGAGGACAGCAGTACTCTTCACATGCTCCAGGGTGCTCTCTTTCTGCATCCCAAATCCAGCACTTGCAAAAACAAGAAATGCATCCTGTGGTACTTTAAAGACTGACACCTTTAGCTTTCGTGGCTATAGAGGCCATTTCCTCGTGAAAAGAGGTTCTGGGGTCAGGAATGCCCCCACGGAGAGCAAGCTTTGGTCGGCCGCACGAGTCCCCCAGGAAGGAGGCGGCACCGTTCCCCAAACTCCTCCCTCGCTTGTTGCCGGCGCTCTTTGCACCGCCCCGCGGCCGGAACGGGCTCTTCCCTCCTAGCCCACCGCGTTCTGGTGGTGGTGGGCGGCGGCCCTCCTGCGCCCCTCCCACGCGGAAAAGGCCACAGGGGGCGTCGGACGGAGGGCCGCCAGCCCCTGCTCGAGCCAGCGCGCTCGACGTGCGAAGGCGCTCGTGCAAACATCCTGCCCGCAGCAAATACTCCGCCCTCGAGGGTCGCTCGACAGCCGCCACTAGAGGAGATGGACTCTTTCTTTCCTCCTCTCTCCTTCTCCACCCCCACCCCCGTGCCAGAGCGGTACTTCTTCGAGAGGAAGGAAGAGCGCCCAAGGATTACTGGGTGGCAGGAGCCTCCCTGACCGTCGGGGCCGAGAGCGCGCGAGGGAGAAAGGGACGGGGGGGCCTCCAAGCCGTCGGGGCTCCTGCTGCTCCTTTTAAGGCGCGATCCCACCTGCCCGCCCACCCCCAATGACCTCACCTGGCTTTTGGTGGCGAGGGAGAGCCGGGCGTGGCTGGCGAAGCGGCTGCTGCTGCCCGGCCAGGGCGCCGTCGTCGTGGGGGCTTCGGGCTCGGGACTGGAGGCGTCCGGCAGCCCCGCCGCCCGGTTGAGGGCCTCCACCTGCCGGGCCAGGCGGTCCACGTGCGCGCGCAGCTGCCGGTTCTCTCGCTGGAGCTCGGCCACGTTGTGCGCCAGCGGGTTGGCCAGGCGCAGCACTTCGGCCACCTGTCGGTCCACGCCGTTCTTGAAGGCCTGGATGTCCACGTGGATCTCGCGCACAGCGCCGCGCAGCGTCTCCTCGTAGCGACCCAGCGCCTCGCACACCGTCGCCGCATCCTGCGCGTTCAGGTCCGCCAGGTCCCCCGGCGACGACCCCGAAGAGGACTGCGCTCCCCGCGACGCGCTGACCTCCATGGCTCCAGGGAGCGCAACCGGCGTCCAACAACACTAGCAGCACCTCGAAGAGCCCAGTGTATTCATCCGCCTCTCTGGCTGGCCCAGCCGGACCCAGCCTTTTATAGACGGCAGGTGGGAGGGGGCAGGCAGCCGCCGCTCCGGGCCTGGAGAGGGATGGGTGGGCGCGAGAGAGGGAGGGAGCAAAGACGCGCGGGGAGTGGGAGCTTCCCGGCCGCTACAGACAGCCCCCTGGGGGGGAGGAGCTGCTGGCCCGGCCCGGCTCGCCTCTCCTCAGTTGTTGGGGCGCAGCTGCCAAGGCAACAATTCATTATCGTTGGGGGTGGGAGAAGAGGGTCCTCTAAGAGAGGCGAGGGGGTGCTCTGAGAGGGAGAGGACACCTGTGCGCAAAAAGAGGGAGCGGCCGGTGGACGGTTCGTCGGACAGTTCTTGGGTAGTTTTGCCAAGCAGCAAGTCCCTGGGGAGGAATCTTCCTGTTGTCTTTGAATTGGCCTCTTTTAAGCCCATTTCGCAGAGGGAAGGAGAGAGGCACCCAAGAAGCATTCTCTGCAAGCCACAGAAGGAAAAGCCTTCAGGCTTTCCGGCTAGCAGGGGAAAGGAGAGCGACCCACACAGGGACCTTCCTGCCCAGCACATCTCTGGCCATTCCCTACACATCCTTCCTTAGCCTGTGCACAGGCAAGCCAGCCACCTGAAAGGGAGCATGTTCCCAGGGTTGTTCCCCCCTCTGCCAGAGAGGCAGGGGCAACTGCAACTGTATTTTCCCATTCCCAATTCATTTCACCCATGCAATCCCATCTCACCCTTAGGAAAGACGCTCTCTTTGCAGAGACAATCATGAGCGCCCTTTTGGTATGTTTGGGGAAAACCTGGTGGGTACCTGGAGAAGGTTCTAATGACCCAAATTCCTTCTTTGAAATCCTGCACTGGGGAAGCCTCATCACTCTCAGATGGGCAATGTAATGGGAGAGAGGGTGGTGGGTGAGGCTGGCATTTCCTGCAGGCACCTGGATGCTGCACACAAGTGTAGCTTTAAGACATCAGTGGCTGTGAGTGTATTGGCCGGGGGTCCTTCTGTTTATTCCCACCTTCACGTCATAGAAGGTCAGTGGGTGAACATACTAGCAGTTCTAGTGATTCTGTTCTGGCATCTGTTCTGGCCAAGTTTCTCATCTTCAGTCTACCTTGATTTCCCCAAATGCAATAGGTATGTTTATTGGACACTTAAATGTGCTTTAGTTTTTTGGGGGTTTTTAAGAAAACACACCAACCTGATTCAAAGTTGCAAAACTGCTACACAGTTACGGTGGGCTGTGACATCACTGGCACTAGCCAGTCAAGCGCTGTGCACTTCCCACAAGTCAGCAGAACAGGAGCAACTTGCTGAGGAGGAAAGATTGCAGCATTTGGGATCTTTTAGTTCAGAGCAAGGCGGAGTAGGAGGTGACATGGTGGAAGTTTATAAAATTATGCATGGCCTTGAGAAAGTGGATAGAGACAAAAGGTTTACTTCTTTCGTAACACTAGAACTTGTGGGCGTGAGGCAGCAATGGCCACCAACCTTGGTGGCTTTAAAATAGGATTGGCAAACTCGATGGCTGCTGGCCTCGATGGCTATGCTCAGCCTCCACGGCCAGAGGCACGATGCCTCTGCATACCAGTTGGTGGGAATTGCATTTGGGAGAGAGCTGTGGTGCCCATGTCCACCTTGCAGGTTTTCTATGTGCTTCTGGGTGGCCACTGTGAGAATAGGATGCTGGACTAGATGGCTCATTGAGCAGACCTAGCAGCCTCTTCTGATATCCTGAACTGGTTCTTACTGAGCAGCTTCACCCAGGAGAGGAAGTTGCTTGTTTGACCAGCAGAAGGAGGTGCATGGGTAATCGTGGAGACTCTCACTCAGGGCCAGATTCATTTGTTTGCAGCCTCCTGAGCCTTTGAGCAGCGAGTTGGTGAGGCACCTTCTCCACATTCATTTGCCTCCAAAAGTTATTCTGCATTCAGCCGGAACTCCAGTTCTTCTTTAGCAGTGCACACAATGTTTTTGTAAAGCAATAATCTCCGAGGCTCTTTTGGCTGGGCTGGGCTCACTGCCTGCCATGTTTGTGACATGGCTGGACTCCAGATCACAACACTGCTCTGGACGGAGGAGTCATTAGGCAAAAATAGCCGCCTTTGATTATATGAAGCTGTGGCTCGAAACGTTTTCTGCCAGAGGTCCAGAAGGGAAAATCCAGCACATCCCAAGAGGCTGTGAGATCATTTCAGTTAAGTGTAATCAAGGCAATTAGTCTCCGTCCCACCCACAATAATATGTATATTCAGTTGCTGTGAACTGACGTCCGCTCTTGGGCTGTTTGCAAGGGTGCTGGCAGAACATTATTTATTATTTTAAAAGCCACCATTCTTAGTCGGCGGAGCAACATGGAGCAAAAGGCAGCCTGAAGGCAGTGTTGGCAATTGAGAGGTCCTTGCAAGGGCTGCTCAGATGGTTTGAGGTGGGGAAGGATAGGAGCTTATGGCAGATCCTGCCCATGCCAGCCCCATTTTCATCCTATGCTGACCTGTGCAGTTGGAAGATGAAGCCTTGTGACCCGTCGGAGGAGTTGGGTTACATCCAGCTGATGCTTCTTTCAAGGGCCCCCATTGTAAACATGCAGCGCAGAAGGCAGGAGCAGGACCTGAAAGGACACTCTGGAAATGACTCATCCCTCTGCTTGCATTTTCTAGGAGTGTTTACTCACCCTCCTCTCCCAGTCCCAGGCTACTAGCCGGGATGAGTATGCTCTGCCTCCACAGAGGCAGCAATGCTTCTGAATACCAGTTTCTGGAAACCACAGGAAAGGGGAGAGCTGTTAAGGCAGGCATAGGCAAACTTGGCCCTCCAGATGTTTTGGGACTACAACTCCCATCATCCCTAGATAACAGGACCAGTGGTCAGGGATGATGGGAGCTGTAGTCCCAAAACATCTGGAGGGCCGAGTTTGCCTATGCCTGTGTTGTTGTTTTTTTCAAAAAATTATTAGGTAATTCAACAAAACAAATTATATTAAAACATATCATCCTTAATTTCCCCCCTCATTTCCCCCCTCCCTCCCATAAACAACCTGCCCTCCCCACCCCACCCCCGACTTCCCTCAGTTCCAATCTCTGGTTTCTCTATAAATGCTATTCTCTGCATGTTACAGAATTGTATAAGTCCTTAATTTATCTAACTAATTATTATCAATAAAAAGTTTGTGAGTGTTTATTCAAAACCTGCCAAGGAATCCAGTTCACTTTGTTGTGTCTTTAGGTACTTTGTAAAAGGTTCCCATTCCTCTTTAAAGTCACAGTTATCCTTGTCCCGTAGTTTATGTGTCAATTTTGCCAGTTCTGCATAGTCCATCAGTTTCTCTTGCCATGAATCTTTAGTCGGGATTTCCTCAGTCTTCCATCCTTGTGCTATTAAGACTCTTGCCGCTGTTGTCACATACATAAAGATGTTTTTCAACTTCCTTGGCAGGTCTTTTCCTACAATCCCTAACAGAAATGCTTCAGGTTTTTTAACAAATGTTAGTTGGAACATTTTCTTCAATTCATTGTATATCATTTCCCAAAATTTCTTAATTTCATTACAATCCCACCACGTATGATAAAATGTCTCCTCCTTTTTATTACACTTCCAACATGCCTATGCCTGTGTTAAGTCATCTGATTGGCTGCTGTGAGAACAGGATGCTGGACTAAAAGGGCCATTCTCCTGATCCAGCAGGCTCTTCTGGTGTTCTTATCTAAGGAAACCCCTGAAACAAAATCACGAGCCCCTGTGGGCACAGCTGCACTCAAATCTCCTCCAAGAAAAAGAAATGTCACCATGGTAGAACTGTCTTCAGCTGCTGAGTAGCCTGATTTCCAATAACCTTTGGCTCTTCAAAGCATCTCTTGAGCAGGGCAGCCAGACCGATTATCCTACTGCTGCCAAGAGATGATGATTTCTGCATCAATCGGGCATCGTAAGAACAACCATTCAGCTTGAGCAGACCATAGAGATGGGCGGCGTCATGTCCTGCGTCCTGTTCTCACACTGGACACCCTGAAGCCCCACATTTGGAAGTAGGTCTGGGAGGGACTGACATCCCCACAAACATCCCCAAGGCCTGCTGGCGGTGGCTGTGCAGATTACAGGCTGGAGGAAGTTGGATTAAGTCCAAGGACTTGGCGGGATCAGGCCCTGGGCAGGAATCGGGCTCCACTGTGCTGGAGGATCCTTCTGCAGCAAGCAGTTTTCCTCCACCCAGAAAGGAAAAAAAAAAATCACTGCATGTAAAAGGACCCCGAGCTCCAGAGATTTCGTGCACATTCTGCACCCACATTTCAATGTTTTATGCACCACTGCGGGGTGGGGGTGGGGAGATAAATTTGCATTTCCAAATGGAAAACAATCCTATTGACATTTAAGCATTGCCTCCTTGCGACATAAACAACTGGAATTTAATGTCGCCAAAGTTCATGGGAATTACTCTTCCAATATGATCCGAATTGCCCTTTGAACAGTGGTGGTGAAAGTGCTTTGTTAAGTTAATTGATGTCGCTTTGCCTACAGCCTTTGAAGGGCAAAATGACCATTACTCCTTGGTGAGAGGCTTTCGGTTTTTTGCCCTCCAAATGTAAACAGGGGGAAAGCTGCCTCTCAGGAACCCAGCAATGGCTCCCTCCAGGCGAAACGCAGAGGGACCCTTCAGAAAACCCAAATATAGATCCTGCCTTCCAAGCCCTTGCAGAGGAAGGAAGGAAGGCGGAAGGAGACTGAGGAGAGCCAGAATAGCATCAAACAGATTCTCACACCAGGGCCGCAAAACTGATCCACCATCATCCCGAGAATGTTATGAGGCCTCCTGAGGATTTTAGCACTGGGCTAAAGCACATCCTAAGTCCATTTTCTGGACATTGGTTCCAAAATATTGCCCTTTTTAGAGGGGGGGGGGATGCATGTTGAACCTATGGACTCCCTCTGGACTACATAAGCTTTTCCAGTGCATAGCTAAACTACGGAACTCCCTCCCACAAGAGGCAGTGATGGCCACCAACTTGGATGGCTTTAAAAGAGGATGAGACAAATTTGTGGAGGAGGAAAGGGCTATTGATGGCTACTAGCCAAGATGGCTCTGCTCTGCCTCCATGGTCAGAGGCAGCAA